TAGTCTTATGATGTTCATCACGAGATTGTCTGGTTCAAACTCGAATATTTACAGACCGCCGCCATGTAGCTGGAATATTGCTGAGTGTGGCGTAACAAACAAACAAACAAACAAAACAAACAGTTCGCTGCATTGCCTCGGAAGATGTCCAGTTAAATGACAGTGTCCTGACCGGATCAAATGATGGACAACAGACCAGGAACAGTTAAAGTAAGTTTGAATCGATGACGCTGCGCCTTGCATGTGCTGAACCAAATGGTATAGTTTAATATCATTCATACAGGATATTACTGCACGTCTACACCCAGATTAGACTTCATTATGTTTCTAAGTTTGCCATCACTATACCCTACAGCTTCCACCATAGTGATCACACACTGTTTTAAAGCACAAATCATCACAAATAAAATGAGTCGCGGTACCAATTGCTTTCTTCAGCTTCCGCTTGTTGCTGTCCGACTTGGTTCCCTCTTTCCTCATATCTCCCGAGTCACGTCTCCGGGCACCATGCATCTCCAACAGCAGACGACCCTGGTTCTCATCCGTGGCACGAGCATTGTCCACGACAGAGAGGATATGCATATCAACCTTCCCTACTTCCGGTGGAAAGCGGACGTCCTGTGAGTGCCGAAAAGACGAAGCTTCCCAGGGTGCCTCTAGGTGGAGTCCATCGTCTTCATGATCGACATAGAGGTGGCGGTTGCGGCCGTTCTCCCATCGGAGTGCCTGTTAAAATCACATTGGGGTTAATTGCCAGGATATCGATAGTTCCGTTACAGATCTGATTCCATAGAAATGTCCCGGCTCAGAGAACATTCAAACATATCGACATACTGTCAGGATATACCATCGTATCAGAAATGATACGATTCCAATCTTTCACTATGCACAGAATTTCTCTCGCTCATGAGAGGATTTGATTGGACGGCTGTAACTAGTATCGTGACATTTAAACGGTGGTAACGAGATGGTCCAAGATATCCATCAGAAAGACGATACAATGCCCTGGATACTCGAAGATGGTGACAACACATCATGGAATAGATTGCAAGACAATAGTTTCTACATATCCTTCGTTATGTTATCGACAGTGAACTGTGGTAAATTATTCAGAAAGGGGACGCCGTTTGTTCCTCTAGCAACGCCTCAAGTACCCTTCCGGATCCACCCACTCCAACTTATGCAAGCATACTTCTTTTGCGGACGTATGATAAACGTAGACGTAGACGTATAAATGTACCTTAAACATTCAAACCAAAAAAACAATTTATTGACGTCTTATGTACAAACTAAGAAGCTCAAACTGATGAGCTAATACATTCGTATTTTAACACCAAATCTGATAAACGACTTTGAGCCGCCTCATACTACTGTGCCGCTCATGGCCGTTGTCGCAGGCTCAGATGTTTGGCCCTCGCCCTATGAAGGTCTGTACTTCAGCGAGCTCACGCAACTTTGAAAATCAAATCTTTAATACCATCTGTTTTATCAGCCTCAGTGTATCCTATACGTGTGCAGTGACAGTGACTCGTTCTACTCGCTGTTCTCAGTCGTCTCGGTATCTTTTGACTTGTGGCTACTGAACAATTCATAGCATAAGGTCAGTAGACAGTTTTTTGGAATCTCGATGTCAACCCCCTGGGAAACAGTGATGTTTCAAAGGGGATGAAATGGGTGTTCTAACCAATGAAATCTAATTCAATTTACATAATTCTACAGTGATACGTGTGAGTTGTTTCTTTTAGTCACAAACAAAGTTCGTACCTCTGTTCCTATATTTTGCCTCAAAGGGATTGTCAGGTCAGGAGCTACCATTCGTGACCTTTTATCAATATTGGTTCTCACAGTGGAACACGTTCCCTCTCGCTGCCTTAGTCAACTTGTGTTGATATAGTTCAGAGAGGAATATAAGGGTATACTTGTACGCTGAATCATTACAGAAGGACCTTTAATATAGTCACTTCCTTATCGCCTGTACTATCCTTTTTTGGTCAGAGACAAGCATCGTGGTTAAACTTATTTGAAATTGGCACAGGGCCTGTTGTCATTCACAGCTAAAACAGATTTGATATATTAAATTGTGTAACCATATAAAACGGTTTAGAGTAGAACACCTTTGTGAACAGATAAGGAATAGTTCGTCCGACAGTCATTATTGCCTCACCCTTCCCGAACCGGCGTCAGTGACGACCCATTTCCACTCGTAGCCGTGAATCTTCTCCAGTATCAGGTTGGCCGTCCATCTTCCCGACCCCGGAGGGAACTCCTCACGCGCCACCACGCCCTTCTGTGGGTTCCAGTTCCCCAGGGAGGGTGCCGCGCCCGTCACAACCAACTGTTGACCGGGATGACAGTGGTAGTTTACAGACACAGTGACGTCACACGTGTCCGACCGGAAGGGCTGGGCGGGGCGTCCCCATGCCGTGTGGATGGTCCCTCCAATGTTGCCGAGGGTGCCGCTCCTTCTGCAGGGATCCCAGAGAAGGGCCTCGGTCTTCTTGTTGTTGGTGATGATCCAGTTCCATTCAAAGGTTGACCCAGCAGGAATCAACACACGAACCTCCCACTTGGAGTAATTTTCCGACGGTACTGCATTCACGCTGTTTTTCAGATCCCAGCTTCCCAGCTGTGGAAGGGAACCCAAGATGCAGACATGGGAGAAGTGTATACCCCCTATTCCCTCTTGAACTCTGTCAGGGGCACAGTGCAGCTTGAACACGGCATAGACGTACTCGCCAGTCACCATCGGCGTCTGTGATAACATTAGCAGATACTGTCTGGCATACACGACTTACTGGAAACTAGCTTCTGAGTGTTGGTAAGACGGGTTTGTATGTGACGTCATGTCATTATGACGTCACAATAATGGGGACGTCATCTATTGGTCTACCTAAGCTGGGCCCCGTCTCACATATCGCAAATTGACGCGCGCAAAGGGAGCCGGGAACCAGCTTACTGACCCACGTTGAGTGTAAACTGGTTTCCTGTGGCTTAGCGTTAACTGGGTTGCTGTCTACATGAGCAGGGTTTTTAATGGTGAACGCATGTGTCTGCAAACAGTTGGAAAGTTTATACAAGAAAACAGACATGCAAGACATGAAAACCTGGCCGCAAACACGGTATATAATATATATACAGCTTTCTTCAGGTTTGTGAACGGAGATCTGAACGGAGACGGATGAGAATAAGGTGGATGCTGAAGGATTATAACCATCATTCCTGATTTCAACACTTCCGAATTTTTGCATTTCAGCTTTAGACGTCTCGCAGTCTCGTCGCGTAATTACCTCAATGATGAAATCTCGGCATCCCAGAACATAAAAGATATAACCTTTCCTGATTCTCTTAGAAGGTGGTGATTTCAAATGTTTCCACCCATTTTGATCATTTTAGACTCATGTTTTAAACCCGTGTTTCATCCATTACCTAACCTCGTTGCAAGAACTGTTTTTTTTAATCTTCTAACAGAGCTCTATCAACACAAGACATGTAGTGCCTGGTGTGTTTTCTATTAGATGTCAAAAGCTTTGGAACCCAACGAAGTGATCCTTTCTTCACTGCTTTAATGTGACAATGGAATTATTCTCTCTAGGGAAATGAGCCGGCAAATATGACCCTCAGTGGCTGCCGGACTGTCGTCGCCATACCGTAGATTCTCTAGATCACTATACCTGGTGTTGCACAAATCTTCCAGGACGCTGTCGTCTTAAAGGTTCACATTTCGTGGATTAAACAATGTTGCACTAGTATTGGTGATCACTGCACATTCTGAACTTTTTCCATCATCCCAATGGGAATTTACATCCTCTTAAAGTTTACATCTTCTCTACAAGAATTTACACCTATTCTGAACAGGACTTTACATCCTCTCTATAAGACTTTACACTTGTTCTGAAAATGAATTTACATCCTCTCTACAAGACTTTAAATCTGTTCTGAACATGAATTTACATAACGATAATAAATGAGCATTTCTATAGCACCTTATAAATAAGTCATATGCTCAAAGTGCTGTACATGGGAAAGATGAAATGTCAATCTGGATAAAATGTTTTGGTTTATGAAGAGATGTGTCTTCAAATGGGCTTTGAAACTCTCCAAGGTTGGGCAAGTTCTCATGTCAATAGGCAGCGCATTCCAGGAAGTAGTGGCAGAATTTTTGAAAGAACTGTGAACATAGTCCGAAAACATAGAGATTCCATCTCGGTGTCTGGAGAAGATTCTTTGTGTCTGATTGGAAATGAGGTGAGGTGAAATTGGGTTTAACGTCGTGCTTGAGAATATTTCGCTCATATGACGACGTGCATGCGTGTGTATGTGTATGTGCTGCTGCTTGTACTAGCCCAGACTGAAGCTGGTTTTATAGTGCTAGCCCACTGAGATACCATGCCGCAGTGAAGCATGAATACCCCACTCAGACACATTATACTGACTCCGAGCGGACCAGTCCTTGTTGTACCCATTAATGCCGAGCGCCAGACAGGGACCAACAAGTACCATATTTTAACGTCTTTTTGGTATGACGCGGTCGGGGATCGAACCCGCGACCTTCCGCTCTCCAGGCGGACGCCCTAACCACTACACCACGGAGGCGGTCGTGTCTGATTGGAAAGAACGTGTTTGTACAAGTTGATGAGATCACACAAGTACTCTGGGGCTCTTCCATTTATATACTGGTATGTATACAGACAAACTTTATGGATAAACAACTTCTTTATTCGGTAGATTGACGTTTCGATACAGGTTCTTGTACCGTTGTCAAGCAAGTCTAACAATGCCACTCAAAGAAGTTACTGATGCGTAATTCACATCCTCTCTATAAGACTTTACACTTGTTCTGAACATGAATTTACATCCTCTCTACAGGACTTTACATCTGTTCTGAACATGAACATACTCCTATTTTGAACAGGACTTTACATCCTCTCTACAAGAAGACTTTACATCTTCTCTAGAAAACTTTACATCTGTTCTGAACGGGACTGAAATACAGACAACAATGACAATTACAAACACATTTATTCTATGGTACAAAACAAACGTTAGGTGATGTGTTCACTGGATTTGTCTGACGAGTCGCTAATATCACAATCTGGCAGAGTATCCTGAGAGTTTGTGGAGGTGAATGTAGCTTCACACAATGTTGGAGTATTGTCAGAGTTTGTGGAGGTGATCAAAGATTGTTTGTCAGTATCCACAGATGTAGCTATCGGTTTCACAAATTTTCCCTGAACAAATATCCGTGGAACACATATTCCCTCTTTCTTGTTGACAGTCTCTCGCTTGACATACTCGTTCCTGCTGACAGTAAAACCTGCAGACGTCATCATACCCTCAAGCTTTTCTGGAAATAGTTAAAGAGGAAGTTTAAAATCAAGGCCGAGATTCTATGTTTCTATTCAAGTATGCACTAAAACACGGACTAGTAGTCCAGGTATCATCACAAATATTGAACCCAATCAGTGTTCCCAGATATCCTGACATCTATATATGTCCCTTTCATCATTCAGAGTTAGAACTGGTCCCCAGTCTGAGGTGCATGTAAAATGGATGGGCAAGCCATCTTGTTGATGTAGCTTATAATATTTATTGCTGGCTTGTATTGTCTACATTCTGCCCCCAACTTTATCTTGGGACGGAATATTGCCTAGAGTAGCTTATATACTTTCAGTCTATAAATCATCAAAAAGAAGCAACATGTTTGTTCGCTACACCATTGTTTCCTCTTGAGCCAGGAAGGCCATGGGGTCAGCTCCACAATGACAAGTAGTTCAGTCATATCACAGCAAGAGAGGGAGTTGTGGCAATGTACTTTGAAATTACTTCTGATGATAGTAAGTAGCTAATTAGATAAGCAATATTAAAACATCATCTACTAGTTCATGGTGGTGACCATGGTGAATACAGACCATACTAGGACTGAAACTGACAGCAAGCTGATTCTGGCCACATACAACATGAAAACAACAGAGGGGTATGCTTCATTCACATATACTAATCATATGTGTTGTAAAATGTTCCTTCTCCTCGTATAATCAACATGTGAAGCATGTGAGTTCCAACCAACGACCAGCTCATTTATAAAGCCAATGTCACTGACTAAGCAGATGAGAGGACAATAAAATCATTGTCAGACTTTCATGCAAATGTTTCGATCATGTGAGGTTTCAGACATTTAATTTTGTTGATACAGACCAGATCGGGTGAGAAAAACATATATCTCTTTTTGTCCTAATTACCATGAATGTTTCCTATCTTTATAGACAGAAAAGTGATACACTGGTGTTATCACGAAGAAGTGACCCCTTGAATGATGTCGTCAACTAACAATCTCACCTAAAGAGAAGTAATATGCCCGCGTGCCATCTTGCCTCACGTAGAAGTGGTCTGACAGTTTATGTCCTGGGGCAAATCTCAGCATTGCATAGTCGTACAATCCATAGTCTCGGAACAAGATGCACCCCCCAGGCCGGGTCACCTGTTGCCATGGTGATAAAACACATTTTACATCCTAAAACTGTAAACAAAAATTCGCAGGTTATGTTTGATACACATATCTACAATATTTCCTTTGTCTGGAATCAAAAATAATTGATACATAGCTACTAACTACAAATATTGTATACAATGAACTCATAACAATATAACATGGTGTTGGAACAAAATGCCTGTGTTTTCACAGAATGTTGATTGTTGACTGGCATAACATCAATATAAATATTATGCTTTCGGTGAAAAGTGTCAGCAAAGAGGTACACACAGTCACTGCTAATCCATGTTTCTCACTGTACACCTAATTAACTGAGTATTATTGTGTGAATGTTTAATAATGGGCACACAGTTTCTATGTAAAATGGGAATATTGAGACAAAACAGTGCCAGATTCTGTAACAGACAAAGGTCTGGATACACACAGTTTACTTGATGACATTATTGTAACAGCCCTCCATATCACCTGGAAGACATTGTGGAGAGCTGCAAGCATCTTGTCTGGGTGTATGGCTGACAACACAAAGATCATGGACACAGCATCTACCGTGTCCGGCGGCACGTTGTCACGGAGGTCATCGGCAGTCAGGTCACACTGGAAGGCATTGCAGCGAGCAGCATCATATTGGGGATGAGACTGTAAGAAGATGATGTTCACTTGAAACATACAGAGTGACTTCATTGTGTAGTAGCTTTTTTGCAGTTTTACAGCAATATAATGGAGAAAAACAAGAAATCTGCTTCACATGTATACCCTTGTTGAAATCGCACCCAGGCATCGGACATGATAAGCAAACACTTTAACATCCAAATATCCAGTAAATACGCTTAGTTGAAGTACACAAAGGTGTGAGGAGGGCCTCTGGGTAGGAGGATATCTCCTTGGTTGTGAGTAACACTTACAAGGAAACTAGCAGGCATTGATAACAATCCTGCAAACCTGTCAGCTTTCTCAGTTCACCTGCTTCATATATATTAATTTCTGAATTTTGCCCCTGCAGGTACCAGCTTATGTCCAGTGAAATCCCTTTATCATATGAATATCACTGATTTAGAACTAAATTGCTTAAAATAATCATATCCAGGATCAGTGACTTGGTGTAGCATTGGCCCTCTGCTCTGTTTAACTGGAGAGTGAGTGGGTGACTTAACCTCCCATTGATACTGATTATATAACTCATTACAATCAATAAGAGTTACCTTGACAAAATTCACGCATTGTAAGTGTCTGACATTCTGTTTTTTTTTCATGATTTGAGTTGAAAAGACAGGAGTTTAATCATGGAACATACCTTGACAAATTCCACGGCTCTCTTGGAGAAATCACAGGCATGAAAGTACAAATTTTTGTCCTCCTCCAGGAGGGGGAAAATGAAGTTGCCAACACCACAACCAACTTCCAGTACAGTCTTCACACAGTAGTCCTGAAACATAGATCACTAATATGATGCAGATCATGTGCTGGTCGAAGTTTTCCATTTCAAAGAAAGATTTCCAAATTCAAGTCGAGGAATAGTGACTGTCACCTCCCTGATAACAGGACAAAAACTCTTTTACTGTTCAGGTGAATTAAGATGTTTATAGGAGTTATGCTGCCATAACTGCACAATTAAGATGGCCTCAAGTGATGTGACTTGCCATGATCAAGGCCTAATTCACAGAGATGGGCAACACAACATACGAAGATTAAGTATATTTCACAAATCTACAAGAACTGAAAACAATGTTACAAATCTCATTTGCTTTTAACATAATACTTTGTTCACAAAACTGTTTGTAATCCAACCTGTTTCTCACTGATCAGTTCTGAAAACTCTCTTTTTGTCCAGTGTCTGTCCTTGAAGAATTTGGTTGTATTCCGTTTATAAAACAAATCCCAATTCTTTTGTGCATCAAGTTCAAACTTCCTCTGCTTAAATTCAGAAACAAGGGTCTGGTCTTTATCAAGCTTTGCTGTCTCTTCAGGTGTGAGAGTTCTTGCTTGGTGACCAATCATTAGTTCAAGTCCACTTTGAGAATCACCATCAGATTTAGTGAAATTTTCTGCTGCCATGCCTTTGTCTTGTGGTCTATCTGATTGGTAGTCACTGGCCTTTACTTCCTCAAGTTTGTTTTATATGACATCACTGAAACATGCAATTTGAATTTCCCTAACTTGTGAAATCGACCTCGTTCGGCTAGGACTTGGCGGTTAGTATATATATATATCACATATCACATATATCAGCTAGATAATACAAACAGCTTGTCAGAGACCAAATTGAGGATACCACTGATGATGATTCGTTTTACTCTGGAACAGACGCTGATCAGTGCAAATGGTAACTGACAATATTAGCAGACAGCGTGTCGTGCGCCAATATATAAAGGGAGGTAACTCTTTAAACAATACCAAGTCATTTTGTATAATGTTAACATGGACAGACAAATTGTCATAGTGAAATGATAGAAGCATAGACAAGATATTTATACTTCTATGTAAATATTATGCTTATGTGACAATGATTGTACTTCCGATACGGCTACATAAGAGCGTAATACAGTTTTAAAAAACACAATGATATTTATAAATGATGTATCCCCAATCTTAAAAGCAGGGGCATCTCCACTGCATAAACCGAACCAGACCGAAATCTGCTTTCACCTGTCATGACATACAGTTTATAGTCTTCACAGTTTTTTTAGAGAATGAATGGAGACTAATTTGAAACCGAAACAGCTCCCAGAAATATATTTTGTCGCAGAATACAACAGCTTCCAGACGGGTCATATAGAATACACCGTTTGGTATTTTCACAAAATTGCAAAGAAATATATTCTCTGATGATGTGTTTGTATTTCAAGTTTGAACAAGTTACAGCTTATATTTTATCTCCCTTTTCAAAGCACACCCTTGAACAAATGTAACTCAGACGTGTGTAGTTGATGAAATATCTTATTACTCAATACATTAAGCACACAAATATATCAAACAATTATTTGGCTGATTTCACTGAGCCGTGACAAACACAGTTTGATACACGGGGCATCTGTTAAATGGAATTACAACCTATAATTGATCTCAGTTTGCTGTACCAGCCAGTGTTTACAAGATTTTACGAATGAGAACATTTTGTCTGATGGCTGTCAAGAAATTTAATCAATGGAAATGTTTAATTTCCATTGGAGACAGCTGTTAATGCGCACATTACAGACCAATACGGGACAGCCTACAAAGCTTTATTCATGCATAGCTGCAGTATGTACGGCGTAAAAGCTATACGATATTTGGCTGAAAAGCTGTCAGCTGTCCCTCGTTCTGGAGACGAGCCATATGTTAGGGCATATTGTAAGGCCTTTTATTTTTATGGTGACATATTTTTCTGTCAAAATCATATCATGAATGGAAATGAATGCAAATTTCTCTTTCCTTAAAGTTATCCCCGCGACATATGCACCACGACTGAAGTAGACATTAATGTGTTATATAACACAAACGATGCCACGTGCTTCTGCCATGACAGTAACTAAAAGACGTAAAGACAGGTTATCATTACTTAGATTGTCATATAGCCCCTAGAGAGAGAGACAAAACTAAAGACAGACAGACACAGACATACACACACACACACACACATACACACACACATACATACATACATACATACATCGGCAGCCAGTATGGCCTATCCATATATCTAATATTGTTTGTTTCATTTCAGTGAGTGAGTGAGTTTGGATTTACGCCGCTTTTAGCAATATTCCAGCAATATCACGACGGGGAAAACCAGAAAAGTTTAATTTCAGAGAAGTCTAGTGATTACTATATGCATAAGGTCAAAGTCGTTACAGTTATCAGTTAATCAGGTCAACATACATATACAATATATTACAGGATATACGGATATATAGCGTTTGAATGAGAAAAGAATATGCTTCAGTGTCCGAAACCAATATATTTGGAAAGCATCCGAAAAACAAATTATCAAATATGTCATTCGTAGTGCACAAATGTCGGTAATCTGTGCCACGTCACTATACATTCCGCAATCATTAGCTCATTAAATAACTCAATCAAACCGCTCCCCCCCTTCAATATATGTTTCCCCGTGAAGTTTTTTTTTTTATTATTATTCTGGAGATTTCGCTTTACATGTTAGCGTAATCCTTCTTTTTGAGAAAACGTATGATCACGAAAAACGTGCAGCAGTGATTCAGTTTGAACTGACGAACGCTCCTGAATCTATGCGAGACCCCAAAATCGAGGTGAGGTTGGTATTTCGTAAATTTGTGCAAACGTTTCGTGATGTGGCATATGTTTCCATGTTCTTCATATAGAAGGACACGTTACCTTGGGCGCTTATCTTAGAAATGACTACATCTTAGTTACTAATTGCGCGTGCTCCCAACATCACAGAAAACCTTCATATAGAGAATACGGTTCCCAGTCTCCGGCACACGAGTCACGAAATGTACGAAGTGTACCTGATGTAACCCAGATATACCAAGACGATCTTGATCTTTGTGACCGTACCCGATCCGTGTACCCACAAACAGATAGGATCAGGGTATGTTCCGAGCTTTAGAAAAGGAAGTAATGATTGGAAAGCCAGTGTTTAATCTCGGTTTCTTTAAAAGTCGAAATAAGGTTTACACAATCGAACTTTTCATTAGTGAACTAGAGGAGTGATTATGTGTAAATATGCACTGAGTGTAGACTTGTGTAAGTCTCATGTTCAAGACTTCCTGCTCAGATATTGTTAACAGGTAAGAAAGTGATCAACGCTGAAACTCCTCTGATACAGGTATACTTATATACAGGAACTGTCACAGTGTCAGGCTAGAAAAGTGTGCGGGTTAAATTGAACTGATCTTTTGATCAATATAATATTTTTCTAAATTTTCATTGTTTTTTAATGTGAAATGATATACCAGGGAATATTTAATTTTTTTGTTTACAGGTTGTTAAAGATACAGCACATAATAAACAATAGGTATATATAAAATATGAGCTAAAAGTGGCCCATAAGACTGATGGAGAATAATATTGCTGTTTTTACCTGTTTAAGTAAGTGACCAGTATTATTTTTGAAGGACATTGATGATTTTATTCTTGCTTTAGACGATTTCAATTTAAGACATTACTCCATGAACACACACATCATCATGTGGAAAGTGTGACACTTTTATCTGGTGTGTGTATGTTGTGTGTGTGGTGGTGGGGTGTGTGTGATGATGATTTTTAAGGGGGGGTCACCCATTTTGTTCTGGGAAGATAGGAGGGGTCATCAATTTTGTGCACACGTTTTGAGGGTGGGGGTCTGCAATTTTGTACATGAAAATATTAAAAACATTATGCTTAAAAATTATGGGAAGTGGGGGTAGTCATTGATTTTGTACATGACACGCCAGGGGCCCGGTCACTTACTTTGTACATAAATCTTAGGGGGTTATTCACATTGGGGCGGTGGGGTAGCGTAGTGGTTAGAGCGTTGGTTCGTCATGCCGAAGACCCGGGTTCGAATCCCCACATGGGTACAATGTGTGAAGCCCTTTTCTGGTGTCCCCCGCCGTGATGTTGCTTGAATATTGCTAAAAGCGGCGTAAACCAAACTCAGTCAGTCAGTCGGTCAGTCATTCACATTGTACATGAATCTCCATAAAAATCATCATATCACACACACACACACACCATAAATTATGAACGGTCCCTAACTGTGTTGGAAGTGTATTACATTGTTTCTTTGGGCCAGTGATGTGCAATATTGCCAAGCTATACTTAGACTGAGAGTTCTGGAAGGTACCTCGAAGTACAACTGTATGAGCCTTTCCAGCATAACCCAGACTATTATGTAGAGTTCCAGAACAGCTATACTATATATAAGGGCACGCTTTGGCCTCAGTCTTCTTACAATACATTACATATTACAAGACAAGCAGTTCAGTGAAGATCACTTTCACCCTGGATTTTCAACTGTGGCCAGTTTTGGAAGTTTGATCACTTTCGCAGTGAGGGGACTAGTATGATCTGTGTCTATATTATATTCACTATTTTATCACTGTATTTGTACTGCCATTTTGTACAGCCATTGTGATTCCTTTATAGAGATTTGTATTGGTACTTTTAGAATACAGTTGTTAATCAGATAACATTTCGTTGTTTGTTGTTTTCCGGTTAACGTATTGTTTCAACTTTGGTGCAGCATGTAAATGCACTGACTGCTCCTTTCTGGTCAACTAAGATGTGGATTGAGGTCATCATATGTACTAATGGCAGGGGTAGTGCTGAGAACAATTGATGCATTTGGTCTGACAGTGACCATGCATATTATGACTGGCTGATGTAATAAGTTGTGGTATTTCTGATAGTGTAGGACACTGTTGTATTGTGGGCGTATTATTTCAGTAGTCAGCAGTAAAAGGTCAGACATATTTCAACAAAATGGCCCCGGAACAGATATCAGTGATTGAGACAGCAGAGGATGTTGCCCAGCAGAGTGCAAAGGAAGAAGACGAGCAGGGAGAAACTATATGTACCAGCTGGAGAGACAGGCGCTACATGGAGAAGTTCATCTACACCGTCTTCCTGGCAATAGCCTTCTCCATGTTGGTGAGTACTTGGTCTGTTTAACTTATCTACTGGCACTGAGAATCTAGAACTATCCAAAAATGCTTCAAAAGATGACAGCAGCAGTGATCGATATAGAGCATGCACTTGCAGCAATGGCCCACAGAAATCTAAAACTTCTGTAACTCTCACTGCCATGGATCCCATATCAATCCAAACAATATACAAGCGAGTCCGGTAATTCCATGCGTCCAGTAATTCTGAGCAGCTGCAATAGTGTACTTCCGTATCGAACGTAAACATTGTCTGCTACCACATTTACGCTTGAAATCGGGACATTTCTACAAGGGACTGGCTTTTAATCACTTAAGTTAAGTAAATAACAGTAATTGACAGATAAATTGACAGTTTTATGAAAATTCGTTTTCTTCAGACTTTACAAACCTTTTTCTTCATTATTCATAATTGGATTTAATATGAAACACACTTCCTTACATCGATGAAGTGATTTTTGAAAATAATCTGGCCCTAATACGCTTGCATACTTCGGATCTCCAGCTGGATGTTATGCGCATCAGTTGCTGCGCAGAATTACCGGACAGCAAGCGATGTCGTCAGAACGCCAGTGAGGTCAACCGTATGGCATAATGCAACGTTAGAATCTTATAGGCGTCAATAAAACTTATATTTCTAGGAAAATATGATGCATACCAGCATGTTAGTCACGTAAACCACAAAAAATAAGAGACATTAGTTGCCGTGTTGCGATCGATGTGCTTAGGTGCGAGGAATTACTGGACGGCATTGTATACTCATTGCTCAAATGTTTTGACTGTTAATGTGTTTCTGTGATGCTTCCCCTTGCTGTCTTACACTATCACTTCCAGCTGATAGTTAGTGTGACAGTTCATTGTTGAAAACACCTGAAGGGCCACCTCCCCTTTATGACAGTATTTGTTTGTTTTTTATTTTTTGGCAGTGCAGTGTTAAAACAGAAAACATGTCTTAGTTTTGTGTCCGATGTTTGATGAAGGTCCACTGATTTTTTCACACAGTGGCCCAAATGTCCCCCATCATCCTAGATGTTCACTGCAGGAGCGTCAACGTCTTGTATATTTCTCTGTGTAATACGGATGTATGTTCTACAGTCAGTTCATCAAACACCACCAACCTTTAAACTATTTTATTGTCAAGTACAGTTATGTTTTCCTGCCTCCAGGGTGTGTGTATTGGTCAGAGAGGACCTTCCTTCCTGGACCTCCAGATAATCACCGACACAGACGTAGAAAGGGGATCAGCATTCTTCACAGCAGGTTCCGACGGCTACCTGGTCGGGTCTCTCATCTGCGGCATTGTGTACGACAAGTTCAACAAGATCCTCACAATGTTCCTCCTGACTCTCTGCATGGGTGTCAGTACCGGGATACTGCCATTCTGTTCACTCTATGGCTTGATGGTGGCCATCCATCTCGTCACAGGGGCGTTCATGGGCGGAGTCGACACATGTGAGTTTAGATCCTAAAGGTCATCTTTGGTTGTCATAGTGATAGAAACATTAACTTATAAGAATTAGGGTCCAGCAGGCTGATAACATGTTCAGACAGACAGCTACACAAACAATTCAAACATGATATACTTCATTTATTTGGTAAGGTGGCCCGGTTGTATTGGGCACAGCAATTGGCTGTGCAGAGTTGTTTCCCTTGGACATGCCACACAGACATATTTGGGTTTGAATCCCAGTCAGCTGCAGTTATGTTTCTAAGATCTCTGTGGGTTTCAATCCAAGTTTGCTGTGGTTTGTCAGCACCAAACCCCTGTACAACCCCAATATGTAAAATCAAGACAATATGTAAAAACTAACGTAATATGTAACAACTTAACGCAAAACGTAAAAAATAACGCAAAACGTAAAAATAACGCAATATGTAAAATATTAAAGCAATATGTAAAAGATGTCTTTAACGCAAAAAGTACAACACCTAACGCAAAATGTAAAAACAATTTTTAACGTAATATGTCAAAAATTAACGCAATATGTAAAATCCACTTTTAGGTTTGAATATTAGGGGTGGCGATCGAAATCCATTTTTCTCACAAATTTGGCAAAAATTGACTTTATTTACTAAAACCAAGATATCGCAATGTTTCTTACAAAATAAACTTCACATTACATTTTTTTACAAAATTTTACCTCGTTCAGTATACATGTAAGCAGAGTCGATAAACATATAATTTCCTTGTATACAGAGATATTTTAATCGATCTTATAGTCTATTTTCGAAAGTTTTAAGGAATAATTTTATTCTTCAAACTTGTTTTCATAAATGGTATTTTGGGTTATATTCATTGTCTTATTCAAGAAGGTTTGACCTTTCCTTCAAACTGTACATTCCGTTGTTGATAATCTGTGATTACCGAATTGGGTTTTTAAAGAAAACCACTTATTGATCCTTCTTAATTTGGTTTGAAATAACATGCATGTTGTAGCAATGTTTCCAATTTTAATTCATTGTGTATGGGGGTTCGAATTAATTGCAATTGGTACTTGGCATCGAGATGGTAGCTCTGACCATTGGACTTCGGCCAAGCAACTGATCTAGGAGTGAGCGCCAATAGTTATGATTTGACTGTGTACATGAAACAACGATGGGCGGTTTAAGGGAATACTGGAATAGTTCCCAGAAGCGTGCATCTTGAACCGCCATAGCTTCAAGTAAACTAACTGAGAATATGAAAGAAGCTATATATTTTTTTTTCTCTCGCTCTCTCTCGTGAGTGAGTGAGTGAGTGAGTTTATAAGGTTAAACACCCCTTCAGCATATTTTCAGATATTGATGACGTTAATGACACGGAGATAAACAATAGAATAGCTGGTTCCATTTGTACTAATGTTTGATACTACGTCAAATAATCACAGGGATGTCACAAAATACACAGCGAATGGCAATCTATGTGATTAAATGGTGAATTACGATAATAATTTCTTAGGATTGGTTTGTGATTTTGCAATTCTATACATGTATCATTGATCTTGGCTTTGGCATGTTTGATGGATTCAGTTTCCTGAAACCTAAAACAACAAGTCATGTTACCCATTTACATCAATATTCCATATTACTTAAATTGCATCAAATACAATAACTTTATTTCATTAAATTTGAGCGATCAACATCGGGATCCAATCTCAAATGTCTCTGGTATTACTTGATTCATTGGCAGCAATATTACCTGTGACTTGATTGAAGGAAATCAGATGTGATTGGAATGCAAATACTCGAATCACTGCGATGCATCTTGCATGTCCATTATACCTAAAACTGCAAGATGGATTTACCATTTCTGAATCAAAGATACTTGTGTCCAGCGACACATTTATACTTAAATATAATATAATGTGTCCAGCGACACATTTATACTTAAATATAATATTTGTAAATACATCATCATAAATATGATATTTTCTCTAAAATTCATTAAAAGTGTTTCTGAAACAAATTCCCAAGTCTCTCGTAATTTCTATAGGATGGCTCAAGCTTTTTATCAGGATTTGTTGCATTTCATTTGTGTATTTTGAGGTGAGATTAAAAAAAACACTGCCAGGAAAATAACTAATACATTAATTCCATAAAGGAAAATGTTTTGCTATTAATTCACCACTAATAGGACAAATTTGAAAACAAAACTGTCTCTCAGCAAAAACAATGAAAAGAAAAAGAAGAAAATACAAAAACTTATATCTGCAGAATTCCAAGTTGCACCTTGGTTACCGTACCCAATGCGGAGGATAATTTTATGTCCCCAACTTTGCGCTACATGCGCGTTGTGGGATAAAACCCCCCACATATGACCATTTATGTAAAAATACTATGAAGAATAAAATGATTTCCTTGGATACTTTCGAATATAGATTATGATATCAATTATCGCTATACATGTAGATTACACAATTATCGGCTTTACTTTGGTGTTAAACGACACAAAAGATCAGATATCAATTAAGTCAGAAATGAGGTTAATTTTGTCAGAAATATTGCAATAGCTTAGGTATTTTTAAACACAATAAAGTAAAGTTTCTAAAAAAATAAATTTCAGTTGCCAAAACAATAAACAACAATAAAGCTGTATTTACAGATTCCGTTAATCTTTTACAAATTGCGTTAAAAATTGTTTTTACATTTTGCGTTAGGTGTTTACATATTGCGTTAAGTTGTTGCATGTTGCGTTAGTTTTTACATATTGTCTTGATTTTACATATTGGGGTTGTACAACCCCCCCCCGTCCTTGTGGGGTTCACCAAAGTGGTAAACAAATAGGTGTGAAACTTGTATCACTTTCCCCCAAATTCAGCTGACAGACGTTTGAACCCCTCTCACTCACTCTTTGTTTTATGACTTGGTTATTTTTTCAAATATTTTGTGTCTAAAATCTTGTTTACAAACTTAAAAAGAAACATGATCATAAGTGAACATGAATGCTGTTGAATGCCAAGCAAAGTTTTATTTGCTTCTCATATCCATGATATTGTTTCAGAAAATATTTAGTTCAGAAACGTTAATGGTGAAGAAAGTCTTTTATTAGTGTTACCAGTAGATCAATTTAAGAGTTGATTAAAAGAAACAGAGGGATCTTCCTGAGAACAAACTATCACATGGCAGTTCAAAAGAATACCTAGTCTCAAATATCCTCAGAAACAGATTCCTCTTGGCATACAGGTTTTGAAAGCAAAAGGGTCAAATATTTTCCTTGGTTTAACAATATTTAAAGGGGCACTGATCCAGAGCAATTTCCGTGGACTGGTTGTTGCTTTTGTTATTGTTTTTCTCCCGTGAGTACCCGGATGATATCCCAGAATTCATGACCCTAAGTGCGACCTGGTGTATGTTGTCTGTCTCATCACACTTCACGGCAAAAAAATGATTCTGTTGAATGCTATAACAAATGAATAAAAACAAAATCCAGATATTAAACTTAAAACAGACTAAAGTTATAGCAACAATATCAAGCTATTACCTTGTTCGGGGCATGTATCCATCAATATCCACATAAAGGAATGAGATGCCATTCATCTGCAGCTGACAAAGAATCCTGTTCTATGTCATGTGTCTTGTAACAGTCTAATATGCGAAAAAGTGATCTATTGTTTCAGAGTTTTCACATTGGTGTATAGTCCCATTGGTCATTTAAGCATTTGCTGTGTACTTAGTTAAAAACTGTATATACCTATGTACCTTAGTAAAATTTCAGATTTTTTTAGCAATGGCAAAGTGGGGCTGTTTAGTTTACGGATTCAAATACATCAAATATGTGTTTTTGATATAACATAGGTAATAGACATCATTTTTTCACATGATTAAATATCAAGGTTAAAAACACAGAAATAGGATCCAATTGGATCAGTCACTACACCATCTTAGCATTTGAAAATATGAAAAAGCCTACACTGCTGGGATACTTTATTAAAACCAGACAAGAACTACCGGGGATATTTTTAAATAACGGCATCTGATGGGCATGCACCCTTCCTAATTTCCGACTGATTAGGTTGAAGAAATTCTGCCAAGGTGGACAGTAGCCCAGCCCCTGTGTCCGTCACGGCCGTAGGAGCAGGGGCTGACCAGTTTGCAGCTAGGTTTCATAATTAGACTGTTGACTGGAAACATTAATCGCACTGGATCAGTGCCCCTTTTATTGCTGGAATATTGCTAAAAGCGGTGTAAAACTAAACTCAGTCAGTCAGTCAGTGCCCCTTTAACAGAGCTGCAGTTAAACAGCCTTTGTGTCGAATTTGAACAATATATCCATACCATGTTAACCATAGTTTTTATCATTGATTGCCAATCACCAACAACTCTGACCTGTTTCAGGTGGGAATGCAGAGCTTGTTCGAACATGGGGGAGCAATGGACGTTCAGCAATGCAAACAACTCATTTTGCATTTGCGTTTGGTGGAGTTATCTCCCCTCTTATGACCCAGCCCTTCCTGTCACCATTACGAGATGAGACCAACGCTACAACAGCTCCACCTGGTGTTGGGCTTAGTGGGATGAATATCACAGTCACCTCAGCATATAATATATCTTCAAATTCAACATTGGCCCCGACTGAGGAGAAACAAACAACAATAGTATTTTACGCTTATATAATTTCTGCTGTATTGACTACATTCTTTGCTTTTCCATTTTTAATATCATATTGTCGTGAAAAATCTCAAACAAAGAAGCGAACAGCAGGGGAGGATACTTCCGAGCCCCAAAGTATATCACGTCCTGTGTTCGTCTTCACGATCGCAATGATCTGTGTGACATACATGCTGTACTGTGCAGTTGAGGACAGTTTCGCAGCATACTTGGTGACCTTTGTTGTGAAGCATCTACGTTGGAGCAAGTCTAGAGGAACAGAATTAACATCAGCATATTGGGCATCATTTGCTGGCGGGCGATTCCTCGGCATCTTTTTCGTAAAATTTATCACTCCCGTCAAGTTGCTATTTATATGCTGTTTTTCTCTAATAGCATCACTTGTGGCTTTTCTGTTTTGTGCACAGTACGATATCACAATAGGCATTTGGATCAGCTCGGTCACAACAGGACTCTCAATGTCTGTATTCTTCCCGACAGGGTTGACGTGGACAGAGGAAGAGCTGTTAAATATGTCGGGGAGAGTTGCATCTGCCATTTTGATAGCTTCATCTTCGGGAACGATGGCTAACCCCATAATACTGGGATATCTGATGAATGAGCACAGTCTCATGTGGTATGCATATCTCCTCACGGTCGAAAGTATTGCATGTCTCCTCATGTTCATCATCCTTCTCATCTACGCTCGCACGTTCCTGAAAAAGAGGAAACAAAGTGCTGTAATAACAATAGAACTAAAAGCCAATGGTCCGTCATCTCAGGTTGAAGAAAAATTTCTGTAAGCATATCAAAATGTGAACCTGTTTATGAAATGTCTAAATCCGAGGCTATACACAAGACTGAAGCTTTGCCACTGTTGCTCTTCCTCTTATCAGTATCTGCCTTAATATGCATTTTGTCAGCTCAGAAAGGTGGGGGTTGTTCTAAGAAACAGAGACAAATAGAACATTTTCAGTGATCAAGCAGTAAAAAGGTTTTTTAACCATTCTGCACAGTAAAATCATGAGTAACAGACACAAGAAAATTTGATTGTATGTATATGTTGAACTTACAGGAGCTTGCTTACATAAAATACTTACATTGGTTTAGAAGTTGGTGAGGGGTCACCTATTGTAGCAGAGTGCTTAATACAGGAAACAGGGTATATTGAATATATCAGACATGTACTTATAAGGGAGGTCAAGGTCATCTTTGCCAGAGTTATAGGCATTAGGGATGCATTTGTAATACATTGTATCTTAGGTATCACAAGGTCCATTTTCATTTGTAAATTTCAGCGTGAAAAAACAAATGTGCAATAATCAATATTCAGTGAGAATGTTCCATATTTGGTCATGGTGTTAATCAATACCCCACTCTGTAGAACTGTTTTCTTCACAGTCAACGCAATGAATAACGAGTTATAATAACCAAGATGTTCAATTTGAATTGTTGTAATGAATCGACACTGTCCGGGTTATTTATTACTATGTTCAGCACCTACAAGCCCAGTGTTACAAGCCTGACTATGTGTTTTGTTACATACTGTTTCCCTGAAGATGTGTTTTGTTACATACTGTTTCCCTGAAGATGTGTTTTGTTACATACTGTTTCCCTGAAGATGTGTTTTGTTACATACTGTTTCCCTGAAGATGTGTTTTGTTACATACTGTTTCCCTGAAGATGTGTTTCGTTACATACTGTTTCTCTGAAGATGTGATTTGTTACATACTATATTCCTGAACACAGTTCAGAATACATATGGAGGCACGCTATTTCCTTGATAACTTTGTTAACATTGATTCATTTACATGAATTCTGTTATTTGGAATATCAAATATCGATGTGGCTTTTGTTTTTGTTGATTTATATTTTATTTGTTGAAGAAGGAAATATTTTGTTCCAAGGGTTAGGTTTCCATGGAAACTATTTTTAAGTGTTGTGTTTGAATGTCTATGAGACAGATGATTTACCACTATATCGCCTAGTTGAGTCTCCAGGTCTAGCACTTCAGTCAACCTTGGATCCTTGACCATATCAACATTATAATCATCGAGCCAACATTGACATAAGGGAAAGGGGAGATAACTGATATTCAAAGCAACCACCAGTTTTAATCGACATGAAAACATCCTTCCCATCAAAAGGTTTTAGAAGGCTTTTGTTTAAGAGTCTGTCAGTTTTTCAATGTTGAACATCTCGATCATACATCTCGATAATACTCCATGAGACTGGCCACCATGGTGTTGATATTGCCTCACTCAACACTGAGGCAGGTTTGTAACTTGCAGTCTGCATGGTACATTCAACATAGCATCGTAGCCAATCAAATTGCAGCTGAAATCAAGGGCAGGTAATTTGAGAGTATGAGAACCATAGAGGAATGGATCCAAGGGTTAGTGAAGGTTTACTGCAGTGCCAGCCCGGAAGGAAATACGTTTTTGCCAAATGTGTTTGGTAATCTCGGTGAAATTTAATCCATAAAATTGTCAGCTTTAACATATTTTACATGCAATATTTTTATGTCTGGTTCTATTGAAATCAAACTTGGCCTTTCGTTGATTTTATCATCTTCCTTCCAAAAGATCACAAATGTTAACAGAAATACCAACTTTTAGAAAAGTTTTGATTTCTTTGTTTATCACATAAAGATCAAACTAGAGGGGAATGGAGTTTAACCTGTAACTCATATATGAACAATCTTTTTCCTTGACTTCAAGTTTTAGCTGATTGGAAGTAAAGTGCTTTTCAGTTTTCACATTTTTCACATTTGATTTCTTTTGGAATGGATGTATTTGTCAATCGAGTCATAGAAAATCTCTTACCGAACGATACTGTTGCTTTAAAACATTTGGTTCACAATTTAATTGCTGCATGGTTTTATTGTATGCATTTCTGGTTGTTGTTGCCATGTTTATACACTGGCAACATTGTACCCCACACTTGGTGGGGTGTTATGTATAAATGATACTAAGTAATTTTGTTTTTAGTATGTACGCAGTACTGTTGATCATATCTGATAGCAAATACTACTATCTAGTCAAGATTTGTCACACTCTTCTGACGAGATTATTTACCAGTTACCAACTGATATTTATTGTGTTTTTTCAGAGCAAACCAAAATAGACTCTTGACCTATGAACCAATCTGTAAATTGTGTAAGATCAAAAGAATTCCACTTTGTACTGAACAAAACCCCAATCACCACCAAACACCAACGAGTGAGCTACAGTGCCCATTTCTCTTACTTGCAGGTCCTGAATATATGTCTACAGATTTGCTGAGTTGGCAAAACTCCGAGCAAACAACAGAGCAACAGACCCTCCCTTTACTTTACGTATTCGGATAAACATTGATTCATTTCAACTCATTTCAGCAGGGTACATGGTTAATAGTTATTGTTCTTTAACTTAATTTGAGTAGTTTACATTTTCAACAAGTACATATATGCATATACATATCCAAGTATTCTGATAATTGTCTTAAGAATACTCCATGGCAAGAAAGGGCTATATTCAAAATGACATTCCCAAACACTACACTGAGTAGATTCAAGCACGCACATAACCCAGCATCCTCGATAATCTCCAGGGTATACGTTACGATCACGCATCCACCCTGGATGCATCCACGGCTTGGCCCGATGATTTTATTACCTCCCTTGGTTGGCTTTCTATCCAATCAGGTGTCTACGCTGGGAAGTTGAGCGTACCAATCACAACTCACTTTTGCTTCTTAAATTATTTAACCGTTTAAACTTGTCAATTTGTCTGCATGATTTCCCCAAAAATTTCCCCGAACAAACCTTCGCAGCTGCGACCGCTATCTTTGTTGATAGGCAAGCTCGGATGTAACGGCGGCTTAGCTGATTGGCTACTGTGAGAATGCAGCGCGCCAGCAAAGGGAGGTAATATAATAATCGGGCAAAAGTGAGTTGTGATTGGTACGCTCAACTTCCCAGCGTAGACACCTGATTGGTTAAAAAGCCAACCAAGGGAGGTAATAGAATCATCGGGCCAAGCCGTGGATGCATCAAGGGTATAGTGGAGAGTGATCGTAACGTATACCCTGGAGATTATCGAGGATGATAACCCAGAACTTCCTTCAGAACATGCACTGGAGAGGAACACGTGACTTCCAGTTGTTCTGGTTAAAGTTGTAATCACACTGAAGTCTGCTCGCTCAAGGTTTATGATGAACAACTCCAAAAGATAAATTTCAGACATGGCACCCTAAAAGGAATATAGATGATGCACAACCAGAACATAGGTGCCAAAGACAGACAGAAAAACAAGACTATTGCACTGTCTCCCTTCACACTGTCATGTGACTTAGTCCTTTCCTATGTTTGTGAGTTTTGAAACAATTGTTACATCTACGTTCATCCAACATTTTCCATAAGAATGAATGAAGAGGTGCATTGTGGGTTCTTAATGGACTGATGAATCACACAGCCAAGTGCTATGTGAAACCTTTTTCAATACATAAAACATGAAATGTCTGCCTCCTTACATGGAGTCCTATCAGAGGTTGTAATTTTCTGTCCTAAGAATGAATGGTTGACCATATCCCACAGTGATTCACTGAGGATACAAATGTTGAGAATGTACATCTTGCTTTGTGTCTGCAGTGTGTCTTTTTGCATTGGAATATTTTTAGATCAATAAAATATTGAATGTTTGTCTCCATTTACTCTAATCATTAATAACTTTATGACCTGGTACAAGATGACATTGCAGGGATTTACGGGACGCAAATTCCTGCGTCCTATACACATAAAAATTGACAATGGACGCAACAAAATTTATAAGCGCATCCATGGGAACGCAGAAAAGTCCAAATACTTTTGTAAAAATTCCAATCAAGTAACAATAAGTTATCACTGAGTTTGCTGCTAGCTGGGTTATGGTATCATTTGCAATGATATTTCAGCAACGTCACATGCCAGCGACAGGTTATAACTGTATAATGGTTATTGTACTTACATCATTAAAAGGTTATAACAGTATAATGGTTATTGTACTTACATCATTAAAAGGTTATAACATTATAATGGTATATTATAGTCACATCCGTGTCAGGTATAACAGTCAGGTATAACAGTATAATGGTATATTATAGTCACATCCGTGTCAAGTATAATGGTATGTTATAGTCACATCCGTGTCAAGTATAACAGTATAATGGTATATTATAGTCACATCCGTGTCAAGTATAACAGTATAATGGTATATTATAGTCACACATCAAGTATAATGGTATATTATAGTATAACAGTATAATGGTATATTATAGTCACATCTGTGTCAAGTATAATGGTATATTATAGTCACATCCGTGTCAAGTATAATGGTATATTATAGTCACATCCGTGTCAAGTATAACAGTATAATGGTATATTATAGTCACATCCGTGTCAAGTATAATGGTATATTATAGTCACATCCGTGTCAAGTATAATGGTATATTATAGTCACATCCATGTCAGGTATAACAGTATAATCCATATTATAGTCACATCCAGTATAATGGTATATTATAGTCACATCCATGTATAACAGTATAATGGTATCACAACAGTATAATGGTATATTATAGTCACATCCATGGTATATATGGTGTCACACCCATGTCAAGTATAACAGTATAATGGTATATTATAGTCACATCCATGTCAGGTATAACAGTATAATGGTATATTATAGTCACATCCGTGTCAGGTATAACAGTATAATGGTATATTTAGTCACATCCGTGTCAGGTATAACAGTATAATGGTATATTTAGTCACATCCAGTATAACAGTATATTATATTATAAGTCACATCCATGTCAAGTATAAACAGTATAATGGTATATTATAGTCACATCCATGTCAAGGTATAACAGTATAATGGTATATTATAGTCACAGTCCATGTCACAAGTATAACAGTATAATGGTATATTATAGTCACATCCATGTCAGGTATAACAGTATAATGGTATATTATAGTCACATCCATGTCAGGTATAACAGTATAATGGTATATTATAGTCACATCCATGTCAGGTATAACAGTATAATGGTATATTATAGTCACATCCATGTCAGGTATAACAGTATAATGGTATATTATAGTCACATCCATGTCAAGTATAACAGTATAATGGTATATTATAGTCACACCCATGTCAAGTATAACAGTATAATGGTATATTATAGTATCAGGTATAACAAGTATAATGGTATATTATAGTCATCAAGTATAACAGTATAATGGTATATTATAGTCACACCCATGTCAAGTATAACAGTATAATGGTATATTATAGTAATGGTATAATGGTATATTATAGTCACACCCATGTCAAGTATAACAGTATAATGGTATATTATAGTCACACCCATGTCAAGTATAACAGTATAATGGTATATTATAGTCACACCCATGTCAAGTATAACAGTATAATGGTATATTATAGTCACACCCATGTCCATATCATGGTATTAACACCCATGTATAATGGTATATTATAGTCACACCCATGTCAAGTAGTAGTATAATGGTATATTATAGTCACATAACAGTATAATGGTATATTATAGTATATATATAATGGTATAATGGTATTATAGTCACATCCATGTCAAGTATAACAGTATAATGGTATATTATAGTCACATCCATGTCAAGTATAACAGTATAATGGTATATTATAGTCACACCCATGTCAAGTATAACAGTATAATGGTATATTATAGTCACATCCATGTCAAGTATAACAGTATAATGGTATATTATAGTCACACCCATGTCAAGTATAACAGTATAATGGTATATTATAGTTACATCACTGCCAGGTATAACAGTATAATGGTATATTATAGTCACACCCATGTCAAGTATAACAGTATAAAGGGGTATTATACTTACATCACTGCCAGGTTATAACAGTAAAATGGTCTGTTGTAGATAATCCACTATAACAGTTTGAGCGGCGACAGCTTGATGGCAGCATCCCTCACAGAACTGGATATGTCCTCACCAATTGGGGACCTGTAGAGCAGAATGTATACTGACAAGCAGGTCAACCACTGGTTAATAGGGGACATGAACAATTCAGTCGTTTTTCAAGTGAAAAATTGGAACAATCTGTTTCAACAGTATAACATATTTTTTAGATTATCGCTTTCGCTGGATAAGAAGTGAACTATTTTGTATTTCTTTCAAATGATGAACAGAATGCCTGAAAGTTCACAATGTTAAAGGTATTGTTAGTCACACCCGTGAGTGTGGTAATGGCACATCAAGGACCAAATCAACAGATCCTGAAATGGTTAAGGGAAGTAACTCTAAAGCACAGTGCCTCCACATCCATGTACTAACATATACTGAGGGAAAAATAGGGATCACATGAAAGCACAAGTGTTCCTTTAATTTTTCCAAGGTTTCTTCACAAGCTTTGTATCGGATAGCTTATGAAGAAACCTGGACAAAATAAAGGAACACTTGTGCTCTCATGTGATCCCTTATTTTGTCCCTCGGTATATTTGTACTGCTACAGAAGTCACCTTACTTGGGCTGGAAGTCGACAGCTTCAGGATCGGCTGCTGAGAAATTCTTTCCACAAAGTAGTTTCTCCATGCCATTCCTAACAATACACAGAAACCTGGCTTTACAGCATCAGTGTACAGAAATAGTAGGAATATGCTGATCAGGTGTTACACAAACTGGCTTTACAGCATCAGTGTACAGAAATAGTAGGCATATGCTGATCAGGTGTTACACATTCTGATCAAGTGCTACACATTTTGATCAAGTGCTACACATTCTGATCAAGTGCTACACATTCTGATCAAGTGCTACATATTCTTGATCAAATGCTACATATTCTGATCAAGTGCTACACATTCTGATCAAGTGCTACATATTCTGATCAAGTGCTACATATTCTAATCAAATGCTACATATTCTGAACAAGTGCTACATATTCTAATCAAATGCTACATATTCTGAACAAGTGCTACATATTCTGATCAAATGCTACATATTCTGATCAAGTGCTACATATTCTGATCAAATGCTACACATTCTGAACAAATGCTACATATTCTGATCAAGTGCTACATATTCTAATCAACTGATACATATTCTGATACACATTCTGATCAAGTGCTACACATATTCTGAACAAGTGCTACACATTCTAATCAACTGATACATATTCTGATCAAGTGCTACACATATTCTGAACAAGCTACATTCTGATACATATTCTGAACAAGTGCTACACATATTCTGATCAAGTGCTACATACTAATTCTGATCAAGTGCTAAACACATTCTGAACAAGTGCTACATATTCTAATCAACTGATACATATTCTGATCAAGTGCTACACATATTCTGAACAAGTGCTACATATTCTAATCAACTGATACATATTCTGATCAAGTGCTACACATATTCTGATCAAGTGCTACACATTCTGATCAAGTGCTACACATTCTGATCAAGTGCTACACATTCTGATCAAGTGCTACATATTCTGATCAAGTGTTTTCATACTTTGGTTTATCACCCAGCCTCTATCTTTCAAAACTTTGGACTAAACTCTAAGAAATCATATATCCTAAGGAACCACAATAAGACATGATTTGATCCCATTTCTCTAATAAGATAGTTTTCATCCATTTCTTTACTATTTTGACCAATGACACTATTGTTCTAAAAGAAATCTAAAGCAGTTATAGGCGGTCATATACTTTCTGTGAAGGTGTCACAATACCTCCACAATACCTCCACATAACTCCATCACACCATTACACCATTGTTTGTACACATAAAAGGCAGAAGAGCTGTATTGAGTTCTAGGTAATCATTCCACCACTGTTGAGGTAGATGAGCTGTGAGGAGCTCTAGTGCCACCTACCAGGCAATCATTACACCATTGTCAGTACACAGACGAGGCGGTGGACAGATGAGCTGTGTGGAGTACATGTCACACACCTTCTGGAGCCCCGATCTGATGAACTGATTGCTTCCCACCCCTCCAGACACAACCTACAACATAGCAATTGTACATGACAACGACTCAACTCCAGGGTTGAGGGAATAGCTCCGAGTTCAGGTCCAGGTTTGTGGTTGATAGAGTGAGCATCACACCATCAGGTTATTGTTGCAGGGCATGGAGTCATCCCACAGATGACATCCTTACCTTGTCAGCTTGCTGATGGGGTTAACCTCCTTGGCCATGTGGACAAGGCATCCGACTTTGGATCAGAAGGTCCGTGGTTCGAATCCAAGCATGGGACTCAGAAATCTTATGTTTGCTACACTGGCGCTCAACGTGGGCTAAACGCATTCATATTATATTTGAGCAAAATACGTCTCAGTACCCTGCTCTGCAGCTCGGGAGGAGCCTGTTGACAGGGGAGTATGTAGCAGGGCGTGAAGTAATCCCATAGATGACATCCATAGACAAGAGTTAACCTCTTTGGTCATGTGGACAAGGCGTCTGACTTCAGACCTGAAGGTCTGTGGTTCAAATACCAGCACAGCACTCAGAAATTTAAGCATGAGACAAACATGAATGCTACTTTGAGTATGTGATTGTGCCAAATACTGAAGTGATTTATTTCATTTGAGAATATACTAGTATGTTTTTATGACACAAAAGTAAACATTAAAGCTGTATTGTTGTGTGCTGGCCATGAAACAGTGGCTGGGAGCACGCATGTCGCTGTAGAAGTTCAATCATCTTGAATGTGACATTAAGTCATGTTTCACCTGCCATCTAGCCATCTATATATATATATTGCCACAGTTCTCCAGGAGGCACCACAATATCAATTTGTACCATGCCCTGGTGGCGGTCCCTTTGATCTTACCCGTGGTCTATCTAATAGTTACACCACGGCTTGAAGTGACCTTTGACCACGATTTGAAGTAACCTTTGACCACGACTTGAAGTAACCTTTGACCGCGGCTATCTGATTGGCTCACTACAGGTTAGCAAGCCATGCCTACTGTTCCCACACATAAAACAGTCTCCCTTTGACCGCTGCTATCTGATTGGCCCACTACAGGTTAGCAGACCACGCCTACTGTTCCCACACATAAAACAGTCTCAATGTAAACCCCTTGTAGTAGTTACTTCAATCTAAAACGAGAGCTCGTGTGTACATCATAATTTATTATGACCTGAGTAAAGTGTTTAGTTGTAAAGTTCAGGAAACGTTGCACTTTCGTCTGTGTTAGATACTGACAACTGAGTCAACATAGGCGGATCCGGAGGGACGACGCGATACCTGCGCACACACACACACACACACTTTTGTGCTGTGCTGAAAGTTTGTTAAATGACCATTGAAACTCAGGTCAAAATGAAGTGTGCACCCCTCCTTTTCTCAATAATGTGCACCCCGTCTCAAAAAGCTGTATAGGCCCCTCGTCAACCCATCTAACACGGCCGATTGAGTTTTCATAACCTCAGCAGCTTGCGAAAAAAAATGTGTCTTCGATTGTATCATCCCATTCCAGTCTATTATTGTCAACTTCGTCAATTTTTTTGTGACCATGTAAGGTCTATAGCACTCATGACTTGACATCGCTGGTTGTGACACAGAATGATTTCAAATTCAAACATCCCGCACAGATTTTGAAAACACACAATGTGGGCATGGTACAAAGCAGTTACGCTATCCAATCACTCGAGGTTTGTCCACATAGACGATGGGCGAGCCGGTGTTGATTGACAGCTGAATATTGTGTCTCGGGCTACGCCCTTGACATGTTCAGCTGTCAATGAACACTGGCTCGCCCATCGTCTATCTGGACAAACCTCTCGTTTTTAGACAGCGTAACTACTACATGCATGCCGTTAATATATTAATCAGGCTTTTCTTTCAAGGACCTGTTGAGTCCATGAGAGAAAGTGAAGGAAAACCATCAAAGCTCAAAAGAATCACAAACATTATCACAAACAATTTCACAGCATCCACAGTTAACCGCTACAAACTATTGTAAGATACATCAGATCTAGAACTTCACAATACACCTTGGGGTACAGTTTTATATATCCTTACCAGGGTCTTGTGTTTCGGCAGCAGGCCACTCAACTCACAGAACAACAGTGACCTCTGAACCCGCCGTGCCAAGTGCTTCAAGACTCCATACTGGAAAGAGGCACAGATGTCTGCTGCGTTGGGTAAAATATCATCTCTGGACACACCTAAACAAACACGTCACTAGTTCGTCAGTGTATAGAATACAGGCGTCAGATGTCTGCTGCGTTGGGTAAAATATCATCTCGGGACACACCTAAACAAACACGTCACTAGTTCGTCAGTGTATAGAATACAGGCGTCCCAAAGGTCTCAAACACAACAGTCATGGTCTCCAAACTGATGTGTTGTTGGAGATAAAAATGTCAGGGATCTATTTGACCTGACCAAAGGCTGATATCTCAAGAAAATGTTCCGAAATTGGAGTTGACAGTGTGATACTTGCTGAAGGTGGCACAACATCACTGATAAGATAAACACTCAAAAGGAAGAAATAAATAATTTCACACTATTAAATGCAATGTTAAAATAGAACTGATAAAACAGCTATGAAATTATTTTCAGACCTGCAAAGTCGATTTCAACCACAGCTACAAGTGTTTCTTTCCTCATGGATATTGTTGCAAATTCCAGCTACATGGTTCCATTGGATACACTTTCTCTTGTGTTCAATATACAAGAAGCTCTCACAAATTATTTTTTGCCTAATTATTTTCTCGTACTCAATGACCAATCAATGCACCTCACTGAATGCTGGCTCAGCATAGAGCTATACTCATCAAACCCGCAATACGACTGAATCGGACGTCTGTTGTATATTAAGCATCAGTATGACAAGATGCCAGGGGAGGTAAATCTTACTACTTCAAGATATTCTGGTTGTGTATATAAAGGCATGCAAAAGCCTAATCTTTGCTCGTTTGTTGTTGAATGCCACACTCAGCAATATTACAGCTATATGGCGACAGTTTGTAAATAATCGAGTCTGGACCAGACAATCCAGTGATCAACATCATGAGCATCAGTCTACACAATTGGGATACGATGACATGTGTCAACCAAGTCAGCGAACCTGACCACCCAATCCTGTCAGTCGGCTTTTACGACAAGCATGGGTTGCTGAAGACCAATTCTAACCTGTATCTTCCTATTCTAAAAGCCTATTCTAGTTCGAAGATACAGTTCCTTGTTTCAGTCATAACAGAATGGTTTAAACTGATACCAATGTTTAGCAAGACTGAGTCCAGGGTGTTTCCCTGGGAGAACCAGAATGGCTCACCTTGCCTCTTCTCTTCATGTGCTATGATCCTCTTTGCCTGAGATTTCAGACCAGAAAAAGAGAAGTCGCAGGTCCGAACCTGTGTCAACATCAGAGGCAGGTCAAAGGATTTGGGGTCACCTTGACTAGCCATGGTTTCTATGGCAACACCACCGCTTACACTGGTGAATTGTGGAAGGTTTTTCAGGTTTAGTTGACGAGCAATCTGTAATTAAAAAGGTGATAGTTTCACTCAAACTGCTCTGGCAGATTACTGCATCTGCATCCCTGACCGAAAATACATGACAGATTGAGTGTATGTTTCTGTAAAGTAACAAGTACTCCAACGTTATCGGTAATCAAAATCTGGGAATGTTTTACCTCCAAATATTATGTTCGGCAGGTCTTTGGTCTAACAAAATCTTGAAATTCAAAACTAGATCTGATCTCTGAGGTCAGTTAACATTTTGAACCGTTACATTAGCAGAATTCTGGAGAAATCACAAAGTGATTCAGTTTATATTTACCACTTTTATGAAATATTCAAACACAGGTAGTGTTCCAGCACAAATATCATTAATAACACAGAAATGAGATTTAGAAGGATGGTGGTGTAGCCTAGTGGTTAATGCGTTCGCTTGTCACGCCAAAGGTCCAGATTCAAGTCCATGTGCAGCCCATTTCTGAATTCCACCACCACCATATTGCTGGATTACAGTATTAGTCTGCTAACAGAGACATAAATACAAACTCACTATCATCCACTCAGATTTAGAAATCATGACATGAATCCTATTTGATCCATCTCGGTTCTATGCTAAAACATAAGACAGCTGTAACACTAAGATCATTCATTGGAAGAGAGCTCTGTGTTGTCACTCAGCTGGAGCAATGTCCACCATTACATTGGCGGATGTCTTGATGTTTCTTTGTTTCCTGCTATATTTCAGCATATTTCACAACATCCTGTAAATAACTGCATCAGACAAACGGGAACCTCCCCTGCTGTTGGGATTAGAACAATCAAACACGTCTTCCATCGTTGTATGTTTTGTTGTTTAACACTGCACGCAGCACTCCATAAATACTTCAGTCAGGACCTGACAATCCAATGATTGACATTTGCCCACAGATCTCCAGGACAGGGATACAATGGATGCATTAACCAGAGAGGTTGACCATCCCATCGTGAGCGACGCCCACCTTGTCAAAGGCCTCCCCTGGAGCATCGTCCAGACTCTCTCCCAGCAACACGAAGTCTGCAACATCCCTCGCCACTGTGAGGAGGCAGTGTCCGCCACTGATCAGCAACACTAGGAAGGGGAAGTCCACTCTGTAATGGAACACTGAGGTCAACCGAGGTCAACTGAGGTCAGAGTAAAACCCCTATGTTTGTAAACTTTTCGCCAACATATAACTTCTTTATTGAAGAACAGATAATCAGGCATGGTGCAATTATCTGCCGTTTTGGAAACAAATGCAAAAACTTCAATTTCCAATCAAATATCATAAAATCACCAGCAATTTTTATTAACTTACAAACATTTGTGAATGGACATTTCTGTTTCTTCAAGATATGACCGGCAAAGTGAATGACAGTATACCTGCTACATGCATAGATTTCATTCCAAGAGATTTTTAATTTTTTTTATTTTAACGTTTTTATTTCCCAGTACATGCTTACATGACATTATAATTATGAATAGATGTTCACATATACAAACATAAATAGATAGTATTTACAGGTTTGGCATAGGGCCAAAAGATCATTCCAAGAGATTGTCGAGTTACCTGTCGGTCATTCTGGCTGTGAGAGCATGTGCCTGCATATGATGGATCGGTATCAACGGTTTCCTGGAACAAAATGATGGTTGCCTCTAACAGTGTTCTCTGATTTCCAAAATATCACAAATATGGAATTATAGTTTGGCCTGTCATTCCTCAAAACATATTTGAATATTTTAACAATTACTTGTCATGTGACTCATCTCTCATCTAATTGAAAAGCCATGTATTGTGTGAACTTCACAAATGTTAAGATGCTTCCAGACATTTTGGTTCTGTGACAGAATAGTCTCCTATTCCAGACCACCCTTCACCCCAAAGACATCTAAATATTGCAACTTGTACCTCTGCCCACAGCTGAATGTCATCAGAAAGATTGTAATACAATCACAGCATTGTAAACTACAGTTCTATATACTATCAATATTCTGACATTCATTTCAAGAAATCAGTATAGCATACACATTTACATAACATCTACATATTTATCATCTAAGACAGGCTATCTTAGGAGATATCACTCAGGGGAGTACTGCAGACCACTGTGATGTCATCCATTGCAATGACATCACAATCAAATGACATCACATGCCTCCCTGCCACTGAAGCCGATTAGGTGTACTGATTATATAATAATAATACTGACAAATTTTATACAGCGCTAAATCCAACCACTAAGTGGGTGCTCAAAGCGCTAAAATGCATTATATGCATCCAACATTTTCATGAAAACCACAGATCAGTTTAAAACATATATACAGTATCACCTGATCATAAATCAAATCTAACATTTTCAAACATGAATCATATAATAAATGTAGATCTACCCTGACAGCCTGACTAGAGATTTGGCATGGTCCAACCCGACCTTCAGACATAGTGCCAGCCCCGGTTCCACCGTCACAGCAACAGCGTCCACATCCTAGACAGGTGTCAAAGGAGAGAAATCATTACAGTTGGTTGCTAAATACCCAATGATTCCCATCTGCTACATGGTCAAGATACTTCACACAGTATTCAAAGTAATGTTCAGGAAGTGTTCCACAGAATGTAATATCTGATCAGTGAATATATACCTAGAAAATGACACACAAAAATGAACTGAACATAATGAACTAGGGACTGTATGGTTTGAAAACATTTTAACTGGTTTTATCTTGCTGAAACTATTTCATTAATACACATGTATTGTCAATGACATCAAAATATTCACAACATCTACAGTCCAGTACTGACTAATGGGACAGGGACAAGATTACAGGTAGATTACATCATTGATAGACTTGCAGTTTGTGGTCAGCATCTTTTTATAACTACAGTGAAACCATTAGATACTGTAAACCTTACTGAAATTACAGTGAAAATCAATAATATTAATTACACATTACGCATATGTTTTTTTTTCATATTTTAAAACCTATTAGAAATTTAATTTATCTGAATAAATGTGACTTGTTTGAATAGAACAGCTCTGAAGAAACTGTTCCAAACAAATATGATTGCAAGAAATATTTCTCTAATATGTATCGTGATGAAGCGATTGAAAATGACAAAATGAACATTTTTGTTTCATATGTTTGACAAGTTCATCAACTGAATTTTAGGATCAAAATGAAACACCACTCACATGCACTGTCATACTGGCTCGGCCCAAAGCTTCCTGTACAACTCCACTAATGCTCTCTACATGAAGGTTCCCCGAGCCACAGGAGGAAGAATACCACCAGCTCTACAAGTGTTTAAAAGTGGTTAAACATATACATGTATGACAGTCTACTATGGACTATTCTTTTAAGCACCAGTCACTATGTTCCAGTAATGCAATAAATACCTTATAGCTACATATACAATTAATAAACTCTGCAGGGGTGGAAATAACTTTACAATTGATAGTGTACTCCGGTACAGTGGCACATGTAAAGTCACTTGCCCTGACAATTTTTCCACTATACTGACCGTTTTCTTGCTGAATTTTTAAATAAACAACATAATTAACATTGGAAAGTCAACTGGACACCAGTACAGTGTGATATACAAATTTGCTTGCCCGACAGTAAAAAACACCGGACTCGGACGTCAGGCAATGGGTTATTTCCACCCCTGCTCTGTACAAGTGTTTAAGAGACACTATATGATAAATGAAAAAACTAAAAACTAAATACAATTCACACCCAGAAAAAAAATACAAAATGGACTTATCACACTAGTATTATCACACTGACTTATAGCCTGTAGTTGCCCTTTAACATTGGTATGAATACACAATTATGAAGTTCTCTGATAATAATAAACACTTAAACAGAAACATAAATTGACATTCTATCTACTTTAATATCAATAACAATTTTAAAAAATTAATGCTGTAATTATGTACAATTCATTTTTTTTCAAATTATTCCGTACTCCACATGTATTTTGATTTGGGAATTTAAGGCCTCCCCAAGAACACGACCTCTGTTATCAACGACAGCTGCACCGGTGTCATCGCAGCTTGTTTCGATGCCAAGGACAGTTTTCTTTGAAGTAAAATATGTCGAAAAAGCTGAGAGATTGTGTGTATTTGATTCATTATTCCCTGTCAATCTTAGACAACTTGAGATGCGTCGTTGACAACATCGGCTGACATGCCTCATGGGCGCAGACATCTTTGTTTTCCCACAATGCATCCCGTCGAGAACCGACAGGAGAAAATAGACAAAATAATCACGTTTACACTCTCGTTTTCTGGTCAATATATTTAGTAATAATTTCCGAGACGAATACAATTTGTATGTAGTATCATTTGTAGGTTTCATAAACCATTATATTTTGTTGTTGTTACACTTAAAAGAAACGTATTTGGAAGCAATGACCCGGAAGTCCTTTAAACCTCGGTGAGGGAGAGCTTGAGCGTGGCAATTGTCAGTTTCTGATGAAACACTGTTTTCACATTCTTGGCCAGTGGGTGAGGCATAGTCACTTAGCTCCCTTGACGGGATTACACCGGATTAGCGCATGCATATCGTCCACGAGTCAGCAGTATATAAAGGCTAGAGATCCTGAGTGGGGATCAAAACAGCAGAAGGAGAAGAGAAGCTCGATATTGCGAAACCTTTCTAAAATGGATCCACAGATAGAAGCAGAGTTAGCCCCTTTCCGAGCATCCGTCAAAGAACAGGTAATGAGTGGCATATTGCACGGTATACTTTACTCCAGCTGGTTAATTGTTTGCAAGGAAACATACTACATCTATATTTGATGATAGTTATAGAATACTTTAATGTACAAAATTAACAGGATAACCAATCCAATGATGCCCACGAAGAGCTACATTTTTTTGCGTTAAAATGAATTATACTCATGACGTGGTGAGAAATTGTCAAACTTTTCAGTCAATTAACATCTCTATCAAATCTTTAATCAAATGAGGTTTCTTGGCTTCTTGATAATGGGTGATTTATGTGTAGCTGATTTATTTAATAATTACTTGACTTGATTACTACTCACATTTTGTTTATTTTTATAAATAATTCCCATGAAACTGGTGGAGCTCAGTCCAGGTGTCAATCATAAGGTAGTTCTGTAGGATATGTTCATACAAGAGAAATATGATCTACCACTGGGTATCAAATACTGTCATCAACTAGGTAGGGTATTTGCATGTATAGGCCGACGATTTTAGTTATCACATGTCAGTATTTAACATGTTTTATGTGTTTGGGAATTCAATGAAATCATTAAGCATTCAATAATAGAAATAGAAATTGGGAAATAGAAATAGATTTGCAACAGTTATGCATGTAATTTCTGCATATTTTTGGTTTACTGAGAACAAAATAAAGAATGAGAAGTTCTCTAGAAAGAGAAGCTTCCTGAAAGTAGAAGATGAGGAAGTGTAGGTAAATTGTAACATATGATTTTACATGCTGATTAAGGTGTTTGGAAGATTAGGAAGTTAAAGGATGATAAGAGTCACTTATGTCATATGAACAAGGAGCAAGAGAAAAGTTACTGACCATGACTTGTTTCAAATGTTTGTTTAAGAAATGAATAGTGATTGAGTGTTCACCATGTTTACAATGTAGATTATGGGGTTGTTCAACTTGTTGTTTTTAGTTCAGTTTGTATTTTCCTTCGAAAACATTTTGTGTTAAATTATATATTTGATTTAGTTTGATTGATGACACTATGAATCTGCCTGGGGGACGGGACCGCATCTAAATCACTTCCTGTATAATAAATCCTGTGTGGTCAGCGGATGAGACATGTCATATTTCACTATTTGGTTTGTCTGCTTGCCATGCTGACCCTGAATTTCACAAATGACAAATAAAATGAATTTTTAAGAGAAGCTCCTCTTTTCACTCATTTTGTGGTGGTAGAAATTCAGAAGTTCAATGTTGGAAGACAAGTTAATCATGGAAGTTGAAAGAAAATGTTCACTATGTTTTGGGGGTTTCATTTTTCACCTGATGGTTCTTTCCAGTACTGTTAAACACTGTGGATGATCACTCTTGACTTGTTAAGAGATCATGATTTTAAAAAGTTCTAAAGATTTTCATTGTTGGAAGACAAGTTCACTTGATGTAACTAGTCAAGGATAGTCTTCACTCATCAGCTGATTGTAATCCATAATCAATCAGCCCATAAGCCAATTCCATCGCATTATTCACTTACCTGATAATTACTTCCACAGAAATAATGGGCTTTAGCATTGCTGGGAGGGCTGGGCATAATGGACTTTAGCATTGCTGGCAGGGCTGGGCATAATGGACTTTAGCATTGCTGGGAGGGCTGGGCATAATGGGCTTTAGCATTGCTGGGAGGGCTGGGCATAATGGACTTTAGCATTGCTGGCAGGGCTGGGCATAATGGACTTTAGCATTGCTGGGAGGGCTGGGCATAATGGGCTTTAGCATTGCTGGGAGGGCTGGGCATAATGGACTTTAGCATTGCTGGCAGGGCTGAGCATAATGGACTTTAGCATTGCTTAGCATTGGCTTTAGCATTGCTGGGAGGGCTGGGCACTTTAGCATTGCTGGGAGGGCTGGGCATAATGGACTTTAGCATTGCTGGGAGGGCTGGGCATAATGGACTTTAGCATTGCTGGGAGGGCTGGGCATGATGGACTTTAGCATTGCTGGGAGGGCTGGGCATAATGGACTTTAGCATTGCTGGGAGGGCTGGGCATAATGGACTTTAGCATTGCTGGGAGGGCTGGGCATAATGGGCTTTAGCATTGCTGGGAGGGCTGGGCATAATGGACTTTAGCATTGCTGGGAGGGCTGGGTATAATGGACTTTAGCATTACTGGGAGGGCTGGGCATGATGGACCTTAGCACTGCTTGGGGGGGGCATAATGGGCTTTAGCATTGCTGGGAGGGCTGGGCATAATGGACTTTAGCATTGCTGGGGGGGCTGGGTATAATGGACTTTACCATTGCTGGGAGGGCTGGGTATAATGGAAAATACATGTTTCTGGGATTGTGCGACAGACTAGTTTAGAAGTTTATCATCTAATGGAGGGTGTAATCGGTGCAATAATGCAATCTGATAAACTTGGTATCCAAATCTGATAACTATGCAAATTACATCAATCCACTAACTACTTTCACAAAACTCCATACACGCCATGCGAATCCTAAAACATTAACATTTCATTGATGACGTCGTCGCAAGTTTACATTGTTTGTAAACAAACATGGCTGCCCCCATTCTCAAAATTGGTGATTCAGTAAGAAATGATGACAGAGGTTCTTGGGTCGATTCCGTCAGGTATCACAAACTGATATTGATGAGGTGATTACCCGCAATGAAAATAAAAACACTGCCAGGAAAACCCTGCCCGATTTTGTTGTTCTTTTTAGACAGAAAGATCTTTTTTTAAGCATGAGTTATGTTTGCACTGTATTAACAACTAGTCACAACCATATGCTGCAGCCATGAACGACCTTCAACTTGGTGTACCACTAAATATTCTTACGCGAATGCTCGATTGTCTTCATATAAATTCAAGTACGAATTGCTACTTTTTTAAGAGTAATTTTAAGAATGACATTATATGATAAAGAGATTATTAACCTCGTGTGTTTCTGTATCATTAATATCATATATTAGGAATAAAAGGCTCACATAATACAAGTTTTATTCCTAATATATGATATTAATGATATGGAAACACACTCGTTAATAATCTCTATTTACATGATTTATTAACAATAGATTGAAATAACATAATTGTTGTGATATTTTAAGTTCAACTGAATCATCAAAGGGTATGGGCACACCTAAACTATCTGTCTGGTGCCCTATGGCAGTTGGCGCCATGAATAAAATTGCATTTCTATCCCTGAAGTATATGTAAGTAGCTTTGCAACATTGATATTAACAGGAATGCAAGAAAGACAAACTAACATTAGCAATCACTTTAGCAAAGCCAGTGAGGTAGAGGTTGTTTGTTGTTCCAGGGTGATCTAGTTCGGAAGCTGAAGTCAGAGAAAGCTCCGGACATTGATTTACAGAGAGCTGTAGCAGAGCTTAAACATCGCAAGAGGGCGCTGGAAGAGAAGGTGAGGAGGATCTCTACTGACTGATGTGTTACACATGGTCCTGCACGGATATCTGTACTATCACAGCTATATCATGGTTGCAGAAGGCGTACAATGCGTGAAGCCCATTTCTGGTGTCCCCCGAATATTGCTTAAAGCGGTGTAAAAACTCACTCACTCACTCACTCACTCACTCACTCACTCACTCACTCACTCACTTTGTGTGGTCACTGTGGGAAATAGGCCAAATGATCTTGAAGCTACGATAATCATCATGTCCATACTTTATCAGGGACTTATGACAGAGTACTACAGTTGTTTGTAAAAGGAGGCGGCAAGTCTACCTGTGCAGAGAGCTCTTAGGACTTGAACAGCTGAAACTTTCTTAAAACTATCTTACAGAGACTTACATCAGTCTTAGCACTAACATGGTGTTAACTCACACTCTCTTGCTTGTCAGCACAACACCTGTTGTCGTGGGTTTTGAAATACTTGGGGCGGTGGGGTAGCCTAATGGTTAAAGTGTTCGTTCGAAGTGCCGAAGACCCAGGTTCGACTCCCCACATGGATACAATGTGTTAAGCCCATTTCTGGTGTCCCCTGCCATGATATTGCTGGAATATTGCTAAAGGCAGCATTAAACTATATTCATTCACTAACTCTGAAATGCTTTCACAACTAAACAGTGCCTTTCAACCTACCCCACTCTCTTACCTCCCTTTGTATGCTACAGGAGCTGGCCCTGACCCCAAAGGATGACTTTGACCGTGGGAAAATGGAGGATTTGTTGAAACAACGGTTCTTCTATGACCAGTCATTTGCCATATATGGAGGTGAGTGATGACTACTTACAAAGTATTTGTTTCACATAAGAAAGATGACCGAGCTTGAATATGTGTATATGACACTTTAGAAATCCTGAAGAAATCCTCACTGATTGTAGAGTTAATGGTAAGATTGATCACATTCTTTGCTTGAAGGAGAGGTGCAGTGCAAATTGTGATCATGATGTTTCAATTTTTAGGGAAATCAAATACCACAGTTTACTTATTTGAATTTAGAAACATTTGTTCAACCAAATACTTGAAAAGTATTAAAATTTGGAAAACTTGATCAGGTGAAGTTGGGAGTCATAGTCTGGAGTATTAGTCACCCTTGCACACATGTTTAAGTGTATGCCAAGAGATGAATTAATCTTCTATACACCACTAAACCAATCTATCATGATGGGTTTGAGTGTATGTAGCTATACTAACATCTGTTTTGTTTGAGAATATTGACTGTAGTATCTGTGTGTGTATTATAGGTGTGAATGGTCTGTATGACTTCGGCCCCATGGGGTGTGCCGTCAAGGCCAACCTGCTGCAGACATGGAGGAAGTTCTTCATTCTGGAGGAACAGATGCTGGAAGTGGACACTGCCATGTTGACCCCAGAGGTGGTCCTAAAGTGAGTTGTCTCCCTTCTTTCACAGACATGGGTTGTCTCCCCAAATTGTTTCAAGTGAGTTGTCCCCTTTTATTCCCAATGACATGTCTTCCAAATGGCTTAGGTGAATCATATGTCTTCCCACTATGTTGTCTCTCAAATGGTTTCAAGTGAGTTATCCCCCTATATTCCCACTGCTGTTTTGCCTCCCAAATGTCATCCTTGTTCACAAGGCCAAACATTGCCCTCAAGTGAGTTGTTTCCCTTTGTTCACAAGGCCAAACATTATCCTCAAATGATTTGTTTCCCTTTGTTCACAAAGGCCAAACATTATCCTCAAGTGAGTTGTTTCCCTTTGTTCACAAGGCCAAACATTGTCCTCAAGTGAGTTGTTTCCCTTTGTTCACAAGGCCAAACATTATACTCAAGTGAGTTGTTTCCCTTTGTTCACAAGGCCAAACATTGCCCTCAAGTGAGTTGTTTCCCTTTGTTCACAAGGCCAAACATTATCCTCAAGTGAGTTGTTTCCCTTTGTTCACAAGGCCAAACATTATACTCAAGTGAGTTGTTTCCCTTGTTCACAAGGCTCAAGTGTTGTTTCCCTTTCTTCACAAACATTATCCTCAAGTGAGTTGTTTCCCTTTGTTCACAAGGCCAAACATTATCCTCAAGTGAGTTGTTTCCCTTTGTTCACAAGGCCAAACATTATCCTCAAGTGAGTTGTTTCCCTTTGTTCACAAGGCCAAACATTATCCTCAAGTGAGTTGTTTCCCTTTGTTCACAAGGCCAAACATTATCCTCAAGTGAGTTGTTTCCCTTGTTCACAAGGCCAAACATTATCCTCAAGTGAGTTGTTTCCCTTTTTCACAAGGCCAAACCCCTTTTCCTCAAGTGAGTTGTTTCCCTTTGTTCACAAGGCCAAACATTATCCTCAAGTGAGTTGTTTCCCTTTGTTCACAAGGCCAAACATTGTTCTCAAGTGAGTTGTTTCCCTTTGTTCACAAGGCCAAACATTGTTCTCAAGTGAGTTGTTTCCCTTTGTTCACAAGGCCAAACATTGTTCCTCAAGTGAGTTGTTTCCCTTTGTTCACAAGGCCAAACATTGTCCTCAAGTGAGTTGTTTCACAAGGCCAAACATTATCCTCAAGTGAGTTGTGTTCTTTGTTCACAAGGCCAAACATTGTTCTCAAGTGAGTTGTTTCCCTTTGTTCACAAGGCCAAACATTATCCTCAAGTGAGTTGTTTCCCTTTGTTCACAAGGCCAAACATTATCCTCAAGTGAGTTGTTTCCCTTTGTTCACAAGGCCAAACATTATCCTCAAGTGAGTTGTTTCCCTTTGTTCACAAGGCCAAACATTGTCCTCAAGTGAGTTGTTTCCCTTTGTTCACAAGGCCAAACATTGTTCTCAAGTGAGTTGTTTCCCTTTGTTCACAAGGCCAAACATTGTCCTCAAGTGAGTTGTTTCCCTTTGTTCACAAGGCCAAACATTGTCCTCAAGTTGTTTCCTTTGAGTTCAAGTGAGTTATTTCCCTTTGTTCACAAGGCCAAACATTATCCTCAAGTGAGTTGTTTCCCTTTGTTCACAAGGCCAAACATTGCCCTCAAGTGAGTTGTTTCCCTTTGTTCACAAGGCCCTCAAGTGAGTTGTTTCCCTTTGTTCACAAGGCCAAACATTATCCTCAAGTGAGTTGTTTCCCTTTGTTCACAAGGCCAAACATTGTCCTCAAGTGAGTTGTTTCCCTTTGTTCACAAGGCCAAACATTATCCTCAAGTGACATTATTATCCTCAAGTGAGTTGTTTCCCTTTGTTCACAAGGCCAAACATTATACTCAAGTGAGTTGTTTCCCTTTGTTCACAAGGCCAAACATTATCCTCAAGTGAGTTGTTTCCCTTTGTTCACAAGGCCAAACATTGTCCTCAAATGATTAGTTCCCTACCTTAACAATAGCATGCTGACTACCAAGGTCATGATAGTGTCAGGGTTTTACTGGACACGGAATATTGCATCCTGTGCACGTAAATAATCCACAGGATTCTCTTTAACCAGTACATGCCTATGTGTTTCAGAGCGTCAGGTCATGTTGACCGTTTCCAAGACTACATGGTGAAGGATTTAAAGAACGGCGAATGTTTTAGGGCTGATCATCTCATTGAAGGTGAGAAGTTGTATCTGCTTTACCACTTCACAGAAATGTATGTCATGAATATTTTGCTGACTGTCATCATTCTTTCGTTTGTTCATTTTACATCTAAGTTTCTTATAGGTTTCCGCCGTGATGTTGCTGGAATATTGCTAAAAGCGGCGTAAAACCAAACTCAGTGAGTCAGTTCTTATAGGTTTATTGAAAATGTAAATACAAACAAGAATTTGTCTCTGAATCCACAGTCACTATCAATCATGGTGTCATTGTGATGTATCCAGTAACCATGGTAACCGTTATATCTGTATCGTGGATTTAATTGTAGCTCACCTGGAGAAGTTGTTGGTTGACAAGAAGTCGTCCGATGAGGTGAAGGAAGCCATCAGGCAGATCTTGCCAATGGTGAGTATTTGTTGTTGTGTTTTGTTGAGCACAAGAAATGTTATTCAGGTCATATAAATTATGTTTCATCATGTAGTACTAAACTGAAAGTGTCTTCTAGTGATGAAACAATAATGGCCTGTGATGTAGTTAAACAATACATCTGCAAAAGCAACATCCTGTGTTTTACAGCTTGTCAAATCATTATTACAAGTTATAGGCAGATCCTGTGGGGGACACTTTCCCACTTGCTTTTGCTCAGCCACATTGCATGTAGCCTTGGACAGGTCACTTTTTAGCTCAAGTATTGTATGCAAGGTCAGGCATCCCTGATTGTATCGGGTATCTTGAACTGTTGAACCATACATACAGATGTCCTTGTTTGTTGTAGATTGACGGTATGAGCAAGGACGACATGGGGGAATGTCTCCGCAAGTACAACATGAAGTCTCCCGTCACCGGCAATGATCTCTCCGACCCAATGGAGTTCAATCTGATGTTTGCCACGTCTATCGGCCCGACTGGCCAGCTCAAGGGGTAGGTTCACCAGATGTTGTTTTCAGACAAAGACAGAAACACAAATTGTCATCATACAGGAAGAACCAATATTGGTCATTAAAAGTTTAAATCCAAACTAGAACCAGTAAAACGTTTTAAACCAATTGAAAGGTTATTTTGTGGACTGTGGTGTTTCTGATTTTCTTGCATTATATTCAAGAGGATTTGTAATGTTCAGATACGGATCTAGAAGACTGAACACAGTCTCTGGGGCTGTGGTGTGGGTTAATGTTGAATGTTGAGTTAATTTGTGGACTACATTGATTTACGATGATATTGCATTACCTATAGACATTTGTAATGTTCAAATGTATGTATCAGTACTGTTGAAAACAGTTGATACTAGTTTATGCCCACTGCATTCTTTCTTGAGGACATTCTTCAAATTAATTCTGCGATCTGGGGGTAAAGCAATATTTACTCACTCTCCTACGTTTCCCGTGTGTTACAGTTTTTTGAGACCAGAGACAGCCCAGGGTATATTTGTCAACTTCAAGAGGTTGTTGGAATTTAATGCTGGGAAGCTGCCATTTGCCGGTGCTCAGATTGGCAACTCCTTCAGGAATGAGATCTCCCCCCGATCAGGTCTCATCCGAGTCAGGTAGATGTTTGTTTGTTTTTCATTTTACATTTCATTAAGGATCATCCTAGATAAAAACAGGTTGTCTCAGATGTTTGGGCAGATTTCAACCACTGTTTCACAACTGTTTAATTGACACCCTGTCAAGTTCCCCGTGGAAATATCTGACTCTGAAACACTGTATAACGTTGTGTATAAGGCAAGGTTTTCATACCTAGAATTTGAAAGGCCATCACCTTATGCATGGGGGAGAAGATCTCACATTTCTTGGTTTGGCTGGCTCTGTCAACTGGTGTCCGATGGCCACTGATGTTGTCAAGACAGAAAATGGCGACACAGTTTTTATTACAAATGTAAGGATGCTGTGATGCTGTTACAGACAGGGTATATACGTGGTGATGTATGGTGAATCTGTCCATGTATAATCACCAAGGGATGCTAGATGGTACATTCTCCTGTTGTAGGGAGTTTACGATGGCGGAGATCGAGCATTTCTGTGACCCTGACCACAAAGACCACCCCAAGTTTGCAGACATCGCTCTCCTCGAGTTCCCGCTGTACTCAGCCTGCAACCAAATGGACGGCAAACCCCCGGAGCTCATCAAGATTGGGGATGCAGTGAAAACAGTATGTATCAAACGTAGAGACACCCAGCACACTCCTGGAGTAATGACTGTCAAGCTCTCAGATCTTGTTGTGGGTTATAGGCTAGAATGTCTGTTGCCTATGTTATCAGCTCAATAATTATGCAATACGTCACTTTTTGTTTTGATTTTGGTGGTATTTTAATAAATCAAACCTATCAGGAAAATTCCATCTTTTTGTTGCACTGCGACATTGACTTCTGTACTAGAACCATTCAGGGATCTTTGCAGCCGTTATAGAGATTGTTTCCAGATCTTATTTACAAATTTCAGTTTGAACATGTTTGAAACCTTTCAGTTTTCTGATAATTTTCCTGATTCGTAACAGGTCTGACTCCAATATCTGTGTGACATTTAATCCATGTCGTCGGACAATCGGGGCTTATGTGCTCACCACTCTGTGTTTCCAGAAACTGGTGGCCAACGAAACCCTAGGCTACTTCATGGCAAGGATTTACCTCTTTCTGACCAAAGTTGGCGTTGACTCCAAGCGGTTCCGCTTCCGACAGCACTTGTCCAACGAGATGGCTCACTATGCTTGTGACTGTTGGGACGCGGAGATGAAGACGTCCTATGTATGTTGATATCATTGTTATGAGGGGATTCTGTAAACACAAGGCTTAATACAGAAATCGGTTCACATTTAACCAAATCATGAAGTCAGTAACCAGTGAATTTATCAACAAATTATATTGAAACACAGTGTTAGGTCTACAATCTCGCGAGGAATACAGTTGGTCCAATATGTGATAGTAACGATATGTAACAGCCCTGTTCTTAATGATAATGTACACCAGTGTACTCACAACTCCTTGTCTCTGTTCTTAAATCCTCAATAGTGATGGAAACTGACAGGGTTGTCTCACATGCTATGAGCAATATTTAATTATTGTTACCATGGTTACTATATTGTTGTTTCAGGGTTGGATCGAGTGCGTGGGGTGTGCTGACCGGTCCTGCTATGACTTGACCCAACACACCAAGGCAACAAGCGTCAAGCTGGCTGCAGAGAGAAAACTCCCCGAACCAATATCCTTTTCTAGATGTTTATTGTGCTTTACAGCTTTACACATTTTTATATGAGTGAGTGTGGTTTTACACCGCTTGTAGAAATATTCTCTCAGTATCACTGCAGAGAACACCAGAACACCAGAAATGGAATTGAAGCCTGGTTTTTGACATGACGAGTGACCACTCTTACAACTGCCTTTTTTAAATGAAACAAGGGAACTATACATTGTACATTCTGTAAATGTAGATTTTGTGTCAGAGTTGATTTGTTTTAATATGTTTCAAGCATGCACCCTGTTACCATGGTTACATATATATGATTCCCTAACTATCCCACAAGACGATCAGTGTGTATGAGTGTGTGCCAGAGAAGGGTGGTCTCGGCAAGGCTTTCAAGAAAGACGCCAAGGCGGTGACTGCTCATCTGACTGGTTTAAGTGGGGACGAGTTGTCTACCCTTGAACAGACACTGCAGGATAAAGGGTAAGCTGATAAAAGCATATTTTAAAGTGTGTGCCTTGAGTAGTATGGAGTTGTGTCCCCTGGTCATCTTGGGTAGTGCAGAGTTGTGTCCCCTGGTCATCTTGCGTAGTGCAGAGTTGTGTCCCCTGGGCATCTTGGGTAGTGCAGAGTTGTGTCCCCTGAGCATCTTGAGTAGTACAAAGTTGTATCCCTTGGGCATCTTGGCTACTACAGAGTTGTGTCCCCTGGGCATCTTGGCTACTACAGAGTTGTATCCCTTGGGCATCTTGGCTACTACAGAGTTGTGTCCCCTGGGCATCTTGGCTGCTACAGAGTTGTGTCCCCTGGGCATCTTGGCTACTACAGAGTTGTTTCCCTTGGGCAACAAAATCTCTGTGTGTCAGCCAAGACATATGAACACTGCACATTATGAACATGCATTTATCCTGTTTTTATTCTTCTACAGAAAGACTGTATATGACAGAATGTTCTACGTGATAGACTGTAGGTTCTGTGTACATGTTGGTGTCCGTCACTCAGCAAGCAACACAATTCATTTTTCAGAGAAGCTGAGATTCAGGTGGATGGCCAGAAGTTTACTGTGAAAAAGGAAATGGTCTCTTTCAAGAAATATGACAAAACCATTCACGGTAAGTCTTTCCCGTAGCCTGATACTAGAACAGTAAGACAAAGCTTCTGGGTGTTTATAAACCATGGAAAACATCATGAGTCGTTACACTTTTACTTCATACATGATTTTATAAAGGTTGATGTACTGGCCTTTTAATCATAATATTTTGTGGTTTGAGGGTCACTTTGATGAAGATATATGAAAGTGTTGCTGTGGCTCATGTGATGTAAGCAAAGGTTCCCTCTTCATGTGAAATATATGCCAGCTGTACATTTCAGTGGAGGAGATCGTCCCATCCGTGATAGAGCCTTCATTTGGTATTGGCAGAATCATGTATTCTGTCTTTGAACACAACTTTAAAGTTCGGGAAGGCGATGAGCAGAGAACAGTGAGTATTATGTGTTTTTTCTTGCTTGTTTGTCATAAACATAATTGTTACATTTTGGTAACATGTATTAATAAGTATGTAACATTGGTGGAAGAGTATTTGATAACAGTGTTTGACATGGTACTCAGTAATATGGCACTGGTTGTATGACAACATTGTATTTGTCCAGTACCTGACGCTGCCGCCAATCATCGCCCCGTACAAGTGTTCGCTACTGCCTCTCAGTAACAACCCCGACTTTGCCTCCTTCATCAAGCAGCTGTGTGAGTATATGGGGTGATATACACATGTAGGCCGGGCATTATACTTCTGTATCACACAGGAAGTTGCTTTCTGATTTTTTATCTGTTACATGGTATAAATATAATTACAAGGCAGTACGACAAAAACGGTAGTGTATGTGGGTGGTTTTCATCAATCTCCTGATTTTATGAAAAGCAAATCAGTAAACAATAATACAATGAAGCTGTAAAATGTTTCATACATATTGTACCAATAGATTTATCCGAACCATGAAACATGATACTCATGGATGATAACATGTGGTAGAAATTGGAGTCTTTGACATCTCACTCAGATATCAGTAACTTGTACTTCTCTCTATCAACATTATTTCCTTTCAATAACAACTATGTAGAAGGCTAGTGGTTTAAGTGTTTCAGTGGTGAAATCAGTTGTGATTCCCAGCATGGGTGACTGGTGGGACATCCATGTCTGGTGTGATGTTGCTGGAGTAGTTTTAAAAAACAGCTCTGATTAACAGACGAACTTGTTACACTTGATGCTTGCTCGTTCATGTTCATATTGTTGGCTGACATCTTGTAAACTCTCTCACTCACTTGTGTGTTATGTTTAGCCCAACAGCTGACTGAGTTAGACGTGTCACACAAAGTGGACGACAGTGGTGGCTCCATCGGACGCCGGTACGCACGTACCGACCAGATTGCCATCCCCTACGGCATCACCATCGACTTCGACAGCCTGAAGACGCCTCACACCGCCACACTCAGAGAGAGGGACACACTGAAGCAAGTCAGGGCACCGGTACGTTACCATGGCTACATACTGGTGAAGGCGTAATGTTTTAAAATATTGTTTGTGGACCTTTAGTCAACTCAAGACAACAAATCAGTAGTTTGATAATGAAAGTAATTGTTAGAAGTATGATACAAGGGGGGCATTGAGGGTCCTGTTTTAGAATTGTGTCTACGTGTATACTGCTCAACAGTTTATAGGGATATATAAGAAATAGCAGAAATGTCCTTGTATAAAGTTGAGTACTAAATAAGTTCAGAGTGGTATAAGGATATCATACATATTTTGCAAAGTTACCTCCCTTAGCTATAGGATCCACTTAATGGAGAGAGTTTGAATCCTACTGGTATGATCTCTGGTTTGGGGGTTAACTGCACTTTTAGGGTTCCATCTCAAATCTACTTCCAGGTACCTTTGTCATGTTGAATATAAAATCTTCCTGTTAATGAAGACCTGGGTTCAGTTCCCCACGTGGGTTCAATGTGTGAAGCCCATTTCTGGTGTACCCAGCCGTGATATTGCTGGAATATTGCTAAAAGCAGAGTAGAACCATACTCCCTCACTCCTGTTAATGAGTTACGTGTTGTCCCTATCTCCAGATTGAAGAGCTTCCTGAGATAGTGCGTGACCTGGCTGTTGGGCGGCGGACGTGGGAGAACGTGCTGAACAATTACCCCCTGTTTGAGCAGCAGGAGGCCAGTTCCAAGTGAACAATAATGTCCCCCCCCAAAGGACAATACGTGGCAGTGAAAGTTCATGAAGAATTCTGAAGTGCCAAATGCTGTTTGGCACCCGCTTCTTGGGAAGCTGTGATACATTGAGAAGAATGGAGGAAGGGAACATACTTTTCTGTTTATGTACGTCACACAGCATGTGGGAGCCACAGCACAACTGACAGAGGTGTGCAGCAACTACAGCAGTTACCATGGTAACTGGAAATGGTTGCCTGGCAACGTGAGACTTAAATTGATGTCAGAGGTACCATAACAACCAGTACTTGTTACCTGGCAACATTACCATGGAAACTATAAATGATCTTTTGACATCATTACCATGGCAACTTATATGGCTGTCTGACATCAACTACCATGGCAAAGTCTGGAAGCTGTTGCCATGGTGACTAGAAATGGTTGTCTGTCATAAGAAGGTGAGAATATTGAGGAATACTCAGTAAAGCTGAACAAGACAAAGGTGCTCAACGACCTCAGATATCCATCATTCCTACACGACATGATGGACGCCATTCACAACACTTCCATGGCTCTTTTGTACTTTAACGCAAATTTACACACACTGAAACTTTATGAGCATGTGCAATGTTTACCGAAACTATTTTCCAGATTTATAGCATTCTTTATGTGAAGGGTTTTAAGGTATGTTCTGTTACATTTGTATGTAATAAACCACTCCATTTCAACTGATGTGCCTGTGTTCTGAAATTGTTTTCAGCTGCAGTGAGCGTCGGTATCATTCAAATCAGGTACTTCACTCAGATATGTTGCCTCACTCTGTGAAGATCTAGGTCTTGTCACGTTCACCATCGGTCAACCGCACAGCCAAACATGTATGATGTGTGGGGAGCCAATCAGAGGCCAGCTTTGTGAAATAGTTTTGGGTTTACTTTACTGCTTTGATTATGAAATGTTTTCTTCAGAAGTAAACCACTAGATAATACAAACACCACCTAAGTACTACAGCCATTTGATGCAGATACAATCCAGCCGGAAACATCAGGGCGTATAACTGGTGTTGTCTTTCACATTGAGAACTTCCTGACTTTGTCGGTCGTCAGGATACAGGAATCAATTATATCTGAAAGATTCACTCGCTCAGTACAACGATTACCACTGTGATTAAAAAATATATCGTAAACAATTTCCTACGGAGCTACCATCCGATCTTAACATTGAGATGGTGATACAGTTCTAACTTGAAACTAGCAGTGGGTGACTGACTCCTTGTTGAAGGAGGATGTGTCTCTGGACAGGTCTGCCAGAGGTGTTGGTTTATCCATCCATACCTCAGTCACCAATCGGCTTATCCTAGTTTTGTCTTCATAATCATTCCATGCAATTGCTTGGGATAAATCCTATTAGTCCTATTAGTTGCCTCATCAGCTGATTCAAAATGTCTTCATAATTGTCCTAACCCTGATCTCCAGGTTTTCTCTGAAGCGGTAGATCTCCAACCTGCATCACTTGAGTATATTTTCCAACAATTAGGCTGACACTACGGTATGACTGAAGCAGTACTCCAAGCAGCACTGACCTCAACTGACTCCATCACTTCCATGTCTGCCACAAAAGAATTGCAAGAATTGGTGAGTTTAACACCACTGTAGGTTCTTGACAACCCCAGAACATGGTGCTGACGAACATAGAAACAAGAATCACGCATATGTTATCTACTGCATGTCTGCTTCTAAACACAACCCATGAAGATCCAAGTTAGAATTGGTCTTCAGATATTCAAGAGGGAGGATGCAGTCAGTGGATGACTACTGCACATGTTAAGTCAGCACTTCATGGTGGTCCTCTGCTTTGAGTTCCTGTAGTGTAGATTTGAATAAAACAATGCTGGTCCATTGCTGACTGCATTGTTACACAAACACACAAATGACAACAGAGGCAGATGCTGCAAGGAACAGTTTATTCCGCTAGTGATAAAGCTCGTTATAATACTGGATGAGGGACAGGAGGACTGTGGTCAACATACTGACCGGTGATGGTCACATCAAACAAGTGAGCAGAACAGAATATACTGTATACTGTAGAGGTGAAAGTCATAAAGTTTGTAAAATTGTAGAAATTGACACATAAATTGAGCTTGAAATGTTCAGGTTGTATAGCAGATGCATCACAAGGGTATTCAAGGTTTTCTGCCATTCCTTACAAGTCAACAGTGATCTGGAGCAGACAAATCGGTGGGTGGTAGTTAGGGGTCTCACGATACGATACGTATCACGATTTTAAGGTCACGATACGATACGTATCGCGATACATAATTTTCGCACCTTTTCATAGCATTACCTTACCGGCAACATACGCGTTCGCTGACTGGTCCATCAAAATAGTCTAGCCAATCACAAAAGCTGTTAGTTTCCAACCTATTTTTTAAGTAAAGATAGCTACATCTATTTATCGGAGCGATCTCGTATAATTTTACTATCAAGACTTTGAAGGAGATGGATATAGCATAAAAATTTGAATCGATAAAGTTTTAAAATAGGAATCGATACGCGCAAGCATCAGCATGTATCATGCATCGATCGTATCAAGTGTCCAGTAAAAATGTATCGATGCATCGATACATTCGTGTATCGCGACACCCCTAGTGGTAGTGCTGATTAATAATGCAGAATCAAACACAGACCTTGTGCTTGAGACATCACAGTTGAAGTCACATGGAGTGAGTGCATGATGTGTGCTCTATAACAGTGGTCTGGAGCAGACAAACCAGTGGGTGGTCACAAACCCAGTCCTTGTGCTGGATGAGGCCACCCCTTTCCCACCTGGCCACCCTCTATCCCATGAAGCACTGTGAGCCAGTGTACTCCTGGTATGGAGTGGGGAAGACCTACACTGGCACTGCTCTCAATACCCGGTATGTTGACAATACTGATACAAGGTGGCGGACTCAACACCACAATACTGGACTGAAGACTTTAACAAATATGGATCATTGAAACAGTTCAGCACGAATACAAGAGTGAATCAGTGTTTCTCTGGGGGTGGGGAGACTGGAGGAGTTTGATATTGAGACACACCTCTAAGAGAATGTACCATAATTCCAAAAACATAATTACAATATTTACACCAACAATTAACTCTACAAGTACATAGCCATAGCATAGTAAGTAAGAAAATGGCAAGTTTGAAAGCATGTTCTAAAACTCACTCACTCACTCTACGTAGTGTTGCTGTCACACTGAAATGCAGAAACCACATCTGCTGTATACTTTCAGTATTCCCATGACAGGATGTTGCTGTGTAAACATATACAAATGTGTTTTGTCAGAAACAAATACAGGAAATGATTTTATATTTAAATATATAGTTTGAGACATGTTGGAAGTGTGTATTTCCTGTTTGATTTAACAAGACTTTACAGTTTTAGACTTACCTGCATGTACATAAACTGTTCACCAGACAACTTTACTTACATCACATAAACATCAGGGATGAAAATCTCATATAAAATATAAAACACAATATACAGAAAGACCTGACACACTGAATTCCTAGCTACACTAAAAGCACCAAATTCACTTCCAGCGATAGTTCACACTTGATAGTGTCCCAATGAGCATTTCCTATCAGACAGTTTGAAAGGGAATGTAAAGCTGATTCTGTTATGATGGCGACCATGTTCATTTGAATTTGAAATGAAGGTGAAAAGGTGTTCAATTTAATGGTACTATTGAATACTATTTGCATGACAACATGTCAAAGTAATCAGCATTTTGATGCCTTTGACCAAGTTCCACAAACAGTCTTAGCGCTAAGATCTCTTTGTGGAGTAAAGCCTTTGATGTAGTTCCACAAACAGTCTTAGCGTTAAGATTATGTGGAGTAGAGCCTTTGACCAAGTTCCACAAGTCTCAGCGCTAAGATTATCATAACTCCACTACAGGGACAGTTATGGTGCCAATAATGGCATTTTGTAACCCTGGACAACACCAGTATTGCCAGACTTGAGCTGAGATGATTCTATGGTTGGTTCACAATAGTGAATTACCATGGCAGCACACCATATAATATATATAATTCTATGAGATCAGATATGTGTGACTATATTGCAAGATATAATTTAACACAATACAAACATACTGCTACTTAAATTACTCTGTAATAACACATGGCATCAAGCTGATAACTATGGTTACAGCGTTCTAGTTGTGAAAGAAATACACTGAGACCTTGTCAAACTGGAACCTCAGCACTTCATACTTGGGTCAAGCTAACTATACACCTGTAAGTACAGCGGCTGTGGACACAATATTTGAATAACCTCTACAACTGGTTCACATCCTTCACATTAAGTAACTTCTATCCCAGGATGCTTATATCGACAAAAGTATTTATGTACATTCCCAGCAGATACGTCTTGGAATTGGAGATTCTCAACTCGTAGGGTCACAACTATTTACAAGCATTAATTCATTTTTTCACTCATTGACTGGGGATAATGAGTGACTATGGTTATACACTATTTTTACCAATATTCCAGAAACATTGTACCATGTGAAGAATTGAACTCAGTTCTTCGGTGTGAAGAGTGAAGCTTTAACCACTGGGCTACCCCACATCCCCTGTATGACTGGTGCCGCCATATAGCTGGAATATTGCTGAGTACAGCGTAAAACTAAACTCACTCACTCTATGAATGGTCATATCCCTGTTTATGAACAGTGGGGTAGCCTTGTGGTTAAAGCGTTCGCTCGTCACACCGAAGACCCGGGTTCGATTCCCCACTTGGGTACAATGTATGAAGCAGGGGCATTTCTGGTGTCCGCCACCGTGATATTGCTGGAATATTGCTAAAAGCTTCGTAAAATCAAACTCACTCACTCATTATGAACAGCTTTTCTGGTCGACTTAATCAGGCCACAACCAAAACAACTGAATTTCTTCCCCAGTGCAAGATTTGCTGGCTGCGCTGCTGTAACATTAGATTGATAAGAAACAATGGGTTCATCAGACTACCTGACACACAAGCTGACAGTTTGGCCTTGCTGCACTGTGTGGATCTTCTTCATAAACACAAACTGACAACATGGATGGAATAGTGCCATCTTGGTTGACACAGGGGTATGTCTTCAGACTGTACAATACTACGACTCAGATCTTGTAATGATCAGATCTCTCCTCCATCAACAAATGTCTTCAACTGGACGCCATGAGAAAACACATGACCTACCATAAGTCAACAGTCTACACTCATCGTCTGTTCCTATGGATAGATTAATGTACATGAATATACATAATTTACAACCTATAGCATAAATAAGAGAATCAACTATTTAACAAACATCAAAATATGATTCTCATGTCTAACATGTGCTGTGTATACAGAAGCAGGCATGGTTAAAAAAGCCCACCTGCTGCTGGACTGCAGTCTAGAGGATTAACTGCTACTTTACACTACATTTCAGTCATAGTCTCGCCACCAATAGCTGTAAAATTGCTGATGCGGCATTAAGCAATACTCACTCAGTCATAGTATGGCATTTGAGTTTAGTGCGGAAGGTAAGCCCGGGTCACACTGACCCGATATGATTACTGGTTTGTTACACACCGACACACAACAATATGTCGTTGACAAACCAAGGCTCCTAATCAGGTGAATCAGATTCGAACTTGCCAGATAGGGCACACAACTCTGCAGGAATATTGCACTGCCTTTGCCCACACATACCCTAAATCATTACAGGAAGTCATCAAGCAATACCTGAAGGTTTGCAGACCTCATGTGATGCATGACTTAAATTTGTTACAAGGGAATCCCGTTCCCAACATGAGTTAGACCTACCAGTGATGACTTTGATGTAGAAACTAAAATGTATTGACATAAAGATATAATTTCAGACTGAAACATTTGGCACGAGCTCTCGATGACTACCTGTGATGAATTCAGTGAAAGTGATACTAATCCCCATGCTGTGTAATATTCTTCATAATATTGAGAATATTATATACCATGGTGATCTTAAACAACAATACAAATTTCATCAAAGATCGATGTGTGTCAAAGTTCTCAAAGATTAAAAGGAGAATAAAAATATTTCAAAGCCTCTATATATAGTCAGCATTCTTGAATTGTTTAAACAGAAAAAGATAAAACTCTTAGATAGCACTACCAAGACTAAAACAGGAATGCTGTTGACAGAGAGATCTTCTTGATCCCACATGGGGTGTATACTAGAGGGATTACGGTACTTGAGATCCAAGTGATGAAGCAACACCTTAAAGCATCAGGCCTACTGTCACTAATAACAGCTTCAGATCCTGCTACATACTGATTACATATCACAGACATAGGATACCAATAAAATCTTTACCCAGGCTCAAAAGTTAAAGATCCTAAATACATTCTAAGACCTGCTGAGTACAAACATAAACTTTTGCTCATAAATTTGAGAAACTACACAAAAACAATGTAAGACCAGATCAACATCTCTTGACTAGTTTCTAAAACAGTTGTACTCTTGCTATCAGGAGAATAAATATTCTTGTCATCTAACAATCTAAAGTCCTACTGTTCCAGGACCAACAATCAACAGAAGACTTGAACAGTCTCCACATTGGTCACTGAATAACATTTATCAATGAGTTTATTCAACATCAGCTCCAATAAGTTGTAGGCAATAAGTGTTTTACTGGTGACATTCACAACCAAGTGACATGATTGGTTATATGTTATAGCTGTTTCAGTGTTGGCAAGGGTTCCTCGGAACCAAGTGTAGCTTGCTATGAACCCAACACTGAGTTGGGCACAAAGGCAACTTGAAAGTTTGAGGAGTGAAGCAGTGAACTCTAATATACACAGCCTGGATTGATGCAGGAGAGTCGGTCAATTGGGCACACAGTAGACTGACAGACCATCATGTCTTCTGAAAAATATCTTCTTTCTGCTGTTACAATGTTTTATAATCACAGTTGCTTGTCTGTCAGTATGTCCCGACACAATGAATGTCACGCCCTCCACCATGACACCATCCACAATGAATGTCACGCCCTCCACCATGACACCATCCACAATGAATGTCACGCCCTCCACCATGACGCCATCCACAATGAATGTCACGCCCTCCACCATGACGCCATCCACAATGAATGTCACGCCCTCCACCATGACACCATCCACAATGAATGTCATGCCCTCCACCATGATGCCATCCACAATGAATGTCACGCCCTCCACCATGACACCATCCACAATGATTGTCACGCCCTCCACCATGACACCATCGCTGTACCCTGCTGCATCTCCCAGCTGGCTGATTGTGGGGAGGAACAATCCATACTCCAGTCTACAAGTTCATCATGTTTGTAACTGTTGCTAGTCACATGACACAAGACATGGCCTATCCAGCTCGGGACGCTGTAATCCACCTCCACACCTGTCCCGAGTCAGTAGTCAGCTCGTAATGTAGGCAGGTGCGCTTTGTTTACCTATTGAGATGTCACCATGGTGAACAGTACTGGGGGTCCATATGGCAAGATTACTTCAACATACGTCTCACAGGACACGATATGTTCCTCAGAATGTCCTCAGTATCACAGAACAAAGTGGCAAACCAGTACTGACAGTATTAGCCTACAGTCATCTTTCAACTCAATAGGCAGAGTCACATCTGCCCCGGGAAGATAGCTTACGACGCTCTAGACTGGCCATCATTATCACACTAGTATACATCACGTGGAACTTACTTACAATATCTTCAGGTTGTGTCTTGATGGTATCACTCTTTGAGTACAACGAGTAAAGCTAGTTGACAGGAGAGTAGGGTATAGTTCCGATACTTTGAAGTTGCATTTCAAAGACTGAGTAGATTCTAGTTCTTTTTCCATGACTTAAGTTGTGTTTTGAAACTACCACTGTTCTCGGTGATTCGAGTAGAGCTGGTTGATGGACGTGTTGAGAGTGTTGATTTGCGTCCAGATTCGTCTGCAGGTTTAGCAGCACCGCTGGTCACAGACTTCCTCTGATGTACATACGGAGGAGCTGACTTGATGCGGTTGTAGCCACCTTGTGAGTTGAGCCGCCCGCCAGACTGAGTGGTCCGTGGCCGCGAGGACGCTCGGGAATGGAGGCCCATGCTGGATATCTCCAGGCTGCACAAACAGACATATTGATCATTACTTGGTACCGCTGTGCTTCGTATCATTACATTGATATGGGCTCTGTAGAGCGTAGGAACTTTATTATGGAAAAACATGAACTAAAATAAATGTCACCATACTGATACCTGATGCTTATACCCTACAATTTGTAGACAGTGTTACAGAATGTTGTTTGTAGACTAATGTTGTTTGTAGACAGCTTTACAGAGAGTCGTGATAGACAGTGTCACAGATTGACAGTGTCACAGAGTGTTGCCTTGTTGGAAGACAAACGATCATATATATTTGGAATGCCTTGAAGATGCAACTCAGCACATAGAACTGACATACATTAAACAACTAAGCCATCTGTGTATCCTCATTTGATAAGGAAGATTTGATCCTGATGCAATGTCATTTTGGCCAATTTGTGCAAAGCCTGTGTATCCAGGCAGAGTAATTGTAACAATAGTACTAAAGCTGCAGATTGTTCTACAAATGCTCCAAAGGGTGATATACATTCTTACACCTCTCCAACAAACTCACCATTGACTGGGAAGCCCAACAATCTTGGCCCGTCTGAAGTCGTCTACAAATTCCTGGCTAATGCGAGGATCATTGCCAATATTAGCCATGAGCTGTTTGTACAAGATCCCTTCTCGCCGACACTTGGACAGGAGGTCCCGGGCAGCCGTCTTGTTGTACGTCAAGTACCCTAAGGCCACAGCCACTGCATTGCGGACAAGGTCATTCTTGGACCACAGACGTTCCACAAGGAGTTCTATGGCACCGGTGGTTATCATGGCGTCAGGAATGCCTGCGCGTGTGTGTGCAAGGCTGGACAGCAGACTGGCTGCTATGACAACAGTGTTATCATCCTCTGATGTCAGTTTCTTCACCAACTGAGTTATCCCTCTTGCTGTGAGGAGGACTTGGTCTTGATCGACAATGACACGAGCCAGAACCACGATCTGCATGAAGAAGTGATGCAGTGGAATGACAAAGACAGAGAGATTTTAAAAATTGGTAAAAAATCATGTAAAATAGATACTCCCCTAACAGTAGTGATCTCTGGAGTCAACCATGAGGTACTGACAACATATTCTGCCGACAAGGCCCCAAGAAGAGACAATAATTAGGTCTTGAAGAACTATGGAATATCCATACAGATACTGAGATTGTTTAACAAGTAGTGTAATCTAAGTATCTTTGGGAAGAATAATGAAGAATAACAAGAACAGAATGGTTGTCATGGTTACCTGGAATGCTGCTGAACACTGGTAATACTCATCCTCTGACTTGATGAAAGGTTCGAACACAGAGAACTTGATGCCTCCTGCCTCCCGGATGGCAAACTGCTGCGGCGTGTTGTTGAAGGCAAATGTTGTGAGAGCCATGCCTGCCTTGAGGCGAATCTCCTAAAACATGGACCAAACTGAATTAGCTCCCCTTCTCTAGCCTAGGATTCGGTCAAAGTTTTACAAGATGCAAAATAGTTTGTCCTATACATAAACAAACCGTAGACACCTATAAAACGTAGCTGACATTTCTATTATGGTGAAAAAAACCACTCTGAATGTCAATAACTGACTTTCTTCAAATCCCCATCTGTACGAGGCTTGAGAGTAAACTAACAAAAGTGAAATTCTTACAAACCAAGAGAAGTCCATATGGTGCCAAGTCAGTACCTTGGACAATGAATAAATAATTAACAACCAAACCAAATCTGTACAAAATGAGATGAACATCCCTTTAAAATACACTTTTCTGACTGCAATTAGAGCATACAAGAAACTATGATATTCATCGACTGACTCACCTCTGAGCTGGACTTCAGCAAATCAAGGAGGATGTCAAACTTGAAGCCTTGCTCATCTTGTAGCTTCTCCTGGTTGTCATGGTTACTGAGCACCACACAAGCCAGTGAGTGGGCAACCTCCACCTGGATCTCTTCAGTGGGAGGAGACAGCAAGATCTGGACCAAGATGGGGATCCCTCCTTCCTCTGCGATTTTTCGCTGTGTCAGCTTATTATTGCGATTGGCCACACCTGGGAGACATAACAGTCAGCTCAATCTATGTCAACAATGTTCAGTTAAAAGGAGACAATATATACATGGGTGAAAGTTTTGTTTCCTAAACTTACTCCTTATCTAATGCCATAAATAATCTAGCTGAACCTCTAACTCTGAAATGTCTTCTGCTGCTAACAGTTATAAAGTCATCTGCATTAAGTCATACATAAAATCAACATTAGCTGTAACACAAGATCCACCAAATTCTTACTGGATTTAAAATATTTATACTCTTTCAAACTAACATGATGATGAATTTGCATCAACTCATTTATAACATTTAGAGTTTCATTATGCTGAACATGCACGACATGCTGACTGACAGGAGTAGAGTGCATAAAGTTAGAGCGGCAGGCACAAAAACCTATTCCATATCGTCAACACAGTGCATCTGAAGGTCTGCAGCAAGCTACCCTAACTGGCTTGAGACCAACACTGCGCAGAGCTCACATTCCTGCACAAATTAGTGAGTTTCTATGGTAACTGTAAGTATATGGAAAAATACCATAGTCAGCAATATTCCAGCTATAGTGATATAGCGATATAACACATATAGAACATGCTCTGTTTACCACAAACTTCCTGATAAGGAGAACAACCATACAATTGTGCACTACTCGGTCACCTACACCTGCCTCAACAGCCTTGACAATGGTACTAAATGGAACTCTGCAAAAATAGAGAGAGTGGTCTCCCCTGAGGGTCAAACCAGCATTTGCCAAGAAATGTCTCCCCTACATTTGTTTAATGCTTAAGCGCTAAAAGAATATAGGTGTGCAGTAACCTACTATTTATGGTAAGGAAATACTACGAAGAATATGATATGGTGATTTCCAAGTTGCAACTTGGACAAACTTGAACAGTACTGACATTCATTTCAGTAAAGTGTGCTGTATGTGCAAGACAGAATACTGTACTGTGACTCATTCCAGGCTAAACCAATTGATGTACGATGCATGAGTTATTCACTAAAACTTGAATAATAGACAAGGGTCATGCCTTTGAGGATAAACAAAAATCAGCTATATTTAGGGCTAATTATTTACACTTGTCATAGCATGACAAAAATTAACCTCTACCCCAAATTTCCGGAGAATCCACTGAAAAAAATTATCACACATGGTGTTTATTGAAGATGCCTTCCTTGCATGAAATCAGTTTACATGATAATAGTCCTCACACCATGGAACTGAGAGCGAGTGAGTGAGTCAGGATGGTGTACGCAGCAACAATCCAGGGGGGGACAGTGACTGGGACTCCAGCAAGCCAGCTGGACACATCCATCTCAATATGTGAGAAATAGAATATTAACAAATATGATCTGAGTTCTTGAGTATCACACAGAATTGTCTAAAGATCTACATGTTTTTGTTCATGGAAGAGACAAAGCAATTTACTTAACACAGTGTCATGGCTCAAGAAAAACTTCAATTAGTGGCTAATATTTTCACATTTTACTCAGATACTGAATCATACAAAAGAGATGTTTTGAGTGTCAGGTATCAGAATAATTTCACAAGTCAACCTTCCACCTTTTAAAGTAGATTACACCTTATTCTCATCAGAAAACTACAGGTGGACACCCGAGATGGAGAAAGTTAGGGTGAGCAGGTCAGCTCAACTGTATGTGTTTGCCAGGATCAGTTTAGCCCTGTTACTCAATGCCCAGAGTATCCTACAATCAAACCATGATGTAGGGTAATCTCAAGACTGTGATGACACCACAGCTCTCGGACCCTAAGCTAAGGAACATTTTCTCTGGAAAGTCAATTGTTAGTTCAATTTCCTATTCCTACAGCTGCCAAATACACAATCTGTATTAAGATGATGATCATAATATATACCAGTGTCTCGGTACTATCATCAAGATGTACAAACCAGCTCTCCAAGAATGTCTGGGACATTACATTTAAAATGTCTAAATGTCAGTCAGATGAGTGAACTGATTTTTAACAACTTTTAGGATCAATATCTGCCCAAGCCTACACCATCTTTCAAATAAATAAACAAACATGGTATTCTCACCGACACAGAGTGTTCCCAGCACCTTGATCACCATGAGCAGCACCCGGTCAGACGTCTTGTTGGAGCGCAGCAGACGGACAAGTTGCTGGAATGCATCAGCTTTAGCCAGGGCATTCTGATTCTCCATACTCTCTCTCCCCAAGGCAATAGATGTCATACATCCTGTGGGCAATAGATTGTTACACTGCAACGCTGACCAACAGGGAACACTATGTCATACAACCTTTGGGGGAATTTATCATAGATCAGTGACAGTTGACTATCTGCACCTACCAACATAGAGCAGTGATAGTTGACTATCTGCACCTACCGACATAGAGTAGTGATAGTTGACTATCTGCACCTACCAACATAGAGCAGTGATAGTTGACTATCTGCACCTACCAACATAGAGCAGTGATAGTTGACTATCTGCACCTACCAACATAGAGCAGTGATAGTTGACTATCTGCACCTACCAACATAGAGCAGTGATAGTTGACTATCTGCACCTACCAACATAGAGTAGTGATAGTTGACTATCTGCACCTACCAACATAGAGCAGTGATAGTTGACTATCTGCACCTACCAACATAGAGCAGTGATAGTTGACTATCTGCACCTACCAACATAGAGCAGTGATAGTTGACTATCTGTACCTACCGACATAGAGCAGTGATAGTTGACTATCTGCACCTACCAACATAGAGCAGTGATAGTTGACTATCTGCACCTACCAACATAGAGCAGTGATAGTTGACTATCTGTACCTACCAACATAGAGCAGTGATAGTTGACTATCTGCACCTACCAACATAGAGCAGTGATAGTTGACTATCTGCACCTACCAACATAGAGCAGTGATAGTTGACTATCTGGACCAGACAATCCACCAAACATAGAGCATGTGATAGTTGACTATCCGTTGTAGCCCTACGACCAAGATAGAGCAGTGATAGTTGACTATCTGTACCTACCGACCTATAGAGCAGTGATAGTTGACTATCTGCACCTACCAACATAGAGCAGTGATAGTTGACTATCTGCACCTACCAACATAGAGCAGTGATAGTTGACTATCTGCACCTACCAACATAGAGCAGTGATAGTTGACTATCTGTACCTACCGACATAGAGCAGTGATAGTTGACTATCTGTACCTACCGACATAGAGCAGTGATAGTTGACTATCTGCACCTACCAACATAGAGCAGTGATAGTTGACTATCTGCACCTACCAACATAGAGCAGTGATAGTTGACTATCTGTACCTACCGACATAGAGCAGTGATAGTTGACTATCTGCACCTACCAACATAGAGCAGTGATAGTTGACTATCTGTACCTACCGACATAGAGTAGTTTCTCCGTGGGCTCCAGGAGCATCTGGATGATGTGTGGTATGCCGATCCGCTGTGCAATGTTCTTCTGTTGAGTCTTGGTATGTCCGGCCAACGCCCACAAGGCACAGGCTCCCTGCTCTCGAACTTCTATGTTGATATTCTGTAACATACAGTATGACAATATGTGATCACAGACTAAAATGATTAGAATTGGTTCACTGTAAAGACACTAGCATCAGCAAGTTTGGATGATTAAAAACCTGTCTCATCACTATGAATAGTGAGCTGTATATAATGTTAAGATGTCCAGGTCTTCCAAGGTAAGTATTTATTATGGAAGATGGCTATGTATGTATAATGTTAAGATGTCCAGATTTCTTCCAAGGTAAGTATTTATTATGGAAGATGGCTATCTATGTATAATGTTAAGATGTCCAGATTTCTTCCAAGGTAAGTATTTATTAAGGGAGATGGCTATGTATGTATAATGTTAAGATGTCCAGATTTCTTCCAAGGTAAGTATTTATTATGGAAGATGGCTATGTATGTATAATGTTAAGATGACCAGATTTCTTCCAAGGTAAGTATTTATTATGGAAGATGGCTATCTATGTATAATGTTAAGATGTCCAGATTTCTTCCAAGGTAAGTATTTATTATGGAAGATGGCTATGTATGTATAATGTTAAGATGACCAGATTTCTTCCAAGGTAAGTATTTATTATGGAAGATGGCTATCTATGTATAATGTTAAGATGTCCAGATTTCTTCCAAGGTAAGTATTTATTATGGAAGATGGCAATGAGCATCAATATTGTTTAATTCACTGTAGAAGTTGTTTATTTGTGTTTTCTTGGTCAACACTGCAATATCTCAACTCGACTATTGCCTACCAAACCAAACTCACTCACTCATATCATACTAGGAATATCAGAAAAGCATCAGAAAAGAAGATATTAGCTGCTCACCTTCAGCAACCGGAGCAGTGCCTTAGGAGCATCTAGTGCTAGGAACTCGGCCTGACTCTCGGAGTTATTGTCGGCCAGAGCCTCCTAGCGCACTCGCAGCCTTCACCTGGACTGTCACGTTCCGGTTCAGCTTGATCAGTTCCACCAGCGGCCTGCACAAACAGTCATCTCATACTGAATCCATCACTGCTGTCTCAGGTAAGACTTCTTTGTTCCATGGTACAATATATTTATCATTATTTGGAGATACCCACTGTACATACCTACATCTTTCTGCATCTGCTACACTATACTAGTACTTAAACCCTCGCAAGAACTGTGACATATTTCTATCACAATTGTCAATTGTAACAAACTTCATATATGGCCAACAATCTGTCAGTCATGTTGCCATTGATGAGATTGGGCTTTATTCCCGTGCACATGTCACTGAATAAACCAATAGTGACAACACGTAATCAAGATGTTCCTGGTATACTAGGCCACCATGTTCCCTCTCACTTTGTGGCAGTCCGTGTCATGTGATAGCAGAAACATCAGAACTAGAGGAGGGCAGGTTCGGGTGGTATATTCAGCATGGCCAGAATACTTCAGAGCACCCAGGTCAGCTGAGCATCAAGCTTCAACTAATTATTACTTCAAAGCAAATTTTGTTGAAGTAATAAGAACAGTAAAGTACAGATTAGCTGTTTATCAGTCATGTTGTATTGCTATCTGGTCATGGTTGCAACTTCAAACACAGCCAACTTTGACACAATTACACCAGATCCTTCTTGTCCTTGCTGGTAATGGTCAGCTGATATCATGCATGTTTGTTGTTTTAACTGTGCCTCACTCAGCAATTGTACAGCTGTATTCCAGGCCATTCAGGGACATCATCTGGGTACAATGACAGGCAAGGAACCCAGTCACCTAGTCTCCACAACCATCTTGTTGCAGGTTACAGCAAGGATACATTGTGGGGGACCTATTGTAACCTGGAAACTCTAATGGTAGGTATTCTGACAATATACTCTGACATGGAGGACCAATAGACTAAACAGCTCATAACATCAACAACAGACTTACTTAGCTGCTCTTTCGGCCATGATGGCATCCTGGTTCTCCTGATGACCCGTTGTCATGGCAGCAATGGCTGCAGCAGTAGCTGCTTGTAGAGTCTCTACAAGACAAAGACAAAGTGAACCATGTTAACCTTCTCCAGTGAGGGTCATACTGAGCCAGATTGTACAGACTGTTTCCTGACATTGTACATGTACATTCAAGAAGTGATTGGGTGGAGAATTACATCATAGTTGTTTCACACATATTGGGCATCAGACCCAGATTATCGGCGAGATGTGTCCATGCTTTATACACTATGCTACCTTTCCCCTTTAACCATGTTGTAACAGGTCATACTGACACAAAACTCACCCACCTGAGCAACTGTTTAACAGTGAGCATGGATGAACTGTAATGTTAGAACAAAGCCCAGGTATGCCCAGCTCCTCACCTGAGTCAACAGACAGGAACTCAATGAGAGGCTCGATGCCCCCACACTCTGCCACAGCTGTCTGGTTGGGCGGGTTCCGAACACACAACACCCGGATTGCGTTCACAGCATTCACCAGCACATCTTCCAACTCCGAGTCCAAGAGATTCACCAGAGGGGGAATTCCATCATTCTCTGCAATGACTTCCTGGTTGCCTTGGACACATGCCAGGTCAGAGAGAATTATGGCAGCTCGTGATTGGATATCGTCCACTGGGGAACTGAGAAGCTGAATGAGGATTGGTCCAGCATTTGAAGTGGTGAGAGCCAGCCTGATGTCATCTTGTTCGGAGATGTTACACAGCACTGATGCAGCGACCGACTGAACCTCCTCGTTATTCAGGTTCAACAAGTTCACTAGGGCCAGAACGCCTCCTACAGACAGGATTTCATAGTCATGTTGCAGTGAAAAGACAGATAGAATTATAATAAGGCCAGACCAATTATATTTCTTGTTTTACAGATTTTTTGTCCTCAGAAAACCTAAAGGCAGGAGGGAAAAAAATAAAAAATAAAATCACCATTCAAAGTAATATTCCTTCTGAATATTAAAAGTATTTTACTTTTGGCAATTTATGAATATATGTATATGGGGCAAAAAACAATCAAAACATTTTTTCTTGTAAGTTTACATTTTTGGTCAATATAAACATTAGGAGTTTATTTTTTGAGCAGGGTAAATTAACTTCTATTTTTTGTTCTTATTCTTGAAAAAATACGACCGGCGGATCCGTAAAACAAGAAATAAAATTTGTCTGGCCTAAGGGAGAAACTTAAATGTCGGTTGATTCAGGCCATCTACATAAGAAAACAACAAACCAATCACGTCATTTCATGCTTTCAAAAACGAATCTGTTAATTGCCAGTGTTATTTTAATCCCTTTAAAACTTCTTGCGAGCCGTGAAACATGGTTAGGTTAAAGCAAACATCAGATAAAAACACCTCAGAAATTATTAATAGAACCTGAATTGAAGATACAAGCCAGCAAGAATTATTGTGCAGCACCATTGCCTGCTTTAGGGCATATATATAGCATTTCAGATCCTAGATAAATGGTACCCGTCTAAACTGACCTGCATTCAAGATGGCCTTCCAGTGATCCTCCTTGGATGTAGACAGAACCTCCAGACACTTCACAGCACTGTCCTTCTTCATCAAGGACTCCGAGTTCAACATGGCTGACACATAGGAAAAAGATTATGAAGGGAATGAACATAAGATATGAATCGTACATGTGACATGGCTGATATATTGGATTAGTTGGAATATATTTGTAATAATGAATGATGAATGCCTGGCAATTATCTCACAGTAATTCTAGTAGACATTGTTGTAAATATATTTGCAGTAATTGTGAGCAACAGCAAAAGATTGAAGCAATAGTAATCAAAGCAATAGTAAAATATGAAGTGCTAAGATTTGAACTATAACTAGGGTTATCTCCCCCTGTTGGGTACATGACAATGGCAAGCTCAGTCATTTCAAAAATTTCTGGATGGTGCAGTTTCTCAAAGCCTGGCTGTATCTTTATAAGAGGGATGAAGCCTTTCCCTGCTGACTTTTGTGCAATATTATGACATGCCCCAGTTTTCATACCTATTTGGCTCAAACCCTGCTTCCAACACTATTGTGGATTCAAGAATGTAGATTAATAGGCCATATATCATTCTAGGTCCATATAAATGTTACAGTCCAGTTTCTTCTGCTACTTCACTCTTGGTCAGCCTCTGCGTGTCACCTCGTAACCCAAGTAGATGGGTGTGTGACTGATTCAAGTTGACGACATGACCTCTGTTGGCCACCTACCCACAAGGATAAGTAGATGGGTGTGTGACTGATTCAAGTTGACGACATGACCTCTGTTGGCCACCTACCCACAAGGATAAGTAGATGGGTGTGTGACTGATTGACGACATGACCTCTGTTGGCCACCTACCCACAAGGATAAGTAGATGGGTGTGTGACTGATTGACGACATGACCTCTGTTGGCCACCTACCCACAAGGATAAGTAGATGGATGTGTGACTGATTGACAAGGATAAGTAGACATGACTGATTCTGTTGGCCACTCTACCTACCCACAAGGATAAGTAGATGGGTGTGTGACTGATTGACGACATGACCTCTGTTGGCCACCTACCCACAAGGATAAGTAGATGGGTGTGTGACTGATTGACGACATGACCTCTGTTGGACACCTACCCACAAGGATAAGTAGATGGGTGTGTGACTGATTGACGACATGACCTCTGTTGGACACCTACCCACAAGGATAAGTAGATGGATGTGTGACTGATTGACGACATGACCTCTGTTGGACACCTACCCACAAGGATAAGTAGATGGGTGTGTGACTGATTGACGACATGACCTCTGTTGGCCACCTACCAACAAGGATAAGTAGATGGGTGTGTGACTGATTGACGACATGACCTCTGTTGGACACCTACCAACAAGGATAAGTAGATGGGTGTGTGACTGATTGACGACATGACCTCTGTTGGACACCTACCAACAAGGATAAGTAGATGGGTGTGTGACTGATTGACGACATGACCTCTGTTGGACACCTACCAACAAGGATAAGTAGATGGGTGTGTGACTGATTGACGACATGACCTCTGTTGGCCACCTACCCACAAGGATCTCCCACACAGGGACGTCAGGGTGGCTCCACTCGATCAGGTACTCCAGGATGTTGGTGTGGAACCGCAGTGCTGCCAGGTTCACCATGCCATTGTTGTCCCCGTCCGTCTTGGTAATGTCAGAGCCGAGCAGGATGAGACACTGCACTGCTGACAGGGCGCCAGAACTTGCCGCCAGCAGAAGAGGGGATGACCGCATCCTGGAACCAATGTCAACTGACTTGTGACATTGCTTATTCTACCCTTATAACCAAAACCTTTAATCCCTGCTAATTGCCAAAATGCAATCTATTAATCCAGATTAACCCATAATATTGTGTTAGATCAAACCCTTATATTGGGTTATCACCTCATTAGGCCAGACCAATTTTATTTCTTGTTTTACGGATCCGCTGGTCGTATTTTTTTCAAGAATAAGAAAAACATACAAATGAATTTTCCCCACTCCAAAAATAAAATCCTCATGTTTTTATTGGCAAAGAATGTAAACTTACCCCCCAAAAATTGTTGATTATTTTTTGCCCCATATACACTTCATAACTTGCCAAAAATAAAATACTTTTAGTATGCAAAAGGAATATTTTTTTCCCTCCTGACAAAAATCCGTAAAACAGGAAATAAAATTGGTCTGGCCTTAAGCTATTTTGCAAAATCACAAACGAACATTGTATAACACGTCATATCACCACCAGGTCTAAGGGCCTGATTGCCATCAAAGTTTTAACACGGATCAACTTACTCATTCTTGGTGGTCAGTTCGAGGAGCCCAGTGTTTTTGCGTATCATCAGTTTGATGATGGATTCATGGTCAAAGAAGGCAGCATGATGAATGGGGGCCCAGCCATCTTGGTCAGTCGCCAGGATATTGGCATAGTTGGACAGAAGACATGATACAGCGTCAAGGGCCCCACACCGGGCAGCCACATGCAGAGCTGTCGGACCTGTGTAAAGATGCTAGCTACATACAACAGTTCATATACACATCAGAAAAAGCTTACATCACTGATTGTGATCACCTGAAATGTGGTTTAACTCTGTTTTTCAAAACGTAGTTCTAATTAACTAGCTAACATCAACAGGATTAAACATTAATTCCAAATTTTATTACCCATATCAATGTTTATGTTAATTCATATAGTTTTAGTATTTCCTGTGTTTCTGCAAACACTTCTGGATTGCCTGAATGGATTACTGGTTAAACATGAGCACACAAAGTGGGTTAATGTAGATGATATGATTTTGTGGTTAGTGACTCGAGTTAAAACATGGTGAAAGGACATCCAGGTTTGGCTGCACTGTAGAACAATCTACAGACATATTGCACTAAAACATGAAAATGAAAAATCTTTGATGCAGATGGAATGAACACCTTCGTCTTGTCTGTTACATATTGTAACAGATATGCATAGATTTCCATGGCAACAGAAGGAAGGGGAGATAACTGACATGTTGTACTACCAGCATATTCAGTATTCTGTGATACCTACTAATATTACTAACATTAGGTCCATAGAATTTTTACTTCTCATGTCAACATTGTTCCTCATTAAATATGAACATAACGTCAGTGTCCTATTACTATTTTTAATGTTACATAAAGTCATTCTATTTACAATCAGTAAGACAAAATCAAATTGAAATGAATGTGTTATATACTAATGCAGTGCAGTGTTGTGCATGTGTGCATTGCAGTCCCTCGTCACAAGGCGCAGGTGCCCTTCATTCCCCAGTGCAAGACATTATCGGAGAGTGCCCCCTTCCATGCAGTGATTGTGCTGTCCTCAGATCCTTGTTACAGGTACACATGCTATCACAGTATCACAATGTTTAGGTAAGTGTTTCAAAACAGTTATTGAAATATAAACTTGAAATAACATATATATTGTATTACATTAAGTGAAACAGTTACATAATTGTTAGCTGAAAAAATATTAAACATAGAAATGTGGAACCAAATGGAAGATATCACAATTCCTATTATCATTTTCAACAGTGAACAAAATACCTCTATTATTACAAAATGGCGTTGTTGAAAACATAATTAATCTCTCAATCAAAATTGTGAGAATAAAGTTTTCCACCCAGTTTCTTGTTGTTCCCACTTAAACCATTTTCTTTGTAAATTTTGTACAGCCATTTGACAAAATAAAAGGAATATTGGTTTAAAGTTTTATAATATGTTCCTGTCCCCCTTGGTTCCACATACTCAAAATCAACATATATGTGTCTTACCTCGTCGCTGTGTATATGAAACTATATTGAAACACAGGTGTCAGTCACCCTCAATATTGCAATACATGTATTTATAACAAACATTACCAATGTCTGCAAGGCCTCATCCTATATATTCTTTAAATCATTCCAGTAAAATACATTTTACCTGTGAAATATACTGCAGCTGGGTTGTTCATGGTGGCCTTGTGAATTACCTGAGGCTCCGTCCTCCCCAATATTTGAAGTATATTGAAATATTCTCCCAAGTCTCTAGACTCTTCACATGATATATAGGCTATCCTATCTGACAGGTATACTGCGCTGTAAGGGCTCATAACTGTGTATTGTGAGGCACATTGTAAAACATGTAAAACATCTAGGTGAGCAAACGGGAGATGTAAGATGTTGAGCTCAAAAGTACCCAATATCTGTCACTGTTGGTGGACTTAAGTCTCCTTTAAACTGTCAAATGTCTTTTCATACAGAACTGAATAAGTGTACGTTTAGTGACCTTTATTGGGCAAATATAAGTTTAATGTTTAGGGAATGAGCTGAGAAGTGGTAAACATTCCATGAGTATTATGTTGGATTACTGTGTGTACCGGACTAGAGTAGACTCTCAGCTGTCATAAATACATCGCAATGGGAGTTATGGCTCCTTCTGAGAACTCTTCACACATCAAAACACTGTGAAATAGGCCACCATGATCTTATTCCTTGAAGATGAAATACAATACATAAAAGGCCAGTTTCCCAATATATCTGGTATAGAGTAGTTCCCAGGAATATGTCATGGTAAGGACCAGTCAGTTTCCACATATATCTGATACTAGTATACTGTAGTATATCAGGCCAACTTAGGATCCTGGCCCATTCAAGGGATGTAACTCCATACAACTTATGAATTATAGCAATGTATGAAATAAGGCCGTCCGACCGCCCGAGACGGGCTAGATTTCCGACGGACGGTCTAAATTTACAGCTAGCAAGTCTGATGATCTGGTAAAAATATTAGATCTTTCATATAAATTCACAATATCTTGGTGTCTGGTCTGGTTAAATCCATATTGGGCTGGTAACCCGCCCTGATGGCTGGCTGGGTTTGGGGCTTATTTCATACACTGATTATAGCACCTAAAACCTGGCCCACGTCCTGCTACTGTCTGATGTAAGCAGCCACTTGATGAGTGTTTAGCATTAATAAGCTTGGAACCAGTCATTTACCTGTAAGTTTATCTGGCTCTCACAGTTAGTTGACCTGTATCAGTGTTGCTATACAGACTATCACATGTGTTTAAACATCTGTACTGCATACAGCTGTTAAAAAGGTTAACATCGCTAACTCGTTCGGTTTTTAAATGACATTTAGCGGTCTTAAATCAACGATAAAGGACCGCAAAATTGAAAACAGAGTAGCTTTATCTTCTAATTTGTCATTGCAAATCTTGAAAGACCCAGTAAACTCCCACCCCCATGCCTAAGGTATTTATAATAGGATTGTTTTCTAACAACAAACTTTTGAAGTACTCCCATATAAAGCTTGGTAGTTGCAAGTCACATTCACACAACCTGATACCGTCAACCATTAAAATCAGATCTCCTGGCCTGCTACCACAAAACAAAATGACATCACACTACTGGTCGTATCAGAACAACCTTTCATCCAACTAGTCAGTGAATTGCTTACCAGTCCAGGAATGTGACAGTCAGATACTGCATACAATCATGCAACCTCGAAATGTTGACACAAGAAATTCTGACTGATTATTATAGGCTGTACAAGTTAAGCATCAAAGTCTACGTCTCGCTTCAGTGGGATAAACATTTGACATGGAACAGACATTCCACAGCCTGGAAATACAAACACGGCCATATATTAGTCATTCCAGAATTATTTATTTTTTTTCCCATCAGTTTTCAAATTTAGAAAAAATATTTTTAAAGCCTAATGTTTAATGGAACTCATATAACTCATGGAAGCTGCTTTCTGACTGACTGAAGTCACCTTCCTGTTAGTCATCTCAATGGATGGTCAAAGTTTGAATAGGTCACACAATTTTATATATACATCTAGTTAGTACTTCTTACCCATTATTGTTTATCTGGAAAATCATGTGAAACATCAGGTGTTGTTTGATAACTTTAGAGTTGTATACATACTGTGTTAGCAAATATCATTTGCCTAATAACAATACCAGCAGATACGATGATGCCATAGGACTGTAACTGAACTGTTGAACATTGGCAAGTACATTGAATTCTAAAAAAAATACAGAAAAAAAGGAAGAAATTGTCTTAAGAAGATGGAAGATCTGAAAATCAGAAACTGTTTAATAAAAGACAATCTGTGAGAAACGTCCCCAATTCCACCATACAACACAACAGCAACAGCAGCACAACGACATCGAAAGCTGTGACACCGACATGCGGTGAAGCCAGGGAGTGAGGTCAAGGTCATTCTGTTCATCTACGGTGGGGAAGGGCAAGGTGAAATATGGTGGTTCATCCTCACCAGTCTGGGGAATATTACACATGCCATACTTACATCCCTCAAATCTACACTGGCAAACTATACCATGCCCTATGACCCTCTCTTCAAGGGGTCTGTGATGTCTGCTTCTATTCCGTCACTCCTAGCTACAAGAAGCCTAGAACACTATCGTTACATACTTGTCATAGTGAAGTATGTGGTTGCCAACTGGATCATAGCGTATATATACATGCAGAAAGATGCAATATAATGTGATTAAACCATTAAGAGCTACCTGAGTTTTGTCCTACATTAATAAGTCATTACGACAGGAGGTTGCATCAATATTGACCTATATATGTAAATATGTACTCTAGTCTTCAAAGGCTTTACATGAAATACAGAAAAATTAAATCATGTTAATGTCATTCCCCTGGCAAAAATTATCCTATGACTGAGAAGAATTTTCTTCAGGAGAGGAAGAGATGGTGGGGAAGGGGAACGGATGGAGGGTAGAAAGGAATTTGGGGGTTAGGGCAGTGAAGAAATGGCATGGGGAAGGGGAATGGGAGAAGAAAGGGGGAGATGGAGGGAAGAGATGGCGGGGAGGGAGATGGAGGGGAAAGAGATGGGGGGAGGGCAGTGAAGAAATGGATGGGGGACAGGAAGGGATGGAGATGGAGGAGGGGAGAGAGGGAATGGATGGAGGACAGGAAGGGATGGGGGTGGAAGGAGAGGGAAGAAGGTGGTAGGGGAAGGGATGGTAGGGGGAGGGAAAGGGATGGTAGGGGACGAAGAGATGGCATGAAGACAGGCATGAGGTGAAATAAACATGCCGTTTATATTTGCACATGTTTTCACCAATGTTACTGTAAACTAACGGTCCATGGATAATGAAGCGGTAATCAGTTCATGATTGTTGATAATATGTGAAATTGGTGCCACTGCAGATGGAGCAAAAAACGTACTCTCACAAACATGGTAAGCGGAAGTTGTACACACATGGAATGGGGTAAAATAGCAAGCCAGTTTGTTGATATGTGATCGTCCACCTACAATAAGCGAAACAAAATATACTATCCATTTTCTGTCAACTACAATTCATTTCTAGGCGTGAGTAGACACAATGTGATTGTGAATTCTCTGAATAATGCTGACCGAAGTTGTAATTATCAGTAACTACCAGTTTGCCGCGATTAGGACCCCATTCTAGGGGGTCGGCTCATGTACGTAACATGCCATTTTGACACTGATTTTAAGGGTCAAGTTAGGGGGTCAGCTTATCTACAGTAATATACGGTACAAATACAGAAAGGGGAGGGATGGAGATGGGAGAATTGACGGCAAGAGAAGGGGCAGAGATGGTGGGAGAGGAGAAGGAATGTGGTGAGAGTTAAAGGCGGTTTGGGAAGGAAAGGTGGATGGGTAGGAGGCTTAGTAGATGGGAGGGGAAAAAGGGGATTGTAGATTGGGGTGGATGAGGATGGAAGGGAGAGGCAGGGGGAGTAGGGGCGGGCCGAGGTAGAGACAGCAACATTTGGGTGTATCCACACGGTGATAATTACACATGTTTAGCAGCAGTGATTGTGGATAGTTGCGGTGATCAGCGTTGACCCCTTGCTGACTAACAGCATCACCATGGTTACCTTCACTTTCGGTCTCTCCTGGTTGGCATGGCAACAAACACAATGGGATATAGCATATAGATTCCATGTACACACATTGCTGTGTCGGACACACCCATCCAAACTGATGGCACAGTACAACAGTCATATCTGGATGAATCAAGCTCTGTTCATTTCATCCAAAATTTGCTTATGTATATTAAGAGATCTCAAATGAATTAATTCAAAAATAATTGCAAAAATGTGAAGAAAACTTGTAATTAAATCCCCAGCTACAACATTTGAGGGCAGAATCCCGCTTCTATATTTTGGCACCACACGTTCATGTATTACATCATTTATACACATGAAAAATTGTTAAGCACCACAACTTCTTTACTGGTATATATCCTGCATTACCATGTAGATTTTGGAAACATTTACACATGACACTAAATATATTTCATGAAGATGCCCCCAATATAAGGTGAACTACTGGTGAACTACTGGTCCTGGAGCCCTGTGTGTTCTGGACTGTTCACATCTTATGTTGCAATAAAGAAAGGAGTAAACTGAACAGATGTTCTGAGACAATCCAATCAATGTGAGTACAGTGAACCCCTGTTTATCCAGCAACATTTTCATGAACATCATCCAGAATTACCAGTCTGGACTTTGAAGCATGTCTCTCTGTTAACAAGTCATCACGACATCAGTAATCAACCAAATAGTAAATGTCCAGTTAAACAGTGTCCATATTCACAAGGTTGTCACTTAAACCAGGATTAATCTGGGACAATGACTGGTTACAGTCTAAATAAACTCATAAACATTATATTCAAATTCAAATTTGGCAATGATACAGAAGAATGTCTCATTAAATGTTGATGAATAATTGCATTCAGCATATATATTCAGCATGTATACAGTGTATGAAATAAGGCCCGTCAGACCGCCCGAGACGGGCTAGATTTCTGCCAGACAGTCTAATTTTACAGCTAGCCAGCCCGATAGACGGTTGAAAAAAAAATATTCAGATAACATGTCCACTGGCACTGCCTATTTAGGATTTAAGAAGGACTGGTTAAATCTCTTCTGGGCTGGTAAGTTTATGAAGTTACCAGCCCAGATGTCTGGCTGGGTTTTTGGCTTATTTCATACACTGATGTATACTATAATTCTGATTAACAGTCATACTTGTGTGCATAGACACAAGGCACTCACCTGTAGACAGGATGTTGTTCCGGCGGACATTGACGTCCATGGACTGAAGGAGGAGGATGGCAATGACCTGGGGTCGGTTGTTCAGCGCAGCGTGATGGAGGAGAGACAAACCATGCTCGTCCTGCTTCCCCAGGCGGGATGCTGGCATCTTGCGACACAGTGTCATGAACATGGCGACAAGGCCACGCTGGGCGGCTGTCTTCAGTCCCGACACTGGTGACTAGAGGGACATGTAGTGAGTGAGTGGGTGAAGTCGTGGAGCAATGACATACTTTCACACTAACGATTAAACCCCATCTTTAAAACAAAGATATATATATAAAGCATATGAGGTACTGTGGGCAGACATACCTTATACTTAATGGCCTTCTTGTAGCCAAAGTACTTCTTGAACTGTTCATGGAGGTTGATGTCATTGATGGGAAGTTTCTTCGGTTTCAGTCCACTAATGGCTTCCGAGTAGGAGCGAACCCACAGGGGCTTGTGTGGGTTCTGTCCATAGTACGTCTCCAGCTCGATCGCCACCACGTGGTATCTAAGCAACCATCATTGATCATAATGTAAGATGTTGTAACTACCCAACACATCCATGTTTCATCCACAGTCGGGTTAGCACTACAATAAATGATATTTAAGTTATACAATGGTGTGTTACTATCAGGTCAAATAGATGTCCAGTGTGTGACATCAGGAGGTTCCTCTGGACCTGGAGGTATGTCTGCTCCTGTAGGCTTGGACACCTTAAACCTTGACTAACATGTGTTAAACACCATGTGTAACAGTGTAGGAATGTAATGTTTCACTAGTCTGTCAGTGATACTTGGTACAAACACACCACATGCCGACAGGTCATGTACCATGGATGCAGCAAATATTCATTTTTACTTGATTTGTCAAAAAATGTAAAATTTCAAACAAGTTTGGGAAAGCATAAGGTAAATTGATATTGCTTTCTCATAACTGTCCTGTTTGCCAGAGTTCATCTGATGAATGGACAAGAGGTAGCCCTGAAATGATCTTACAAAGAATATAGAAGTTGAGATCCATAAACAGGTTCTTATAAAATTCTAAGAGATTATATAAAAGACTTGATATTATGATTATTTCCTGATACATGACTCACAATACAACATGTATCTCAATATCTTATATGTGCCATGATTAAGTAAAACCAAGTTAACACCTGCATGGAAACATAGTGCAAACTGAAGTCAGTATTATTAGAAAATCAAATCAAAGCACAAATCTGTGCAATCGTAGTCATACTTCTAGGGATCATTTCTATAGAACACATCACCATGACTTCAGGTAAAACTGGCAGTCTACCAAACCATGAGGACAAGAAACTGTACAATACAACAACTTACCTGTTACCATTGATCTCAGCCATGGTGGTGGCAGTGTGCTCTGGGTACACATGGTCTGGCTCCAGGAGTTTGGTGAGATGCGTCAAGGCCTCTGACCTGGCAGCATCATAGCACATGGAGAACTCCCTCCCAGCTTCCTCCATCGGGGAGGTCTCAAGGTCAAACAGAATACCTGAAACCAACACCAGTCTCTGGTGGTAAACTCATACATCACCTCTGTTTTTTTGTGTTTCACGCAGACACACCATGGTGTAAGAAACACTCCTGATAGTGACATCACACCAACCCACTCACTCATGTTTGTGTTTTGCTTAACGACACATTTGTTAAACGTCAGCAGTATCAAACCTTCAGGACAGGCTTTGTAAATAATCTAGCCTGGACCATACAATTCAGTGATCTAGTCTGGACCATAAAAGTCAATGATCAAGTCAGGACCATACAATTCAGTGATCAAGTCTGGACCATACAATTCAGTCATCAAGTCTGGACCATACAATTCAGTCATCAAGTCTGGACCATACAATTCAGTCATCAAGTCTGGACCATACAATTCAGTCACCAAGTCTGGACCATACAATTCAGTGATTAAGTCTGGACCATACAATCCAATGATCAAGTCTGGACCATACAATTCAGTGATCAAGTCTGGACCATACAATCCAATGATCAAGTCTGGCCCATTCACTTCAGTGATCAAGTCTGGACCATACAATTCAGTGATTAAGTCTGGCCCATACAATCCAATGATCAAATCTGGACCATACAATACAGTGATCCAGTCTGGACCATACAATTCAGTGATCAAGTCAGGACCATACAATCCAGTGATCAAGTCTGGACCATACAATCCAATGATCAAGTGTATACCATACAATCCAATGATCAAGTCTGGACCATACAATCCAATGATCCAGTCTGGACCATACAATCCAATAATCCAGTCCGGACAATACCATCCAGTGATCAAGTCTGGGCCATACATTTCAGTGATCAAGTCTGGATACATTCATCAAGTCTTCATTTTTGCAGAATTTCTGTCAATTTACAATTTACAATATTAAAAACACAATAAAAAACTTCACCTGTCAAGTATTACATCTCCATGATATTGTGATAAATATGCTGGACCCATTCACTGCCATAGCTAGTGGGAAGTCAATCACTTCATAGAAGAAGAACTCTATATGGGATTACTTAGTATAAACATTGTGTCATTGTGTCATTCAAATCAAAATAAATCTACGATGCCGGGTTGTAGTGAGCTGGAATAATGCTGATGTGAGGTAAAGCCCAACTCAACTCAACTGTAGTGAGTGAGTGAGTTTAGTTTTACACCAGTCTCAGCAATATTCCAGCTATATGGTGGCAGTCTGTAAATAATCGAGTCTTCACCAGACAATCCAGTGATCAACATAATGAGCATCTTTCCACACAATTGGGATACGATGACATGTGTCAACCAAGTCAGCAAGCCTGACCACCCTATCCTGTTAGTCACCTCTTACGACAAGCATGGGTTACTGAAGATCAGACCCGTGAAGATCCGGGGGTAGAATAGGTCTTCAGCAACCCATGCTTGTCCTAAGCAAGAGGCTTAACTAAGCGACAATGCTTGTCGTGAAAGAGGCGACTACTGGGATGAGTGATCAGGAGCTGGAATACTTGGTTGACTCATCTCTGAGATCAATTTGTACAAGATGAGACAGATTAGGACCTTGACATACAGGCATACAAACTGAGAATATCTGTAGATATCCAAAACTTCTAACCAGGTGATATTTATCAGATTACCAAAGAAATGACTGTTTGAATCATTACATTTATTACTATTTTAGACAAGCTGCAAGCTGACATTGCAGGGCTCGATTTAGTGCTTTGTTACTTGCACAAGTGCAACCCAGTATTACAAAGTGCAACCTATAGTTTGGCATGAAATGCATGTGGACCCGGTTTTTTGTAAATATCTCTTCATCCAATGACCCAATCGATCTCAAACTGTGCAAGTGGATGTTTTGTCAGACAACCTAATCACATTGTAAATCACCGATCGTATGCATTTGTATTAAAGAATCTGTCTATGTAACTGTCAACAACATAAACAGCAGAACGCAGAAGGCTTGCAGAGGGAGGGAGCCAATGACCTGTAACAGCGGCAGTGTTGGGTCATAAAGGTCAACGTTCGTCAATGTAGGTCAGCTATGCTGATGACCCTGATGTCAAAAGAATCTAACTTTGTATGCCTGCCTTTTTGTACAAGGTTTTGTTTATTGGTTGTTGGTTTATTTTTCACAATTCTTAGCACTATGTTCTCTTTCATGCCAGGAGCAAAAGTTATACATTTCATGTAATCCGACACCTTATAAATTGGTTTGCTACGTTTGCTCTCTTTTTAAAAAAAATTAAACACATTGCTAATTAAACTTTTAGCATCATCTGAATAAGCTTTCATGATGACAGCTAGAAGAAGTCAATGTGAATGATCCAAATGGTCTATCACTGTGCAGTGCACAGGTAACTATCATGAACTGCACGTGCATTTACCTTTATGACCCAACACTACCGCTGTTACAGGTTATTGGCTCCCTCCCTCTGCAAGCCTTCTGCGTTCTGCTGTTTATTTTGTTGACAGTTACATAGACAGATTCTTTAATACAAATGCATAAAATCGGTGATTTACAATGTGATTAGGTTGTCTGACAAAACATCCTCTTGCACAGTTTGAGATCGATCGGGTCATTGGATGAAGAGATATTTACAAAAAAACCGGGTCCACATGCATTTCATGCCAAACTATAGTCATGAGTCTAACTTGCACAAGGTGCAAGTCAATTTTTGAGAAATAAATCAACGATCAATCTAACATTATAAGCATAAATATGTCAGCTCATTTTTCTTCTAAACTTTGAATAGCTATGGCACCGAAACATTGCTATTCCATAGACACGACTTGGCTATGACAGCTTTTGTAAACAGATATCAGCTGTGTCTCCGTGTTGCTATGGTTTCATGGGTACTACATCACAGAAATATTTGTATGTGCACCGAAACTTCTGACGTTTTAAACACACTACGTTGCAACTGGAATTTGGCTGGTGCAACTACGTTTTTTATCTTAGGTTGCACCTGGTGCAAGTATGTTAACATCTCTTAAGTCGAGCCCTGCACTAGAATCACCATTCAGCCTTAGTGGTTCTAGGTGAGTGGGTGAGTGAATGGGTAAGTGCATGGCTTTTGTGTTTAACGCCACTTGTACCATTATTACTGTTATATCACATAAAAAGGGAATGTAGGTCCATGTATATTCAAAACGTTTATCTCTCAACACTCACCTCCATGAAGATGAAAATAATGGTTTCCAAATGAGAAGTTTTTGCATTTGAAATCTTGACCAAGGATCAGGGAGGTAAGTCTCTCTCCGTGCGGCACTCATCCCCTGTAACATTTAGGGTTTAGGAGAACTCATTTTGATCAGAAGTCAACACTATGATATCTACTGCTGCAGTTCATGAAATAGTTCTCTCATACAACCATAGTTAATCAGCCATGACACATCTTAGTCTGGGAAACGTAGGTAAATATGGGTTTTCGATTACAAGTAGAGACATCATCTCTGGCAATGTATTGTTGAAACATGTCTGTGACATCTAGAACAAGGAATGATGACACTGTCACATCTCAAACAATCAAAACAATGAAGACAATCAAACAATTGATACAAAGCTGACAATCAGGAAGAAGCAAGATTTACAATATTCAGTGAGAACTACTGAACAGAAATAGTACCAATATTCTTGTCCATATTATTTTCTCCGTGAACAAAACCATTGGTCCTACTCTACTGCAACTCACCTGCCATGGAAGGCAGCAACCTGTTGATGTTGGGTATCCGCATCCTCTTCTTCAGGCCAATCAGGAATGGAGTCATGAAACTAATAAACTTTAGGAGTTCAATTTGTCGTTTAATCTCAAGTTTGTTTGGCAATGCAGTTTTGATCATTTCTTCATGAAGCTGAAGTCGTGTTTTAATCCTCTCGTAGCCCGTGTGATCAATGCGATCATCTAACAGTTTAACAATACTCGACACTGCCCAGTCAGCATCCACGATGAACATGTCCTTGTGGTGGGAGACTGCATTCTGGGAAAATGTCATTCTCATAGTGAGCTCGTCAACATGACTCATGAAGAAGCGTCCCTCCTGAATCATGTCTGTGTCGCCAGGTTGTTCTACAGGAAGGTTGTCGTAGGCTGTGGAATAGTCCGGATCTTTCGTAATGTCCATCAAACCTGGAAGAGGTACCTATTTCATTATTGGATTCAACGGTGCTGGAGGACACTCTGAACATAACATCAATAATCGGGATTAGACATAATTAAAACGTAAGAAACAAACATTCGTATATTTTCATTAAGCCCTGGCATCTGTAGCAATGCCTGTCATCTAACAATCAAGGGGAGACAACTCAGACTGTTAAAGTGCAAACTATGCTGCAAATCGTATTTGTTTTCATGGTTGTAAGGGACCCACAATGGATGGCAAGCAAGACATGTTCACCATAAGTTGTTCAAACAAGTTGTTTTACCAACTCTTCCACCTACCAATGCAGGAACTGTTTGTTTTAGTTTTTCGGCTAGTATGGCACTGACATTAGTATCAATTTGAATTCTAGTAGGTTGGGTTTTCAAGGCAATTGCAATGTTTCTGATACTACTGTCCCATCACCCACGGATTTGATAATGGAGTGAAAAAAAACTTCTCAGAGGTGGTTTTCCACTTTTCTTTGTTATGTTCCACAGATTTCATAAAACAAACCTGCTTCAGAAATATTTATAATTATAAACACATACCACAATGAGACTGACTTACCACCCCTCATGAAGTATGTCGTGAGAGGTCCTTACCCATGTGAAGGCTGGCAAGTCGTAAGTGAGGGATACTTACCAGCACTAGTAAACTCTGTCAGAAGTGGCTTCTTTGTTTCAGGGTTCCCATTAGGATCAATATCCAAATTAGATCGCCATCGCTCAGAAAACTTTATCCGTTTATCTTTGGGTATGTAAGCACCATGCCATAGCGCTTTCAACATGTAGTCCACACTGACCAGCACCTGCCCCACCTTAGTGTCCAGATAGGCTGGAGGAAGCTGGCAAGATGTACTTTTGTCGTAGTTTGCCTCCAAAGCTATGAGCGGAGTCTGGTGCATAACAAATATCCCATAGGTCAGTTCTTTTACAATCTGGTGCAGCTCCCGGTAGTCAAGAGGCTGATTCTCAGCAACGTCTGCATCTTCTGGGAAGAGAATCACACTGTGATTTGAACCTGTAGGGTTGATACTTGTGATGAGTCCAACGGGAGGGTCTGTTGGCAGCCGGAAGTCCTCATTGGACAACATCCAGTGTGTGGACGAGTGAGCCAACAGTTCCTGGCAGTCATAGCGGTCAAATTTCTCAAAATAGTTTGAAGCTTGACTCGCACTTTGTTGTGCAAGGATATCCTCCTCAGAGGGACCCTGATCGTTCTTGGGATTAGACATTGCACTTTTACTCATTGACATATTAGATGCCAAAAGCAGTCTTCAGTCCAAAAAGAACAAATTCCTGCAACAGCAAATGCAGATATTAGCATGATATAAGTAGATATAACAAACGATGGAATGGAACCTTTAAGCAATATTTGTAAAGTTTCTGATTTTTCTTTTTCTCTATTTTTTGGTATTTCTACTTTTAAAACTAATCAAAATACACATCTTTGGTTAACAAATAATTACTTGCTTTCTTCTGGTCCATATTAAAAGTATTTAGCTTTTAGTAAGATTATTTCTATAAATTGTATTATTGTTATGAAATACACACTGCCATTTTAGAAAGTGGTCAAATGTAACATAAGTATGTTATATTTGGGATTACACTTTTGTAGTAAGTACAGATTCTAGTACTTTTTTGGGTTGAGTCCCATCCAGGATTCGAACCCACATCCTCAGAGTCAGGCACCTAATTGCCAGCACACAAAGTCAGATGCCTAGACCACTAAGCCACCGGTGGCTTAGAGGTCTAGTCGTCTGACGCCTGACTAGGCGTCTGACTTTGTGTGCTGGCGATTAGGTGCCTGACTCTGAGGATGTGGGTTCGAATCCCGGATGGGACTCAACCCAAAAAATACTAGAATTTGTACATTACTAAGAAAGTGTAATCCCAAATAATAAATATAACATATGTTGTATTATTTTTATAAGTACTATTTTATATCAGATTTACCCAAACAAGCTCAATTGCATTTTATTCATTTGTGGAAATCGTGAGCTTTTTCCAGATATATATGTTCAAATTGGAACACCCTCACAAGCGTGTACACTAGCGTGAAACAAACATGACTGACACATATCAGGCACATTGCATGTGTTGCTCTCAACATTCAGTGTGTACAGTCTCCTGGTCACAAAAGGTATTGGTCACTGTAACAGCACTGGCAGCCAAGAAAGACATATCTCTACTCTCAGTCTGAGCATTTTCCAAATAATGGTATGGAGTGTGGCATCAACATGATGATACAGCCTCACTGCCACAGTCAATTACGAATTCCCTTGAGAAAAAACCTAGGTTGCCAATGAAAACAAACCCATTGTAACTACGATATTGCTGTAATGCCGCTAAGTCTTGTATTCACATACCTGAAATCTCGAACGGTTGTCTAGATACAACTCTTGCTTAATTCCACTCATCTTTGAGACACAGAGATGTGACGTTAATGACAATAGTTCGCACAGAGAGTAGCGTCTTCCGTATCCAACCGCAACTATGAAGCGACGCCATATTGGCAAAGCGGACAAGTGCTTGCCGCGGTTTCGAATTCCAATTGTACTTTAACAACTAAAAGATATACTTTGCGGTTCAGAAATACCCTTTTGAAGATTGATGGGTTGTGTTTCTTCTTTATACAGTCGATTAGCATCATCTTGACAAACTCTATTCTTAATACGAAAATAATGAATCATCGGCTCTGAATCAAACTGACTACAATGTTAGAATGCGCACGCGTTAATATCACCTCTGTAGACAGGATTCCAGTCACTGACTTTCTAAGAAGTCATTTCCTCTTAAGATTTTGAATCACTAGACAACCTTGTTATGTTCATTTCGTTTTTTCCTTTCATTTCCATACGCTACAAGTACTTACTATAAGTTCTGCTTTCCCGAATCACATGCTAGAAATATTTCAACGGCAGAAATAAATGTCAATAGTTGCTTCTCGAACCATTAATCCACTTAGTGTATTATGAATTCATCAACAATGAACCTATCTCACATAGTATCTGCAGACTATATTTCACCTAATAGTTATCACCAAACACCATGTTATTTACAACCATACAGTAACATGAAAAAAATCTCCTTTTTATCTCTTGTGCATAACAGCTGTCTAGGGCAGACTGACTCGATCTCTGGATGTAGTCACACAAAGCTACGATACGTTTGGGCGAGTTCCCTCGACTTGATGAGATAACTCCAACGTACTCATACATGTGTTTCTTGAATACGGAAACCTGTTCATCCGGACATTTTCCCAAATTGAACGCGGTAAGATCTTTTAGCGGCCTCTTTTCTTTTCTAAACATTACGATTATTTTACCTGTGACTAGATACGTGTATATAGGTAAACTGATTGAAAAGGGAAGAAGGTTCGGAGTTCAAAACTTCAAATATATCTACTGAGAAAACCAGTCTTATTCAAATATAAGAAGAATTCTGTCCACAAAAACTCTAAAACTACCCAAAAACATGTTGGTTTAACCTTCATATTTAATGTTGCAACAAATCAAAATATATAGGTATTGGAATGAATGTCTTTGTCTACTTCATAAACATATATGAAATCATAACGGCTCTATTATTATTATTTTCTTTCATTTCTTAAACCATTCCCTGCGAATTGTTATAAGGTGAAAATGCTCCCCTAAACCATTCGAAAATGTTACAGGGAGATCGATAGAGCGATTAGAAAAAGTTCAATAAAAAATACAAGTGATGGTGACGGATGGGCGCGAGTTACAAAATATCAATATGGAGATGTGTTTTTGCTATAGGTTACACGATGTAAGGGCACGACAAGGTTGTCAGATGTACTACCGATCAATAATGTTCGATATTTTTCTAACTACAAAACACATGAGTTCAAGGTCAGATGTAGTTGTTATCGAATCAAAACGATATATTTGAACAAGTGATCAAGATCAGTTCAGACTCGAACCCTTCTAAAAGGTGAGGTGAGGTGAGGTGAAATTGGGTTTAACGTCGTGCTTGAGAATATTTCGCTCATATGACGACGTGCATGCGTGTGTATGTGTATGTGCGGCTGCTTGTACTAGCCCAGACTTGAGCTGGTTTTATAGTGCTAGCCCACTGAGATACCATGCCGCAGTGAAGCATGAATACCCCACTCAGACACACTATACTGACTCCGAGCCGACCAGTCCTTGTTGTACCCATTAATGCCAGCGCAAGGCAGGGACCAACAAGTACCATATTTTAACGTATTTTGGTATGACGCGGTCGGGGATCGAACCCGCGACCTTCCGCTCTCCGGGCCCCTTCTAAAAGATACCTTTAAGACGAATAGAGTGGTGCGCGCTTTTCAATTGACGGAAGCAATCCACGTCAGAGAGTAGTAAGAGAGATGGATTGAGACAAACATATGTGAGTATAGAGCCTGGTGTTGAGTTGATCTCTGAGTGAATGTGTGCCAGTAGCCAGTACACAAACGTAATGTGGTTAGTTAGGAGTCACGGTCGTCCGACCCCTCACTCCCGCACTTAGCATCCTTGGACATCCAAGAGGGGAGCCTGGGCTTACATCTCCCCTGACAATGTGGAACGGCCATAATTTGTAGGTAAGAGGGTCTACTGACACCCGAATGTAGTTACGACAGGACCGGACATTTGTTAATCTTGATTATATCGGGAATAGAACTATCCGTACTTACGGGATTTCACTGTTAGCAGAAAACCAAAATGACATGTTATCTTTATCAAACTTGCGTAATTACGATTTTCATACAGTTATATTAGTCGACCATACATGTCTTATCACATTAATAGCCCACAATTCCAGTTTTGCACAGTGGGAACTGGTGCAGTTGTAGTGCATTACCACCAAGGTCAAGGTCAGGAATGAATGGCCCAATCAACGCTGCGTTGTTTCTAAATACGTCATTGTACGATCTATAGAGCAGAGTATCGTACAATCTTTCTCACACACAATACCGTAAATCCTGGAATAAATGCTGCGTTTCAGTAATCGGAAGACATTCCATCTCCGGCGTGCAATCGAGGCATGTGTGTTTTGAAGGATTTACGGTACGTGCTATCTCTCGGTATCCATACTTGTATTACACGCCGATAGTACACAGTTGTACCGTTATCTGTAACCTTTAGCACGTGATATGCTCAATCGTTTAGTAACATCGCCGACACCGCCGTATTGCATAGAAGGACGGGGATATATACCACACTTTTATTGCCTGTTATGACGGTATGTACCACAAGAGACGCAAATATCAGTTCCGAGTGAGCCTTGGCATTCACTAAATATGCAAAAAGATCGGTGATAATACCTATATATATATATATCACCTGCATAGCTCAAAGGTACAAGTCTCGTACACGGGTCTCGTCCTATAACACGTCTCATGTTATTTTCAGATACGTACATAACATCTTGAAATGGCAAGAAAGAGAATTTCTAAGAGGCCAGCAGGCGGTCATCCGCGTGTACCCGTCCATACTGATACCGGAAGTGACTCAATTCCAGCCCCAGTGACCTCATCAATTAGAGTCATACTACTTGTTCTGATTGGTCTGGGAATTTGTGCTTTCTTATTTTACCCCGATATAACGCGGTTGGTTAGCAGTCTCCAAGGAGATGCAGGTCAGACTGCAAAGGAACAAAGAGGACTGCCTGACGACCAGCACAGAAGTGATCAACAGTTCCTCTCCGACGAAGAGGAAACCTTCAATGACGGACAACACGAAGATCTTATGATGACGGAGGAAGGGGATATGGAGGTAGAAGTGGAAGATCATGATGAGGAAACAGTAGAATATGACCAAAGGGGTGCATTAGAGGAAGAACCGCTCAAAAGCAATCCTGAGCTTAAACGAGAACCCGAAAGACCGCCGAAAGATGAAGTGAAGAGAACTGAACCTGAGAAAATGTCTGAAAGAGACACATCAAGTAAAACAGCCCCACAGGATGAAAAGAAATTTCTTAAATTTACGAAAGACGAAGCCAATGTTAAAAGTGTTGACATTAAGATGGAGGATATGACGAAAGAGCCTGTCAAAAAGAAGCCAAAAGAAGCTAAACCCAAGAAAAAACAAAAGGAGGAGACGTCCAATGAAGATGACAAGGATCTTCCCAAAGAGGTTCGTGACTTCAAACCAAGGATTCTGAGCACCGTTACAGCTAAGAAGATATTTGCCGATGGTCGACGTATCCCGCCCGTGGAACTGCTGCCTCAGAAGCCAACCAACAGCAGCGTCAGGTAAGTTCCAATACCGAATGTTTTTGGTCACATCTTTCTCCAAAAGGAGAGGAACAACTGGGATTTAATTTTCAGAAATCAAGCATGTCAAGCGAACATGATCTTGTCGTGTCTATTATAACATCACGATAAATTGTGTTTTCCAGTATTACCTAAACAAAAGTTATAAACAAGAATACCAATAGCCTAATTAAGATGGCCTGCACCACAAATCCTTCCCTGTAAAAGTGGCGTTTATACCTGACAAATGAATATTTACACTTATGATTTATACTCGAGAAATACTTACGTTATGTTCTATAAATCCTAAACAGATAAACTCGAGTTTAGCACACACACACACCCCACACCAAGACCCTCGCCCACAATCTCACCTACACACACACACCCTCACCCACCTACACACACACTCTCTCTCACACACACACACACACACACACACAAAAACCCACCTACACACACACACACACACACACACACACAAAACCCACCTACACACACACACTCGCCCAAACCCACATACTAGTACATACCCCCACCCCACACCCACACACAAACCCACCCAAATCCTCACCTACAACCTCACTCACATCCACCCCAGCCTTCATCCCCTGATCATCCCGACTGTTACTATATGACGGAGTAAAGTGTAGTGCAGTAGGGTTAACGTTAGCAGAGGCCCGCTGGAATCGCGGAAGATGTCTCTGAAAGTAATATCGGCTACTGACGCAAGCGGCCTAAAACCTTATCCACTCACTCCCCCTACCTTACTGTCATCACCAGGGTGTTCCTGTTCGACGAGTTCTTATCGACGCTGGAGTGTGACGGTTTGATGAAGGCGCACGACAAGCACGTGCAGGATGCCGGCAAGCAGGACCCCATCATGTGCTTTGACAGCATTGGCACACTGAAGAAACACTTAGAAGAAGCTAAAAAGAAAATACGTGTCACACCTAACGTGTTTACAGAAGGTAATATATGTGTATTATAAGTTCTGCACCTCAGGTCACTTTAAGGTGTTATGGGCTTGAACTGCAGTGGACGCTAAATGTCTGTTGTCAAGGAGACAGCGTACATTCGGCGAGTTATACCCAGCTGTAGTGGGGTACATGAAGTGGTATCTATACGTCACTGGCCAATATAATTCCGGTATATATGCATACAAGTATTATATATCATGCTATACAGTAATGGATAAAGCTAAGAAAACAAAAAGTATTACATTAAAATACTCACAGGCGATCCAGACGGGGGGTGCAGGGGTACGCACCCCTATTGTCAAGTTAAGTTTAAGTTTATTAAATGACCATTCAAAACTCCCGTGAAAACGGGTGAAAAAAGTGCGCACCCCATTTTCTGAACTGTCATTGCCATGGATATATTGTCAATCAAATTTAATAATATGAACCCCGCGCATAGGATCCGGGTTGACCCTTCACTACTCACTACTTGCCAAAAGGACCCGTGAAGATCCGGGTTAGAATTGATCTTCAGTAACCCGTGCTTGTCGTAAGGGGCCACTCACGGGATCGGGTGGTCAGGCTGGCTGACTTGGTTGAGACGTGTCATGGTATCCAAATTGCGTAGATCGATGCTCGTGCTGTTGATCACTGGATTGTATGGTCCAGACTCGATTGTTTACAGACCATATCGCTGGAATATTGCTGAGTGTGGCGTAAAACTAACCTCACTCACTCACTTGCCAGAAGAGGCAACCACCCATTCGTCACCAGCCGCCAGTTTCCGTAACCTCGATTTGTCCCGGAATAAAACGAGTGGGCCACGAATGCGTTCGACCATATTCCGATTGTGTAGTTATGACTGATGAGACCTGATTATATACAGCCCGGCGTGATACAGCTGGAGTATTGCTGACACTGGCGTTAAAAAGTCTCTCACTCGCTGTTATGTTAATCTTTTTATTGAATTGCTTGGTCATCATTGTGATAATAGACTATAACAATGATTTCCTGATAATTGCCAGGAACAAAATGCTTGAATGCCACATTTTCACGCCAAATTGGCGACTTGATTCACCGGAACTGGAGCTACAGCACGGCATTCTACCCAGGAGAAAGCAAGTTCTCGTCCATCTTTGCCAACAGAGTGAAGGCCGCTATGGGTCTTGATCAGGAAAATGGCGGGAAATTTCAGCTGACGTCATATCCGAAAGGAAAAGGTAAGTCTGTTCTAACAGGGATACTCTACAATCTTATATAGTCTCCCTGGTTCTAACGATGGTATGACACGGGTATGACAGTTCAGCTTTTGCTGATAGCGATACAGGTATATGACGATTAACACTGTTGGTGAAAGTTACTAGCACGGTTCGGGGTTCGAATCCACGATCATAGGATCCGGACACAGCCAAGGGGCGCAGTTATACAATGGGCGACATGTGATGCGTATGACCTTGCCTCCCGGTCAGTTCACCCAGCACAGTTCACGAATCTCTGCACATGCAACATGATGTATATATTACAATTCACTATTTATACTAAAATATTGTACTTTAAATAATTTAGTTCTATGTTCTATTTTTGTACCGTGGAATAACGAAATGGCCTATTTCTGAAGCGCTTTGATTCTTTGGATAATTATGTGGCGTGACCGTAGACATTTTCAAATGTCTAAGATTCTGTAGTTGCAATGGGGCATTCGACCATATTTGATATATGACACAACAGACACTTGTAAAAACAACCCATTATTCTCAGCCTTAGTAGCATGGGTACATTGTGTCGGATTTACGGATTGATTATTTATGTTGCAATTCATTTAAAACAATATGGAAAGTATAAACATTTACCTTCACTCGAGTCAAGTACCATGTAGAGTTGTTGAGTTGTTGTTAAGAAAGAGAGTTTTAAGTTAAGAGACTCAAGTACAAACATGATCAGTTACTTTGCACAAAACGCTGCCCAGTTCTGCACAGTTAGTAATGACGTCGATGACGTTGCAGCGTACAAGTCTCACACGGACTGCGTGGAAGGGGGCGAGGACAAGAGGGACAGAGTGGCCACGGTGCTGGTGTATCTTCAGGACGTCGAGGAAGGCGGCGAAACACGTTTTCCCGGTAGGTGTCGCTGGTAGGGGAGGCCAGACACGTTGACATGGTAGTTTGCATGGCATGGTATCCCAGTTGACTTGACCATGCCCAGGATGGCAATCACTGGATTATCTGGTCCAGACATATGTAATAACGTGTTTTATTTTCCATATTTCTAATATACAGGCGTTAAAAGCAGTGGGTACAAAACTGAAAACATGCAGGTGTTATAAATGGTTGTATAATAGTTTCATAGGTATATATACATTTATAACTAATGACGTCACCAGGTAACTTTGGCAATCCAGCACAACCTAACAGGTATAATGTTGACCGGAAATGGAAGAGTTTAGTTTCACGCCGCTTTTAGCAATATTCCAGAAATATCACGGTGGAGGACACCAGAAATGGGCTTCACACAATGTGCTCATGTGGGGAATCGAACTCGGGTCTTCGGCGTGACGAGCGAGCGCCTTAACCACTAGGCTACCCCACCGCCCCTGGTGGAATTAGAGTAGCAAATGTAAACTGTACCACAAAACCTGAGATGTAGATAGGTGCACTAATTAATGGTAGTTATACATGGAGCCAAATATGAGGTCACGAGACAGAATCTGATATGCTTGAAGATCCAAACGGTGTTAAACAAAAACATATCTCAAGAATGACAAATAACGTCTGGAAAGATGGCCGGTTCACATGGGCAAATGTTCCTATAAAATGCAAACTATCTTTTCTGAATGTGCTAGGGGCGGTGGGGTAGCCTAGTGGTTAAAGCGTTGGCTCGTCACGCCGAAGCCCCGGGTTCGATTCCCCACATGGGCACAATGTGTTAAGCCTATTTCTGGTGTCCCCCGCCGTGATATTGCTGGAATATTGCTAAAAGCGGCGTAAAACCAAACTCAGTCAGTCAGTCTGAATGTGCTTAGCCAGCCTGGAACAATGACAATTAAACAATAGACAATAAATTGATATTTCTTAAAGTTGGCGTAGAACAGTTGGCGTCTTGTGTTTGTGAATGATCTGATGCATAAGGATGGCAGATTACTTAATATTCTGTAAAAAAACAACTTTTGGGTTGTTGAAAGAGTTAAAGCTGGTGAACTATCTTACGCCAAAAAACATGGCATTCATCAGCTTACAGAACCTTTAGAAAACCCCGTTTCTCCATTCAATCTTCGCTTGTCGTAAGAGGCGACTAACAGGAACGGATGGTCAGGTTCGCTGACTTGGCTCACACATGTCATCGTATCACAGTTGTGTAGATCGATGCTCGTGCTGTTAATCACTGGATTGTCTGGTCCAGACTCGATTATTTACAGACCGCCGCCATACAGCTGGAATATTGCGGAGTGCGGTGTTAAACAACAAACCAAACCATTCGATCTTAAATCACTAACAGGGCATCCGGATGTCAACACTTCAAACTTATCAAACTTTCAATATACAATGTATATTTATATCTATATATGAACGTCAGTTTAATCAATACTCAAATGATTTGGGATTTCTAGGGGCTAAGCATGGGTTATATACGACGTCACGATTAATACCTCCACTGCAAGAATTTATATAGTTTCACATCAACTAAATCTTGTCTTCACAGAGCTGGGTATATGGGTAAAGCCAAGGAAAGGTCGGGCGTTGGTATGGAACAACATGAGCCCTGATGGCGACTGTGAGCGCCACTCTCTCCACACGGCTTCCAAAGTCGACAAGGGCAACAAATACATACTGATACGATGGTAAGGCTCACATTGTGACAGCAGTGTAAAGAGCGCCTGCATTTATGGTCTTTGTGAAAAGTCCATCACGTTCGTGTACCACACCAGTTCCCGGAGTTATGTCCCTTAGCTGTGTAGGGTCCCACAATCGTTGATCAAATCCAATGGTCGCCCTGTATGATGTTTGGTCTGCTTGCACATATCTTTCCACGTGTGTTTCACCAGGATCGTTATACAGTCTACGATGTTACATGAAGTGAATGAGTTGGGTTACGGACACTTTGAACAGGAGATGGCTGGAGATTACATCAATAGTAGCAACGTGGTTGGCTGGAGTGGAGTGGAAGTCTAAATAGTAGGGCTGCCAGGGAAAGGGGAGGGGAGGAACGTCAAATTCATGGCGGTTTGGGTTGGAGTTTACGTCAATATGCAATATGGCGTGTTTCAATAGTCTACCATCATCATAACAAATTACCATATGTGTTAACAGGTACTACTACAAGAGTTTCTTTTCACTGGGCAAGCGTCCCCCAGAACCACCGCTACCCGCGAGAGAGACGGGCCAGCCGCGGGTGTCATGTGACGAGTTTGAGTACGGCAGCTGTCGGTGGTATGACGAGTGGAGCTACGAGCACTTGCTGGATTATGAACGCCAGAAGATGACTCTAATATGAACCATCATCCCTTGATCAGCTGGCCTTGGCTGTTCGATATGCGATCACTGGTCATCGCTTTCCCGCTACCTTGTAGTACGATATTAAACACGCCATCAACCAATCAGGGGCGCAGTTATCACAAAGAATATTTCATTGATCAAATCATATCTGTTATATTCAACGTCGTTCATGTGAGATTTCTGTATTGGTCTTTGGAGAATAAATGTATTTTAATAGATGGGAAGAATGACAAATTGTTCTCTAGTAAACAAGGCTGGGATGTCCGACGGTAGGTGTCCATATCCGACATATATTGGGTGTTTTCAAAGTAAATTGGCACCCTGTCCTCACTTGGCATTTGAATAAGACCCAGGTCAGTCCTTACATACCCTCGAATCGCCCTCGAAGGTGCAGCATTGGTATAGCAAATCTTCGCAGAACTATCACATTACAACACGTCTCAGGCGAGCCAGCTGCCCTTGGAGTTTGTCAACAACCAAGGGAGGTAATTCTAAATGGCTCCTAAAGCAGTATCCATCACACGAACGTTCCAGTCATTTAATGCCACTGAAAATCACAACAAATAAAATCACAAGAATCTCCCCGATCACATGACAGTATAGTTTATTATTACACCTTTAACCATGTTATATGCTGCTGATAAAGGCTGAATACAGAGCTCCAAATGTTTGGCATATTCAACCGATAAAAGGCACCCTGTACATAATTAGTAAACCAAACGAAATATCTGTATAATATACTTTCAATGATCGGCCAAATGACCCATGATGGCTGACACTCATAACGGCCACATGTTTCACGAAGAGCCTCTCATATCACTCGAACATCCTGGTTAAGGAACCTCAGTATTTCTTTTAGCAAAGCGACTTGAGTGAGTGACTTGGCTTTTAGGTCGCTTTCAGTGATATTCCAGCAATATCACGTAAGGGGACACAAAGAATGTACCCACGTGGGGAATCGAACCCGGGCCTTCAGCGTGAGGAGCGAACAACGCTTTAGCCACTAGGCTACCCTAATGCGACTTGATTGGATGGCGCGGTTAGACTTCGTTGAAAGTTACCTTATCCCAGTAGGAACTAGTCACATTTATAAACATTGATATCTCAGTTTCCCAAATATTCATTATGTAAAGGAAATGGTGATACAGCAGTAATAAAGCACAGACCAAACTTGCATACAGCGAACTTTAAAACATCCAAATTGCTGTCACGGTCAAAGACCTTGGTGTGGTTATCGACTCAGATGTGTCACTGGATGATCATGTTTCCCATCTAGTTTAGAGCTGCTTTGCTCATCTGCGCACTATTGGACATATCTGACCATATCTCACCACCGAATCTGCCACCACTCTTGTCCTGTCTCTAGTTATGAGCAGGATTGATGACTGTAACTCTCTTCTCGCTGGTGCCACTAAGACACAGATAAGGAAACTTCAGCGTGTGCAAAACGCTGCTGCACGTGTAGTGACCTAGTCACGTAAATCTGATGACACTCTGAAACTCCTTCAATCTTTACACTGGCCGCCCATTCACTACAGGATTCAGTTCAGGCTTCTGTGCCTCACTTTCCGCTGTCTGTCTGGATCTGCCTCTTCGTATCTGGCCCAGACCCTCGTTATCTGGTTTCCTCCTTATCCCCGCTGTGAGGACTTCTACATATGGTTGGACCCCATGCCAATACCCCTACACCCCAGTACCCTAAATGCCACTACCCCTACTCCTACACCCCAGTACCCTACAATTAGTTAAAACAACACAGGGCATTTACCTGTCTGGCATAATGGACTGACCCGAAGAGAGATTAGTGCATAGAGTATACAGATGAGATCAAGGGAGGGTTAGTGCATAGAGTATACAGATGAGATCAAGGGAGGGATTAGTGCATAGAGTATACAGATGAGATCAAGGGAGGGATTAGTGCATAGAGTATACAGATGAGATCAAGGGAGAGATTAGTGCATAGAGTATACAGATGAGATCAAGGGAGGGATTAGTGCATAGAGTATACAGATGAGATCAAGGGAGGGATTAGTGCATAGAGTATACAGATGAGATCAAGGGAGAGATTAGTGCATAGAGTATACAGATGAGATCAAGGGAGGGATTAGTGCATAGAGTATACAGATGTGATCAAGGGAGGGATTAGTGCATAGAGTATACAGATGGGATCAAGGGAGGGATTAATCTGTTGTTTAGTGATTTGTGTCAAGGAAATTTGGGATCAGCTAAAAGTTGTATTAGTTTCATGATGAAAGATAAACCTCTAGTGTGTAGTAGAAATTGGATAGTGTTTTGTGTCAAGGAAATTTGAGAGAGAGGAGGGGAGAATAGGGGAGGGGGGCCAAACCACCCCGCACCCCACCCCCTTTGAACATTCCTGGATCCGCCTATGCTTTGACATTATATGAAGATATTCTGTTCTTCAACTTAGTTGTTTTAGGCAACGCAAACTTAATGGTAAATTATTTTTACTGGTGTAGGATTGTGGCGGTAGCTGTAGCTGTTGCTGTTCAACTCTTCTGCATCAATTTACAGTAAATGCTGTGCAAACAGAATTCTACATTCATGTTTCCCAATTTGTGTCACAAAATATTAATTGGAATCCATAGAGATCCGATCAAGAAGAACAAACAATGTAAGTGTTGTACAAAAGATAAACTTTTATTTCTAAATGAAACATACTCTAGGTTTAAAGGACAGAACTCTAAGTACGTGGGAGCCTGCAGCTCTGAAACACCTCGGAGGAAAATACACCAAAATAATTACATATCTGCCATTTTACAGTTTGATTTGTATCAAATTGACTGACTATGTATCACTAAAATAGACATTTCTTCCTTCATGACTGATATGTTCCAAGAATAGCACTTAATGATATCCAAGATGGACGTGCCGGTATGGACATAGCCTGCATATAGGCGGAGGGACAACCACAGTTAAATGTACCATTCAAAGTGTGAAAATAGAGATAATAAATTACATCTACCAGTCAATATTAATTGAAATAACTTACACAAGGTATACAAGTCTTTCATTAACTACAAACTTTGTACATTTTGCATACAGAGTCAGTTCCGTGGTCTCCAACAGTCTGAGAAAGTTATTTTGATTATTGTTTACAATTTACAATTAAACGGTTTACTGGTGCAATATCATTTTCATGTACTTTTCTGATTCTTCAAGCAAGTCCAATTATTTCAGTATGCCGAATATCCCATTTCAGTCATTAGTTATCTGCTTAAATATAACACTAGATTTTCTTCCAATTTTAGATTACCTACAAAACGATTTTGACGTTTATGTTTGGCTTATCAAAACAGAGCGTGGCTCTAAACTGATGTATGAGGATTAAAAGGAGGCTCTCAGGGATGAAAGTCTGATATTTGACTTGAAACAGGAACCAAATATGCTCATGTGGAAATATTAACAACCATTTGCTTTTACTTCAAACAGGTCTTGATAATATTACAGCCAATGAACAAATCAATATTATTTCATCAAAATCATACTAAATAGTGTGTCTGTTTACTGTTGGTGACCAAAGATTAGCTAACATGTATGCAGATGCAAGTGGGTCATTCAATATTTGGGCTCCACTTATTACAAGCCAATAAATAGCACTAACTATACATGCGTTCACAAATATTGCTTTGGTATTTCAAATTGGACTTGTTAACAATTTACATTGTCTTGTGTTATTAGCAACATGCTAATAAAAAACTCTAAATTGTGATTAACACTAACTTCATGTTAAGCATGAAAATCAGAAAGACAAAGTCGACTCCCTTTGTTGCATAAAATGCATCAGGTCCATCACATAATGGATATATCAAGTTTTTCAGTCCCAACAAATGCTGAACACTTTTTGTAGGATTTCTCCTATAAATTTCATAACGAAAGATTTTCGGATTCTAAATGCGCTGGGCACAAGAGCTACCTCAGCCATGCTCCAACAACTAGCATGGCTGGCAACGACATTCAGAAAGCAGAGAGGCCTCTCGTTGCTCACCTACTGTCTATATACAAAACTGACAGAAATGTCAAAACCTCATGGAAGGAAAACTGATACATGTGACTGCCACAAGGGTCAGTCCATTTAAATGCATGTCTGAGATTCGTTAAAAACCAGTCCAGTTCTGCACTGCCAACATCTAATAGTGGTGTCTACAGAAAAACTTATACATTGCACAATAAACCGTGCATCATCCGTTACAATTTGATTTTGCAAATTTTTTTTCAGGTTTAGCTTTCTGTATTTACACATACGCAAGCTTTGTCATTGTGCGATTGTTCCTACAGGCTTGTAGGACGCTGATAATCATTGCTTTACTCAGGATGGATCCTTATCGTGCAATGTTTAGCTGCCTTTTCCAGGATAGGCAAGAACATGTTTCGGCGAAAATATTTGTTCCCGTACACCAAACAGCGAAAACACAGCAAGAGAACACATTTTTCTCTCCTCCTTTGGGTGGATGCGTAACAACTGCAAAAGAGCATCATGGAATGTTGAGGGGAAAACCCAGAAGTCTGCTGGACTCCTCTACAAACAATGTGTCACCAGGTCGGCGGCTTGAACAAGATTGGACGCTGACGAAGTTTTTACTATTGTTAAAGGGCTTTCGATACAGGTAAAGAGACAATTGGACCCATCAAAAGTTCACAATCATCTGACCTATAGCAAGAAACTCAGTGAATGACCTTAACATTGTTCTATTTGACCCTGTTGTTGGACACTTTTCAACAAAGCAATTCCCTCACTGCAGGTAAATTACAGGCCTTGATCATTCAATGGAATCATAATCTCCAAATAAAACTATGTAGGAATGTGTAAAGTCAACTTCAGTTCAGATCTGTTCCAATGAATTGAAGGTTAAACTGGAAATATTCACTGTTATTTGAGTGCAGACATAATGGAAGCTCCAACCTGAGTCAGTGGAACAAACATTAGTTGTGACAATATAGATCTAGAAGAATATTGACTTTTTGTCTTTAAACCCAAATACCAGGAGGTTCACACTGACTCATAGTTTGAGTAATTCTTTGACAAAGCTCCACAACTAGGAAATAGGTTGACCTCTGTGTATTGTACTTTGCCACCATGAGGAGAGACAGCCAAATATCAGTGTAAAAGTCAGCCACCACAAACAAAATGTTAATATGTGTCAACAAACTTAATCAATTTGGTCCACAAAGCAAATATTCTTGTAGACTAATTTCAAAAGTGGATTACACATTTCAAATACCAGTTTGATTATAGAACAGATACAAATGACTTAGGTGAATGCCATTATGAATGATAATACTTGGGAACAAGGAGCACACAAAAAAAGCCCTAAATGGTAACATTGTGACCAATAACCTAGGCGTTTCAGCAAAAGAATAACAGTTTTTTGTATTCTTCATCAAAACATAGTAAAACAATGATAACATGATTATCAGTGACAACCAGTAAGGTAATTCATATATCATACCAGTGTGAACAAACTTGTATCTTATCAACATTGGCACATACGCATAGTTTTAGAAAATATTTTAATTGAAAACGAACAGTGAATGTTTACCTCAAGTTTAAACCCTCATTAGAAAGGGGACAAACTGCCACTAGACTGTTTGATTAACTGCTTAGGTACCCTGGGATCTGTCATATCAGGTGCATAATTTTGAACATTTTTAGACTTCAAATTAATGAAAGCAGTGCTGATATAATATATGAACGACTTCCATCAGATTTGTCCAATTACTCAGTCAGTATTAATGGTAACTTAGGCATTCAGGATTCCATCATCAACGATTACCTCAAATCCAGGGAAAAGTGTCTAATCATAAGGCCAAGTGACTCATTAAAATTGCCAGTTCCAATAACCAGTTAGATTCCAATAACCACTAAACAGTCTCTAAAAACAAAAACGCTGCAGATCAAAATAACATTATGAGAGCCACACAGATACAAGGATATATAATTATGTATATACATATACAATTTTAACAAGAAATATAACAAAGTATTAAGGATACTGAATTTCATTCACACTGAAAACATACTATTATTTCAACTTAAAATACACACAAAGCATTTCAGTAGACTTGCTCATCTAAAATGAAGAAACATATTGCTTCAGTCTAAAATTGCAAAGGTGAAAGAATATGCAAAAGTGCAATCTTACTGATCATACGCATGTCACAGTTTATTAAATTGCTATATGGCGGAAATAATGCTTATGCAACACAATTTTAACTCACTAACAACAGCGTATTAAATGCACATGCATCACACGTTTGGCCACCAGGACACCCACAGGTGTGGTTAGACTGCGATCATAAGTGGCCACATGTGAACGAATCACTTTCCTTATGTTTACATTTTCTACTTTTTGGAGAGAGTATACCATAGTCTGAGCCATTTTTTGTGAAACTCTACAAAATGGAATGAACATTTATCTCATCAAACATTTAGCAAGATACGTGGACGTGCATAATTCAGCTGATGATCCCAATGCAAGTTTTCTCAATCAATACACATAGAATGAAATGAGACAGTCAGTATAATACAAGAATACATATCAAGCTCTGTGAAGAGAGCATATAATAATTATATCATGCCACAATCCAGGCATATAGATTTGTATACCAACAATAAACATAATTGTGACTCTTTTCTTTGTGATGTTTTGCAACTCATTGTCAATCAAAATATATATGTATGCGAAATAAGAAGTAACAAAGGAAAAACAAACAGTGGTCATATTTAAATATAGGAACACTCCTTGGGTGACATGACTTATTTCCAGGTAGTCTGGTAATGGCACAGTGAAATGAGATTATCCCCCCTGTTTACTGCCCTTCTATTGTAGGGGGCGTTGGTGGTGGAGCTACTGGTGGAACGGTGTTGAGGCCTATGTCCTGTGTGGGACTGCAGTAACTTCTGATCAGGGGGCAGAAAGCAGAGCTCTGACTCTGCTTGAAAATGAACTGATTTGGCTTTACTGGACAGAATAGAGACTCTTTGATGCTAGGTTTTCTGAAAGATAAATTGTAAAACATTAAATACCAGGTTCTCGAACAACACCTCCCTGAAAGCAATAAGGAACTTCTGGCATCTTCAGGCCATTATCATATGAACTTGAAACACATAATCAACCATCTGTGTTGGTAAAGATTCATCACGCAAACTGTGACTTTGGAGACAAGATTCTTCAGGACATTTTGATTTGAAATCAGTCTAGAATAGGAACCCGTATGAATCCCTGCACAGTGGATCTCATGACAACCTCCAACCCAATCTCAAAGCCTGTACAGTTGTCACTATGGTAAACCCAACCCTATCTTAACCCCTACAAAACACCTAACCTGCCCTGACCACTCTCTCGTCAGAATTGTGTTTGTTTGTTTGTTGCACCTCACTCAGCAACATTCCAGCTATATGACGGAGGTCGATAAACAACTCCGTCATAACACAAGGCACAGGCAGTTGCCAGGAGGTCACATGCTAATCTGTGTATGTTGTTGTCATGAGAGAGTGAGTGAGTGAGTTTAGTTTTACGCCACACTCAGCAATATTCCAGCTATATGGTGGCGGTCTGTAAATAATTGAGTCTGGATGAGACAATCCAGTGATCAACAGCATGAGCATCAATCTGCGCAACTGGGAACCGATGAAATGTGTCAACCAAATCAGCGAACCTGACCACCTGATCCCGTTAGTCGCCTCTTACGACAAGCATGGGTTACTGAAGATTCTAGCCCAGACCTTCACGGGTCTGTCAGGAAAGTAAATGCGCTACTTTCCCTAGGTCCTGCTGTTGAGATGATCATGTCTGTAAACAATGATCCCTGGAAGTGATGATCAAGTGATGGATATTATGAACAACAATCTACACAATACCATGCAATGAACGAAGTCACCGAGCCAAACCCCCAATCCAGTCACTGCCTCTTGCTACTATCACAGGCTGCTAGGGATCCCACATAACCTGGAATCTCTACAGACCTGACTATGTGAGTATAGGAGTACAACTATTACCTGCTTGTAGCAGTATTCCATAATTCCGGCAAGCACACAGATATTGGGATAAATCAACATAGGAAACAGGTTCAACATAGGCAAACAACATCTAGTAATCATCTGTCAGTGCATCAAGATTCAGGGCTCTCTATTTACCTGGATTCCTCAATGACTCGCACCTTCTCACACCCATCTGGAGGCTCTCGGACAAAGTCGCATTTCTCTGCTTTGGGGCTTGAAACAAATTTTGTGATTGAGGGTTCTGGGGAGTCTTCAGCTTCACCTGTTGCACACACGTCAAATAAACATCAACAGGTCAAATAAGCACGGACATTTCAAATAATCAGAAACAGGTCTCAGAAGAACCACAGACTTATATCACAACAAAAGTAACAGAGTTTGTTATGGTTTAGCAACTTCCTTAGACTAATGGGCATGTCAAAAGTACACAATACTACAATCACCATTGTCGGAAGACTTGCTGTCTGACATTGACATATCTACAACACTACAATCACTTTTGTCGGAAGACTTGCTGACATAGCTACAACACTTTGGAACTTGCTGTCCGTCATGACAACAATACTACAATCACCATTGTCGGAAGACTTGCTGCTTATCCTGACAATACTACAATCACCTATGTCGGACTTGCTGACATAGCTACAACACTTTGGAACTTGCTGTCCGTCATGACAACAATACTACGATCACCATTGTCGGAAGACTTGCTGCTTATCCTGACAATACTACAATCACCTATGTCGGAAGACTTGCTGCTTATCCTGACAATACTACAATCACCTTTGTCGGAAGACTTGCTGCTTGTCCTGACAATACTACAATCACCATTGTCGGAAGACTTGCTGCTTGTCCTGGAAGACTTGCTGCTTATCCTGACAATACTACAATCACCTATGTCGGAAGACTTACTGCTTATCCTGACAATACTACAATCACCTTTGTCGGAAGACTTGCTGCTTATCCTGACAATACTACAATCACCATTGTCAGAAGACTTGCTGCTTGTCCTGACAATACTACAATCACCATTGTCAGAAGACTTGCTGCTTGTCCTGACAATACTACAATCACCTATGTCGGAAGACTTGCTGCTTGTCCTGACAATACTACAATCACCTATGTCGGAAGACTTGCTGCTTGTCCTGACAATACTACAATCACCTTTGTCGGAAGACTTGCTGCTTGTCCTGACAATTCTACAATCACCTATGTCGGAAGACTTGCTGCTTATCCTGACAATACTACAATCACCTTTGTCAGAAGACTTGCTGCTTGTCATTACAATGCTACAATCACCTATGTCGGAAGACTTGCTGCTTATCCTGACAATACTACAATCACCTTTCTGGGAAGACTTGCTGCTTGTCATGACAATACGACAATCACCTATGTCGGAAGACTTGCTGCTTGTCATGGCAACATTATAATCACCTTTGTCGGAAGACTTGCTGTCTGTTGACTCGGACCGACTGGAGGGCCGGGAGGTGTCCATGTGACCAGGAATGATTGGTATGGCAGGACTGATGGAGTCGGCACGACTCCCACTGCTGGTGGTGGTGTACGGCTCGTCCACCTGTCCTGATGGTGTCTGTGTGTTCACTGAACGTGTTGAGCCAATTCGGATAATGTCAGGAATCGGAGCTCTGTGACCATCAGGGATCTCGGGATGAGACTGCAAGTGAAAAAGTGTCAGTTGTATATTTGTTTATCAGAGCAGGACCATGTCAAGAAAGATCTGATTTTGCAATTAGACTAAGCCAGTAAGATGTGAACATCAGAGTTCCTTATCCACTTTCAAGCTTGCCACACGGCAGTATCAGATCATATCCACAAAGAAATCTGGTGCCCAACAAGCATAAAGGGACAGAGTTTGCTCACAAAGATTGCTACAGCATCTACCAGCTGCCAGTAGACAGCGACAAGCCACAGGTGTAAAGAGTACAAACCAATTCTATGGAAGAGCTAAGGCATGGGGTATTGGATTATTTGATGTATGCATACTACCTGCTAGCTTCATATGAGTAGGCTATTGCACTAGATAATATTACCCTCACCATACACAACAGTTAAAGGTTAAATGAGTTACCCTAGCTTTGACAATATTTCGGAAAATCTTAACATGTCACTTATGGAAAGGAAGTCGGAAGTGATGCTGCATCTCCAGAGAAAGATTTAACCTAATGTATTTGCCCTCTTGTAAACCTACAAATAGTTTCCACGTTCAAGGTGATTTATCCCAAACATACAACAAAAGAAACACATACATGTACTTTTAGTTCTGATTCTTCAGGTTCGATGGCGGCTGGGTTGTTCAGAACAAGTTTTTCAATTTCCTGCAACAGATAACAAACCAAATCAATAAGAAATCAATTTTCCTGGGGTTCAGGATGTTTGTTCAAATCATACTTTAAACTTGAGGCCCCTAAGGTTGAACCTTCTAACATTAAGTTACAGACAAGGACTTTCTTTGTTTCCAACATTGATAGTTATAAGTGAATATAATTTCTATTAACCTTGAAAATGGCTTAGACATATGAATTTCTTAATTAAAAGGTTTATGGAAAGCAGTACAGTCAAATGCATTAGCTGAGTAAAATCACAACACATACAAATGTACAAGGTCAGAAATAAGGCAAATTCAGATACTGTTGCTAAATTTAGATGAGATTTCCAAAGGTCCTTATAATAACAATTGACTTCGTTCAGACATGTCAGGCTTGCAGTTAATATGTTCACAGAAAGAAATGTTTGGCCAAGACTGATGAATTATTGTCATATGAAAAGTATCAGGTTCAGTAAAATATTTTAAATTTATAACAATAGCCAAGCAAACATGGAGTCTTCAAATATTAAGTCCCCCAAAATAAATCTATTGCCTGTAAAGGGGCCGACTTACTGTATTTAGTCCTTCTACACTGTTGCGTTGGTACTTCGACATGTTTGTTTTAGGAATGTTAGTGGGTATGCCAATAGCTTTTGACTGGCTGAAGACAGTGGGTGGTGCCGTGAGGGAGAGGGCAGAGTGTTTGCCTTGCACTGGACTCTGGCGCTGTTTGCTCCATTCCTTCTCCTTGCTGCCTTCTTTCGTTCGCTGTAGTCGCTGTTTTATCAGCTGGTAACACAATCACCACATATCAATCAACCTATCATCATTAGTCAAACCAACTGTCGTGTTTGTCAGATGAAAGGTTGAGTACTGTGCCCATAACTAACCATCTAACCATAAAATAAACTATTGCTGATTGACTGAAGCAGAAATGTAGAAAAATACTTTGTCAAAACCACCAGGACAAACCTAACTCAATGAAGCAAGAGCTAGACTGTGTATGTCATGTAACATTCATCATTAACAATGATAAAGGACCTTGAAATGTCCAGACATGTACCTCACGGTTCAATTGACCATAGTTTGGGGGCCAAAAATACACTACGGTTTAATTTTTTCAAAATCAAATTATAGGTTAGGTTTTATCTCAGATAACATATGGCACTCTTATTGATATTCACCAAAATGTGAATTAATGGCTACAGTTATTCGTTACAATGTGGATCAGGAAAGAAATGATTCACATGATGACTGGGAGCCAATTCCAAATAGAAAGCATGTTTATCTCCAATGACAGCGATCTCTTACCACCTTAAGTTGGTCTCCCTGACCAAATGATGCTGATCTCTTGTGCCCCTTATCCTTCTTCCTGTCAAGGCTGCTGACCGACTCCCACTCATCAGGAGTCTGAGCAATAGAATGAGGCATGTGTCAGTATGGTTTTACGCTGCTATTAGCATTATCATGGCATAGGACACCAGAAATGGGCTTCACACATTGTACCCATATGTGGAATCGAATCTGGGTCTTCAGCATGACGAGCGAACACTTTAACCACGAGGCTACCGCCCCACAATAGACTAGAATTTATATGACTCATAATATGATTTACATGAAAGACGGGCAACTACTTCAATGAAATAGTGAGCACTGCTATTAGTGAGCATTATGAACACTTTACTAAATTGCCAACAAGAAACAATATGCTCTTGTGGCTTATCAAATATTCTCTCATCATGTCTTTCCCTTCATGTCCTGTACAAAATAGTCTGAGTACTATCTCCAAGAGATGCACAAAAAGGTTACACAACAGTAATGGTAGAATGATGAACATTTCGAATTGACATGATACATGATCCATCTCCATAGACGAACAATAACCTTTCATGAGCTGGCACAATAACAATGGTGATACAAACACAGCCCGACAGGAATAATGTTCCTTTTCACGATCTTCACTTCAAACAATTTATTAATTAGCAAGTGTCTGAAATTGCCATAAATTTCAAAATTGATCAGTGTCAGTGATTGACAATTTAAAAATGAAAATAGAAATATCATACATTAAGAAGTCAATTTGCCAGGACATTTAATGTAAACAACACATTAGGTCTGATGGTCATGGCGGTCACCTGCATTATCAGACACAGTGCCTTACTGATGATCACTTTCAACACACCTGTGTAAATTTGTCACATGTGAGCACCCCCAGATTGTGAGAGCTGTAGGAATGTGGATCTTTGGGCCACTGGCCAGCAAGGTAGATCGTGTCCAGGGAACTGGCTCGCCACAAGCTGGGCACAGGGCTCTGACGATGTGATTTTGACTTTTCTGAAACATAAACATTTCACAGTTAATGATAACCAAATATCCTCTCAGGAAAAACACCACAATCAATACTTGCTCACATCATCTGTCAGCCAAAGACACACAAGAAATCATCAGAAGTGTCTATGAAATACAAGTGGGAAAAGGCCTTAGAAAACTAATGCTCAAGATCTCATCCAGTGCCAGAAGCATTCCAGTCTCAAGGATAAAAGTAGTAAGTGATGTATGACGTCAACCTCCTTATGATTTTTAAGAAATTACAGTAAGTATAAGAAGGTGGGTTGAGCTGGTCACAAAAGCCAGCAATGTCAGGTTTCCATATTCAGGGTTAAGAAGATCTTGGAAGGTTTGCTCACACAGCAAATGTGGTATAATAAGCAGATCAACCTGTCCATTGTGTATGTATCCCAATACATATCCCAAATACTGTATTGTTGATTTTCATGCATTGTAATAAGATGAAAATTAATATATTTTCAATAGTACACACGTCCCAAATCCGTCAAATGTCTCTCATGATTTGACACTGCACCCCTAATCTGCAGTTGTTCCAGACCTGCAGAATATTTTAGTCTAGACGCCCATTTGATCTCAACATTCAGCATTAAGGATGAGGACAGGACTCTTTGGTTTTCAGGCTTAAAGTCAAACACTGATTGGAGCTTTCATGTTTTTGGTGGAAATTGGACTTCACTCTATCATTCATGGTAAAGTTTAACAAAATTAAATGTACGTGAAGATTTCTTGAACATTTTTCTGTTAAATTATTCCTTACATGCTAAATAAAACATCCTGTCAATCCAGTCATGCAATGAATAAGAGGTGAAAGCAGCATCTGGCGTGTAGAGGTGTAACAAAGGTGTAACAATACTGTGGGTTATGATATGTATCCCATACTAGAGTGATATACGAGTTGTATTCTCTACCATGGGTGCAACATGATTTGTATTCCAATACTATATGGGTGCAAAGTGAATCGTATCATGATACTGTACAAAATAAGTTTCTATTTGCATGGGAATCACAAGTTTCAGTCATTTAAGGTCATTTTAGGAGTGATACACATGAAGGCTGAAAATCTGTGGATGTCAAGTTATGTAAAATGAGGGACACTACATTACAGAGTATATTACTACTCCTTAATCAGTGATGAAGGAGTAGCCCCATGGGGCTTGTGAATTGATGGGGTTCAGCTGGATGAAGATGGTCATTTATTTCCCTTCTTTGGTGGAGGTCTTTCAGGGTCTACTTGTGTTGATGGTCTCGTTTAGTAGTGTGTGTTTTCCCTATGTTTAGGTAGGTAGTCTTGTTGGAAAGTTGGAGAGAGTGTCCATGGTTTTATGTCGCTTTTAGCAACATTCCAGAAATAACATGGCAGGGACACCAGAAATAGGCGTCACACAATGTACCCATGTGGGGAATGGAACCCTGGTCTTCAGCATGACAAGCAGACGCTATAACCCCTAGGCTACCCCATCATCACTCAACAAGTTGGAAGAAGCCTGGGATGTTTGTGACCACAGCTGCTTTGGCTCTGTCAGCTTCTGTGATGTTGTGTTGTCTTTATGAAGTCATGAGTGAGTGAGTGAGTATTTGAAGTCACATCAGCAATATTTCAGCCATGTAGTGACTCTTTATGAAGTAAGGCATGGCATGTTTCTCTTTATGAGTAAGTTTTGGCGTTGTTAGGGGACTTCCGTGATAGTTTCACCAATAAGATGAAGGCGCAAGAATATACTTTGTAATGATGTGTCCCTCATCCATATTAATTATTACAGAAGTTGACATCCAAGAATTTTCACCCTTTCTGAATAGTTTGGTTTTACATCTAAAAACTAAATGGATGAGATATTTCAGGGCAAAACATATAGGCTTGAGGGCACTATGGCAGTTATATTATTCAAACCCCACTGAGAACACTACACAATATGTACCAGCTGGTTGTTGAATAGTTTCATTTAGCACTGTAAACATGTGTGTTGTATTGTCAGTCTCATATTGGGATATATGACAGTATCATTCCCACACTACTCATCATGTTAACATAGAAACATGGCAGCACAGTAGCCGACTCGGCAACATGACTCTTGACATCAGTACATGTCCATGTTCACACACACCACCAACAGTAACAGTTGAGCTTATCTCACCAACACAAGGTTTACTACATTCAAGCTAGTGGTCTAATAGACAATGTGGCAGACTGGTCTCGGGCATGTCACGTTGTACTGAATTGGTATCCAATTTCTTCTATTGTTGAGGATGAAAGAATAATTACTGATACATGCAGACTAAGGCTGTTACGATTCACTCGCAGATTCAGTGAATCGAACCGGAACCCTTCATGAATTCAATTCGTTTTTCGTGGTCACCAGAACCGAATATTAACAAAGATTTACGATTTTTGTAAGGGAGCATGTTTTACTTGAACCCTTATGTCCTTTTCCAAACTGAGATATGGCACATGTACTAGCATTGCAGTAGTGCAAGTCATGTTAGTTTGCCAAGACTGCACATGGTACTGTCATCTATAACTATTACATACCAAATTTGAATGTCATGAGATCACTGGCTATTGCTGTGACAAATCAAAACTGTCAACATGGGCATTCCATATTGTACATCAATCACTTAACTACAATATTGTATTCGTGAATAATTATTCGTATTCGTTACCCAATATTCATGATACGTATCATCTTCGCCACATAGTGTATTCGTTACCCAATATTCATGACACGTATCATATTCACATAGTGTATAGTGTATTCATGATACGCATTATTTTGCCCAATATTCATGATATGTATCATATTAAGCAACATAGTGTATTCGTTAACCAATATTCATGATATGTATCATATTAAGCCACATAGTGTATTAGTTATCCAATATTAATGATCATGTATCATATTTGCCACATAGTGTATTCGTTACCCAATATTGTATTGTTATCAATATTCATGATACGCATCATATTAAGCCACATAGTGTATTCGTTACCCAATATTCATGATCGCATCATATTTGCCACGTTAACAATATTCCAATATTCATATCATATTCCGGCCACATAGTGTATTAGCCACATAGTCATATTCATAGCAACATAGTGTATTATAGTTACCCAATATTCATGATATCATATTCGGCCACATAGTGTATTAGTTACCCAATATTAATGATATGCATCATATTTGCCACATAGTGTATTCGTTACCCAATATTCATGATACGCATCATATTCGCCACATAGTGTATTCGTTACCCAATATTCATGATACGTATCATATTCGCCACATAGTGTATTCGTTACCCAATATTCATGATACATATCATATTCGCCACATAGTGTATTCGTTAACCAATATTCATGATATGTATCATATTCGCCACATAGTGTATTCGTTACCCAATATTCATGATACGAGGCAAGACTTCTGCCCGTATCCCCACACACACACCCCCCTAGATTTTATCGATAAAAAAATTTCTTTGAGTGGCACTTTTTGAAGTTGAGTATGTGTTTCAGTATGTTCAGATACAATTTGAGAAACATATTCAAATTCATCCTTATTAGATGAAGAATAAATATTTAGGTGATATTATTTGACTAGAATGAAATTTAAGGGGAGACACTGGCAGAAGTCTTTCCCAAAGGTTCTCTGTACATACATCCAAACATATCAAATGTCAATAAAAGTGATTTAGAACATATAACACAAAATCTGGCATGTCACATTGTCTGATGCCCATTTTGACAGCTGGTACAAACAAATAACCAGTGCTGCACAGGGCCTGGATATATTTTGACATGTATAGCATTGCTGTTCAATAGGTCAGCACTCATTAACCATATGTTTGGGAAATAGGCTTCTTCAAATACACATTAAATAAACAGACCACTAAGCCATACCACAGTTTGTGGTAAATCTATCTTATGTTAGAATCACAATATAAACTTTGGTTTCAAACCGGCACTGAGGAGTCCATTTGAGCCTCCCTACTCACAAGTCAGAAATGGATGCAAATGTCACAGTAAAATTCAGATAACTACTAACTTGAATACACACACAGACTGATAACGAATATAAACAGTTAATGACAAAACAGAATCATAAACAGAGCGTAATTTATTGATGTATGATGTCTATGATTTGTGACTTCTTGAAAAATATGGCGGTGCATAATGGGCAGCTGTATTCGTCTGTCAGATCTTACCTCTGGGCGAGCTTGGACTTTTTCGCTCTGGAGACGCTCGATGGTCTGGGGATTTTCGACTCCATATTTTGTGACTGCTTGGTGTAGGAGATGCATTTAAGCTGCGTGTTGGACTTTTTTGTTTCAGAGTGAATGTCTTAACAGCTTTTATCGGTCCTTGCTTTGTTGATGCCGGGGACACATTACGACGAACTCGTTGAGGCGGCTGTCCTGACATTTCTTTCACACTCTCTTCGTGAAATTTGTTTGAAGACCCTTCCTTAGTCTTCCACCTTTATGTAGAAAAAGTTGTTCTCGGCCTATCAAGGCAGACTATCGAAAAAACTTAGATTTTCATCCCTGGCACTGTGTCAATTTTCTCCAACCCAGAACTCTCTCAAAAAAATTTCACACAACGGTGGCACGTGACTACAATCTGGCTGTCTGATTGGTCAGATTTCCGCCATATTTCTCACCCAGAAAATCCCTTTCTCTTGATAGCGAAAGGTATTTGTCAATTTATTGATGGTAATGCATCATCGCAAGAAACTTCAACAGTCATAACTGCCTGAGAATTTCTCGATTCTTGAACCGCTTTTCGCTTCATTTGATCTTTCTTGCGTCAAATCAAGAATATCCCCCATGAGTCCCCGTACACGGTCGATTATCTCCCTTGCAGGTGCTTGACAACCAGTCGTTCATGTAAACAATGGAATGACAAGTGGTGTTAACAAAGATATAACGGGTTCTAAAGTCCACTTGTAAAACTTAATCTGTGACAGAACTAATCTTTTCCATATTTGATTGAAACTACACGAGTATTTGTCGTGTATGTCATATATAGCTCTTTAAATTGAGCTGACCTAGAACTGCAATTTTGATATTCATTTCTTTCTGTATATGTTGAGTGAAACACTATTATGTGAATGCTTCATGAGTTATAGGAGTTCACACATTGATAAAATTGATATTTAGTGAGCATATAGGATGTTAGCATCAAACGTTTATGGACTGATTGTGTGATATGTGTAAAAATATTATGTTGTTTCCGGTTTGGCAATTCGCCAAAAGTCAGCTGCCATGCTTCCTTAGCAACGGAAGGGAGCAGTTATTGTCGAACCGTCCTCACAAAGAAAAAATCCAGAAATGTGACGACATTTGGAATTAAAACGACTTCTCCCTGTTGATGTAACAAACTTGTGGAATATTTTGGGAACGAATCCATTTATTCAAATACACGTTAATAACGAGAAAAGGAATATTTACATGCACTTTAATAACACATTAGTGCCATTTAAAATGTACGCCAGTACCTTTGACATAAACTAAACTATGTTTTTTTGACACAGACATAGACAATTTTTGAAAGTACACAGGTTGTGTGTTTCAGTGATCTGTTATGCATTTGTATGCCTGTGTCAGCAATATTCACACTTTTTTAGCATCATGCACATAGTCGAATTTGGACCAACCAAACCATTATTAGCAGAGTCCCACACCTACACCACACAGTACACCAACCAACTGACGCCCAATCTACTTTGTGAGATCATACAAGCATCGGTTGCTGGGAGCCTTATCTCACCATGAATCCCCATTTAGAGGTTTTAGTGAGTGAGTGAGTTTAGTTTTACGCCGCTTGTAGCAATACTCCAGCAATATCACGGCGGGGGACACCACAAATGGGCTTCACACGTTGTACCCATGTAGGGAATCGAACCCAGGCCTACCGCGTGACGAGTGAACGCTTTACTCCCGCCGCCCAATTTAGAGGTTTTAGATATTAAACCAGGGAATATATAATATATTTTAAATACTGTCTCCGGTTAAACGTAAAACATATATACTAGCCACATAAAGAAACTGTGCACACAGAAAATTCCTTCAGAATTGGAATACAACACAGTAAAGACGACATGATGTAGACACTTTATAAGCTGAAGTATCGGGCCTCAACAACATGTCAAAAGAACATGAACAATACCCGTAACGATGACGTCAGAAGTTCAAAATTGAGTCAGGGGTCACACGTCGAAGTCACAAAGTCAATAACGGGTATGACCATCATGCGCGTGAAGCACAGCAGTGTATCGACGACGCATAGAGGCTACCAAATTTTCCAAATGAAGGCCTGGGGAATGGTTTGGGACGTGGTCACTGCCGTCTGGAACCTGTGTCTGATATGAGTCACCCGAATCCATCTGTCCTGTCTTGGCGTCGTTACTCGGGGACGCCCTGAACGTGGGGGGTCGGTGACGTCATTACTGTTTCCATAACGCCTGACCAATGCAGATATCGTGTTACGGTGGCATTGGAAATGCGCTGCCACCTGTTGTTGGCTCATGCCTGCTCGAACCATTCCAATGGCTTCATGACGTTGAGCACATGTTAATCTTGGCATGACGTGCATGTGACTTTTCATGTGAATTTGTGAACGTTTGAATGACCAAAGATCAAGCAGTGACATCAATTTCTGAGTTTCACATGTTGTGTGCAGCTGCACAGGCTGCACGTGCAGTAACACATTGCAAGTCCATAGGCCACCATCAATGACGTCACGTCGCCTGGCACCTGCATGAGCGTTTGATTGTCTCCAATACTTGCTATGTTCACACCTTTATTTATGCATAAAGACGCTGTCTGCCTATCTTTATATTTTGTGTGTGCACAGCTTCTTTATGTGGCCAGTATATGACACATCTTTGAGAAATTGAAGGTAAATCAACAAAGTGATTACAGATTTGATTTCCCGTATGATCCCGTGTTGTCAAGTGTTAAAATAATGTCACACTGCAGTTCGAGGATGATGATTTGGAGATTTTACGCGCGCTTTCCGACATGGCGAGTGTCACACTTGGAACGAGCACCTTGTTTTGACACCACGCAGCATAGAGTGTATGTGTTTATCCATGTTATACCAACCATATACCAACATTAGAAACGCACCACACTAAACTGCACCGACGATGCTCAGATATCATGGGTACATTTCAGTCTGATGGGGATATTTCGTATTATATGGGTGGTACGTTTCTAATGTTGTTCAGTATACATTTACATGTGTAGTAAACGGATCTTCAACATACCACACGGTCGATAAAGTGTAGTATAACGCATACACAGTCTTATAGCCAATGGAACAACCGACGATTATTGCACATACACAGGGGGGTGTACGATGTAGATACTTGCACCATTACCATGGGCGGATCTAGGAATTTTTGGCTCTGCCAACGCCAAAAACATCTTCAATGCGGTCTTAAGTCATTTTCAAGGGGGGTGGGGGGTTGGGGTTTGGATCCGCCAATGCATTAAGGACTGATCTGTTTTATAGTGCTAGTTTTCGTCTTATATTGCCGTAATTTTTAAAATGGATACGCCACCCTGACACATGACATTGATTACGAGCCGTATTTTTTCCATAAAGAACACATAGTATCAAGGACCACAATGGAGCAGCTTTTGGCAAGACGCAGTTTGCACGGTGGTCGATTCACCGACATTCCACTTTATCCAGTTCGCCACGGAGACGGTCTGAAATTGCAGTCTCAGAACGTAATAAACTTGTGGGGGTGGGAGAGTGGGAGATTCACTGGCTTCAAAGATCACCATGGCTTGCCTACAGAATCAAAGTTCAAAGGTATTCTGGATGGAATCAGTCATTGTCAACTTGTCTCCTTCCCTCCCACGGCGTCTTTCGCAATATCTGCCTACCACGTGGAGGTGAGGTGCACAGACTGAATATGGTTTTACGCCACTTTTAGCAATATTCCAGCAATATCACGCCGGGGAACACAAGAAATGGGCTTCACACATTGTAATCGAACCCGGGTCTTTGGTGTGACTAGCGAACGCTTTAACCACAAGGCTACCCCTACCGCCCCCGAGGTGAGATGAATGTGTACCACACGGGTTAGGTGGTTGTGTACTAGACTGGGGGTGAGATGGACGTGTACCAGACTGTGGGGTGAGGTGGATGTGTACCAGACTGTGGAGTGAGGTGGAAGTGTACCAGACTGTTGGGTGAGATTGATGTGTACCTGAATGTGGGGTGAGATGGATGTGTACCAGACTGTGGGGTGAGATGGATGTGTACCTGACTGTGGGGTGAGGTGGACATGTACCAGACCTATGGGGTGAGATGGATGTGTACCAGACTGTGGAGTGAGGGGGATGTGTACCAGACTGTGGAGTGAGGGGGATGTGTACCTGACTGTGGAGTGAGGTGGACGTGTACCAGACTTTGGGGTGAGATGGACGTGTACCTGACTGTGGGGTGAGGTGGATGTGTACCTGACTGTGGGGTGAGGTGGATGTGTACCTGACTGTGGGGTGAGGTGGACGTGTACCAGACTGTGGGTGTGAGGTGGACGTGTACCTGACTGTGGGGTGAGGTGGACGTGTACCAGACTGTGGGGTGAGATGGACGTGTACCTGACTGTGGGGTGAGGTGGACGTGTACCAGACTGTAGGTTGAGGTGGATGTGTACCTGACTGTGGGATGAGATGGGTGTGTACCTGACTCTGGGGTGAGGCGGACGTGTACCAGACTGTGGGGTGAGATGGATGTGTACCTGACTGTGGGGTCAAGTGGATGTGTACCAGACAGTGGGGTGAGGTGGACGTGTACCTGACTGTGGGGTGAGGTGGATGTGTACCTGACTGAGGGGTGTGGACGGTGGATGAGGTGGATGTGTACCAGACTGTGGGGTGAGGTGGACGTGTACCTGACTGTAGGGTGAGGTGGATGTGTACCTGACTGTGGGGTGAGGTGGATGTGTACCAGACTGTGGGGTGAGGTGGATGTGTACCAGACTGTGGGGTGAGGTGGACGTGTACCAGACTGTGGGGTGAGATGGATGTGTACCTGACTGTGGGGTGAGGTGGATGTACCAGACTGTACCTGACTGTGTGTACCTGAGTGGGGTGAGGTGGATGTGTACCTGACTGTGGGGTGAGGTGGACGTGTACCAGACTGTGGGGTGAGGTGGATGTGTACCAGACTGTGGGGTGAGGTGGATGTGTACCAGACTGTGGGGTGAGGTGGATGTGTACCTGACTGTGGGATGAGGTGGATGTGTACCAGACTGTGGGGTGAGATGGATGTGTACCTGACTGTGGGGTGAGGTGGATGTGTACCTGACTGTGGGGTGAGGTGGATGTGTACCAGACTGTGGGGTGAGGTGGATGTGTACCTGACTGTAGGGTGAGGTGGGTGTGTACCTGACTGTGGGATGAGGTGGATGTGTACCAGACTGTGGGGTGAGATGGATGTGTACCTGACTGTGGGGTGAGGTGGATGTGTACCAGACTGTGGGGTGAGGTGGATATGTACCAGACTGTAGGGTGTGGGTGGTGGTGTGTACCTGACTGTGGGGTGAGGTGGATGTGTACCAGACTGTGGGGTGAGGTGGATGTGTACCAGACTGTGGGGTGAGGTGGATGTGTGACTGACTGTGGGGTGAGGTGGATGTGTACCTGACTGTGGGGTGAGGTGGCATGTACCAGACTGTGGGGTGAGGTGGATGTGTACCTGACTGTGGGGTGAGGTGGATGTGTACCAGACTGTGGGGTGAGGTGGATGTGCACCTGACTGTGGGGTGAGGTGGATGTGTACCAGACTGTGGGGTGAGGTGGATGTGTACCTGACTGTGGGGTGAGGTGGATGTGTACCAGACTGTGGGTGAGGTGGATGTGTACCAGACTGTGGGGTGAGGTGGATGTGTACCAGACTGTGGGGTGAGATGGATGTGTACCAGACTGTGGGGTGAGATGGATGTGTACCAGACTGTGGGGTGAGGCGGATGTGTACCAGACTTTGGGGTGAGGTGGGTGTGTACCAGATTGTAGGGTGAGGTGGATGTGTATCTGACTGGGGGGTGAGATGGATGTGTACCAGATTGTGGGGTGAGATCAATGGAGGTAAGAGGGGGATACAAACCATGACGTTAGGCACACAAGTGACCACTTGTACACTTAGACTATCCAGTATAACTCAGAATATTGAAAAGGCAGGTACTTAGCTAGTCCACCATTTCAGAAAATGTACTCAATCTAAAAAAAAAGATGAAACAGTCTTATTTGAACTTTAATATGTGTATAAAAACAACGCATGTATGTAGCAGATCACAACCCACATTAAAACACTATATAAATGAATGGCGCAACACAACAAAAGGGCTGTTTAAAAGATTCAAAACAAGGCATCATTTTGGAGACTTGCACAATCTTTGTAGCACATTATTCAACTTCATTCAGGTATGGTTATATGACATGTATATATACTCAAGCTAAAACCTTAAGCAAACTCAAACAACAACAATACTTCGCCGCATGAAACTCTGGCACCCCTCAGGTCAAAGTTTCCAACTGGTGAATCAGCTACAAGGCATATAAACTGTGCATGAAGTGATCAGAACGTATATATCTGGGCTTTTTAATCATTTTAAGACTGGACTTTCAAAGTTAACTTAAGCTCACAGAGGGGTTATTAGAATGTCACACACAGATGTCTGATCAGAGGACAAACCTTTATGATGAGTGCAGGACAATAACACTGTTCTGATGAATGAAGTTATTTGATGTGCTGCCCTTTAAACCTGGGCCCACATGCACGAAGTGATCTTACCACTACAACCATCTTAAGTCTGCAGAGTATGATCAACGTAGCGCTAAGATCACTTTGTGTAAGTGGCTCCTGAAGACTACTTAACTAACAGTTGGACATGTTGTTTGTGACTGAATAAGATGCCACCTTCAACAGTATTTCAGTAACATAATGGTGCCGTGTGCGGAGGCACTAGAGTGGCATAGTCAGAGAAACCGACCACTTTGGTGAAACCTGGGGCAAATCCAGGATTCTCACCAACTCCTAGCTGCCATTACAACAGAAAGCATTTAATAAACAGGAACAGATGTTTTATGTACAAAATGTTTCCTGTTAGTACTGAAACATATTGCAATGTAGCGAAGCAGTGGACGTTTCAATTCACCTGTCTATTGTCTAGTTAGGCCAATCAAACCTTTCGTAACACACATGGCTTACTCTACTAAATTAAAGGCAGTTGTCAAGCACTCATTCCATGTGCTGTCACAAGGTTTACATGATTGTTTTCTTGCATATTTCTATTCATACTTCTAAAACAGAAGTTTCTATACTTTTGGCTAGAGTAGAACAGGAATTCCAAAGGTCAGAATATGTCCAGTCTATCGGTATCACCCAACGGTTTCCTTTAAGCTTCATGATGTTTGATACTGAATAGGTACTCTCACTCCACAGAAACAATGTCTTACTTTCACACAAGGTACTACCTGCCGTGCAATGGTCAAGACTGTAGTGTAGCCTTTGTGTGGATACAATGCTAATGAGAGGGTCCATGATAATGTATAGCTGTAATGAGTATATTTCAGGACAGGCACTGAAGCTCACCTTGACATAATTTCAACAGTAAAAATTATTTCAACAAAGACAATGACAGCAATGGTAATAAAATATTCTAAGAGCGAATGAACACAACCATTATCAGCTTCAATCTAGGATTTGAGCCCATGATCACAGCAGGCTGTAGCCAGCGTTTAAAATTCCTGCCTGCCCAACCATCTGGAACGGTCTATTTTCATCTCAGACTGTCAAATTTCAAAAGTAGCCTGTCCGTTGGTTTGGTAGATGTTTTTACCCCTAAGAGTAAATATATTATAATATCAGACAGGTTCTCATGTCGTCAGTTTGAGGTGTTTAATTATGTTAAACTATTTACGATTGGACAGTTCATTTTATAATAACCAATCATAACACATGTACTTTCAGTTTGCCTAAACTCGGTGCATTGCCTGTTAGTGCTATGTAGTTCATTGCGATGCCTACAAAGAGTAAAGTATTCAGAAACCCGATTTTTTACATCCGGACTGGTAATTTTTTAATGTTACCAGTCTGGCTGTATAGCTTGGGATATTGGGAGTTTTAAACACTGCTGTAGCACCATATACAACCAACTATACCAAACCATCCAAGTAATCTCGAGCTTAACATTAGTTTATATTTAGTATTCTGTACATACCTAACCATTGGGTCTATGTATTCACCCAGATTGTACTGTCAAACACCTATCTCCCTTCAAATATTGCACTACAGTACGTGACTTGCAACAATTAGCAGTTGAATCAAACCTGTCACATGCTCCTCTGCATATAAGTCATTGATCAATGGGGAGCATCTCTCAACATTGTCACAGTAATCTCAGAGTGGTTTTCTTTGCTTTCACTGAACCAATTACTCTACCCCAAATCCCGCAAGTAATTTATCTCAAGGCTAAAGTCATAATCATATTTTGACCAATCTATTGTGGCCGTCCCGAGCTGCTTGTCAAGCGAGTCCAGTCTCTGTAGTAATGAAAGGTGAGGAGCCAGTATGAAGGGAATGTCTGCTAGAGGCAACATATGGTTGTTGTTGGAAGACATAGCTAGGGGAGACAACTGCATGTTCATTCCTGCACCTGTTGTCATAGCAACATCGTAGCCAGGGGGTTGCTGAATTTGTGTCTGTAAAAAGAGAAGACATTTTCAACAGAACATAAATCCTCAGCAATAAGACTATACATTAATAATATAAAAATGAAAGCATGACAAGATAAGGAATGCATTTCAAATTTCTTATCAGGGTACAACATAGTCTAATGATTTTATTGCAAGGGTTAATATGACAAGAACTTCTTGCTGACAAACTTTCTTGTTTACAACAAAAACATGTTGAACTGCACAGTGCTTATGTTGTTGCAGTGCATGTTGTTCTATCTTTTTTTAAAATGAACATTTGCTGAACACACATGAAATATTATCAGTAACTTTGAAAGCAAAATGTAATTGTTCTCATTTCTCATATACATAATTGTAAACGATTAATCAATCACATACAGGTACTATGTATATAAATAAATGGTTTAGAGTTCATAATGAAACAAAATTCCTTACATTCTATAATTCTTTCAAAGAAATGGTTTTAAAAATATCCAGTATGTTTTACACCAAGAGGAAATTTCTGTCATATTTATTTCTCAACCAGATGGAGCCTGTAACAACGTCCTACCTGTGAGTAGTTTGGAGGGGAATGTATTCTATGCTGATCAACATACTGTTGATGTGTGACTGTTGTACGATCACTAGCAGTTTCACCAATCAGCAGGAACCCATCTTCTTCACGATCGTCATGGTTACCAACAGGGGGATGACAGGTAACATCCTTAGCTTGGCGTTCGGGTAGCAGCTTCAATCTGCCGAACACTGAATGCAACATCGACATCTCTGCTCACATCTAGCTCCACGTATCTGTAGCATGAGCAGAATTTACTGTTAGGGGTGTCACTGAGTAGCAACATTTCAGTTATACCACACCATGCCAGGTGGGTCACGTCAATCTCACTAAAATGACATATTAGTTCTTGCTACCCGAGTACTGTTAAACAAAGATCTGAGAACATCCCACAGCAGGTCATGTCCGAACAACCTTACATCTGACCAATCACATCATCGCTTGCCAGATCAGGAAGTTGACAGCCAGAATGTTTTTTCTTATCACACACCCTTGTAACACTTCAACACAGGATATTCCAAAAGACAGTTTGGCATTGTACAACTTATTCCATCAAATGCATTGTCTCCCTGTCACTTGAAGTGGATACACTATGGAAATGTTAAAAACTTTCTATAGCCTGTGGGAAGTACTGACACAATGCTTCTCATGACATTTTTATCTGGGGGTCATGTGGACTGGAAGCATATGAAAATTACATAAATTAAAACAGAAATCTAAAAACAAGATCTTTCATATTTACAGAGGATAGATCCGATGGACACAGAGACCCTTAACCCTCAAAATTGTCAGTCCAGGCCATAATTTCCTGGCCTATATCTATCAACTACTATAGTAAAATTTGAGAAAGCTATGTAGCAGAATGCAAATATTGTGTATTTTAAGCCTAAGGTATATAATTTAGTTAAGCAATATAACAACAACCCTTTAAATTATTACAGCACTCTACTAATCCCTAGGTTGTTATGTAAGCCTGCATGGGGTTCTATTTTTCTTCAGACTCCTGGTCCAGCCACGGATATGATAGGATATGATGGTTTTAGTCTAGTTAGTTTCATCATTTTAATCATATGTCTGAAATATATTATGTGTTGTAATATCATCTACATGATGATATGATGTAGATATTTAATATGTTTAATATCATGACACTGTTATGTATTATGATTATTACACGTTTGGTTAATGTAGACTATAGTGTATACATTGTAGATTAGGTACATATTATGGATGACATGAGAAAGAGTGCATGTGCGTGCGTGCGTGCGTGCATGTGTGTGTGGATTGTATTTAATTGTGTTATTTTATTATTAGGTCTTGGAAGCACTCATTTGCCACTGGTGGTTTAGAGTCAGACTGTGGACTGGATTAGGTTAGTATTTGTGCCCAAGGAGATGAGTTAGGTTCTTTATGTTACATTGATGTGTCAAGGAATTGCATGAGTTATATTCTTAATGTTATGTTACATATCAGATTTTCATCTGTATGACTGTAATTTGTAAGATAGGCTTATATTTATACTTAGATTGAGTAACCCTTGTGGTGTACAGAAAATATTAAATGTCATTTTATGTTAACTATGTATCAGATTTTCATCTGCATGACTGCTGTATACCAGTAATTTGAGATGTTTATGTTTTGTTTCAACTATGTACTTGTTGCTGTATACCAGTAATTTGAGATGTTTATGTTTTGTTTCAAGGTTTTTATCACCTGATCCATCATCCAAGACAATAAATTCCTGAACCCTTTACAAGTATTTGTCTGTGTTCAATCTTGACGTGACACCGCTGTTACAGCTACTTTCCAAATGCATATTGATAATAATTGATAATACTGACTTCCTGATAGTCATTTCGTTGAGATGAGTGAGCATGGTTTTACGCCGCTTTTAGCAATATTCCAGCAATATCCCGGTGGGGGCCACCAGAAATGGGCTTTACACATTGTGTCCATGTGGGGAATCGAACCCGGATACTCTTCAGTGAGACGAGCAACCGCTTTAACCACTAGGCTACCCCACTGCCCCCATTTTGATGTGAACAATAATCAGATGTATCATTTGCTTCTTCAGAAAAGTGAACTTCAATTGATTTTAAGTAAAACTGATCTGGGAAGAAGCCAGAAGTGACGCATGTCATAGACAGAAGCATCATCACAACAAATTGTGGATCCAAACCTACAACAGTATGTGTTATCTTTGATTATTGTACCCTTACTGTGGCTTCTTATGCACCCTATATTATTGTACCCTTACTGTATGTGGCTTTACGCACCCTATATTATTGTACCCTTACTGTATGTGGCTTCTTATGCACCCTATATTATTGTACCCTTACTGGTATGTGGCTTCTTATGCACCCTATATTATTCAGTGCATAACATCTTCATTGTATTCAGATCACCATTTATCAAGTTCCTTTACTGGAAATGCTAAAAAGACAGAAGCTCTCTCTTCCCTGTTAATGATTGATATGAAAAGAAAAGAATTCTGTATAGTCAAACATGGCAAAAATCAACACCGTTTATTATTATAACATGAATTGCTGGCAGTGTTCTGTGTGTGTTACGTGTTACAATGTTTATAAATGTGAAATATAGTTTCGTTTCTAAGTCTGACATTACAATTTACATTACATTCAAACTTACATTCTGTTTCAAAGTAGATGGGCTGACAACGCAGATATGGTCTTCCTGCAAATATGTCTTAAACAGCTGCTAAGTGTTTGAAAACTGTCGGTCAGAATAAGAACCTGAATCATTCCGTATGCCTGATGACTGGAAATCCACAACACAAGGGCGATGACAGGTACTTGTATATACTAGTATCCATGAAACAGATTCGACACTAATTTCGAATACATATCCGTTTAACTGAACATTCATTATATAACGGTGTATGTTACAAAAAATATAATGGATATGTATCAATCTGTTTCCTTTTTACCGAGTAACGAAGAACGAAATTCATTGGCAAACATTTATTTATATATGAAAAGAATCATGAGACATTGTTTTTGGAATATGTTATGCTGGAGCCGGAAGTGAAGTCAGCTTCCGCTGAAGAAATTCCCGCGAAGTTTGCAGATAGTGCTGATAGAGAGATCAAACATGGACAACGATTTTTCTCGCCCAAGAGTGAATTCATCTATCTTGTCGTCTTTTAAAGGAAGACAGGTGTGCGCCTTAGGAATGGCAAAAAATGTAAGTAGCCTGCAATATATTGAATAACAAGTTGTGGATGAAAATGTTTAGTCAGCATTGGCCTTTGGCAGTCGCCAGTGAAGTGTTGTATCAAAGACGTATATATGTCTTTGGTTCTATTATTTATCAGCACCATTATCATTATCAGGTCGAGGATGACTGTGGATCTAGGTAAATGGTACATGTGTATTGCGCTCTCATTTTACCTCAATAAGCGTTCAACAGTTTACCGTGAGCACCTAATTGCGTTGATAGTAACAGGTTCACTCTGCCGACTGTAGCTCCCTTTACTGATCGGAATGACTTCCATCCATATCCCCACTTAAATTTCATTCCAGTCAAATCAGATCTTTTGGATCCCATTTACAGTCAAGAAACACTTTACGCTCATTATGGTGATGTAGCCCATTCGGATCCCACACCCCTCTACCTATCTCTCCCCAACCGCGTCATACCAAAAGACGTTAAAATATGGTACTTGTTGGTCCCTGCCTGGCGTTCGGCATTAATGGGTACAACAAGGACTGGTCGGCTCGGGAGTCAGTATAATGTGTTTGAGTGGAGTATTCATGCTTCACTGCGGCGTGGTATCTCAGTGGGCTAGCACTATAAAACCAGCTTAAGTCTGGGCTAGTACAAGCAGCTGCACATACACACGCATGCGCGTCGTCATATGAGCGAAATATTCTCAAGCACGACGTTAAACCCAATATCGCCTCACCTCACCTCTACCTATCTTATGGCACCACTGGCACTGAATGCATAGTTATTCCATGTTAAATGTGACTCATATTCACACTTGATAATCACAGTTTGTTCCAATGTTGCAGGTTGACAGCAACGGCCTTGCCCTGACACTGGCTACTGGAGATGGAAAAGAAATGAAAGTCACCATGCAGGAACCAGTAAGTCCACATGAACTCTAGTGATCTGGGTGCCTACATCAGCTAAATTAAAACTATTTGTTTAACGAGGCAGCCAAGTAGTCTATGGTGCCACAAATTGCTGTGCATTGTTGTGGCCCATAGGTATGGCAGAATCCTGGGTTCAAATTCCAGATTATAGTCTTTGGTTATCTTGAACATTGAAAAATTTGACATGCTGTGATGTAATTGTAGCACTGGTCATTCACTCACTCAGCAACATTTGCCCATGCTGACTTTGGCAAATGTTCGTGTTTCAGCTGACTGAGTATGTGGCAGGTTTGACAGAAATCCATGGCAGAGTTGACGACCGAGGTGCTGGTATCGTGTGTGACCACTATGTCCTGTTTCCTGAACAAGCATCAAATACTTTTGGTAAGTCAGCTACTGTCTTAACCTAACTTACACTCATATACACCCCTAGTGTGAAATGCACAATATGTATGTTGCAATCAGAATGTTGGTTGCAATTCAAACAAAATTGGATTGGTTCATATAAGAATATATTTACTGTGGAAAATGCTCATTAATCAAATAGCAAAAGGCAAATACAAACAAAAAGGATGAACATAGCTGGCATTCAAGAAGCCTAGCATCTTTTGTTTAACCAGAAGTTGACGCAGTGTTGTCATATATTCTGTAGGCTGAACATTACACTATGCAGACTTCTGTCCCCCTGTTAATCCCAGATTTGACATCTGACCACTTTATTTCCTTCCCAACTAGATATGCAGATGTACAACCAGGCAGTGGAGCTGATGACCCGTCTCCCTGACCACTATCAGGTTGGGGTCAAGCAGTGATGGACGCAGGAGCAGAGGCTGTGTTGTGTAGATATGGACAAATGTGTTTGTATGGAGTGTCAAGCGCTCGCTGACCCAATCCTGACATGTTCCTAGGAGAGAGGACACGCATACGGGCATCTCAGGTCGTCGAGTTAAGGGTATGCTGCTGATGTGTATCGTTACTGGACGGTGTTTGAGTTGATTATCGTATGCCGGTAAACACCAGTATCAGACTCAGCCCCAGATACGATGTTATAATTTCTTTTCAGTTTAGATCCAGTCTGATACATTTTTATTATCTGACCAAGGAATGTGTGTGCAAACCATCTGTGGCTGGCAGTTGTTTCTTTCCAATATTTTCAAAACCAGAGTAATCGGATGAATTGTCAAAGCGATGTAGATAACGTGAACAATGATTAAAATGTATATGCAATATCATTTGTGTTCTTGTGGGGTCATTTTGACAATAAGCAATGTTTGCAAGACAATGTTGTTGGAAGTTCCCTTTGAAAATATGTGGACTGCATTGATAAACTCTCCATCATTATTCCATTAAGTCAACGACCAGGTGATTAGATACACTAGTGTGGTGTGAATTATTCTTGCTTTATATCTCAGCTGTTACTAGAGAGAACAGTCCTTTAGAGAGGCACATCATGTGTATTCTACTGTAGTGCGACACACCTCAGCTGTGAGACATATCTTTATCGTATGCATCACCCGATACTGTAGATCCACATCCCACTGCAACAAGAACACAACCCACAGGGATACACTAGACCGTTTATTATATACATTATACATAACAAGCTTTGGGTTTCATATATTCACAATAATTGCACTGTCTAGATGCACACAAACACTCATCCATAACAATCATATATGGAAGATGAGAGGCAGTATAGAGTGAGTGGGGTTCGATACCCCTTTCAACCTCATTGGTTAGACAATCACACAAATTATTGAAACGATACATGGATTTAAATGTATGAGTTGTCGATCCTGTCGCGAGTAAAGAACGCAACTCTGCTCAGCAATTTCGGGAGTAATATAGACTTAGTCTGTGCAGCCAGTGGTTTGAAGCTGTGATCCTCAAGACATGGAGTAATGGCCCAGTGGAAAACCATATATCATTGGTTGTTGCTGTGAGATACTGAACAACATTTGTACCAAGCATTGGTAACTTTGTAATCAACTTGACAATTGTTAGTTGTTTAAGACTGCACCCAGCAATATTTCAGCTGTATGACATTGGTCGGTCAATAATGGAGTTAGGACCAGAAAATCCAGTGATTGACATGAGCATGAAACTGAGATACAAAATCATCACACATCAGCAAACCTGACCACCCGATTCCATTAGTCACCCCTAACAACAAGCAACCACATATTCAAGTAAAGTGGAACTCTTATGTTATATTTATACGGTTTCCCTTCTCAAATCTAACTGATGTAATCAATAAGTGAGAACACGTATTGCTTGTTGACCCAGGTCAGTTTAACACTGGTACGTGGAACATTTGATGTTTGTAATCTCACTGAACTCCAATGTTACTTGATCCTACAGACCTGAGGACATCTCACTACAGGTCATGTCATAACAACCTTAACAAACCAACATTACTAACTAATGGTCAATCCTAACCATCATAAAGCAGCTTTTTAGAGCAACTTTATTCCAGAATGCACTTTGAAAGTATTTGGACAGTTCCTGGTTAATAAATTGAAAACAGAGTAATAGAAATATCTAGAATGTGTAAAAGATGGCAGAACTTTCCAAATGCTGTAGAAAGTTTCCTACATTTTAAACGTTCCCTGAAGTGAGACACAGATGATGATTATGTGAGAATCAGCTATATCGCCCATCACTGTTGTCTGGAATACCCCTTTTCAAGGTTGTATCAAAATAAAACAAATCTGCTTCCATGTTCCTGATAAGTTAAGCAAAGCTCTGATTGGCTGGATGGAAGGCTGTTCTGACATGACCTGTGAAGGCATATGACACGTATTGTCATACTGGCTATTGACACTTCCTGGAGGATGCTGTTCTGACATTACCTGTGAAGGCATATGACACGTATTGTCATACTGGCTATTGACACTTCCTGGAGGATGCTGTTCTGACATGACCTGTGAAGGCATATGACACGTATTGTCATACTGGCTATTGACACTTCCTGGAGGATGCTGTTCTGATATGACATGTATTGTCATACTGGCCATTGACACTTCCTGGAGGACAATGACGATATATCCCTAATGTCAACAACTGAACTGCTTGAAACGTAGTTTAAAAAAGAAGAAGACATCCTCAAATGGCATTTTGAAGTGATATACATTCCTGTACACAGCTCCAAGTCTGACAGAACTTCGAACACACATTTAGTCACAGGAAGATGACCATGGGGTCTTGTCCAAACTAGAAAGAAGCTGGCTGATTCCTTCAGCATAATAATTTCATTTATAATGAAGAAGTATCTCAAACCAATTGCTCACAAAAATCAGTTGTATTGTCATGGTAATTTGTTGTTATCTGTTTGTGGATATATTTTAGTGATGTCTGTATTCCATGTTACATGATACATTTATGAATGTCTCTCTCATGATGTAAGACAAATTGCCTTTGGTACAATAAAGTATTATCAAATCCTCAAACATATTTCAATATTCAAACGTGCAGCCAAAGGGAGAGAACTCCCAGAGAATACCTCCATCAATAGGGGAGGGTCTTTTCTCTATATTTAGTCATTATGGATTATATTATTCCTCACATAAGACATTATTTTCAGAAAATAACTAGTTCAACTTTATTATGTTTATGGTTATTGATAGCCATAATCAAAACAAAACAATTAGTTTAAGTCTCTCATCGATGATGAAATGTTAAAGGTCACATGCAACGTAAAACACAACTTTGCAGATTCTGATACCTCTCGGTATGGACTTAGATACAAATCATCAAAAATGCAAATTCAACTTATGAAGTTGAAAAATAACGCGATGGAAAACCTCTGCGAAATCAGAGTTCAAACGACTCACTAAATTCACCCCAGCGCTTGGGGTGAAAAGTGGCTTCAACAGCTGTGCTGGGCTGCGCTCATAGCGCATGTGCAGTGAAATAGGTTCGCGCAGCTTGGAAGTGGGATGTCCGGATTATAAGGTCGAGAGCAGGAGTAGTCTAATCAAAACAAAATAGTAAATAATCTACTCATCACATAAAAGAACCTTGTTAGGATCTAGATCTACTCAGCTATGTGTCAACCAGTGAGGCGTTCGACATTTCAAGACGGAAAACCTTCGCTGGCGGTGAATACTCGGTGAAGGCTTTGATGTGACCTATTTTTCTAATGTTTTGTTGATATTTCACAAGCATGAGCTTTTTATATGTTATGACAGTAGATTACCGATTTAACTGTTTATATGATTTCATTTGTCTATTTCACCACATTGTCTTCTTACCGGGTCACTTTCTCAGTTCGATACTTAAAAGTAATGACATTATTTAGTGTTGACAGAATTTCTAACTGTGACATAGATATGTCATTGTCACAGACAAAACTCAATGTCTGTTTTGTTGACACCTATGTGTCTGACTGCCTGTCTGCTAATGACATTATTCAATACACAACTTCGATCACCGACCACATGCAATTTGAACTTAACACCTATCAGGCTATACACCATAAACAAAATGCATTGATTTATGGCCGAGTTCGGTCTCTGTCACATTATGTAATTACACAGACAGGCAGGCAGGTGTGATACTTGTACACATGACATGTTATGATGTCTGTTGATTGCAAAATGTTAAACACAAAAAAATGAGCATGTATTTACAAAACCCAACATTATACACACACACAATGAGCCGTGAGGGCATCGGCAAATGAACCGGCCAATGAAAGCCTTCGTTACACTTGAGTGCACACCCACCTGCTTTGACTGGGTTCGGTATCCCGGGTGCTTAGTTTCGAGGGAAGTGGTGGTGGTGGTGGTGGAATTGGGTTTAACGTCGTGCTGGAGAATATTTCGCTCATATGACGACGTGCATGCGTGTGTATGTGCGGTTGCTTGTACTAGCCAAGACTGAAGCTGGTTTTTAATAGTGCTAGCCCACTGAGATACCATGCCGCAGTGAAGCATGAATACCCCACTCAGACACATTATACTGACTCGAGCCGACCAGTCCTTGTTGTACCCATTAATGCCGAGCGCCAGGCAGGGACCAACAAGTACCATATTTTAAGATCTTTTGGTATGACGCGGTCGGTGATCGAACCCGCAACCTTCCACACTCCAGGCGGACGCTCTAACCACTACACCAAGGAGGCGGTCTTCGAGGAAAGTAAACCCAAGTACAAAATATTGCACTTTTGATTTGCAATTGTACGCTTATAATTTTGTTTATTTGTTTTTTTCATAATCAGCAATGCATATTTTAGGTCATGAATAAGTGATAATTGTGTTTTAATTATGTTTGATTTTTTGGTTCCATGTGACCTTTAAATTTCAGTATATATGAATGATTCCTTTTCTGTAAATCACAATTAACATTTCAAAAGTTTCAGATAAAGTATCAAGTAGTTTAAATAAATAAAAAGAATAAATCTTCTTATTTTAACTGGGAGTTATGAAGTTTTCTGCAATAATATCATTTCATGTCACGTGGCTGCAACAACAGGCATTGCTATACTCTCGCTGCCCATGACGCGGCCCAGTGAGTCGATCTTCATACACTTGCAGCTACAGTCTGTCACGGGACAATCCGTGTGCTCGCTGAAACAACACAGTGAACATGGCTGAAACCAAACCTACACACATCTGTAGCACACATTATTTCAGTAATAATTGCAAATGTTCAATGATGGTCTAAATATCAGGGTAAGTGGTTGAAACTGGTCATAGACAGTGAAGAATCCATAAAATATAATAATGGAGTCAGAACTTTAGATTTCTGCACAAATCTGAAGCATATCACCAGTCTAGATAATCCATACAGGTAATAACCATCTACATGCTTTCCTCTGATTTGTCACATGTGTAACTCCAGCACAGCCAGTTTGTGTTGACACAACACTATGCCAGATTGCATACCGTAAAATAAACCTCACTTTTGGAGTTAAAACTCAAGAACATATTTCAAGTTATTTCATGTGACATAAAGTGCAAATTAATCATGTTTCAATTTACTAGGCTTCATTTTATTTAACTTTCAACAAGTTCATACAACAAAACACACCTTCTCCAACACTTGCTTAAATATGTAAACCAAAGAGAATTGATAACAGCTTCACCAGTCGAGTAGTGATATAGGAAATACAGCATCGTATCATGGTACAAGGCTCATGATACTAAACCCCAATATACAACCCTGTATGGAACTACATAGTACAACTTCTGTTAATGTAAAACATGGGAATAATAACAGAGACTGTACAATAAGGATTTTATGCAGATTCTCTCGTACTTCCCGGTACCCAGCTTATGTCTGTCTCCCCTACAATATCCTACCTTCCTTGTCTACAAAATATAAAATAATTGATTTACAGCTATGACTCACTTGAAAACGGGAGAGAATATGAACTTATGAAATAAGTATCATATTGCATCATTATTATAGGGACATGTATATCTCACCATTATTATAGGGATATGTATCATTTCTCACCATTATTATAGGGATATGTATCATATCGCACCATTATTATAGGGATATGAATCATATCTCACCATTATCATAGGGATATGTATCATATCGTGCCATTATTATAGGGATATGTATCATATCTCACCATTATCATAGGGATATGTATCATATCTCACCATTATCATAGGGATATGTATCATATCTCACCATTATTATAGGGATATGTATCATATCTCAACATTATTATAGGGATATGTATCATATCTCACCATTATTATAGGGATATGTATCATATCTAACCATTATTATAGGGATATGTATCATATCTCAACATTATCATAGGGTTATGTATCATATCTCACCATTATTATAGGGATATGTATCATATCTCACCATGATTAGAGGGATATGTATCATATCTCAACATTATTATAGGGATATGTATCATATCTCAACATTATTATAGGGATATGTATCATATCTCACCATTATTATAGGGATATGTATCATATCTCACCATTATTATAGGGATATGTATCATATCTCATCATAGGGATATGTATCATATCTCACCATTATTATAGGGATATGTATCATATCTCACCATTATCATAGGGATATGTATCATATCTCACCATTATCATAGGGATATGTATCATATCTCACCATTATTATAGGGATATGTATCATATCTAACCATTATTATAGGGATATGTATCATATCTCAACATTATCATAGGGTTATGTATCATATCTCACCATTATTATAGGGATATGTATCATATCTCACCATGATTATAGGGATATGTATCATATCTCAACATTATTATAGGGATATGTATCATATCTCAACATTATTATAGGGATATGTATCATATATCACCATTATCATAGGGTTATGTATCATATCTCACCATTATCATAGGGATATGTATCATATCGCACCATTATTATAGGGATATGTATCATATCTCACCATTATCATAGGGATATGTATCATATCTCACCATTATTATAGGGATATGTATCATATCTCAACATTATTATAGGGATATGTATCATATCTCAACATTATTATAGGGATATGTATCATATCTCAACATTATTATAGTGATATGTATCGTATCTCACCATTATTATAGGGACATGTATCATATCTCAACATTATTATAGGGATATGTATCATATCTCACCATTATTATAGGGACATGTATCATATCTCGCCATTATTATATGGATATCTATTATATATCGCACCATTATCATAGGGATATGTATCATATCTCACCATTATTATAGGGATATGTATCATATCTCACCATTATTATAGGGATATGTATCATATCTCACCATTATTATAGGGATATGTATCATATCTCACCATTATTATAGGGATATGTATCATATCTCAACATTATTATAGGGATATGTATCATATCTCAACATTATTATAGGGATATGTATCATATCTCACCATTATTATAGGGATATGTATCATATCTCAACATTATTATAGGGATATGTATCATATCTCACCATTATTATAGGGATATGTATCATATCTCACCATTATTATAGGGTCATGTATCATATCTCACCATTATCATAGGGTTATGTATCATATCGCACCATTATTATATTGATATCTATTATATCGCACCGCTATTGTAGGGACATGTATCATATCTCACCATTATTATATTGATATCTATTATATCGCACCGCTATTGTAGGGACATGTATCATATCGCACCATTATTATATTGATATCTATTTTATCGCATCGCTATTGTAGGGACATGTATCATATCCCAGAATCATCATATCATTCACCTGGGGACAGTCTCACTATATAATATCAAATTTGACAGATATACATGCAGAAATTGCAAGGTAATGGAAAACATACAGCTTCATGAAGAGACAATGCTTTGAGTTTGGATGAGCTGAAAGTCCAACACTGTACTCACCTGAACCAATTCTGTATATGAGAGGAATGGCCACCATGGCGACAGGACTGACACCATGTGAACCAGTCATCAAACATCGACATCTTCACGGTGCCTGGAAACAGTCTCACATTTAGCCTGCTGTCAGAACCTTAGTGTCTGTTTGAAACATGTAATGGTAGGACACTTTTGGACTAATGACTGGGATATTTATATATTTCAGATATTGCTAAGTAACTACTGACATGAGTTTGTGGAAATTTGTCCTCTATTCTCAGCTGCAATGATCATGTGACAATGTTTTGCAATACTAAAAAATAATAACATTACAAAATACCTGTCCCCAGTACCCTGGTTCCCCAACACCTGTCCCCAGTTCCCTGGTTCCCCTACACCTGTCCCCAGTACCCTGGTTCCCCAACACCTATCCCCAGTATCCTGGTTCCCTCACACCTGTCCCCAGTATCCTAGTTCCCTCACACCTGTCCCCAGTACCCTGGTTCCCTCACACCTGTCCCCAGTACACTGGTTCCCTCACACCTGTCCCCAGTACCCTGGTTCCCCAACACCTGTCCCCAGTATCCTCGTTCCCTCACACCTGTCCCCAGTACCCTGGTTCCCTCACACCTGTCCCAAGTACCATGGTTCCCCAACACCTGTCCCAAGTACCCTGGTTCCCCAACACCTGTCCCCAGTACCCTGGTTCCCTCACACCTGTCCCCAGTACCCTGGTTCCCCAACACCTGTCCCCAGTACCCTGGTTCCCCAACACCTGTCCCCAGTACCCTGGTTCCCCAACACCTGTCCCCAGTACCCTGGTTCCCTACACCTGTCCCCAGCACCCTGGTTCCCTCACACCTGTCCCCAGTACCCTGGTTCCCTGACACCTGTCCCCAGTATCCTGGTTCCCCTACACCTGTCCCCAGTATCCTGGTTCCCTCACACCTGTCCCCAGTACCCTGGTTCCCTCACACCTGTCGGCAGTATCCTGGTTCCCTCACACCTGTCCCCAGTACCCTGGTTCCCTCACACCTGTCCCCAGTACCCTGGTTCCCCTACACCTGTCCCCAGTACCCTGGTTCCCCGTCACACCTGTCCCCAGTACCCTGGTTCCGTCACACCTGTCCCCAGTATCCTGGTTCCCTTACACCTGTCCCAAGTACCCTGGTTCCCCAACACCTGTCCCCAGTACCCTGGTTCCCCAACACCTGTCCCCAGTACCCTGGTTCCCTCACACCTGTCCCAGCACCCTGGTTCCCTCACACCTGTCCCCAGTATCCTGGTTCCCCAACACCTGTCCCCAGTACCCTGGTTCCCCTACACCTGTCCCCAGTACCCTGGTTCCCTCACACCTGTCCCCAGTATCCTGGTTCCCCAACACCTATCCCCAGTATCCTGGTTCCCCTACACCTGTCCCCAGTACACCCTGGTTCCCCTACACCTGTCCCCAGTACCCTGGTTCCCCTCACACCTGTCCCCTGTATCCTGGTTCCCCACACCTGTCCCCAGTACCCTGGTTCCCCAACACCTGTCCCCAGTACCCTGGTTCCCCAACACCTGTCCCCAGTACCCTGGTTCCCCAACACCTGTCCCCCAGTACCCTGGTTCCCTCTACACCTGTCCCCAGTACCCTGTTCCCTCACACCTGTCCCCAGTACCCTGGTTCCCTCACACCTGTCCCCAGTATCCTGGTTCCCCAACACCTATCCCCAGTACCCTGGTTCCCCTACACCTGTCCCCAGTACCCTGGTTCCCCAACACCTGTCCCCAGTACCATGGTTCCCTCACACTGTCCCCTGTCCCCAGTATCCTGGTTCCCCTACACCTGTCCCCAGTACCCTGGTTCCCCTACACCTATCCCCAGTATTCTGGTTCCCCAACACCTGTCCCCAGTACCCTGGTTCCCCTACACCTATCCCCAGTATCCTGGTTCCCTCACACCTGTCCCCAGTACCCTGGTTCCCCAACACCTGTCCCCAGTACCCTGGTTCCCCTACACCTGTCCCCAGTACCCTGGTTCCCCAACACCTGTCCCCAGTACCCTGGTTCCCCAACACCTGTCCCCAGTACCCTGGTTCCCTCACACCTGTCCCCAGTACCCTGGTTCCTCACACCTGTCCCCAGTATCCTGGTTCCCCTACACCTGTCCCCAGTACCCTGGTTCCCCTACACCTATCCCCAGTATCCTGGTTCCCTCACACCTGTCCCCAGTACCCTGGTTCCCCAACACCTGTCCCCAGTACCCTGGTTCCCTACACCTGTCCCCAGTATCCTGGTTCCCTCACACCTGTCCCCGGTACCCTGGTTCCCCTACACCTGTCCCCAGTACCCTGGTTCCCCAACACCTATCCCCAGTACCCTGGTTCCCTACACCTGTCCCCAGTACCCTGGTTCCCTCACACCTGTCCCCAGTACACTGGTTCCCTCACACCTGTCCCCAGTACCCTGGTTCCCTCACACCTGTCCCCAGTACACTGGTTCCCTCACACCTGTCCCCAGTACCCTGGTTCCCTCACACCTGTCCCAATTACCCTGGTTCCCCAACACCTGTCCCCAGTACCCTGGTTCCCTGACACCTGTCGGCAGTATCCTGGTTACTTACTTGGGTGTCCCTTGAGTTCGCCGACACCTGTCCCTGAGGCAGTGCCCAGATTTGTGAGACAGAGCGTGCAGCGAGGGAGAGACTTGCGACAACTAGGACAGCAGGTTACCTGAACAGTGAAATAAAGTTGTGCTATGATGGCCAGTCCAAGCAATAATTATAATGCCTGTTGTACATGTGAGTGGATATGTCATGTACAGTATGGAAGTCCAACAGGGTCATGTACAGTATGGAAGCCCCAGGGTCATGTACAGTATGAAAGCCCCAGGGTCATGTACAGTATGGAAGTCCAACAGGGTCATGTACAGTATGACGCCTAACAGGGTCATGTACAGTATGGAAGTCCAACAGGGTCATGTACAGTATGGAAGCCCAACAGGGTCATGTACAGTATGGAAGTCCAACAGGGTCATGTACAGTATGGAGCCAACAGGGTCATGTACAGTATGGAAGTCCAACAGGGTCATGTACAGTATGGAAGCCCAACAGGGTCATGTACAGTATGGAAGCCCAACAGGATCATGTACAGTATGAAAGTCCAACAGGGTCACGTACAGTATGGAAGTCCAACAGGGACATGTACAGTATGGAAGCCCCAGGGTCATGTACAGTATGGAAGCACAACAGGATCATGTACAGTATGGAAGCCCAACAGGGTCATGTACAGTATAGAAGCCCAACAGGATCATGTACAGTATGGAAGCCCAACAGGGTCATGTACAGTATGGAAGCCCAAGAGAAAGCACAACTAAACTGTCTACAGTTATTTTGACAGATATGATAACCAGTTTTCTACCCGTGGTTTGTAAGCCGCGGCTCTGCCGACATGTGTGCGGTAACCTGTGGAGCGGGCGATCATGGTGGACGTGCTAGTGATGGACTTCCCGCAGAAGTTGCAGCCAACAAACACCTGGCTGGGGATGCGCTGGCCTGGGTCACTCTTGTGGTACAGGATGTCAAACTTGGCCCTGGGTGGAAACAGACAGTGTAGCATTGTATTGATGGGGATTACAAACTTGTGTGGAACCTGTCATCTAATGATCGGTTGTTTCTTCAGACAAACATACAGCACCTACTTTTGCAAATAAATATCCTCACAAACTAGTGGGCGGTGGAGTAAGTTGAGTTTGAGAAGTATTTCAGGTATATCTGGGTGGGCCATGTGGGAGTATAGCCTGAAGTGATGCAGATGAACATGTAGAACTGTAGTGAAACCCATTCACATAAGTGAGTGAGAGAGTTTGGCTTTTTACGCTGCATTTGGCAATATTCCAGCAATATCTTGGCAGGGGGACACCAAAATTGGGATTCACCCATTGTACCCATGTTGCGAATGAAACCCGGATCTTGTGTGACAAGCGAATGCTTTAACCACTAGGCTACCCCATCTCCCCAATTACATAAGTATACTGCAAATATATCCAGGTTCATTGTCCTGTTAAATGTGGAACTTAAGAGAAGCAGCTCTCTCCATAGTTGAATGAATGACAGAAGGGATAAATAGGCGGTTAATTACCTGTGATGCCATAGTCTCCATCTATCCAGAAGTTTGCGGTAACTGAAACAAAGAAAGAAGAACCATTAGCTGTAGCTAGAACTTATTACCTTCTGTTGTGTTTAGGCTACGATTGACACCAAAGGATGTCAGCTGTGTAAATGTAGTACATATCAGAGGTGTGTGGGGGCAGGGGGTATGGGCAGGGGCATGGGCCAACACGTTATTGATGCTGTAGTAGCCTGTGCACATACAAATGTATGACAGTCGTTCAGCAACACGGACATACAATCAGACAAGTCACAGGTGCTTGCGATTTATTGTAATCAGGAGTGAGTGAGTGCGTATGGTTTTACGCCACTTTTAGCATTATTCTAGCTATATCACGACGAGGAACACCAGAAATGGGCTTCACACATTGTGCCCATGTAGGGATTCGAACCCGGGTCTTTGGCGTGACGAGCTGACACATTAACCACCAGGCTACCCCACCGCCCCGAAATTAGGAGTGAGTGGAGTGGGTGGGTGGGGTTTTAGTGTCTGTTTGTGAGGGAGGCGGGAGTATGAGAGTGTAAATGGATGGTCGGGTTATTTGGGGTTAGTGGATATGTCGGTTTAGAAAGACTGACTGACTAACTGAGTTTGGTTTACGCCGCTTTGAGCAATATTCCAGCAATATCACGGCAGGGGACACCAGAAATGGGCTTCACTTATTGTACCCATGTGGGGATTCGAACCTGGGTCTTCGGCGTGACGAGCCAACGCTTCAACCACTAGACTACCCCACCGCCCCGGTTTAAAAAGAATTAGAGTGAGTGAGCGAGTGAGTGAGAGAGAGTTGCAGGAGGCCCGAAGGAGGCAGCCAGTGATGTACCACATCATCTGCTGTCCATCCAATCCACATCAGTTCATACAAACATGTGTCTGTGGAACCCATCCAGCCTGAGAACCTCCATGGGACAAACCCACCTTTCTATCCAGGTGTGTATCCGCTCGTCCTGAGCGATGGCATGGGGGAAGGAGCACACGAGAGCCAGGGCGGCTGTCTGGACGTCGCTGGTTGCATCAATGTAGTTCTCCAGAAGGTCAAGGCCCTCTGCGGTCATGCCTGACATAGGACAGGAACAGAAACTCAGATTCCAAACATCATGAAAGCATTCGGAGGACAGAAACATCAGATACTCCTCTGGGCCTGCCTCATACTGTGGCATAAATATTATCATATGATAATATAACAACTTGAAAATTTTAATATAAATTGTATATTTAGCGAGGGTAATCAGTCGCATTACCACGATTTCCAAGGTACCCCCATAATAAAAGTCTAATGACTAGTATCGGGCCAGCCCCTGCTTCGAAACAACCACCACAGACACTGCCCACCCAGCCTCCCCTCTACTCAGATTATGATGGTTACGTATAACTGTCATTGGCTCCAGGAAGAGAATGATCACTCTGAGGTAGACAGGGGAACGTGCTGCACGCTTAGCCGGGAACTAGGGACCTGTCCTATAAGGATAGCAGCCTGGGGAACACAGTCGTATGGACAAGAGAGGCCTACAGGAAAAGTTCTCATTCGTTCCACTCAGCGTCAAAGCAAGAGAGAGAAGTGCAAATCCTGAGATAGGATAAGTTTAAAAATATATTCCTTCTTGAACCACTAGGCTACCCTACCACCCCCGTGCTAAGTAGTACTACGATCATCAAGAATACACAATGCCATTTAGAAAGTGATCAAATGTAACAGATGTTATATTTGAGATTAGACTTAAAGTAAAGTAAAGATGTAATTTTCTGACTAAAATTGATATTTTTCCTTATCCTGACTCATGCTAATGCTTGCAGAATCCGTCGGAATCGGTGGTGGGTCAGGCCACTTCCTGGATTCACTGGTTGTTGATTTACGTCCTGCATTACCCCCCATGGGAAGTTATGACGGCACTGCTGATGATTCTGTTCTTTCAATTTCCACAACTAGTCAGATTTCTTGCGAAACTTCTCCTGACATTTTCGTGTGGATTTTTAGATATACTAATGTCCCATTAGTTATCTATTGCAACTCCATCTATTGATGCTCGCATGAAGTGGAGATGTGACCCTTCTTCATGTACGAGTATGTCCTATACAAGTACAGGGTCTATCACTCAAGCTAGCCTGTCCTAGACGTGTGCATGGACTTTAACCATTTGCTCTCCAGAGCGTTGGTTTTCAAAAGTCACGTGATAAAAGGGTGAGATTTTTCTCAGCGCCTTTGTGGAACCATTAGTTGTTGTGCTACAACAAGTGGCCCAAAGTGTTGAATGCCTGAGACGTCTTCGGTGGCAATGTCTCTGAGGTAGTGGTTGGCAAACACTGTGTCTGATTTCCAAAAGCAGCACTCCATAATTGTTTTAATCGAGCAGTTTCCATGCAGAGTAAGTGTAGACGCCAGGGCTCTGACTTCGTGGGGATTGGAGGCTCGTGGAGGCTAAAGTCCTGCTGCTTTATAGGCCCTTAGTATAACGTCTCTCATCCATATTGATATCGTTGTACATGAGACTTCCGTGGGCGTCTCAGTGGATAAGGGGATGAATAGGCGCTTGAATTTTCGTCTCCTTGTTTTTATCCTTTGTAGGTAGACTTTAGTGCTCTTACAGGGCATAAGGATAGATCCTGTGTATCCTGTGGCCCAAGGACTGTAGAGTGCTGGGATGTGGAACTGTCTGTCAGGCTGACATCCGTGCTGCTGTTGCTAGGGCGATCAGGAACAGTGTTTTCTGTGTCAGTAGTTCAAAGGATGTCCGTTCTAGAGGCTCGTAGGCATCACTGGTGAGATGTTGTAGAACCACGTTGAGATCCCAGGCAGGAGCCTTGAATTTCTTTTGTTGATCTTCCAACTTGAACGAGCGTAGTAGTTCCAGTATCTCTGGTACTTTGGTCAGCTTGACACCCGTCTTCATAGTGATAACTGTACTGAGAGCAGCCAGGTATGTAGAGAGTGTTGAACTTTTTATGTGTCCCGTCTGTCGTAGATGACACAAGTATTCCACCACTTGAGGATGGGTTGCTTTCACCGCTGTAAAGCCTTTCCTCGTTGCATACTGTTCAGATCTCTGCCACTTGTCGTCGTACAAGTTACGAGTTGATCTGCTGGAGCTAATGTCACTGCTTTCGCTGCTCTGGCGGAGTACCCTCTAGTCTTCAGGCAAGTATTGATACGCTCCACGCCTGTAGCTGGAACAATGCCGGATTCCCTTGAGCTTGCTTGGTGTGTGGATGGACGAGCAGGTTCGATCACTCTGGTAATTTTTTAGGGTTGGACTTCCAAGTTCTTGTACAAGGACGGGAAACCATACCCTCACTGGCCAATAGGGTGCGACCAGAATCAGTTGCAGCATTGTCGTCTGCTTGATTTTCTGTATTACTTGTGGTAATAGTGCTGGAAGTGGAAACGCATAAGCGTTTAGTCCTTCTCATCAGATGCTTAAAGCATCTGTTGCCCATGCCTGAGGATCTGGAATCGGTAAGACGAATGTTGGTAGTTGCTTGTTGAACTTTGTTGCAAACAGGTCTATCAGTGGAGATCCTATGACGAACCGGAAAGCTTCTGGCTCTGTATAAGGACTTGGTGAACCGCTCACTCCAGGTGCACGATGACAATAATCCTTGCCTCCTCAGGAGAGTCAGGCCCGCTGATGTGGATGCAAGATGCTCCGACATAAACTGGTGGTCCTTTTTCTGAGTCAGTAGAGCAGAATATATCATCCGGTCATCTTTGGCGATGGAGTTCTTGAACTCCGAGATGAATGCTTCGTTGATAGCCCCAGACCTGGCCAGTCCAAAGTAGGTACGTCTAGTAGTCGTATCCAGTTGCGCTATCTTGTTGTCCTCTATCTTGTAAGTTCTATAGCGGGAGTCGTTGATGATCTTGTAGTCCTCATCAATCTCTGGTGCCTTCAGGAAGGGTTCCATGTGATGTAAGGGGAAATTCCTGGCGTGGAACATCGGGATATGCTGATTCTGGAACTTGGTAGCCTTATCAAAGGCTGAGCTGAGACTGTCCGGTACTTGGGAGATCGGGCCGATAGGTGGAAAGGTGAGTGTGTCGAAGTCATCGTTGGACATCCACGCTTTGTTTGTGTCCTTGGAAGGTGATGCTAGGTCCAGGCCATTAGCAATCCGTGAGGTTACTTCCGTATCGGAGAATATGACTTCTCCTTCTTCATCAGATTTAGACATCTCTCGATCTGACGATCCATGACGACGTGAGTCTCCGTATGAAGGTCTGTATGTCAAACTGCGCGCAGGTGAACGATCCCGATGTGATCGTGTATCCTTCCTGGAGTCTTGAGATGTTTCTCTAGGCCTTCGTGAAGGTTGATTCTTAGACGTAGTTTCCCCTCTGTAAGAGATTGAGTGCCTGCGTGCAGATTCCCAATGTGCGTATGAGTCCGATGGTGATGACGACCCGTATCTACGACATCTGTAGGGTTCGGGAGAACGCTTCGTTCTGCTTCTGCGTGGAGAATTCTTAGCGGCTCCTTCAGGGACGTCTAAGGCTGAGCTGACATTGGTATCGTTGTCCAGGCTCCTAACTTCAGATTGGGGAAGATCGTCGGGTGCGTGAGCCTTCACGCAGGCTTCCCTCTTCTTCCAAGTTGAGAGACTGTTGAATCTTCACGCAGGCTAGTAGTCATCGTAGTGGTCTTCGTAGCAGCTTTCTCCTGCGCGAAGCGACGTTCCATCATCGACATCATCTGGTCTGTAAATTGTTGCATGAACAGTCCCGGGTTGAAGTTCTGCGATGTCTGAAGAGACTGCTGCAGGGATGATGATGCTTCTGACAACGATGAGGAGTCTTCTAAGGCACACTGCACTTGTGAAGAGTTGATGCTGTTGCTGTCTCTAGTACCCGATGTCTGCGTTGATAGAAGGTCTTCTGTCAATGTCTGCGCTGATAAAGTTGCCGATGTAGCTGTAGAAGCAGGCTTCGTCTTCTTGCTGACGACTGTGACTTCAGGTATGAGGATGGGGCGATCATCATACACATCTGCTTCTTCCAGAGGTACAATCTCGGCAGAGAAGGATCTCGTCTTCTGCGTAGAGCTGTGTAGAGACTTCGACAAAGTCTTAGGGGTAGTAGCCTTCTTCTTCTGCGTTGAAGACAATCTAGTCTTCTTCGTCTGCGAAGAGGTCAACCGTTGACGCCGATCTCTTATTGGCTCCAGAGTTCATCACTGTAACAGTGACCTGCCACCGTAAAACGCTCGGCAATTAAAATTATGAACATCGGCAGCAGTAGTTAAAGAACCAATAAACTTTGTTTTTTGTTACTCTTTAACCATTACATATGAAAGATTTGTGGTTAGTCTTATGCGGAACACCAAATTTATTCTTTAAAAACTTGTGGTTAATTAATACCGAGTGATTAAAAGTGGCCAAAAAGTCGCCTGCTTCCCTCTCGCCCGCCAACGAAACCACAGACAGGTTACGTAACTCTGTCGCCAGAGCACTGCAGTGACGTCATATGAGGAACGATTTTCAGTTAGTTGTATAGAAAGTGTGTAGCACGCTCATCATTTTGATGATTTCTCGACATCAACGATGACATGCCGAATCGTTGCTTTGTCGTCAATTGCTCCTTGGGGTCGGGAGATGGTGTCACCATGCACAGATTTCCACAGGACCCCGCAGTTCGTGCTAAATGGGTTATGTTTGTGAGTGCGTAGAGCGTTGTGGAAGCCTGAAACCATATCTTACTTGTGTTCAGATCGCTTCACGGAAGTTAAAGAATCAAAACTACTTCCTAGTTGTAGTAAAATATGTATATGATTGATGACCATAAAGATTTTCCATGACACAACTTGTGACATAACGATTTCTTCCTCGGAAGTGAGGTTGTGGTCGAAGTAACAATAATATTGTAAGTAGTATTATATTGACACCCACCTCGCTGCCAGGAGAGAAATTGTTATGTTATACGCTATGTCATGCAAAATCCTGTTGGCCATCAATAAAATACATATTTCACCACCAGTAGAAAGTAGTTTTGATTTTGTAACTCGGTGAAAACAAACCTAAATAGCATTTATCCTTAGACTGGCGGATGTTCCCAACAGGGCGCCGCCATTTTTGAAAATCGTAAAGTCTGTTAGAATTAATGAGATTATAGTTTGTTTTCATCAAGTTAGAAAATCAAAACTACTTTCTACTCAGAAGTTAAATATGTATTGGAATCATAACCAAACGGATTTTGCATGACACAACTTATAACATAACGATTTCTTCCACGGAAGCGAGGTGGGGGTCGAAGTCACAATACTGCGCGATAAATTTCTTGCTACATTCACATGGTTAATGTCCGCTCACCAGTTTGTAGATACTAGTCAATGTGCGTCTTTATATTTGGTCTTATAATCCTAATTAGTTTATTATCATACTTGTATGCATTTTGAAACTAAATAAAAAGCAGACGATCTGCTGATACGTATAGTGAATTTATAACAGAACTGTAATATCTAGACATTTTATAGTTTGCCAATGTGAATCATAATTCGCACACACACCCTAGTGTATGTTGTCTGTCTCATTATACTTCACGGCGAAAACAATGATTCTGTTGAATGCTACGACAAATGAATAAAAACAACATGCAAATATCAAAATTAAAACAGATTAAAGTTATAAGAACAATATCAGGCCATTACCTTGTTCGAAGAATGTATCCATCAATATTCACAAAACTGTTCCAAATGATGTGTCTTTTAACAGTTTGATATACGAAAAAGTGATAAATCTTTTCAGGTATTGGTGTATAGTCTCATTGGTCACCCAAGATAGCACACCTGGCAACTAATTGCATAATGTCCGCCTTTCTTTAAAAACAGTAAATTAGTTAGCCAATAATGGGCAATCAATCAATGTATTGCCGGTTAATCCTTTGAAAGAAGGACGTTGTTTTTACGCAGACACCGACACGACAGAGTGTATTCAGTATAGATTAGTAAATCTACATACATAAACACTACCTTTTGACAATTCCACTGTATAAGATAAAAGTAATTAGTCAATCAGCGTGTTATCGGTTAATCCTTTGATCGATGTCTATAATGTTGAATATTTACTCCAGACACAAGAAATGCCAAATGGGAACCTTTGTCGGGTAATCTAAGGGTGTTACCACTAATTATACCTGTTATAAATTCATTAACTGACCATCAAGTGAATGATGACAAATAACATGTGTAGGTTTATACCACCTAACACGGGTTACAACAAGGGCGTATTAATTGCTGTATTGCATGTGAAAACTTATGGGCCGACACTGTTTTGAGAATACAAACAGATTTTTACATGACATGATTAAATATCGAGGTAAAAAAAACACAGAAATGGGATCAATTTGGATCAGTCATTATACAAATAGGGCCTAACGAAACCAATCGATTTTCACAGAATCGTCTATGAAAACAAGTTGTAACTCGGAAACTAGGCAAAGCAGGAGACAAAATTAAATGACAGTAGATTGTGAGAACATATAGCTTTCATTTTCCACAACAATTGTCACGATTTCAGGTTTATACAAGCCTGTAAACAAGATAATTTACCCCCTAAAATGTAGATGAATTCTGCATCGGCCCTCAAAGCTATTCCTCATATGACGTCACAGAGACGCGCCGCTCTGATTGGTTGAAATTTCGTTCGTGAGAATTGTGCACTGTTGTCAAAAAGGTCGATTTAAGTCAATTAAAGGTCGAAATGAGTAGTTTTAATGACGGGGGTTCATTTATAACGATGCCAGTTAGTGATTTATGTATTTGTACCCCCTAGGGTTTATGTGACCTTTAACACACGGTTATCAGCGCAATCACTAGATTTAGACATGACTTGTGAATACGTTCTTATCCAGTCCTTTGCACGTCTATGAATGGAATAAAGGTAGTTATTAAATTCAAAAGTGGTTAAATGTTTACAGTGAGAGCTGGAAGAACATGAAGTAGTGCAATCAGGACATAATACATGTGGGTCAGCCGCAGACAGTCGGTACCTACAACGAACACAAGTTTTCATCAAATGTAAACACGATGAAAAAACATGTCAACAACAGATAATTCAGATCAAATTCCAAACCATATAGTAGAATACAATCCTAAAAGCCGTATACAGCAATAATTTTGATGTAAAGGTCCAAAAGAGAAAAGGATATGTGCCGTATAGGGACCCAGGTGCTCTCACAACCGTCCTCAAGGGCGAAGAAGGAGAGAGTGACAAGCATGGCTGGTCATGTGATACAAAAGAGCGCATAAGGAGGCAAGGGAGACTACTCGTGGGTGAGTGATGATTTTACGTCCGCTTTTTAGAAGGAAACTTCAAGGGATTTCAAGTGTTCCACTATCATTCGCAAGAAGGAGGAGACAAGCATTTAGCATGAGTCAGGATAAGGAAAATTACAGATTCTAATAGTTTTGTTGGATTAATCCCAGAAAACCCAACAAAAGTACTAGAATCTGTACTTTACGGAGAAAGTGGAATCCCAAATACAACATGTGTTACCGTACAATCATTATTTTTCAAACAAACTAAAGACTGCACATAAATTTTGGAGAAACAAATGGATGTCATCATCCAACGCTGCTTCCAATGCTGATGCTGCAATCAACGCTGATGCTGATGCCAGCCAGAACTTGACAACTTACCAGTGAGCATGATGCCATCCAGGTTCCCAGCAGAGATGAGATCATTGGTCAGTTTGTCGAATGAAGTGGACAAGCTGTGGAGATAAAGTAACAATGAGATGAGAATAGAGTGAGTGAGTGAGTGAGTGAGTGAGTGAGTGAGTGAGTGAGTGAGTGAGTGAGTGAGTGAGTGAGTGAGTGAGTGAGTGAGTGAGTGAGTGAGTGAGTGAGTGAGTGAGTGAGTGAGTGAGTGAGTGAGTGAGTGAGTGAGTGAGTGAGTGAGTGAGTGAGTGAGTGAGTGAGTGAGTGAGGAGTGAGGAGTGAGTGAGTGAGTGAGTGAGTGAGTGAGTGAGTGAGTGAGTGAGTGAGTGAGTGAGTGAGTGAGTGAGTGAGTGAGTGAGTGAGTGAGTGAGTGAGTGAGAGTGAGTGAGTGAGGAGTGAGTGAGTGAGTGAGTGAGTGAGTTGACTGAGGTGTGATGTGCGTGCGTGCGCGTGTGTGAGAGAGAGAGAGATTGGGAGGAAGCGAGTGTCATTGACTGAACTGATAGTTATTGAAATTTATACCACCGGTGTGCGTTGAAACAAATTAACCAGATTCACACCCAGTACTCAATCGTCAGATCTCACATGTTATTGACCTGGATTGACTATGTAAACTCTGCTATAACACTGCTAAGAAGGTGATCACTGTATACTATGCACTCACCCTGGGGTCCGGAAGGTAGATGCAGGCAAAGGCCACCTTGTCTTCAACAGCCATGTCTGAATCCTGAAAATCAATGTGGTTATCTCGACCTGATTAACAATACTTGAAATGGTTATCTCCCCTGATTAACAATACTTGAAATGGTTATCTCCCCTGATTAACATTACTTGAAATGGTTATCTCCCCTGATTAACAATACTTGAAATGGCTACCTCACAAGACACAACATGCTTATCTCCCTTGATGAACAAAACGATGTACAGCATTATCTCATCCCTCCATACACTTAAGCCTGGGTGTCTTGTAAGTGAACACTTCACACACTGGCCCACCAGGCACTGACCAACACATCCTTGTAGTTCTGTCGGTCACCGGTGAGGAAGGCGAACATGGCACGGAGGTACGGGTCCTCTAACTGGTTCCGCAGACTGTTGCACGTCTTCTGCCACAGAGTCGACTTCTGATCTGAGTAGCCCGCCAGCGCCATGGCAACAGCATTCAGGTTCCCGTGATCTGACACAAGAAGAGATACAGATCTTGGTCAGTACAATATCCAAAAAAAATGACTATTCTGTTATAGGTAACAAAGTATAATTCTTGGACTGATGACTGTATGGTGTTACTAGGTAACAGTTACCTGGCGACCGGCTAGCACCTTGACTCAGTATTTCCAGTGATTCCTTCAGACGGAGGTTGAATAGAGCAAGAGCGGCTGCCTTCTCAAAGAATCCTTTCTCCTGCAAACTGTAATACAGAAACAGGAGGAATATAGAATACCTTGAGATACTGATAATTAATAATAGTGTATCAACTACAGATAAAATTACCATGCCACACTCCACAATATTGCAGCTATATGATAGAAGCCTGTAACTGATCCAGTCCACACCCAACAATATTGCAGCTATATGATAGAAGCCTGTCACTGATCCAGTCCACACCCCACAATATTGCAGCTATATGATAGAAGCCTGTAACTGATCCAGTCCACACCCCACAATATTGCAGCTATATGATAGAAGCCTGTAACTGATCCAGTCCACACTCCACAATATTGCAGCTATATGATAGAAGCCTGTCACTGATCCAGTCCACACCCCACAATATTGCAGCTATATGATAGAAGCCTGTAACTGATCCAGTCCCACACAATATTGCAGCTACATGATGAAGCCTGTAACTGATCCAGTCCACACCCACAATATTGCAGCTATATGATAGAAGCCTGTAACTGATCCAGTCCACACCCCACAATATTGCAGCTATATGATAGAAGCCTGTAACTGATCCAGTCCACACCCCACAATATTGCAGCTACATGATAGAAGCCTGTAACTGATCCAGTCCACACTCCACAATATTGCAGCTATATGATAGAAGCCTGTCACTGATCCAGTCCACACCCCACAATATTGCAGCTATATGATAGAAGCCTGTAACTGATCCAGTCCACACCCCACAATATTGCAGCTATATGATAGAAGCCTGTAACTGATCCAGTCCACACCCAACAATATTGCAGCTACATGATAGAAGCCTGTAACTGATCCAGACCAGACCAGACAATCCAGTGATTGATATTATCAGCAACAATCCAAGCTGTTGTCACTCAATTGTTGTGAATAAGATTCCCATGTATAGAGGATATTATATGAGTGCCCATATCATACTATGTTTACAACACAAGTGCTTAAATGTTGGTATTTCCCAAGTGAGAGTGAGGGATATACTGATATTTAGGCATGGGTGTCGTAAACATAGTATGATATGGGCACGAATATGATATTATGTTTATTACCGAAGTCGTCAAATTGAGGAAAATAAACCGAAATCTACTTACAAACATAGGCTGTCTACTCACCGCCGCTGCATGTAAAATGCAACGTCACAGAAGAAACGTGACGTCATAGCATTGTTCACGTCACGTCACCATGACAAAGTGATATTTTGCCATAGAGGCATCGTATGAAAAATATGAACCCTGATATTTTTGCCCTCGTAGGTAAAAAACGGTATATCTTACTTTTCAAGTAGGGACTTGAGAGATCCAAACTTGTCATCTTCTCTTCCCCAGCCACACAGCTGCAGCACCACCGACCTGAACACAAAGGTGTCCATACATGAACTACTCCACATGACATTCAACAACCATTTATCAAATACCCATTAAAAGGTTAGTGACTTTTTTCCATTCTCAGCTCCCTTGGAATCATGCCAAAAAAAGAAAATAATCAATCATGATCCATAATTCATACAAACACAAAACATTATAAATACTACAACATATGAATATATTGCCCACTCCACATGACAGGAATATTCCAAGGGCAATAACATTTGTCCAGGGAGGTGGTGGGGTAGTCTACTGGTTAAAGCATTTGCCAAAGACCCGGGTTCGATTCCCCACATGGGTATAATGTGTGAAACCCATTTCTGGTTTCCCCGCCATGATATTGCTGGAATATTGCTAAAAGCGGCGTAAAACTAAGCTCACTCACTCACTAAATGTCCAGGAAATGATCAGAGTTGTATGTCACTCTCACCTCACTTGGGAGTGAAAAAAACCCAGAACATATCAACCAATATGTTGCGAAAACTTGTGTGTATTTATCATGATTATTGATGACCACATGACGCAAACATTGTTACACCGGAGTCAGCAATATTGCATGTATTATATTAGTATACACACCGGAGTCACCAATATTGCATGTATTATATTAGTATACACACCGGAGTCAGCAATATTGCATGTATTATATTAGTATACACACCGGAGTCAGCAATATTGCATGTATCATATTAGTATACACACCGGAGTCAGCAATATTGCATGTATCATATTAGTATACACACCGGAGTCAGCAATATTGCATGTATTATATTAGTATACACACCGGAGTCAGCAATATTGCATGTATTATATTAGTATACACACCGGAGTCAGCAATATTGCATGTATTATATTAGTATACACACCGGAGTCAGCAATATTGCATGTATCATATTAGTATACACACGGAGTCAGCAATATTGCATGTATCATATTAGTATACACATAACGAGTCAGCAATATTGCATGTATATATTAGTATACACACGAGGTCAGCAATATTGCATGTATCATATTAGTATACACACGAGGTCAGCAATATTGCATGTATATATATTAGTATACACACCGAGTCAGCAATATTGCATGTATCATATTAGTATACAACAAGTGAGTTCACCAATATGCCAATCTCCAGTAACAACCACCAATATGTATTGATAGCATTACAACCACCAATCTCAATAACAACCACCAATATCAGTAACCAATCTCCGTAACAACCACCAATATCAATATCTGTAACAACCACCAATCTCCAGAACAAACAGCTATCCCAACAGAACCTACCAATCTCCAGAACAACCACCAACCTCCATAATAGCTCAATATCAGTAACAACCACCAATCTCCAGAACAACCACCAATATCCCAGTAACAACCACCAATCTCCATAACAACCACCAATCTCCATTACAACCACCAATCTCCGTAACAACCACCAATCCATAACAACCACCAATCTCCAGAACAACCACCAATCTCCAGAACAACCACCAATCTCAGTAACAACCACCAATCTGTAACAACCACCAATCTCCAGAACAACCACCAATCTCCAGAACAACCACCAATCTCAGTAACAACCACACTTGACAAGCTATGAAACACATGTCGCAACCATCCAAATCACAGTTCTTCTGCACACGGAAAACCAAGATGTGTACTCATTTCTCGGCCTCACCTCTCTCGACTGACATACTGGTTGACGATCCTGCCCTGGTTCAGCATGCCATCCACGCCAATCCAGGACTTGTACACGTTCTTGCTGGCCTCGGCTGTCATCAACTTGGAGTATACCCCTGATGCCAATACCAGAATTCTTCAGAATGGAAGTCGGCTCACTCTCGTTCATGTAATCCTTTATTGCTGGTGCAGGTTAAGGTCTAAAGTCTCCCACATTATAATAGGGAATAAATATGCAATATTTCCCTCAAGAGTAGGTTGATAACGTGAAATAACTTTGACATTTGTGTTGCATATATCATTGATTCTCAACTGATGTAAGTCCTGTAAGTCCCTTACAACACCTTTTATTCACTGAAAACTGATGAACCATAAATCCTTAGCTCATGGGTTATGCTCGCATAGTATTTGCTGTTTTCATTACAGTTCCGTTAAGCCAAACGTTCTATACTCTGCCTATAATTATTGAGTACATGTCATGAAGTCAATGTGTTTTAACTTTCCTTAATCAAGACATTAATCAAAGCAAAATGTGAAAGGTTTCGGGATTACTACAAGCTCAAAGGTCTTTCAGGTGAAAATGCCCTGGAACATTTTGTATTGTTTTTGCCAGGATACAGAACAGCCACTTCCACAGTCCGTGCAGGTGAGACTCATAGTCTATAGCAGGCCCCACGCTGTCCAGACTGGACATCTGGAACACCGTAGAACACTCATTATGATAACAGTCAATAATTTATAACAAGTCATTACCAGTCAATAATTGGCCATTGACCATTCATGGTCAAGTGATAATTCATGTCAATCATCAAACATGTCTGACAATCAACCATTGAACAATCTTCTACTCAGTATTTTTTCATCAATCCCACAGTATTTTTTATCAAAATTGAGCTAAAGTTCATTACATTTCCTATAAAATCACTGGCTCCATTACCATCAAGTGACTTTAAGTAGGTGATGCAAGACATTTCCCACACTAGTGGTTCTATCAAATACTTTAAGGCTTTTCCTGAAAACAGCATCCAACATTCACACCTTACAAGCCTGTCCTGTCACCTCTGATACACTTACAAGTTTTAGTATTTGAATACATTTTTCTGAAACATTTTAAGTGGTTTGACAAGTTACCTCGGAGTCCAGTCCATACCCCATCTTGACCCTGTTGTACATCCTGGTGGAGATGTCCACATGCTGTCTGGACAGGTCAGTCTGGATACAGTCAACCGTCTTCTTCCCACACGCCCACGTCAGGTGGAAGGACGGTGACCACTTCTACAAAACCAACATCATACCACTGTTGGCCGATCTCATTCAGTAATCAATAGTGATGAATAGATCAGCCATGGTCTGTTTACTCCACATACGTCAGTTTACAGTTTACAACCAGCTTTGGGCTTTTACCCCTTTTAAGTTCCCACATTGTTGTATATGTGAAATACTAAATACAGTATTGAACCCAAGATGACAGAGTCACTCACCATAGGAATTCTCTCAAAGATGACAGTGTCCCGCACTTCACCAGATGAAGTAACGGACAGGAGGCGGTTCTCGTGAGTTGGGTGCCAGGCAAAGGACGATATCACAGAATCTTTACAGGCTGCGGAAAACACACAACATATCACAGAATCTTTACAGGCTGAGGAAAACACACAACATATCACAGAATCTTTACAGGCTGCAGAAAACACACAACATATCACAGAATCTTTACAGGCTGCGGAAAACACACAACATATCACAGAATCTTTACAGGCTGCAGAAAACACACAACATATCACAGAATCTTTACAGGCTGCAGAAAACACACAACATATCACAGAATCTTTACAGGCTGCGGAAAACACACAACATATCACAGAATCTTTACAGGCTGCAGAAAACACGCACCATCACCTTACTCTTGGCAACACACAAACTTCAAGATGCATCCAGCTTGATGACTCCCTTGAAATAAGGCAGAATGGGATCTGATTTGTTTGTTTGGCACACAAAACAAACTTCATCCATGGACAGTTTAAGCTTCCTTGTAAGTGTCCCACTAAATGAAAAGCGGCTTTGACAACCCAACAGCCAGACTCTCTAATGTGGCCTGAACCATTTCTTTTTGAGCGTATATGCCAAAACCTACTTTTGTATTTTGGGATTTCGACACTTGTGTGCACATAGGTTATTACCTCAGTTACATGCAAACAATATGGAAGAGTATTCCCAAAGGAAGCTACTTACGTTGGATGTTTCTTTCCACAAGAGCAGGCTCCATAACATCAGCGCCTGAATCAAGGAATTATCACATGAAAGTCTGATCTAAAGCAACACAAGCAACTCAACCTGACTTCCTGCCACCCTGATGTGTACAGGGTAATGGGATCTTGGGCCTAGATTTTCGAAGCTCTCTTAGCACTAAGATAGTCGTAAGTTAATGTTAGGGTATGGCACTTACGACTATCTTAGCGTTAAGAGAGCTTCGAAAATCTAGGCCCTGTACTGTAACATAGACTTGAGACTGTCATGTGCAACCGCCCCCAGTATATATATGGGTCAGGCGTTTAATGTCACATTCGAAGTCATTGCATATATTTAGCATGGTGGCCAGATCCACAACATGTAGTAACTGATGGTACGTGTTGTTCCCCTGCCTGGTGCTCGCATTGGGATAAAACAAGGACGGGGTGGCTTGCAGCAAGCATGCTATCCGGAATTCTGTAAACTGTGACATTGTATCTCAGTGAGCTAAACTGTGACACCCACATGGGTCTGGACTAGTACAAGCACCCCACATGCAGATCACTATTTCTGGGCTATAATCTTAAACACAAAGTTAAGATTCATTTCACCTGTCTGATGTCATGCTTGTTGTCCTTACACAGCACAGACACATCCCAGACCTGTAACTCTCATCTCGGTTACTTACCAACCGAACACCGAGTGTCTGATGTCATACAGCTTGACCACGTTGTTGTCCTTACACAGCACAGACAGCATCCCAGACCTGTAACAGTGTCCCACCATTACACACGACAACCCATCTCTCTCCAGATGGCTTGGTATACGCTAAAACAGTCTCCCACAACCCATCTCTCTCCACATGGCTTGGTATACGCTAAAACAGTCTCCCACAACCCATCTCTCTCCAGATGGCTTGGTATACGCTAAAACAGTCTCCCGAATGCATAGTGTGGACTAAATGTATCACCTACAACAATATCTCTCCATCACACACGACCAACCCTTCCACCATTGTATCACCTACAACAATATCTCTCCATCACACACGACCAACCCTCCCACCATTGTATCTCTTACAATAGGTTTGACTGAATACACTCCCCAGAATACAGCAGGGCATCAGGTTACATCAGATAATTCTATGCAGATTGCAGAGTATTAAGGAGCCCTTAAGTCACATATTTCTAACAAATAGTACCACAGTCCATAAGAAACCTTATGCCCGTCTTTACGAGCCATGATTCTAAATTACAGAAAAAGCATTATTTATCACATACTGATGTAGATCTCGTCCTGGTAGCCTCTAACATACTGATGTAGATCTCATCCTGGTAGCCTCTAACATACTGATGTAGATCTCGTCCTGGTAGTCTCTAACATACTGATGTAGATCTCGTCCTGGTAGCCTCTAACATACTGATGTAGATCTCGTCCTGGTAGCCTCTAACATACTCACCTAGTGGGGCACCAGCTGATCTTGATGACCGACTTGTTTTCTGGGAGAGTCAAAACCTTCAGCTGTTAAGGAGCACTATTACAAGGTAACATCGATACAGTATATCCAAATATTTTACTTTTAGTTATTCCTGGAACATAACTATTGCAGTTGTATCTTCTGTGTTTGTCTGTGTCTGTCTGTCTGTGTGTGTATGTCTGTCTGTCTATGTCTGTCTGTCTGTCTGTCTGTCTGTGTCTGTCTGTGTCTGTGGGGGTGCATCACTGTGACTGTACCTCTATGCATCTCTATGTGTGTCTGTGTGTGATGTGTGTGTGTGTGTGATATATATGTTACGCGCGCGCGCGTCGCGTGTGTGTGTGTGAGTGTGTGTGTGTTTGTGAGTGTGTGTCAGAGTCTCAGACAGAGTGCAAGAAATTAATCCATGAAAAAGGATACAGGTTTTTCAAAGCTTCTGAGATCCCATACAGAAACTTGATTCTGGAAGCAAGAAGGCAAAAGTAATTTTATACTATGTATATTAGACTGAAATTATGTCAAATTATTACCCTTTATAGTTTCCATGTTAGTTGAAAATAGTATGCATCATGTGCACCACAAGCTCATATCACACAATTTAAACACAATATTTCAAATATATTTCCTTTATAAAGCAAGTAAAATGTTTCACTGAAAAAGTAAGCATACTGAATACATGAAGTCACCTTTTTCTTAAAAAGAAACAAGAAACCAGCTCAAGACCCGGACAACTGGTCAGTCTGAGTGCTGACCCTCTTGCCATGACTCTGGTCTCGAGGGAGGTAGCATCACCATAGGGTGACAACAGGTCAGTCTGAGTGCTGACCCTCTTGCCATGACGCTGGTCTCGAGGGAGGTAGCATCACCATAGGGTGACAACAGGTCAGTCTGAGTGCTGACCCTCTTGCCATGACTCTGGTCTCGAGGGAGGTAGCATCACCATAGGGTGACAACAGGTCAGTCTGAGTGCTGACCCTCTTGCCATGACAGGCTGGTCTCGAGGGAGGTAGCATCACCATAGGGTGACAACAGGTCAGTCTGAATGCTGACCCTCTTGCCATGACTCTGGTCTTCGAGGGAGGTAGCATCACCATAGGGTGACAACAGGTCAGTCTGAATGCTGACCCTCTTGCCATGACTCTGGTCTCGAGGGAGGTAGCATCACCATAGGGTGACAACAGGTCAGTCTGAGTGCTGACCCTCTTGCCATGACTCTGGTCTTGAGGGAGGTAGCATCACCATAGGGTGAACAACATAAACTGACCTTGTAAATAAATAAACCTAGTGTTGACTTACTTCTCCAAATGATGCCAACTGTTTATCGGACAGCGGGTCGACACAAAGACCTAGGACGCCCTTGTGTTGATTCTGAAGGTGAGGTCTCGTTAAATCTGAAAGTCAACAAATGGACGCTTAGTCAGCATTCATTAAGTTATTACCTGTTGGTCCATTGTAAGATAGTGTTAATCACAACTGGAATGGCGTACATGGAGAACAGTTTTAGCCAAGAACTGTTGAACCAACTAGCAGAAACACATGGTTATGAGCATCATCATCAGCCAAGGTTAGTGATTATGTGGACTGTTCTGAGCCGAACTTACAAGACAACAGAACTTGACTAGGCTCAGGTTTCAGGCCACATACTGGGATAATGGTTATTATATCATATGGTTTAGAGTGAGTGAGTGAGTTTGGTTTTACACCGCTTTTGTCAATATTCCAGCAATATCACAGCGGGGGACCCCGGAAATGGGCTTCACACGTTGAACCCATGTGGGGAATCGAACCTGGGTTTTTGGCGTGACGAGGGAACACTTTAACCACTAGGCTACCCCTCCACCCTATGGTTTAGAAGAACACATTGTAAACAAACTTATTGTTACACTATTTTCTGTAAGTGGAAATTAACTGTAAATGGAAACAGAAGGTATAAAAACACCTGAATCAAGGTGATCCTGCTATGAACTGCCATAAATCTGACATACAAGCACAACATGGAGGAGATACCCACCTCTGAGGTCGTAGACCCGCATGTGTCTGTTGTTGACGCCAGTCACGAAGGTCTTTGATTCACTGACAAACCAGCAGAAGGATGTGCTCGTATCACCACTCCCAGACCCTGTACAGAACAAAACAGGAGTATGTTCAAGCTCTTAAATATACAAGTGAGAAGATATGATACATGGCTACCTCAAATAGAGGTTTTGATACGACCCCCCACTTGATACGACCCCCACTTGCTGCTATTTGGTGCTGACATGATACACCAGTACAGCCACAAAAACAGACACCTACCTACTTCAAACAGAGGTTTTGATACGACCCCCACTTGCTGTTTGTGCTGACATGATACACCAGTATAGCCACAAAAACAGATACCTACCTACTTCAAACAGAGGTTTTGATACGACCCCCCACTCGCTGTTGGTGCTGATACGAGACCTCTCGTGGAAGTTGACATGTCTGTTCCAGCTGATGCAAACACATCCCAGATGACAATACAGGGGTCATTGCGGTAGCGCTCACTGAATCCTTCAGCCAGCTGGAAGTATATTGATTCTATAAACCTGACTATACTCAGGATCTACTATCAGTATGGCATAAGAGAATCATTTCGTTGACATATAGAAGCAAATAAACAAATTCATACATAATATTATTTGTATTTTCTCTTTGTTGATAAAAATTGGAAAACATATATCGGGTATCTATGTTTATGACAGCTCTTTAACATTATATATCATGTTGAAAATAAATAATACTTTTCAACATATATTTCATCTCTATTTGTCTGTATACAACAAATACGACTTAGTAACCAAGGCAACCTACAAGATGTGTTTCCTCGGGATTCCATGCTAAGTAGCTGCACTGTCGACTGTGCTTGGCATTGTGTACTGCAAAAAGAACAACAGACACGTATAAAATACTCATCAGTGAGAGTGCACATATCATAAGGCAACATACTATTGAGCTTTCATTGATATTCAGTTCACTCAACAAACATTGTGTAAGTAAATTGTTCACCAACACCTGTCTGGCTTATTAACAGAACATACATTGTACTTACAAAACTCTTTTCCAATAAGTTCATCTTCATTGTTTCCAAAGCTGAAAATACAGAGGGGTTCAAGATGTCAGGTTTTGGTTTGTTTCTTTGTTTGTTTGTTTTATGCTGCACTCAGCAACATTCAAGCTACATGAAGGTGAAAATCTTTGAATGGCATTTACAAGGGGAATGCATAAGAAAAGCAAGATTTACTTCTTTATTGTGAATAATATGACATTTCGGTGTTAATGCTTGTTCCTTCATCAGGTGAGATGAAGGGATAAGCATAAACTCCGAAACATCGTGTTATTCACAATTAAGAAGTTGACATCACTTTTCTTATACACCAAGGTGGTCTGGACCAGACAATCCAATGACATCATGAGCGTTGATTTATGCAATTTGGATTCAATGACATGTGTCAACCAAGTCAGAGTGCTTGGACACCCAATCCCATTAGTTGCCTCTTATGACAAGCATGGGTTGCTGAAAACCAATTCTAACCCTCATCACCACAGGCTCAGCTTGTACTCGATTACAAAATAAAATCACTGAATATAAAGGGACAGACAATAAGTTTACTTTCATGTTCTCATTTCTGGATTTTTTCCTCATTTATAATGCAATACAAAATATATACAAATGTTGTGAGGAAAGTCCCTACCTTGTCAGTACGACTTTGCCGTTAGTGTGGCCCACAGCCAGAAGGTTCCGTGGCTCTGGGCGAGGGTACCAGGCTACACACTGGTCAAAATAAAATGAATATTTTGTGGCAACAAATCAAGAGAAGTCTGTTAACTTCTGATTATAACATGCATGTAAAACTCCAACTAAAGGGATTGTCAAAATCTGGGATATAACCCAGTATTGGTGAGTTATGGACCAGCTGGGTTCAGTCCTGTTGTGATTTGGGTTTTACACCACTTTTAGCAATATTCCAGCAATGTCACAGCAAGAGACACCAGAATGGGCTTCACACATTGTACCCAAATGGGGAATAGAACCTGGGTCTACTACTCAGCTACCCTACCGCCCTACTCTTATAGACGTACATATACATGTCTCTTACACTTTAGAAGTGTACACGCATATCCTACACTATAGAAGTTTAAAGACACATATCTAACATTGTAGAAATGTACAATATCTCACCTTGATGAGGTTGATTTCTGAGTTGGTGGCCACGTGGACAGCACAGAAGTCGTCAGAGATTGCTGTACCTGTGAAAACAAACATTGTTTGACCCACAACACATAAACACAAAACAACACTTGTCATTTATCAGTCACTGTAACTGATCATCAACCACACCTTCACAAGAATGGAATAAAAATAAGTTTGGGAAATCTGTGTTTGTGTTTTGAGATACAGAGATGCAATTTCATCAGATGTACCCCAGACAGTATGCTGACATAAATGTTCCCCACCTCTGTAGGTCTGTCCTAGGCGTCGCTTCTCCACCTGGTACAGATCAAGGGAAGTTCCATACTTTATGAACTGGTCTGCGGCACTTGGAGACCACAGGACATCAAATTTGGTGCTGCTCATGTCTGCTTTGACTGAAACAGAAGAAATATCGGAACATGAGAAAATGAGAAACTTACCAAACTGCCATGTCAGTTTAGTTTATCTGGTTGATATTCAGAAGTAATGATTAACCTACTGGAACTCCGGACAATTACAAAAATAGTTCCATTGCTCCATATGTATGTATTCTAAAAACTCAGAAATAAATAAAGTCTATTCATTCTAGTAAGTAAGTCAATGATAATAACTTCACCTAAATATATAAGCTTATATGACAAATAAAACAAGCACCTGCTGGCAGCAATATAGAATCACTGACATCATCATTGACAAAAAATGCAACATGCCCCGCCCAGTTGTTATTGGATAATCAAGAAACAGTAGTCTACCAGTAGATGCATTCTTGTTTTAGGTTAATGGAAATAGAAGTGCACAACACATTCATTTACTATGTCTCTCCTCTTCATGCTCATGTGTCAACTCTGAAAGTAGAGAGCTCTGATGGGCTTAAAACAATGGACACAAGTGCCTAGTGTCATAGGCCAATTTCTACTGTAATAATCATATTACCTATTTGTTTTCCCAGGCGCATGCAACTGAAGTTCCCGTTCTAGGTGTGCATTGGGTAAGAATCTGAAGGTACAGATTGTCTAGAATCTGAATTCTCCCATTTGGGTACTGCTCGATGTGTGTGTAAACATGGGCGAGTGGTTGAGTACCTGTCACGGCCATACTTTTATGACATATACATGTTGTGATTATACAGAGCATGGTGTAGTATATGGGTTCACTAATGGATGCTATGTTATTCTTCCATCAACACGTACCTAGTTTAAGACTAAGGGTTGCAAAAACTAGATCTACATGATACAAGTTATTGGACATATTCGCCAATCGAAATTTAGCAAATAGTTAGTGGACATAAAACCAAAAATATCATAAGGCCATGAAATATTATTAGGCCACAAAAAAGTTTCCGTTGTTTTCTTTTGACACCATTCAACAATATAAACATATTCAGCAGACAGACTAACACTGAACTTTTTCGGAAACATGAGTCAGCAGCAATTGTTTTACGAATAACTACACAATCATTTGGAAAGAAACGCACCTGCCAATTACTTTCCGGCTGAGAGCATTGATATAAACGTCACAAACATCGTGTTTAGGTATATCAGCAACTACAAGCTTCTCCTACAAAGGGGAGATGACTCTTGTGTCTCATGTATTTTGCTTCCGCTTCCGGCTAAATTGTTTTGGTTCGCAACAGAGCGTTTGAGAATGTTTCAACATCACTAATACTTATCTTTGAAACACATCACTTCCAGTCAGGGTAGGAAGCAAGACCCGGTTAACGATGTCGTCCGTCAATCAACAAACACCCCGAAATGTGCATCAAGTCGTCAGGGATAGCAAAATGGTCGATATATTATTGGCTTGTTCATTTTCGTCGGATCACTATGAGCAGAGACACATATGGTCTCTGCTATGAGCAGTATATAAGTGTAAAAACTAAATGTGATTTCAGAGTTATCATATTTATTTTTATTTTTGTCATATTGCATTTTTTTACAAAGTTGGCAAAATGTATGAAGGACATTTGGATAAACCAAATATAATGTAGTCAACCTGGTTCACCTTTGGATATCCCAAAATTTCCTCTTGAAATCCAGTGTTTATATTATAATAGCATGCAACCATCATAAGATTATGTGTCTGTCAGAAAAAGTACCTGTAAAGGAAATATGCCATTATATTTATTAATATTATCAGAACTTGAAACACTATGGTTGAGATATTGTTGATTATGTGTTCTTGTGGAAACACTGTGTAATTTAGAAAGTGTTCAAATGTAGCAAATGTTATGGTTGGTATTAAGTGGTCCAGATCACATACTTTGATGTATGTAACAAAAGTAAATTGACACAGTTCCCATGGCAGAGAGCTATAGATACACCATGTCAAAGTATGTGATCTAGACTACCATATGTTGGACATTGATTTATTTTTGTATAGTTTAGTGGGGTCCACTACTGACAAGGATTTTTCAGACATTTAATAGTAAACCAAGAAGTGAAAAGATGAGGCTTATTCAAAGTAATGTTGAGAGTTTTGTAATTTCAGGACATGACTGATATGGAGCAGACTTTATCTAAGCTCCGTGCACTGTCAGAAGATGATAAGACAGAAGCTGGGATGCTGAGATCTCGCATTGATGAACAGTCACAACTTATTATGATTCTCAAACAGCGGGCTGATGAAGCTGTAATTCGAACTCAAACTCTTGATGCTATAAATAAAGAATTGATGGAATTTCGAGACAATGCCAATGAGCAGTTGCAGCATGAGATACGGAAGTTCAATATATTAGATTCCAGGTTTAATGACTTGGCTTCAAATCATGAAGAAATGATCAAGTACAAAGATGAGTACAAGAGAGTCAATCAAGAACTGAGAGCTGAAAACGCCAAATTGAGAGAAGACAATGCTAAACTGTTTTCTCAAGCGATAGTGGAGCGAGATCAAAAGATACATGAGCTGGATAAGAAGTGTTCCGAGCTGAAGTCACAATACAACATCATAGAACAGAGATGCAGGTAAGTCCACATTGTGCATGGCGCTGACATGTATCCTTGATACTACTACAGGGTGGAAAGCACAGTGAGTACACATAGTTTACAAAGGTCAATCGTCTAAAGTTGCCTCTTCAAAGAGATGATATTGTGTTTCCATGATCACTAAACATCTGACAACTTTGTTTTGTGCCATTCCTGTTTGCAGCATAACCACAGCACGGAGAGGTTGATTTTCAGTGAGATCTGGCATTATGTATGCATTATTTACAGTTACACAAAAGTGTTTTAATGATCACCTGAAAGCTAGACAGCCATTGTGTGCTGGTCACATTCCAAAACCATGTACAAAACAATGTCCATAAGTCACATTTTACAGCAGCAAATCACATTTCTAGTTTTGTTTTTCAGTTTCTATTTGACAAAATGTATGGTTAAAGTGTAGTCCAGAATATGACTATGTACATCAGCTGCAAGTGAAGGCACTAGGTAATTAACTAAAGGCAATCCACACAACAAGACTCATTAAAACAGATAGCACATAGAATCTGTACACATCATGATAGGAAGGCATCCTGGACAGGCTGGACCAGTCCACACATGATGGACTTCGATGCACTATAGAAACTATACTCTAGGGAAAGGAGGATAATTACTCCCTGGTCAATACTTGCAGGGCAAAGTTCACACACACCAATCATGCTTAGTCTTTTGTTACTTAGTTGAAGTTACCTTCTTGACCTAACTAAGTATTGTCAAAGGAGATGTTGCCAGATCAAACACAACTTTTAGATTACGTGATGTAGAGGGTTTGGTTAAGGAAAACAGATACTTCTCAACAAGGTAGCCAACTGGTCTCGGGATGGCTTACAACATGCAACTGTGGCACCACTTGTCATCCCCGAAAACAAACTAACATCAGATTTTATCACCTCTATCATGTTGATGATGTTTCTTAAAGAACTTTTTGGTGGAGTCCGGCATACAGATAAAAGTGTACTATTTATATTTATAATTATGTATATTTTTCTGATTGTCTTATTAACATTTCAGGCAAATGCAGTTGGAATTTAAGCAGAAAGAAGAAACCTACAAGTCCGAGAATCTGAATCTACAAGATACACACCGCAGTGAGATGTCTGCCCTACAACACAAACTGCAGGATATGGAGGAGAGGTTGAAAGGTAGGAACGGAGCCTATTGTTGTTGATGCTGTTGTAGCAGCAGCAGCAGTAACGTATCACATCTCCATTCTGGTTTCAAGGAAGTATTTATTTTGATTCATCTTTTAGCATGAGAAAGCTTGTCAGTTATTCCAATGGCATTTGTCATTATTACAAGATTCATCATTTTTACCTCTTAATCATTAGTGTCATCTCCCTTTCCAGAAATGCTTCTGGTTCTCTCATGAGATCTCTTTTCTTTTCCTGTACTGATTCCTGCTGTAGCCTCCTGTTTGTGGTGCCAACAAACATCAGCTTCAGTGTATCCGCTACACCTGTACAGTCACCAATCTCAACATGGTGTCTTGTTTCAGGAGCTACACACAAGCTCCAAATGCAGATTGACAATAAGCAGTCGGCCAGCTTTGAGGCCAGCAGTAAGATCGCTCAGCTGACCCGAGAGAAGGATGAACTCCTCGACCTTGCCATGCAGAGAGGGAAGCTCGTCACGGTAAATACCATCATTAGAATCTAAATGGTCAATAGAGCAAGTTGGAGACACCAGCTGACAAAGATAGGTCAGACCGAGATGTTTACAGACATATCAAATTTACCTTCATGCATATACTACTTGAGGCCTAAAAAATGTTTTGGTAGAATTTCATACTTGCTTGCTGCAAAAGATTTAACTACAGACAAGTATACTCACTTCAAGTTTACCTTCCAACTGTACTTAGTGAAAAATGCAATCATACAACATTGCCAACTGTTGTAAGAGCTTCAACTTCTGTAAATGAACTGTTAACATTTGACAATGAACTTGGTGGGAAGTATAGCTTAGTTACATTATTTATTGTGAGCCTTTGTATGATCCTACACACGTGCAGAGAACCTGGCAGTTGCTCCAGCAATGGCCAGATAAAAGTGAATCACTTTGTTGATGCAAGCCCTCATTTTGTACATTAATTCCATGGTCAGTTGGTCCCATCCTCGATAGTCTGCAGGGTATACGTTACGATAACTCTGCACTATGCCCTGGATGCATCCATGGCTTGGGGCGATGATTTTATTACCTCCCTTGGCTGGCTTTTTATCCAATCAGGTGCCTACGCTGGGAAGTTGAGCGTACCATTCACAACTCACTTTCGCTTAAACTTGGCAACACAATTGATGCAAAGGTACTCTGAAAGAAGTAGACGGAGTTCTGTCATATATTTTTTTTAAGTTTCAGGTCTGTCAATTTGTCTTTATTATTTCCCAAAAAATCTGAGTGGTACTGCGAACAAACCTTCGCGAACTGCGCCTGCTATCCTTGTTGACACTGGCAAGCTCGGATGTAATGGCGGCTTAGCTGATTGGCTACTGTGAGAATGCGGAGCCAGCCAAGGGAGGTAATAAAATCATCGCCCAAGCCGTGGATGCATCCAGGGTATAGTGGAGAGTTATCCTAATGTATACCCTGGAGATTATCGAGGATGAGTTGGTCCCTGATTTTGCAGGAATAAAGGGTATCAAACCAACTGACAGTGACCTGTACTTATTCCAGTCGTGACCCGACAAACCAGGGTTACTATCCCCAAGAGACACAAGTTACAGGATGATTCTAACCTAAAATCTGGGGGGTTTCTGTTGTAGAAGGAGCAGACGGACAACAAGATTCTGCAGAGGAAAGTGGAAGAGATGGAGAAAGCTGTCCGAAAGATGGAGGAGAAATTTCAGTAGGTTCACTAGTCAAACACACAAAACTCATTCACAGTCTTCAGTGGTGTTGAAATAAATAATCACTATGAACAACTTGTAAGTGTCAAAATTTTATTAATTATCACTGTTGTCCATTTTCAGATCTGAAGCATCATCGGTCAATGCCAACCTCCAAGTGCGGAGGTTACGAGATGACTTGTCAGAGGCCAACATACGACAAAAGGAAGTGCTCAAGGTGACATTGTGTACAGATAACCCCTTGTCTCACACCTTCATGGCCCTGTCTACTATGAATTCTTTCTATGGTGCTTAATACCTGGGACGTACTTGCTACCCTTTGTCTCACACCTTCATGGCCCTGTCTACTATAAAACCTTTCTATGGTTCTGAATACCTGGGACGTACTTACTGTCAAAGCTTAGCTTCACAATAGACCTCACCACCTCCATCTTGCTTAACAATAATGAATCAAAGTTTTCTTCTTCCTTATAGTTTATCATTTATCTATATTCGATGTTGAGGCTTCTTACGACAGTGCTTGTCAAAAGCTGTGGGAAGTTACAAGACTGTCAGGAGTAACTAGGCAAAGAGTGAATGACTGTTGATATGTGTGCACTCAATCTTTTGAGAACAGTAGAATTGTTAGGATGGCAGTTTTCAGCATCAGATCATTCTCAGACTCAAAACCTACATTTGTTGATGTCCTGTTGTGTATGAAGTTAAAGATACCCTGTCTCACACCTGCATGCAAATCTTTACATTGATACCGTTAGCATGTTTAGATGGTGAAATACTTGTGTTTCTCTTCATGTATGATATTCTCTGTTCTTCCTGCGGAACCAGATGGAGGTATGACTGGTAGAACTTGGTGTAACAACTCACGACATAGCTCTTGTCACCATTCACACAAGGGTGCAGGGTAGCACAGTGGATAATGCACTTGTTTGTTGGTACCACAGATACTGGTTGGACTAGACATAAATGTTTAATGTCAACCCCATTCTTGATATAGAATTGTGCCAATAGTGATGATTTAAGAAGCATAAAACTATATTCTCTCTCACCATACACTATGCATGGAATAGTGCCCCCTATGAATGTTCATTGTTCACTTTCACACTCTATATGTTTGAGATTTATTTCTATCTAATGTGAAATTATGGAGAGATTTATAGTTTCTAAAAGCACTAGATCATTCCAAGATTTGCTTTACTGTATTGATGTATGGTAGTCTTATGAGATGAGGTGAAATTGGGTTTAACGTCGTGCTTGAGAATTTCGCTCATATGACGACGTGCATGCGTGTGTATGTGTATGTGCGGCTGCATGTACTAGCCTGGACTGAAGCTGGTTTTATAGTGCCCACTGAGATACCATGCCGCAGTGAAGCATGAATACCCCACTCAGACACATTATACTGACTCCGAGCCGACCAGTCCTTGTTGTACCCATTAATGCCGAGCGCCAGACAGGGACCAACAAGTACCATATTTTAACCTCTTTTGGTATGACGCGGTCGGGGATCGAACCCGCGACCTTCTGCTCTCAGGGCGGACGCTCTAACCACTACACCACGGAGGCAGTCGGTAGTCTTATGTGCTGACTGGAGGGGTATAGGTGATGTATTGCCAGTGGGGTAGCCTAGTGGTTAAAGCGTTCGTTCATTATGCCAAAGACCCAGGTTCGATTCCCCTAGTGGGTACAATGTGTAAAGCCCATTTCTGGTGTCCCCAGGCGTGATATTGCTGGAATATTGCTAAAAGTAGCAAAAATCCAAACTCACTCACTCTTGCTGAGCAGTTGTTTCTTGGAACAAAACCCGAGATACGCTACAGTTTTTATCCTTAATCCATCAGCACCCTATCCTTTCACTTCTGTTTCACCAAGCTAAACGTTGACCTGCGTCACTGTCACTTAGGCTCTCTCTCTCACATAAGCAGCCTTATGAACGGGATCAAGGTGCATGTCTTCAATTTTCTAGTAGAATTTTGTGATCTGTTGTGATTCTTAATTTCCATGTGACAGAATAGGTCCTGAACATTTCATTCTTGGTTCAAGAGTAAATTCATATTGGAATATACATATCAAATGTGATAATTAGCTAAGCTTGTGCCCACTTTGCATGGAACTTTTGTCTATTTATGACCAACAGATTTATCAGTTTCAGAATTCATTACATGCTGGCTGCCAGTGCTGTGATATTACTGGCTTCTGCCGTGACACTCTCCAGCCACTATGGTTGAAAGTAGAAACTATTTGATTATCAGTAGCAAAACTAATTTTGAAAAACATTGTAATGTTTTAGCTGTTGGACATAAACAAAACAATAAATAATAGCCTACTTAACTATTAATTGAATTGAATGTTAAATTTGTTCCTCTTTCTGTGCAGGAATTTGATGCTTTCAAGAAACACTCCAACAATCTGCTGCAGAAAGAACGAGAGCTCAATGAAAGATTGAGACATCTGGTTGGCTGAAGTTACGCTGTCAGTGATTGGCCACTTCAGAAAAAGACTGATTATATCTCATTGGGTGAATCTTCTGAGGTCAACAGTATGAGTCTAGAACAAGAGCACTAAGGATGTCAATGCTACTCTCAGTATTTATTCAGAGAAATTCTACCCTCAGCATCATCAGTTCCTGGGTATTTGTGGTTCATCATGTTAATATGCTGTTAATAATTACCCTGATTACATAGAGACAAGATCTGTGTAACAGAGGATGGTAGCCAAAATATCTTGACAAGGCATACTTATTGCAACAGCTCCTTTAAGTCTGCTAAATAGGAGAGTTTTGATTATCTTAGCATTACCTGTATGTGAAATGTAGTTAGTTACTCCACATACAGTATTGATCATACATGTTGTATAAATATGACCCTCATAGGTCTGTCATTGGTACAACCAGAAATTATTGAGAATTTAAAGATTGTAAATTTTTATAATTTTTCATTCATTACTCACATATTGAATGTGAATATTAGCAGAACATAACTCCAGATTCAAGACAGGTGAACAGTTAGTATTTTGTCATGTCACCAAGCAATCAGCCTTCAATGGGCATACTACTGATCAAAGAAGTTAGAAATCGTGGTCCAGCTGCAATTCGGACCACCTCTTCTTTCATTTCATGGGCGGGGTATAGTGGTTATACTGTTGGCTTGTCAAAGAAGTTAGAAACATGGGTACATTTTGTGAAGTCCATGGTGTCCGTGATGTTGCTGGAATATTCGGACCACCTCTTCTTTCATTTCAGCAATATTTGTCAGATTTTTCTTATTGACATTTTCCTTCATAAGTCCCCAAACATTTTCTGGATTTAGGTCAGGGCTATAGCTTGGCCAATCTAAAAATGTCATATTTTGGGTCGAAACCAGGCCTGTGAATGCTTTGAGCGATGTTTTGGGTCGTTGTCCTGCTGGAAAATCCAAAAATTTCCATAGAACACGTGAGCAGATGGAAGTAAATGTCCCTCAAGAATATCTGTGTACCTCTCACTGTTCTTATTCACTTCAAATACAGAGGGGCGTTGCCCCTAACACAGATATGCCAACCCCACACGTTAAATTTCAGACTGTACTTTGAAGCTGATACAAAGGTTTTTCAGTTTGTTTGGTCCAGAATTTCAATGCATTAGGAAACAGCCACACAGAACTTTCATCTGAGAAAATCACATTGTCCCAGTTAAAATTTCTATGCTGTAAGCACCAGTTCAACCTTCGCTCCTTTTGTTCAGGTTTCATGATCGGTGATGGAATTCCTCGACTTTTCTGCCAACCCATTGCATGCAGCTCAGTTCTAATTGTCTCCTTACAGACAGCCCAGTTCCTCTATCAATCATATCCAGCCTTAAGTTTTCTAAACTCCTTTTGTTTGTTTTAGAAACAAGAATACCAAACCGCCTCCTGTCACCGACAGTCAATTTTCTGGGCCTACCTGCGCCTCCCTGGTGCTCAATGCCATATCCATTTGCAATATTTTTCAAAACACGATAAACAGTGGACAAAGGGATGCCTGTTCTACTTGAAATCACTTTAGCTGATCTGATGTCCTTGTTATAATACTCAATAATCAACTCCCTCTTCTCTAAATCATCCATACTGAGGATCACTGAAAATGTCGTCTGCTAGCAAGTAAACAAAGGGGGATAACTCTTCACAAACTAATGAAAAAGGATTAACAGAGTTGTCTCTCTTGAATGAAACCAAGCACTTGATAGCTGGTCAAGGTTGTTTTACTAGAAATCCAATTAAACATATTCCTAAAATTCTCAATAATTTCTGGTCATACTGTAACATTCCCTGAAAGACTGCAGAAACTGATATATCAGAACAGTTATTACAGTTTTACATTGGTTCCATCCATTATTTAGAAGTCAAAGTTAGAGATTATCATTGTTGTTTATTACTTTTTTCATCAGATAATATGAAGCCTTGTTGCTTCCACCCCAATAAGAAACCCACTGAAGTCATACAGGGACCAGGTTGTTTTCAACTCATTCCAGCCATAAACCAGTGCCTGCTCTCTTGGCAGGTGGCATTGCTGTGATAATTGTTTTATCAGAGACCATATGGCCTTTTGTTTATTTATGTGCTTGTATTTTACCAATCTTAGTTTACCAAATGAATCCGTCCATGGTTTAGTCTTCCCAACTGATGCCAAACAGTTGTCAGTCATTGTCAAATACAAACAGGCATGATATGTATTCAGACCAATGATCAGCATTTCCAAATACGTATTGAATGTTTTGCTCATGGAACATCAGTATGCAAACTTTCTTCAGCATTGGATAAAACCAAGGTTGTCTCTGTTGTCTTCTTGCCAAAGCATGTTTCTACCATTAAGAAATGTTTGTATGTCATTGACTTGAACAGTTAATGTGTGTAAGTGGAGAGAATCATGTCTATATTACAACTCTATCAAGGTTATGCTGGTATAGCTAACTTAAAGTAGTTTATTTTCAAATTCTACATATTTGTCCCCATTACAGTGAATTAAAGCAATATTACCCATTTTGTCCTGATTGTTCCGGTTTACAAACTGATGTTAATATTGCTTGCATGTTTACAACAGTGAAAGGATACAAACGCTGACATATACAGATTTTTGTGCTTGTCACTATTTGTGTGATCCAGTTAAGTTCAATAAGGTTGGCTACCAAGTCCCTCAATCTTGGAAGCCCATGGTCATTACAGATACAATGACCTCTTGACTTTCCCGCTGAGAAAGTTGACCCTCCAGGATCATCGGATGTACAATGGTGCATTTGTGAATGTTGTATCCTGCTATCACAATGGTATCACCGCTTAACAGTGGCCTGTGATTATGTCTGAGGAAGCAGCAAGATTCCACAGGATCAAAGTGAAACTCGATCGATCAGCCAAAACCACCCAATGTATAGTTGTCAACTTTCACAATGAATAGGTTACGGGAGACCGATTCCTTCCCTCAATCTCAGATTGTACACTGCTGAAAATATTCACTCCCTCAATGTACATGGCATGGACAAATCCCACAATTGCCATACTACTAGCCAATGCTAGTCTGGTAAAATATCCAAGTTTTATCAGCTCATTTTACATATCCCACTATAATACCGAGACCCCATTTCATGTTCGTAGGTTCAAAATGGTTTTGCATATATTCCCGTCTTCAGGCAACCTTTCTGGGCATCACCACATACAGGAACTAACCTTTTGGGGACAGAGTCAATTGTGATGACTTGGATCATCTTATGTTCAGATTTTTTACAACTTTGTGCAAATTGGATTTGTTTAAATTTTTCAAAAATAGTGAGTGAGTTAATATTTAACGTCACATCGGCAATATCTTTTCAACAATAAACACAAAACGTCTTTAAAAAGTGGAAAATGCATGCCAAATATCAGCTTCATCAGTCCAGCAGTTTCCAAGATGATACATTATGTCAATATGAAAGTAAAAGTCAGTTGCAAAGATGAGTGTTGTGGTTAGTGAGAGTCATGTACATTCAAGTACCGGTAGTAATAAATACACCTCTTTCAAATACTAGTACATGTACAATAGTTAACGACTGATGAACAATTCACAACATATGTAAAGTACCCAAAACTATTTCTGACCTAGACATTTGATTTGAGCAGTGATTTGAACACATTCACCGTTGTGAGCAGGAACCAAGAAAGTAAAGCTGCATCATATGATCGATCTTGGAAAGAACTTGTTGACAACTGCGACACTGTTCATGGCCCACTGCTCCTCAAGGAGGTTCATGAACCAGACATTTTCAGAAAACTCCAGTCGCCAAGGTAACTAATCCCGTACAAAGACCACAAGCAACAATTTTTGTGGACAAGGTTTATTTATCCACAATGATAGCACAGTCACTGTTTCTTGCTTACAGTTTTGGTTTTTGACAAACAATAGTAATCATTGTAATATCTACAAAATAACTTGTCAACACTTCCTCTCAAACAGTAGTAGCACATCGCGAATAATTTACAATGCCTTCTTGCAGAGATTTTTCCTAAAACTACAATGAATTAGTTCAACTCTGTTCCTCTGCTAGTTTCTCGGCCTTCTGGACAACTTCCTCGACTCCTCCCACCATGTAGAAGGCAATTTCGGGAAGGTGGTCCAACTCACCTGAAACAAGATAATCACTCATTGAAAGATACATATAGCCTCATATCTTACTCAGGTTTACAAGGACACTGAAAAAGGCGGACACTAATAATTGATCTTGTGCTACTCTTCGTTTGGGGTTTACATATTCTAAGAGTGAAAACCTTAATTTTAACATTGAAAAAACTATATGCACTGTACGTGTTTAATCATTGCAAAATTCAATTTCTTTCACCAGGTCACAGAAAATCTTTGCCTGGCTTTGGTCCTTATAAATATTTTGAATCTACAACAAATTTGTTGTGACCCCCAATGACAATTTAACACTGGAAACATTTTAAAGTCATATGAAATTCCCTTGTATCACTATTGTCTTTAAAAGAGTCTTGTCACTTTGATTATATTCTATTATTAAAGCATTGCCTTGTATCAAAACACATGACAAAGAACATTTTTCTGAAACGGCAGATAACTTGTGATTCATTATATGCATTAATGTCAATAATCAGATAGTACATGATAAAGCAGACAATTCAGCCTACCCTTAAGAATCTGCTGGAATCCTCTGATGGTATCCTTGAGAGCAACATATTTTCCCTCGGCCGGTGAAAACCTCGGCCACCTGGAAGGGCTGTGACAGGAAACGTTGGATCTTCCTGGCACGGGCAACTGTCATCTTATCTTCCTCTGACAACTCATCCATACCCAGGATAGCGATGATGTCCTGTAGGGACTTGTAGTCCTACAACAGATTTTACCATCATTAACCAAGGCAGAGAATTAGTCCGGAGGGAACACCACTACAGACGAACATACAAGACGGGGAACATGATCTATCAAGTATGATTTCAGACTTCTATTGGACAATGTTGCATCTGCAGGTTTTCAGCACCGTTTCATATACCATAAATGTATAGGCAGAATATACCAACTGTACAAGAATGATTCTTAATGTATTTTGGAAAACTTTAAAGTGATGATCTTTTCAAATTCAGCAAGGGAACAAAAAATGGCTCTCCATGTATACGAGAAAGGTGCATGATTATCACAGCTACTTAGCAGTGGAAAACACAGACGTGCGTAAACCTTCTTACTTACCTGGAGGATTTTCTGTACACCACGAGCAATGCCATAGTGCTCATCTCCCACAACATTGGGGTCAAGGATACGAGATGTGGAATCAAGGGGATCTACAGCAGGGTAGATACCCAGCTCAGCAATACCTCTGGACAACACAGTGGTGGCGTCCAAATGAGCGAAAGTGGTGGCAGGAGCAGGATCTGTCAAGTCATCAGCTGGCACATAGATGGCCTTAAACACAATTTACAAACAATTTTAATGGTCATTCGAATAAGATCCTCCCTGAAATGTTTGTTATGCAACAAGGCAACAAAGGCAAACTTAAACCTGTCATGAAAATCAGATGGCTTAGTCCAACATGATACCTCTGTGCAAGAAGCCCTTACAACAGATCCATAGTTTGATTCAGGTCAATCAGACTTCAACCAGTCAAGTAGCATCAATGTTCCTAAATTCTTGGTAAAACTGAGCAATGCATTCAAATAATCTTTTGTATCTAACATGAATATAATTTGGAAATAACAAAAGCGATTTTTGTAGAGCTATTACATCAAAAGATCTGGTATTTGTGACCTTGTGGTAGCTTCCAAATCAAGGATAAATTGGAACTGAGTGAGTGAGTGAGTTTAGTTTTACGCCACACTCAGCAACATTCCAGCTATATGGCGGTGGTCTGTAAATAATCGAGTCTGGACCAGACTCTTCACGGGTCCAAATTGGAACGGAAATTAAGCTGAATAGTTTTAGAAAACTGACATCCAATTAGTCCAAGAATGTATGTATGGTTCTTTTACACTGGGTGGTCAAAGTTTGGTCCTGTAGAGATGTTGAATGACTTTCATTGAGAGAGGTTTAACAAGACTGCACCAAACACAACCCACCTGTACTGATGTGATGGATCCCTTCTTGGTTGTTGTAATTCTCTCCTGCATGGTACCCATGTCTGTGGCCAGGGTGGGCTGGTAGCCTACAGCTGAGGGGATACGACCCAACAAGGCAGACACCTAGAAACAAATAGAAGCAACTTAATGACTTCGAATAGCAGACCTCAACCTTTAAATCAGCAGATTGGCATTATTCAAGAAATAAACCTGAATCAAGACAGGTTTCAACTAATCAGTTTGAACATTACACAAAGGGTTATTTCACAAACAAAACCAAGAGAATAAAAAGCTGATTGAAACTGTACTTGAATCGAAGCCCTTTCAACAAATTTACCAAACATATACCAGCAATTTTCGGAGCTGTATTAAAATATGCCACAAAGACTTCATCAATGAGCAGCTTTACCTCTGAACCAGCCTGTGTGAATCTGAAGATATTGTCAATAAAGAGCAGCACATCCTGTCCCTCCATGTCACGGAAATACTCGGCGACAGTCAAACCAGTCAAGGCAACACGGGCACGGGCTCCTGGGGGCTCATTCATCTGACCGTATACCAGAGATACCTGAAAAGGACCATGTTAATCATGTTAATGCTCTTCATTTTCTTAGAAAAAGCAGGTATGTATTATCCATTATTCATAGTTGTGTACTAGTGTGTGAATCAAGAAACAAAACACTGTGCTAACCTTGGAGGTATCATCTGTGAGACTGATAACTTTGGATGTGATCATCTCGTGGTACAAGTCATTGCCCTCACGTGTTCTCTCTCCAACACCAGCAAATACAGAGTAACCACCATGAGCCTTGGCCACGTTGTTGATAAGTTCCATGATAAGTACAGTCTTACCCACACCAGCTCCACCGAAAAGACCTGGAACAAATGTAATCATGTAATTCAAATTAAAGAAATATAAAATCCTACAGACATGCTACAACAGAAAGTAGCAAGTGTATTTGTAGGTAATCCCAAATATCCTGATCAACATTAATATCCCCCAAATCATTTTGCAAGCTATCCCCAAATTCCTCATTCAAAAATTAGTTCCCACATCTTTGTAGTTTGCTTTCAAGATTTGTATTCACTCACCAATTTTACCACCCTTAGCATAAGGAGCGAGAAGATCCACCACCTTGATGCCAGTTTCCAAGATCTCCTGCTGCACGTTCATGTCTACGAACTCGGGGGCTTCCTGATGGATGGCAGCGTAACTGAAAAATTAATCAGTAACATTACTCCCAAACTACTAAACACAATAAAGACAGGAGATTTAAAAAAAGTTTGCAATGCTTCAGAAAACCATTGCCACCAAAACTTTCTGCAGGTTAGACTTTTAATATTTTTTAAGGAAACTGAATTTGTTGATATGTAATCTCTCCTCTGCTGTAGCCATGAGGATATATGTTATATCAAGCCAAACATCCCTCTGCACCGATAGCCTAAGGCTGCAGGATTCATCCATAACACTAGTTTACACCTAAAAATGTCAATGCATTAAAACAAATTTCATCATAACTTCAAAATACATCCTTGCATTTATAACCACTTACTTTTCAGTTTGTACTGGGCCACGTTCATCAATAGGCTCACCGATGACATTGATGATTCTGCCTAATGTTTTTGGTCCTACTGGGATTCTGATGGGGGTGCCAGTGTCCACACACTCCTGACCTCTGATGAGACCCTCTGTGCCGTCCATGGCAATGGTTCTTACTGTGTTTTCACCTTGAGGACAAATTCAGTATGTTAACATATGAAACATACGATCATTTGACTTGTCCATGAAATTTGGCTGTGTATCAAGGATAAAATAGGAAACTCATTGGTTATAAAATACTTGAGTGAAATAACTTTACAAACCTAAATGTTGTGCAATTTCTAGAACTAATCTTGGTGATCTATTTTGTACTTCTAAGGCGTTGAGAATGGGTGGGAGGTCATCGTCGAACTGAACATCAACAACGGCCCCAATGACTGCCACGACCCTGCCGGACGCACTCTTGCCCTTGGCAGCTGGTTTTGCTGCTTCCCCAGCATATCCTCTACCTGCAAAATATCAATAGGTATTGTGTAATGTAAGACATCCTACCGGATAGAATATTTCTGATGTTCCAACATATGCAGTGTCTCAACGGTTCCATATCAATTCATACCCCAGCAGTTTCATCTAAAATGTCTGGATTACTTACAAAGTATCCATGTTTGATAGCTTTAAACCAACAGTTACATAACGTATGAAAATTTGATTCAATTTTAGTGTTAAAATCTTATCTATGTATCCATGTATGTATTATTGGTATTGCTCGTATTTCTGCTTATGTTTAATGCTAACATGACCTGCAACCATGCAAATAAGACTAGGCACAAGAAATGACAGTAACATATCAAGATAGGAGCTGGCCAACTATGCAACTATACCTAATTCAAGGGTAAATCTGAAAACTTGGGGGTCAAGTCTTGGCATAGGAAACTCAAGCTTTATTTGTGATAACAATAAGCGTTGACTTTCCAGAAATAAGTTTAACAGGGTTTTTCGAGTGAGCTGTGATGGCAGATAACGTAAGAAATCCTGACATTTCACCTGACAAGTCAATGTCATTTATTTAAAAAGATCATTTTGCTTTTGACAACTTGAATAATCAACACACATTATGTACTCTAGCATGCCGTTCAAATCTAAATGAAACCACATTTGCTATATTCGGTGCTAAACACTGTTTTCTGCACATAGTTTTTGTTGACCTCCAAATCACCCAGACATGCATGTTGAACTTGAAAACGAGGCTGCAACACCTCGGATCTAAAGTCCCTCTGGTTCCATAATTCGGTGCTAATTATCAAAAGCAATTTGGGAACATTGTACTATCCATGTTTATAGCCCGTTCTTCCAAACAGATCTGATCTAAAGTCATGCCAACACTTCCACGAAAAGTCCTTGTGCGTCCTTTGCCGGCGATTGTGAGCCGGCAAAGACATGTTCATTTAAAACGTGTTTGTTATGTATCAGACATGCATATTTAGAACTTATTGGAACATACGTGAGCAGAAGTATGCTGGTAATGTTCTTGTGGCTGTCTGAGGGACGACCGGGGATGCAAGAGCACATTTTGTGGCCCTCAGCAGCCCCGAACACGCTCGCCTTGCTGCTTGCATGATGGCGACACTTGTGAGGAACCGGTCACGTGACGACCAAGGAGTTATGGGTAACGTAGTGACGTATTCTTACATCAAACCGGTTTCAAACAACCGGAATGTGAGTGTGCCTGGAGACGGTGGCATGGAAGAAAAGTTTTGAGAGAATGTTGATGCCTCGACTGCCTCGAACCATATTATTTCCCCTTCCGACCGACCAGCTGTTACTGACTTCTAAAATCTAAACGGAGCGGCAAATGTTTTTCGCAGTTCTGGTTAAACATATTGGCATCCAGCATGTTGAATAACGTTCAGAGAACGACACAAGGAGACAACTCCCGATAGCTCTGGAGGTGTTTATAGACGTGTGGCCATATAGATTAGATCTGTGAAGACAAACAAACTTTAGGTAATGTCGAACTGTTATAGAAATGTGGCCCGATATGAAGATATATTTTATATGAATGAGTTAATTAGGCTTTAAGCTATTTTTTTCGTTGTGGAGGACACCAGAAATGGGTTTCACCCATTGTACCCATGTGGGGAATCGAACCCGGGTCTTCGGCGTGACGAGCGAACGCTTCAACCACTAGGCTTCCCATTCAATAGTAGGTAGAGTCGAACCGTAAACAAACGCATTAACACACTGAGTATCGGTGCCCAGGCAGATTAAAAGCACCCAAGCTTAATGGCGCTAATCGATGCAGCCACGCAGAACTTTTATGCGGGCATCTCTTCATATAATTTCTCTACACACTACTACTTCAGTTTCGTTTTGATTTTTCTTCATTTTTTTCTGAATTAACAGTCAATACACAATCCTGATTTGTCGATCATTTGTCTTTTCTTCAATTTTGTTAGTTATTCAATCTCTCAAGGCTCAATGTATAGAGTGAATATGAAGAGAAAGAACAAAACCTACTGGAAGTCCTGTGAAGATCCTGATTAGAATTGGACTTCAGCAACCCATGCTTGTTCCGTACAACCAGAAATTATTGAGAATTTAAAGATTGTATTTTTTTATTTTGTTTCACTCATTACTCACGTATTAAATGTGAATATTAGCAGAACATAACTCCACATTCAAAGACAGGTGAACAGTTAGTATTTTGTCAAGTCACCATGGGTAGCAATGCAGGCTGCAATGCGGCGGGGCATACTATTGATCAAAGAAGTTAGAAAGTCGTGGTCTATGCTGTCCCAATATCGGACCACCTCTTCTTTCAGTTCAGCAATATTTGTCAGATTTTTCTTATTGACACTTTCCTTCATAAGTCCCCAAACATTTTCTATTGGATTTAGGTTAGGGCTATAGCTTGGCCAATCTAATAATGTCATATTTTTTGGTCCGAAACCAGGCCTGTGAATGCTTTGAACGATGTTTTGGCTGGAAAATCAAAACATTTCCATAGAACACATGAGCAGATGGAAGTAACTGTCCCTCGAGAATATCTGTGTACCGCTCACTGTTCATATTCCCTTCAAATACACAGAGGGGCGTTGCCCCTAACACAGATATGCCACCCTACACGTCAAATTTCGGACTGTACTTTGGGCGCTGATACAAAGGTTTTTCAGTTTGTTTGGTCTAGAATTTCAGTGTATTAGGAAACAGCCACACAGAACTTTCATCTGAGAAAATCACATTGTCCCAGTTAAAGTTTCTATGCTATAAGCACCAGTTCAACCTTCGCTCCTTTTGTTCAGGTTTCATGATCGGTGATGGAATTCCTCGACTTTTCTGCCAACCCATTGCATGCAGCTCAGTTCTAATTGTCTCCTTACAGACAGCCACAGTTCCTCTATCAATCATATCCAGCCTTAAGTTTTCTAAACTCCTTCGTTTGTTTTTAGAAACAAGAATACCAAGCCGCCTCCTGTCACCGAGAGTCAATTTTCTGGGCCTACCTGCGCCTCCCTGGTGCTCAATGCCATATCCATTTGCAATATTTTTCAAAACACGATAAACAGTGGACAAAGGGATGCCTGTTCTACTTGAAATCACTTTAGCTGATCTGATGTCCTTGAAACTGCTTCAAGACGAATGCCGATTTCCGAAAGTAGTGTGGATTATTATAGCCAGACAGTGCATGCTCTTTGCTGCACAATTTCAACTGGAAGGTGATTTCTGTAGCGTTGAGGTGATGCCTTTTTAATCCTTGTAAGAAATCTCATCAAAAATCAACATTTTCAGGAAAAGTCGATTTTTTCCTGTGCAATTGTGTAAAATCATGTTATCAACACTTTTGTTACATATTTTGACGATTGTTTGAACACAATAGGTAATTAATAGATTTTTTAAAATACAAAACGCCTATGCGTTTCTTTTGTGGGGTAGTATATGCTATTAGGGAACGGGAGCGCTGGACTCGGCCACCTGAAGACAACGGCACCATGGACAGACCCCATGGAGAAAGAGGCCATTAAATATCAATGCAGATGTTATATTCTGAAAATTCCATCTAACTGGGTCTCCTTTTCAATTTAAATGGAGGTAGTTCTTTTCATCAAATCTAAATATATATATTCAGAGACTAAGCGTAGTCTGATCTTATGGCAGGAGACAACTTTCTTGAAAACCTTGACCTCAATCATCAAGAGGTCCCGTTCTTTATGCATGACGATGCATTAAAGGCAAAGGTGACTGGTTGGGACAACACACAGAGAACTCCTATTCCCAAGGTTCCCCTTGATCATTTATCCCTACTATGTATTTATATGCCTAAATTATGTATTAGTATCATATGTGTGTAGCTATCGTTGAGGTGTATCTTGACAATAAGGGGACGTTGCATCTGAACGCAGCATCTTATCACAAACAGCTTTCTCATCGTACATGAACAGTCCATTGCCACAGAAGCCAAATGGCGCGAGCCTGTAGGGGAGTAGGGGACCTCCAGTCAGAGATGCAGCTGAACTAAGTACACATTTAAATATGTCGAGAAGACAGTGTTTCAGAGAAGGGTGTGTGTTTAGAGCATTCGTGAGTGCGTGCATGCGTGTGTTCCAAATCGCCCGACAAATCAAAACGTGTAATATCTCGACTGAGGGACTGTCGAAAGTGTGGGTGAGTGAGTGAGTGTGGTTTTACGCAGCTGTTATCAATATTCCAGCAAGGTCACGGCGGGAGACACCAGAAATTAGCATCACATATTGTGGGGGAATCGAACCCGGGTCTTCGGCGTGACGAGCGAACGCTTTAACCACTAGGCTACCTGGGAGTGGCAGGCTTGAAAACACAACACCTAAACAAGATCGTCTCCAGTCACATAATTGCAATACGCATTAAATTCCAATCTGCTGTTATGGACAGAGAATTCTGTAAAGGTGAATTTCATCGTCAGTTTTGCACTGTTAAAAAGCATGGCGTCCTGTGAAGGGTGTGATCCCAACAGCTTACCATCGGCGTCAGAGATTGTCATGGTGTGGACTGATATCACATGCCAGGTGAACTAACATTTGTGAGTGGACGTTTTGCTGGCCAGGGATGTGTTGACGGAAATGTCACTGGTCCATTCTTTCGAATTATCGGAGGGCATTTTGAGCTGCGATATGACAATGCCAATGCTTAAGTGGTCGCTGCTTTTGTGTACTCGTTTGAATATGTCGAAGATGCACGACAGAGTCTGACCAGTGAAAAACAACCTCGACTTGTGAAGAAAATGCAGAAATGAGCGAAGCATTCATAAAATATAGATTCTTCCTTACAAAAATGAATAACACATGAAACATATTTAAATATTATAATATTTGGTTTAATATTGCTGGACTCTAAGTCATTTCACATAGAAAAGTAACAGTGATTTTACTTGTTAGATTCTCATTTGAGAGGGCAGAGTTGTGAGTGAGTGAGTGAGTTTAGTTTTGCGCCGCACTCAACAATATTCCAGCTATGTGGCGGCGGTCTGTAAATAATCGAGTCTGGACCAAACAATCCAGTGATGAACAACATGAGCATCGATCTGCGCAATTGGGAACCGATGACATGTGGCAATCAAGTCAGCGAGCCTGACCACCCGATCCCGTTGGTCGCCTCTTACGACAAGCATGGGTTACTGGAGATCTACATTCCAACCCGGACCTTCACGGGTCGGTAGAGTTGTTGGGACAACTGGGAACTTTAAAAATATGTTCAGCTCCTCTTTGGATGCGCAGAGACCAGTGTTCTGAAGCAGCAGGTGGTGCCATATATGGGGTGGTACTGGGTGGACTGGTGGACTCCAGCGTGTACAGGGTCCCGGGGCTAGGTTTGTGGGTGAGTGGACCGGTGGACCAGCCAGCTAGGTTTGTACAGTGGCCCAGCGGGGCTAGGTTTGTGGGTGGGAGAGTGGCCGGGGCGAGTGGACCAGCGTGTACAGGGTCCGGGGCTAGGTTTGTGGGGGTGGAGTGGACCGGTGGACCAGCGTGTACAGCGGCCCGGGGCTAGGGTTGTGTGGGTGGACCGTGGACCAGCGTGTACAGGGTGGAGGTTTGTGGGTGAGTGGACCGCAGCGTGTACAGGGTCCCTAGGTTTGTGGGAGAGAGTGGAGGTGGACCAGCGTGTTTGGGTGAGTGGACCGCTGGACCAGCGTGTACAGGGCCCTGGACTAGGTTTGTGGGTGAGTGGTCCGTTGGACCAGCGTGTACAGGGCCCGGGAAATAGGTTTGTGGGTGCCAGTGTGCCAGACGGTACTATTTCGAGCAAGTCATCATCGTAATTCTGAGATCGTGCATCACTGTCATCACATCAGCCACTGGATTATCTGGTCCAGACTTGATGTCCTATAGCTGGCTGGGATATTGCTGACTAAAGCGCTATACCACAAACAAATAGACGACTGACCAATATCTAGGCTTGCGTGGCACCGAAATGTCTGCGTTAGCAGGGTAAACAGTTAAATTGCCGTATCACCCTCGTTTATCCAGTGTACTGTATACCACGAGTGAGTGAGTATGGTTTTATACCATGAACTGATCCTAGCAACTTATGCTTGTTGTAAGGTCGGGTGGTCCGGCTCGGTGACGTGACTGGATATCAGATCGTTTTTGTCCGTCGGCACGGAACATTGGTCGTACATATCAGCCAGTGGTTTGTCTGCCGTGGCCATATACCTGAGTTATTGCTTGGTACTGTGTTACGAGAGTGGAGTTACATTGGTAAACACATGGTATACATCATACATTAACAGTTCCTGGCCACAGAAGCGTGAGCCGGTAGGGGAGTAGGGGACCTCCAGTCACAGATAAAGCTGAACTAAGTACGCATTTAAATATGTCCAGAAGACGGTATTTCAGAGAAGGGTGTGTGTGTGGTAGTGTGTTCGTGAGTGCGTACGTGCATGCGTGTGTTCCAAATCGCCCGACAAATCAAAACGTGCAATATCTCGACTGAGGGACTGTCGAAAGTGTGGGTGAGTGAGTGAGTATGGTTTTACGCAGCTGTTATCAATATTCCAAGTCACGGCGGGAGACACCAGAAATCGGCTTTAGTTGGAGTGTACAGCCATGCTGAAACACTGAACATGTGCTGAACTAAAAAAAGACTATGAATGCGTTTTTTTTCAGATATATTTAAGAAATTGTGTGCTCGATCCTCGTAACAAAATATGTAAAAAATATTATTGATCCTATTTTATGTGTGCAGAGTATACCACTAAAGATAACTATGAGGGAACGTTTAGGACAATAATTATAAAAGTTATATATAGAATTTGTTTGTAGGAGGACTGTGTGTGTGTGGTGTGAGTGAGGTTATAAGATGCTCATGTCACTCAGGGACATACCATGGCCCGTGAAGGTCCGGGTTAGAATATTGATCTTCAGTAACCCAAGCTTGTCTCAACCCCTGAAGATCCGGGTTAGAATATTGATCTTCAGTATCCCATGCTTGTCATACGAGGCGACTAACGGGATCGGGTGGTCAGGCTCGCTGGCTTGGTTGACACATGTCATCGGTTCCCAACTGCGCAGATCGATGCTCATGCTGTTGATCACTGGATTGTTTGGTCCAGACTAGATTATTTACAGACCACCACCATATAGCTGGAATATTGCTGAGTGCGGGGTAAAACTAAACTCACTCACTCACTCTGGGACATACCATGAATGAACCCCAGTCATTGTAGCTATAGGAAGGAAATCATAGCCAGGCTTTAGAATGGCAGCAAATGCTTAACCACAAGGCCACACTTCCGCCCTGTGTATATGAATACTACATGGCTAAGGCAGACATCTTCTTTAACTTCCCATACAGAATGGGAAGACATCCTTGTCAAATTGGGAAGAAATCTTTTTCTATATTACTGTAGATAATCCAACACCCTAACTTGACCCTTAAATCAGTGTCAAAATGGTATGTTTCATACATACACAGGAACCTGTTATGGGATTCGCTAACATGGAAGCTGGATGTCACTGTATCCCAAATGTGACGATTGATGCTCATGATGTCAATCACTGGACTGTGTGGTCCAGACCTGATTATTTACAGACCACTCTTTTCAGCTTTAATACTGATGAGTGTAGCCTTAAACAACCCAAAAACATCATTAACATATGTAAGTGGCTGTTACCACCCACTCAATACATACATCCACAGAGATGGTATTTTGCAGGTTCTCTTTCTGTTCATTCACCTACATAAAATCAGAAAGACAATGTCAAATGGTGAATCATGTTTTATTACAAAATATCTAAGTACATCACAACATTCGCAGTGAGATCTCTACTTGAGATAGTCCTGGGGTGCAGAAGCATTACCATATATAGATCAGTGACAGATATGGGCTAACTGGCTTATAGTCCACTGGTAGTTATACCATATATCTATATACCCTGGATGACAGCTGGGACAGAGAGTATGTGGAGGATTTAGCAATTATGTTTAACTTTATATAAGAGCATTGAGGAAATAGCAGGATGTAATTGTAATACAGGGTATATAAACTAGGGATCAAGCTCAATAGAGTGAATGACATGCTCCAGAGTGTAATTAACTAATCATTGAATGAGTTTAATGATGTCTTTTTTCAGGTAAAGTATTATCACATGGTACGTTCCACAAACCATCAGAGATACACTCATTATATTGAACATGTTAACATTCACTGTCTCCCCTGTGCGGTTAAGTAGGGTGGAGCAAAGGTGGGGTTGACATGAGTAAAGGGTGGGGTCAAGTAGAGTGGAGTAAAGGTGGGGTTGACATGAGTCAAGGGTGGGGTCAAGTAGGGTGGAGTAAAGGTGGGGTTGACATGAGTAAAGGGTGGGGTCAAGTTGGGTGGAGTAAAGGTGGGGTTGACATGAGTAATGGGTGGGGTCAAGTAGAGTGGAGCAAAGGTGGGGTTGACATGTGGCAAGAAAGGGTGGTGTTGAGCTTAAGTGGGGTTGAACTAGGTCAAGGTAGGGTTGGGCTGAGCTTGGGTGAGTGAGTTAGTTTTTACGCTGCTTTTAGCACAATATCACTGTGGGGGACACAAGAAATGGGTTTCACACATTGTACCCATGTAGGGAATCGAACCCGGGTTTTCAGCATGATGAGCGAACGCTTTAATCAATAGGCTACCCCACTGCCCGGGGCGGAGCTTGGAGGAGTTAGATGTGAAAAGGTAGGGTGGGGTAGTACAGGATGGGGTTGTGTGGAGTGGGGTTGTGATGGGGGCATTACAGGATGGGGTTGTGTGGAGTGGGGTTGCAATGGGGGCATTACAGGATGGGGTTGTGTGGAGTGGGGTTGCAATGGGGGCATTACAGGATGGGGTTGTGTGTAGTGGGGTTGTGATGGGGGCATTACAGGATGGGGTTGTGTGGAGTGGGGTTGCGGTGGGGGCATTACAGGATTGGGTTGTGGTTTGCAGTGTGTTGCAGTGCTGCAGAACAGGTTTAGATTGGGTTGAGGTTTAGGCTATGGTAAGATGGGATTGGGTTAAGGTTTAACTGGGTAGAGTTAGGTTATGCTAAGCTAGGATTGAGTTGAGGTGGGATGTGAAGGGGTTGAGCTTGTATGGATTTAAGTAAATATTTGTTTGGTTCCCGAATAAATTCCAGAAACGATACCAGCTGAAGAGCCCTTGAAATGTGTGGCAAGAAAACATGCACAAGGCAATGCCGTGTTTGAAGTAATCATTTAAACAACAACAGACCAACTCTCTGTACAACAGGGAAACTGGCATCCTGGTACACACATCCACACACACATGTATTTCACTGAAGGAGTAAAAGATGTTTTTCACAAATACATTAAATTAAAATTTTCACAATGAAGTATTTGTTTCTTCTTGAAATAATATTTCACAGCATAAATTTACTTCCAGAAAGGTTACTACTTGACAACTTCTAAAATATTTAAAATCAAAACAAAAGAACAGAAAGACCACTTCAACATTTATTTTACACATACACAAACATATTATTGCTTTTTTCCTCACTAGAATTCAGTAAGATAACAAAATTAATAGATAAAAAAATATGCAAAGAATTATTTATACTAGAATGTGAATCATATTTTAAGTGACGATCTTGTACGAAAGTTCAGTTAATGTAAATATGCTGATCTACTTTATAAGTAAACACTGTTTAGTAGTTCGGAGGCCAACATTCACAAAGACATGATGTATATAATACAATATATATAACATGATAACTTTCAACAATATAAAACATCCAAACACAACTTGTTCAAGTAGCTCTACATTATACAACTGCCATGATGACAACACAGCTCTACATGTATATACACTTCTGTGTTCACTTGTCAAAGCACCACTGTAGTTCATATATGCAGGCAGGCTGTAGTAGGGAAGGGAGACTACTCCAGCGGCAGGAAACTGAATGTTATGGGTGACCTCCCTTTGTAGACAAACCAGCTTTTGTTGAGTAGACAGTGAGTTATGCATTATGAATTATGACCTCATATATTCATGGCCTTTGGATTATTTCGGGTCCGATGTTCTCTGAGACATTTCAAACAAGTTAAAAATAAAAGAGGAAATTGTTAATTTGCTTATATTTATGCCACTGTCACAATTATTTTCAGATCAAATCTAAGAAAACCTGTGTATTTGTGTTTATCAAATAAGTTTATTTCAAACTAACATCTGATTAAACACTATACTGGCAGAAAAAATAACGCAAAGTATTATCTCTTCAATTCAAATGATCGTTGTCCAACATACTAGTTTCCTTGCCACTGGAGATAATCAAAGTGATGATACGTGTCATGGCACGTGGCCTCTAGCATGAGGTAGCCATGGAGAGTATTATGCTAGTAGTTCATATACATACACTTCCTGATTTCCAGTTCAAACCAAGTTAATATTTCCACATACTCTGCTCAGAAGAACACCAGATTCTTTCGTATTACTACAGTTCACCTACATGTCATATCATGAAAGATAAACAATAAAATAGGAAAGACCTGGGTGTCCTGTGACTTGCTTTGAATAGTATATTATAAATACTTGTGTTAAATTGAGAAAACATGAAGGTTAAATAGAACTTACTTTATTAATAGAAGCATTATATTTTGGAGATGCAATATTTAACAGATTAAAACACAAGCATACATAATAACACCTTCTTATTATAGAATGAAATATTTCTACAATGAAACATACCCGATATATACAAAAACACCATCTGACAACTATAGACATTTAAATAAATAAAATAAAATATCTTAATACAAAACACATCAACTATACCAGGCCGTCAGTGGAAGCTAGGCAGTTGATATAGGATCTTTCTCAACGCCAAAACATTTCTTAATATGGCTGCGGTTCCATCCATAAGTATTTTGACAGGCTACTGCACCCATATTCATGTGTTCATGTTACAATTAAATTAATTCTGTCGAGAAACGTTCAGTTTTGAGGAGAATGCAACATACTTCACAGGACTTAAATTTGTAAAACATTCCAGAAGTATTAATGTTGCCATTTAATATCAGTCTGAGTAAAAGCTGAGACCAGTGACATTTCTTTCGAAGCGTTAAACAAACCAAATACAACACTAAGCAATTCAGTTTGTTCCCTACACATGATACAGGCACAAGAAGACTTATTTCCTTAATATCAATTTCAGCTTATATCCCCAAACTACGACAGGAAGTGTTTCCATAATGATGGAATGTCGATTACCCAACAGGGGAGACTACTCTGCTAACAAGGGGAGACTACTCAGAAGGCATGAATGGACGGCATGAACAGTAGACCACAACTTGGCCTCAGAACATTTCATATGACAACCAAAGGGAGAGGAACCATTATAAAGAATGATTCGTTGACGTCCTTTTGAAATACACTTAACAGTTAGGGTGAAACAATGAAGAAAGCATGAGTTGTTAATCACCAGATAACTAAAATTATGATATTTTTAATTTGGCATCATTTTAGAGAAAGCAGAACATTTTGAGTATCATGGATACTGGAAAATAAAGTTAACTTATCATTTGTTACAGAAACAAATGCAAAAATTATTAACAAAAACAATTATAATGATAGGATAATTTATACAGAGACTGATTAAGAAAACATTTCTTATCCATTTCTTAACAATTTTCCAAATGGGACAATATAAATGGGCCAATGTGTGTCAAAATGAACTGTTAATTCCAGATTAACATTATCAGGTTTTATCTGAAATTAAGTCACTGACAACCTAAACTACAATACTCATATTTGAAAATGGAATCCAGCAGAGGACTCTTCACCCTACTCAACACAAACTATCTATGGTATGGTTGGTTGTCAGTGGTTCACTGGACTTCCTGTATGAAAACACGTACACATGGCTTATGGCGAACATTTCAAAGTAAGGCAAAACATAGACCAATGAAATGAGAAATGCCTCTGTCATGGATAACATTCACCGTGACTCACTATTCCTGAACATGATGTAAAACAACAGTCTACTCACCAAGATAAAACAGTGCTGCTTGTTTAAAACTGATATAATACAATTGAAGTTACAAATATACAGGCGTGCCTCTAACCATGCATGCAGATATAAATTAAGATTCAAACGCTCTCTAAATACAAAAACTAACCAAATTAAACCTTAACTCTTTACACAGAAAACAAAATATTCATAACGGAATCTTCTTTGAAACCTAAGACAATGATTGTGGAAAACAATCACAGATTCATCGAGAGGACAGAAGAAAGGGAGATAAGATTTGAAACTTATTATCAAAATCAAATAAAGTACTTTTATGAAAAGAAAGCAACTGGAACACTCTTGTATTCTCAGCTTCACAAGAGTGCAGTTTTTCTTGAAATAAACACAAAATGCGGAATTCCTCAGAGGAAAAATATATGGCCATCATAAAGATGCTAATTCTGTCTAACTTATTTTTACTTTATTTGTGGAATAACCTACCCTTAATTTAGCTAATACAAAATCATATTCAAAATATCTTTGTTTTAAAAATATGTCGATGCCTCTTCTGTTCAAATTTCTACTTCCAAGATTTGATTTAAACATTAACCTTAAATAAATACTAACAACACTGTCACTTTTCCTCACCGCTTGTCGTCAGGAAGATACTATGGATTCTAGCTGTTTGGAACTTTTCATTACAAGAGACGGTATCCTAGTTATTCCCCCTTTCCTCTGGCCAGCTGAACACATCACAATAATCTCACTCAAATCTTTGGCGCCACTCACAATGAAACAATAACTAGTTGTCCTACGATTAGGATACACACTGCTCAATGGTCTTTTGAATAGTTGTACTGAAAGCGGTATTTGTTGATAGCACCATGGGTACACAAGCACCCAGTATTGTTGACTATTATGGCACATTGAATATATCTTTATAACATATGTGAATATGTGAATGAATGCATACATGATATCTATGACTGTATATTTCACTGTAGTTCAACCAATCAGTCCATCCATGGTTAGTCATGTTCACTATTATATATATATATATTGCACTATTATGTCAAAAGCATATTTAACTTGGTGTGAATTATGATTTGGAATCATTGAAAGATTTCTGATACTTAGATCAGACGTCTTCCATTGATAGGTCATTACTGGCGTTATACCAGTATTTCATCATTACAGAACTTGGACTGAAAGGATATTATTGAGGTACAATAAAGGTTTTTCACATATTCACACTACCATGAACCTCATTACCAACCTTCTGCTATTATTGTTACTTTCTGCTGGTGTTCATCTTCAGATGACCATATAAGGCAATGAATTCTTAGACAATGGAAGCCTGGATTTCAACTGATCATGTGATCGGCAGTGTGATGGAATGACTCCAATGTCATACTGTCTCCATGGTAACTAATCACATGCTTGTTCCTCTTCTGTTGGAAACATTGTTTCAGAATCACAATTTCTGGTGTGTTACTATCTCTTATTCCCTGAAATAAGGCACCGGTGGTGGCATACTGTGAAATAGGCATCAAGATTGTTATCAACCATATGTTGATATCATAGATATCACATAGGGAGTTGATATTGTGGATATCACATGTAGAGTTTCGTGATGTCAACATTTTATCACACTGCAGCTTGGACTTTACAATTGACTCTGGAATCCCAACATCCGATGTTGATAGTTAAGTGCCTAGTTCAGGGTTGCTGGAAATCACCCTTGATGCCACATAGAGTTTACCACTTCTTCCCAAACTTGTTTGTATGTGAACTTTTCCTCATTCAAATGTTTTGTCCTCAATGTTTCGTGGGTTGCCATTGGCAACCAGGTATCCATCATCTTCGGGCTTCCTCCTCTTGAAGAATCCACACTGGAACAGAGAGAGGGAGATATTTCAGAATGATGGGATATGTAGTTCAGTACCTAGCAAAACCAGCTGGGCTAAGATTATTGCACTCATATTGTTAAGCATGCACAAGTGTGTGGCTGTCTGCAGTTGTCTGGACCTATGCTGGGTTTACAGTTCTAGCGCTGTGAGATACCTGGTCTCAGCATAACTCGGATCCCCCAAACTGAGTTTCAGCTGAACAGTCTTTAACAAGTCTTTTGGATTGGTGGGGCCGGGAATCAACCCAAGTCTGTTGTTCAGATACTCACCCACCACAGAAGAATAATGATCAAGAGCAGAACCAGCAGCCCTGCCGACACTGCCACGGCTATGATCCAGATCTCGATGGGCCGGCCACCAATGTCTGGTTTGTCAATGTTCACGTCTGTCACAATCTGGGTGCGAGAGGTCACAGGTTAGGGTTGTTATTACCCTGATACATAATACCAGAGACCATATAATAGATATCATATCGTCTCTGATAATATACATAACAAAATACTCAATCATGAATACATCATATGTTACATTTGGCATTTAACTTTCTGCAATTAATTACAAACTAGTGAATGAATGAATCAATCAATCAATTATTTATTTAAAAACTAATTACAAACTAGTCATATGACATCTTCAGTAAAATAGCTAAACACATGGTAGGTACAATGTTTCATTATCACATTTGATATAGAGGGCATAAATCTTGTTATCAGGCTGCAAACACATAATGGCCTTGCCTGAGTAAGTCAGGAGCAGATCCAGGATTTTGGAGAAGGGTGTGTGTGGGGGTGGGTGTGCACATAAACATAAACCACGAAGTCCAAAGCTTAGGGGGAAAATGCTCGTCAGGGAAAATATTTTCAGGGGAGGGCGTGTGTGCTCACCCCCGCCCCCCCCCTTCTGGATCCGCCCCTGGTAATTGCCATCGTTTGGTGTCTCTCCCCATAGATGGCAGATCCTTTTGTGTGGCATTTTCATTTGCATGTTCCATGATACAAAAATATTCAAATTTTATTTTTATTTCTACAACAGTTCATATCATCATAAATGCCTCACTTCAACATTTTTGTGTGATTACAAACATGTGTTCTAACATCAATGCATGTGACCAAACGTTTTTTTAATAATTGCTACTGGGCAACTACATGTGTAATACAAAGAAGGAAATAGACTTTTGTGTAAATACCTAGTTAACGTAGGAGCACTAGTAAAGATTACTTACAGATTTTTGTGTAAATACCTAGTTTACGTAGGAGCACTAGTAAAGATTACTTACAGACTTTTGTGTAAATACCTAGTTTACGTAGGAGCACTTACAGACTCGTCAGTACGTTGTTGACAGACATTTATTGGGTGCTTAATACAGAAAAGATTTAATATTTGCTGACAACATGGAGACATATTGGCATCAGCTGAGATGACAGGAAGTACTCACAGACTGCTTGGCTGTAGCAAATAGTGTTGGGTCCACAGCCTTGAGTTTGTATGGCATGGAGACAACACGAGCAAACGCTGTTGACGTCAGGAGTGCATGTGGCATCTGGTTCTGGGGAAGTATCAGACGTTATATACTGTGTAGTTCACTAGCGTAGTAAGCCACTAGAGGGATATGTTGTTCAAAGTAGAGTGAATATGGTTTTACGCCGCTTTTAGCAATATTCCAGCAATATCACGGCAGGGGGCGGAAATGGGTATCACACATTGCACCCATGTGGGGAAGTGAAACTGGGCCCTCGGTGTGGCAAGCAAACACTTCAACCACCAGGCTACCCCAATGTCCCTTTTCAAGGTACAGTTATTTTTTTGCAGTAACACAGTTGTCAAATCAACTGTTTCAATCCGATGTCATTACTGTGATTTGAAACTTCTGATTGTGTGTGGTGTAGGGCTAGCTAAAAAGATTGATCATAACTATTACATATCATTATTGATATGAAAACTGTATCATCGATAATATCGTACATAAACTTTTGTGATGAATAAAGTTTTAATCTACTCACACAATAAACAAAGTTAGGTCTTTACTCATGGGCCGCTTTTAGAAAAAGGTGAGAATGCTGTTTTAGTAGGTATTCTTTGCATAAATGTCTCACAACACAATGTTAAATATGTTGACTTTTGGGGCATTTTTGCTCAAAGATACTCCTCCAACATTTATCAACAATCAATCGATATTTTCATTACGATTATAGATCTTTATGATTTATATTGAATGCAAGCCCTGGTTTGGGGTGTGCATGTGTGTGGTGTGTTTCTGTACTCGTCCAGACAATATAGCACCAGTTGACGGATCTCTACAGAACACTCTGTCTATTGTATTCACATTTTCAGACACAACAACACACACATACACCATCAAATGACAGGAAAACCAGAAAAGAATTACTTCATTGGCTGACTTCTTACCCGTATAAATTCATCCAACCATCAGGTTGGCTTTAATCTTGAGCAGGAAGTTGTCTTCTGGCTTCAGGTATCCCACAGTGCACTTGATGACTGTGCACCAATCTGTGCAAGTCTGAAACAGGAAGTGGTCAATGAACGTTTAGCATTTTACTTCACCCAAACATCACTGCAATGTAAGATTAATTAGTAAATTGATTCTAAAATTGTAAAACTGTGATGATCTGGGTTAAAATTGCTCTTCAGGAACCACTGCTTGTCATAACAGGTGACCAAGGGGATTGCTGACTTGGTTGATACATATAATTGTATCCCAATTGTGTACATCAATGCTCATGATGTCAATCACTTGATTGTCTGGTCCGGATTCTGTGTTTTAACAGACCAGCTGGAAAACTGGCTGAATGCAACATTAAACAACAAACAAACCAACCTAAAGTTTGCACCTGAAGACACCTCTAAGACAAGACACATCCTCACTCTAACACAAGACATCTCTGACACAAGACACATCCTCCTTCACATCTTTGATAAACATTTATTGTCACCAATTGATGCATGATGGGAGCCAATGCTTGCACTTGAGTGAGTTAGTGAGTGAGTTATCATGCTTTAAGCAATATTCCAGCAAAATCACGGGCGAGGACACCAGAAATCCTGCACTTGAGCCTGGACGATACAACCAACATGTATATGTCCAATCTATGCAGTTGTACCCACCACTCGGCCTTTGTTTGCCCTTTTAGGTCTATCTCCAGATCTCTGCTCCTGGAGTACCACGACAACATCGTTCGGGTCCGTCAGACTGTATCTCAGAATATCCTGGAACCAGTCAGTAATAAGATATTCACATGGTGCTTTTTGAGAAGCTGCACATACATAACACATGCAACAGATACACCCTGTGACATGGACACACACAATCTGTATTCCACAATTCTGTAAATAATAGCTACATAACTAGCGATATATCTAACTAGCGATATATCTAACTAGCGATATATCTAACTAGCGAATAAGTGCATAACACATGCAACAGATACACCCTGAGACATGGACACACACAATCTGTATTCCACAATTCTGTAAATAATAGCGACATAACTAGCGATATATCTAACTAGCGATATATCTAACTAGCGAATAAGTACATAACACACTGTGTATCGAGTGCCAATCTTGATTCCCTATAGGTTAACTAAATAACACATAGTGTAACAAGTGGCCATCCCAATTTTCTAAAGAATAAGTATGTAACACTGTGTATTGAACACTTATCTCCACTCTCTTCATTTTCTGCATGAGGTACTCACTGAACTATTAGCAGGTGTTACGAATATTATCTGACACTGGCCGTTGCCCTTGGTAATCTCAGGGGCTGCAGAGAGGGGTAAAATCGGCTCCCCATCGTTGTCATGGCTTGGCCAATATATCTGTAGATCTATCGTCTCAGTCGAACTTGGTCCAAGATTTTGTACCTGAAATTACCAAATGTAAGGTTCATACAGCTGACAAAAGTGACGAGACTAGAGTGTTATTTACATACATACAAGTAAGGCCACATATAAGTAACCACAACAAAACAAAACAGAATTTCCAAAGTTGAGAACTGAAACCGAAAAATGCAGCATCAAAGTTCCCGACACTTGTAGTTGGAATACAGGTATCATGTGTCACCTGTCCAGAACACATGCTGTAGCTCACCTGATAAAGATGTTCAACTGGTCTTGTTCGGAATCTGTCGCCATTCAGTCGCACTCTAGTTGTGTTTACAATAATCTGTTCTGGAGTAGATTTTCTGCAATCAACACAAAGATCAGTTTTATACAACGGAACATAGAAGTAAACAGATATTAAATAGATATGTATATATGCTCAAAGAAACACAGACTCTAAATCAATGTCACAGAGTTTTTGAAATGTAAGAGTTTATAAAGTCTAACAATAAATATAGGTCACTTAATGATCTAAACTGAAGTTCCTTAATAAACCTGCTGGACTTATTTCAGTTCAAGAGGCTGTACATACACTGAAGGATTTCCAACAAACAAATATTTTGATACAGTTCCTTTAACAATCTACAAAGTCCTTTAACAATCTGCAGACAAAGTCCTTTAACAATCTACAAAGTCCTTTGACAATCTGCAGACAAAGTCCTTTAACAATCTACAAAGTCCTTTAACAATCTGCAGACAAAGTCCTTTAACAATCTACAAAGTCCTTTGACAATCTGCAGACAAAGTCCTTTAACAATCTACAAAGTCCTTTGACAATCTGCAGACAAAGTCCTTTAACAATCTACAAAGTCCTTTGACAATCTGCAGACAAAGTCCTTTAACAATCTACAAAGTCCTTTGACAATCTGCAGACAAAGTCCTTTAACAATCTACAAAGTCCTTTGACAATCTGCAGACAAAGTCCTATTAACAGATTGCAGAAACAGTGTCTTTAAACCTGCAGGATTTATTTCAGTTCATGAGGCTGTACACAGGCCAAAGGATTGCAAACAAATATTTTGATACGTTCCCCTTAACAATCTACAGACAGAGTCCCTTTAACAATCTACAAACAAAGTCCCTTTAACAAACAGCAGACACAGTCCCTTAACCTACCCATTGATGAGGATTTCAGCAGAGGCAGTGACGGGGATGGACACACTGGCGTAGTTGTTGACGGTGTCGGTCAGGTTCTCGGGGTTGGAACTGGAACAAATAACAAGACATGATGTACATATAACCACGGTAACCACGGTGATGACATCGTCTTGAATCACCTCTCGGTTTCAATCAAGATAATACTGTATTGCTCTTTCCTTCACGACTGAGTAGAGAGTTTGCTATAGTTCTATTCTCCATGTAGCAGAAGTCATCAGCAATGATCAAGTATTTAAATTCAAAATAGGCAGATACAAGTGACAAACTGTGCTTGATACCATGATTTGATTTTGTAGTACTCCAGTGCATCTCACCTGTTGACCTCAAGTGCAAACACCAACAGGTCTTTGGTTTCATTGAAATCTTTTGGCGAGGCTTTGAGGGTGAAGTTTGTCTGGAAACAAACATTATTAGTTATTAGCAAACTTGATATTGAGGAGAACAGAATATTTGTAATGTTCAGTACAGGTACAAACCTTCTATGTTCTCTTTTTGAATGTTTTCAATATTTACCCATGTACGGTATATGTGTTATACAGTATTTGAAAATCCTCCCAGTGATAATGCTTCGTCTATAATCTCACCTTAGCTTGTGCTGGAAGGGGGTTTCCAAGGTCACAGTTAACCACGTCCTCGTTGTTTATTCTCTTTCGGTCACAGCTCACTGGCGCCACCTGGGAAATATATTCACACCATGACAAACATGTAAACCAATACAAATGTATAAACAAATAACGTCCAAACTTTAGGAATCAGAAGAGAACTGTCACTTGATGCACCAGTGGCGTGAGAGCAGACGTGCCACAAGACAGGCCTGCATATATCCCAGCACTATCAGATCTATCCCAGATTATTATATAGGTAGCATTTTTCTTGTACCACGATTGGTCAAAAGATCATCACATGATTGACTACAAAACACGATATTGACTTGAGTTTTCTGATAAATTACGATATTGACTTGGGTTACTAAAAATAGACAAGGAATCCCGTACGAAGGGGCTTCCCCGCTTTTCAGCCAATCAGATCACTCGGATAGATGGCACAGTGTGTGCATTAAAAGTTTATGTTAAAACCCGTTTCTCTTTCATTATATAATAAAACAATTATAGACTCTTGTAGAGGTCGATATCGGTTTTTATTGACCTGAGAAAAACAATATCGATATTGTTTTACTCAGGTCAATAAAAACCGATATCGACCTCTACAAGAGTCTATAATTGTATACTGTCTTCACCAGGAGATATCACTTAACATGAATTACATCACAATACTTGGCACCCCATTGTGATGTCATGGGTTACCATGATGCCACAATCAAATGACATCACTAGCCTTATTGCCACTGGAGCTGGTATGCTGTACTGTCTACACTGATAACACTGGTTATTACTGATTACAAACTAATATCAGATCAAAAACAGAATCTCACTCTAATGTCTCTTGATATTAAATACATCAATATGTGTCAACATAAGACTCCTTGGCCAGGTTTCTACCATGTTAATATGTTTGCTATCATGCCACCCTAGAGTGAGATTCTCCAGACAGACAATGACTGACTGACCCCCTGCACACTCTGCACGCCCTGGATGCCCTTGATGGAAACTCCTTGTGGGAGGTTGATGAACAGCTGGGTGTTGAAGGCATCTTCCCCGCGGTTCTCCACCATGATGAGGATCTCCAGCTCGGTCGTCGTGCCAATGACGTGAGCGCGGGACACACTGTGTAAACAACATGACAGTTGACATTAATGTCACGTGGCGCGGGACACACTGTGTAAACAACATGAGAGTTGACATTAATGTCACGAGCGCGTGGGACACACTGTGTAAACAACATGAGAGTTGACATTAATGTCACGAGCGCGGGACACACTGTGTAAACAACATGACAGTTGACATTAATGTCACGAGCGCGGGACACACTGTGTAAACAACATGAGAGTTGCCATTAATGACGTGAGCGTGGGACACACTGTGTAAACAACATGAGAGTTGCCATTAATGTCACGGAGCTGGACACACTGTGTAAACAACATGAGAGTTGCCATTAATGTCGTGGAGCTGGACACACTGTGTAAACAACATGAGAGTTGCCATTAATGTGAGCGGACTGTGTAAACAACATGAGAGTTGCCTGGACACTGTGTAAACAACATGAGAGTTGCCATTAATGGACGAAGCTGCTGACACACTGTGTAAACAAATATGAGTTGCCATTAAATGAGCGTGGAACACTGTGTAAACAACATGAGACATTAACAAACAACATGTAGCTGCCATTAACTTGGGACACACTGTGTAAACAACATGAGAGTTGCCATTAATGGCGTGGTAGCGGGAGCTGGACACACTGTGTAAACAACATGAGAGTTGCCATTAATGGCGTGAGCGGGACACACACTGTGTAAACAACATGAGAGTTGCCATTAATGGCGTCAGTAGGGACACACTGTGTAAACAACATGAGAGTTGCCATTAATGTCACGAAGTGAGGCGGGACACATTGTAAACAACATGAGAGTGTATAAAACAACATGAGAGTTGCCATTAATTAATGTGTAAAACAACATGAGAGTTGCCATTAATGACGGTTGACACACTGTGTAAACAAATGAGAGTTGCCATTAATGACGTGAGCGGGACACACTGTGTAAACAACATGAGAGTTGCCATTAATGGCGCGGAGCGGGACACACTGTGTAAACAACAACATGAGAGTTGCCATTAATGACGGAGCTATTAATGGGACACACTGTGTAAACAACATGAGAGTTGCCATTAATGTCACGCAGCTGGACACACTGTGTAAACAACATGAGAGTTGCCATTAATGACATGAGAGCGGAGCGGGACACACTGTGTAAACATGGGACACACTGTGAGAGTTGCCACAATGGCGTGACGCGGACTGTGTAAACAACATGAGAGTTGCCATTAATGAGAGCGGGACACACTGTGTAAACAACATGAGAGTTGCCATTACACTGTGTAAACAACATGAGAGTTGCCATTAATGGCGCTGAGCCGCACACTGTGTAAACACACTGTGTAAACAACATGAGAGTTGCCATTAATGACGTGGAGCGGGACACACTGTGTAAACAACATGAGAGTTGCCATTAATGTCGTGAGCGCGGGACACACTGTGTAAACAACATGAGAGTTGCCATTAATGTCACGAGCGCGGGACACACTGTGTAAACAACATGAGAGTTGCCATTAATGTCACGAGCGTGGGACACACTGTGTAAACAACATGAGAGTTGCCATTAATGACGTGAGCGCGGGACACACTGTGTAAACAACATGAGAGTTGCCATTAATGACGTGAGCGCGGGACACACTGTGTAAACAACATGAGAGTTGCCATTAATGACGTGAGCGCGGGACACACTGTGTAAACAACATGAGAGTTGCCATTAATGACGTGAGCGTGGGACACACTGTGTAAACAACATGAGAGTTGCCATTAATGTCGACGGCGCGGGACACACTGTGTAAACAACATGAGAGTTGCCATTAATGTCACGAGAGCGGGACACACTGTGTAAACAACATGAGAGTTGCCATTAATGTCACGAGCGCGGGACACACTGTGTAAACAACATGAGAGTTGCCATTAATGACGTGAGCGCGGGACACACTGTGTAAACAACATGAGAGTTGCCATTAATGTCACGAGCGCGGGACACACTGTGTAAACAACATGAGAGTTGCCATTAATGACGCGAGCGCGGGACACACTGTGTAAACAACATGAGAGTTGCCATTAATGGCGTGAGAGCTTGGGACACGTTGCTGACTGTAAACAACATGCCATTAATGGCGTGGTAGCGGGACACACTGTGTAAACAACATGAGAGTTGCCATTAATGGCGTGGAGCGGGACACACTGTGTAAACAACATGAGAGTTGCCATTAATGGCGGAGCGGGACACACTGTGTAAACAACATGAGAGTTGCCATTAAGAGCGCGGGACACACTGTGTAAACAACATGAGAGTTGCCATTAATGACAATGGTAGCCGGGACACACTGTGTAAACAACATGAGAGTTGCCATTAATGGCGGAGTTGCCGGCGGACACACTGTGTAAACAACATGAGAGTTGCCATTAATGGCGTGGTAGCGGGACACACTGTGTAAACAACATGAGAGTTGCCATTAATGTCACGTAGCGGGACACACTGTGTAAACAACATGAGAGTTGCCATTAATGTAGCGAGTGACGGGACACTGTGTAAACAACATGAGAGTTGCCATTAATGACGTGAGCGCGGGACACACTGTGTAAACAACATGAGAGTTGCCATTAATGACGTGAGCGCGGGACACACTGTGTAAACAACATGAGAGTTGCCATTAATGACGTGAGCGCGGGACACACTGTGTAAACAACATGAGAGTTGCCATTAATGACGTGAGCGCGGGACACACTGTGTAAACAACATGAGAGTTGCCATTAATGTCGTGAGCGCGGGACACACTGTGTAAACAACATGAGAGTTGCCATTAATGGCAGTAGCTGGACACACTGTAAACAACATGAGAGTTGCCATTAATGTCGTGGTAGCGGGACACACTGTAATAAACAACATGAGAGTTGCCATTAATGGCCATTGCTGAGCGGGACACTGTTGTAAAACAACACTGTGTAAACAACATGAGAGTTGCCATTAATGGCGTGGTAGCGGGACACACTGTGTAAACAACATGAGAGTTGCCATTAATGGCGGGACACACTGTGTAAACAACATGAGAGTTGCCATTAATGACGTGAGCGCGGGACACACTGTGTAAACAACATGAGAGTTGCCATTAATGACGTGAGCGCGGGACACACTGTGTAAACAACATGAGAGTTGCCATTAATGTCACGAGCGCGGGACACACTGTGTAAACAACATGAGAGTTGCCATTAATGTCACGAGAGCGGGACACACTGTGTAAACAACATGAGAGTTGCCATTAATGTCACCTTATTTTTTTCTATGGGTAGAAAGTTTGATTTTACCCGCTTTTATGACAAACACAAACATTTGTATGTTGGTGACAAACCAATAGTTAAAGAGAGGCTCAAATTCAAACTTGTGTCCAGAGAATCCTGCCCCTGACTAAGGGGCATAATTGTACCCATTTGTGGCCCCTAAAGCGTTGGAAACTCTAGGTAATCATGATAGAAGAATTTTTTTGCTCTTTGAGCTTTCAGTTTTCATTTATTACAAGTGACATGTACTCTCTCACCCTATCAGAATAAAAAAAAACTGGATCGAATTGTTCACCATTTTGTCTTACAAATAACTCTTACAAACAACCAACACTTTCAATATCATGGCAACAGATGTTTCTGAAAAGTTGCTACATACATCCAGTTAAGATAGGGACAAAAGTTACAACAACAGCTCAGTTTAGTCATAGGAAATTGTTCAGTACACATATCCATGGTGTTCCTGATGAGCTCAACTCACCGGATGGAGTGCACCCGGAGGTCTGGGTAACACACATTATCGCGGCCACAGTTCTTCAAGATCTGAGCCTGTAAAGAGACAATAGTATAATATTAAGAACTGACATTATTTCAGATGTGCTAGGGGCGGTGGGGTGGCCTAGTGGTTACAGAGTTCACTCGTCATGCAGAAGACCTGGGTTCGATTCCTCACATGGGTACATTATGTGGTGACCATTTCTGGTGTCCCCCGCCGTAATATTGCTTGAAAAACCCAATTCACTTATTGATGTTATTTTTCCATTACACACATAATCTCTGTTGCTTGTATCATAATTATATGGGGATTATTTATAACATAAAGAAGAAGAATGCTAAGAGTGAGTGAGTGAGTGGAGTTTTATGTCTGTTTTAGCAATATTGTTCAGGGAAGAACAACTAAAAGACAGTGAGTGAGTGAGTTGAGTACGCCGCGACTCAGTTATATGTCTGTCTGTAAATAATCGAAGTCTGGACCAGCAATATTTAGAACAGGGAAGAACGAAAACAGCCTCTTCACGACAAGATAATATGGCAAGCACATGGGTTGCTGAAGACCTATTCTACCCCGGATCTTCACGGGTCAAAAGACATTTGTAGTAGTATGACAAATCCACCTACTGCTCACAGGACGTGTAAACGGGAGTTAATCCTAGTTATTGTTTATATTATCATTGTCATTATCATCTGGATGGGATATACGAGTGTGTGTACCTCTGTCCGAACCGATGTCCTGATGTACTGATCAAGGATGGGTTCCAGCGACCTCCTCTTTCGACTGTTGCTTCCGGACTTCAACGTTCTCAGTGCAAACTTGAAGTCAACAGCGATTGGCGTCAGCTTGTCTGAGATGTCAGCCTGCGAAGTTGACCAATGACAGTTACAAACAACTGCACATTGACAGCTGAACATTTCTACTTTAAACAACAAACTTCACCTGTATGGTTGCCCCAATCCACAAATTTTCTAAAATAAAAGTTACTTTGTTTATAGATATTCACTGTATTTATCGCTGCTGCAGGACACATCAAGACATTATTAAGAATAATAATAATCCAATATATATAATATAACTGCAGAACATATACAATGTTTCAGGATCATCGAGATCTTGTGTTGTACCTGGATGCAGGGTTACTGGCCTAACAGGCTTTTACTAAACACTGAAGAACATTTACACAAAAGGGCATCGTTATTACATTTAGAGTAAAAACATATTCATAAAAACATTGAGGTAAATTCTGTAAAGAAATACATAAAAAATAAGACTGCTTTTTCACCCATTAATTAAATACTGTAGACAACAATAGGAAATGAGGGACTAAATTCAGCACAATAGCAGAACTAAAGTCCTGATGAGTTTATTATCAGCCAATCAGACAACATTAGTCCATTTGTGGACACTGCCTTTAGTTCCTTATTATCTATTTATTTATGATAGGAAAATATGCTCAGTTGGCTATTTAAACACCATGTAATGACTTGCAGTTTATTCATACAACTATAAACCAATGTTGAAATCAGAGCAACGTACCAGGACATATGCGAAGGAGGAGGTGCACCACGTGGCCTTCTTGGTCAGTTTTACTGTGTTCTTCTCTACGACGTCCTTCTCGGTGGTCAGATAGTAGGTTCGCTGCTCCTCCCTTGACCGATTCCGCTGCAGTGTGTCCAGCTCCCAGGTCAAGTCAAAGACTACAACAGTGTATCACATATTATTGCTGTACAATGTGTCACAAGTATGTAAACTTACATTATATCATCACATTACACAATGTAATACAGCTGTACACAGTGTCTCACAACTATACAAGTTGTTTCAAAACTTTAAACAAAGTATAATAACTGTACAGAACAACTAACAGAGCCCTATTGGTGACTAACGACTCGGACATAGGGTACTCACACAGCTCCTCTGCCACGCCCTGGCCTGTGTACTCCAGACACGTGTACACCGTCAGACTGAAACACGAAGATTCAAATATGACACAGGGAACCCATCAGAGAAGGTTGAAGAGGGTGACAAGTCACTCACCCAAAATGAAACAAAATACATTTAAGCTGTGATGCGGTAATTGTTTTTGGTATATCAACTCCAGACACAAAACCTGGATGAACAGGGTCAAAGGTCTCAAACATTGTTGCAATAATGTAACGTGAACCAAAACTATTTTCTGTACACTATCTCCCGTCGCTGCCTCCTCCACACCAGTTCCCCCAACATTTGACAGTGTGAGGATCCATGGACCAACATTTGACAGTGTGAGGATCCATGGACCAACATTTGACAGTGTGAGGATCCATGGACCAACATTTGACAGTGTGAGGATCCATGGACCAACATTTGACAGTGTGAGGATCCATGGACCAACATTTGACAGTGTGAGGATCCATGGACCAACATTTAGTCCAGAGGTACAGATAAGCTGTGTATCTGCGTAAATTACGCAAACATTTATGTGAAAACCCAATTCCCATTAAGTCTATTGCGTACAAGTACGCTTGAAGTTTTGTAAATACTCAATAAATGTGATCTTACATGCGTACACACAAAAATGTCAAGTCGTAGCTTGCGTACCGGTGGATAGATAAAATAGCTGGCATATTGAGAGGCTCTATTTTAGGACATGAGCTTGACATATTGCAGTCTTTCTTATCGTTTCTCATATTAGATATCAAAGGTAAATCACAAACACTATTATTTAAGCTATATTATATTTTTAAAATTAATGGAAAATGGCAAAATACCCAAATGAGTTTGATTGAGGTGGGTGCAATATATTTGGTTACTCAAAGGAAAATTAGGATACCCAATTGAGATGAACACAAGGGAGTACATAACTCAATGACCCAAAAAGTTATCTGTAGCTCTGTAGTCCCAGAAAAAAAGTTACATTAAAAAAATACAGACTTGAGAAATCATTCTAGACTTGGGTTAGATTATTTTTTAACTTTTCTCTGGGGTCTAGGTTAGAGACCAGAGGATCTGCTGACAAGAGGTTTAAATGTCAGTGGAACTCTGGTGGTGGTTTCGAACCCCCTGAAACCCCCCTCTGGATCCGCCACTGGTAAGGGGTGTCATCTTACCATGTGACTCTCTTGTCATTAATGAGAGAGCAGCTCTGATGGTCCAGGTTGATGATGACAGGATCGATCTTGAGACTGGCGTAAACACGCACCACTGGACGGGTTCTGTAAAATACCAAGCAATATAAGCCCGTCTGTACATTACATACTCTTGTCAATCTGGGAGGATTCGAGTTAGAACTGACCTTCAGCAGTCTATGCTTGTTGTAAAAGTTGACTAACGGCACCGTGTAGTCAGACTCGCTGATGCATGTCATTGTTTCCATATTCCATGGATTTCTTCCTTAAGTGGCATTTAGAAGCTGGTATGATGAAGTGGAGCACTTTTATGGATAGACAACTTCTTTGTTGCAGTAGTAGCTGCGATGTTCCAGTGTAGATCCTAACACAATGATCATTGGCTTGATAACGGTGTTAGGATCTACACCAAAACGTCACAACTACTACTGCAACGAAGAAGTTGTCTACCCATAAAAGTGTTCCACTTTATTCCATGGTTTGATGCTCATGATGTCAATCACTGGATTGTCTGATCCAGACTGAAATGTTTTTAAGCTGCCATTATATAGCTGTAATATTGCTGGGTGCTGTGTTGAACAAACAACAAACAAACACACATACTTCTGCCTCAATCGCATTCAACAATCCAGCTTTAATATTTTAAACCTCAAATATTTCAACTCAGAGAAAAATGTTATGCCTCGCAGCTGAAAATATAGTGAAATGAGTTGACATATTACCTCAGGAAAACAGCTTTGTCAGCACCGTAGGCGCCAACCAGGAGATCTGGAAACAATCAAAGCTTTCATAACAAAATGTGAACTCACGAAAATTCATTTTGCCAGGTAGGCAAACAGATCCCATTTACCTAAGCTTTGTAGACTGTTATACCTACTGAGTGGGGATATTGGCCGTACTTCTTACTCTTATCTTTGATATATATATATATATATTTGATCATCCTGCACTGGGGGATCTAGGTGGGGTTGCAATTTCCACTTTCACAGAGGACTTAATTGATCACTGCACCTTCAGCAAAGTCGTGACCTGAGTATTATGTGCACCTCTCTAACCTCCTGGTCTCCTACTCCAGTGATAGTTCAAGGAAACAACGAGTAACATACACAAGGGAGATCACTGACTGTGGCATGCACAGAAGGTACCTGACAGGGGGTGTACAAGGGAGATAACTGACCTGGGTATGTATTGCCATCCTGGTCAATGCCTCCTGAGAGGGAGTAGCCGAACGTTGTCAGTCCTGGGTCAAGGTCCTTGGGATAGATGATCTGAAACACAACTCTAATACTAAACTCTCCTCTTTGAAGTTAAAGGTCCACAAGTCAGGAGTGAACGAGTGAGGTGGCTGAGTTTAGAGTTTCTTTGAACAGAATATCAGTTCCATCAAATGATCCAACATTAAGGCAACAAATGATACTAGTGAGTAAGTAATCCATCTCAATTATCAACAGTATCTGATTAAAGACCATAGTTAGACTGTACTTTGGTAGTGGGACTTGGGATTAACATGGAGGACATCCCAAAGAGGATCATGAGGGTAAAATTCATGAATAAGCTTCACAAATCAAGGGTCAAAATCAGGACAAATCAACCCATGATCTGGCCCAGCAAAGGGCCACAACTCCACACAGCAAATATGATCTCTGCACAGTGAATATGTTCATCACTGTACTAAAAGGCTGAAATATAATCCAGCAGGTAAGTCAAGTAACGTTTATTTGTGAAATTCACACATACAATAAAGAAATCAAAGTTGTTCCTTTATCTCAACAGAATGAAGAAGATTTATACAATCTAATTCTCAAGTGTCAGATTCATGAAACGAGACTGCCTACCTGAGATACCTGAGTGATGATGCCCTTCTTGGAGCCGTGGTAGATGTAGACAGCCCCCTTGTGATCCTCCCCTGCATATGGAGCTCCGACAGCCAGATCTGGGGACACAGGCAAAGTTGTTTCAGTTATCCGGTGATACCAGACCTACCCTGGGTTCAAATACCTTCCAGGTCGCCTGTTTCATGAGGGGCCTCAATTGATCCAGTGGTCAGCTCGGAGACCTGACTGACTGCATATTGTATCCCAGTGTTGTTCAAAATATCAATCACTGGTTTGTCTGACCCAGATCTGAATATTTACAAGTGAGAGTGATAGAGGTGGAATATTGCTGTCTTCAGCTTAACCAACCACATATTGATAATAGATTTCACCAAGACTACAGAGATAGTGAGGTGAGGTGAAATTGGGTTTAACGTTGTGCTTGAGAATATTTCGCTCATATGACGACGTGCATGCGTGTGTATGTGTATGTGCGGCTGCTTGTACTAGCCCAGACTGAAGCTGGTTTTATAGTGATAGCCCACTGAGATACCATGCCGCAGTGAAGCATGAATACCCTATTCAGACACATTATACTGACTCCGAGCCGACCAGTCCTTGTTGTACCCATTAATGCCGAGCGCCAGGCAGGGACCAACAAGTACCATATTTTAACGTCTTTTGGTATGACGCGGTCGGGGATCGAACCCGCGCCCTTCCGCTCTCCGGGCGGATGCTCTAACCACTACACCATGGAGGCGGTCTACAGAGATAGAAATTGTAACTTAAGGAGGATAGTAATTGTCCTAAATCTGTAACCTCTAAAGTCAAAACATACTGAATGCAAAAAAAGCAACAAATTATATGGAGGGATAAATTAAAGTTTCTTTTATAGATTGTGTAATACACTACAATGTAACCATTTCAACGAAGGTAGATAACTCCAGCAGGCCAGCTCACCATTGTATCCGTCATAGTTGATGTCGCCAAGTCTGGTGAGGGCGTGTCCGAATCTCGACATGCTCTCCTTGCCATCCAGGATATCTTTCTTGCTGGGTTTGAACTTGTGCTGTGACAAGAGACAAATAAGGGGATTACAGGTCACGGAACAGCCACACCAACACTCGAGGCCATCAGGAATATATGGGATAATTAGGGTCTCAAATATATTTGTAAAAACAATGATAATCATAATCAACATGATAAACCACAGGCATTATATTAACCAATCACCTTTAGCACGGCAACTTATCATCCAAAATACTGGGAGGTTATTTAAAAAAAAAAGTTACATATAATTGCTTAGCTGACATTTGGTTCAAAATATTATGATTACTCCAGCTGAATTTACTAAATTGGATGAAACTTTATCTCGAGCTGAGTTACTAAGGGTGAACTGTGACTGCCTTACACCTGTAAGGGTTAAACCTGCTACCTACCAACACTACCATCCACATTTGGAGCTTGAATGTTCTCCAATTCTGATTTAACACACACTAGACCAAATCACACTTAGAGATTAAACCACACAGAATAATGGATTATCTGTCCCAAGTAAATGGGATTTTGTAATTTCCATGCAGTTGGGATATCAGCTCATGGAGTTTAAGGGTGATGTCACATAAAACTGGTCAATGTCTTTGATATTAATATAAAGATTGATGTTTCCTGACAATTCATGCATACAATGTCACGCTCTTACATATTGTTTTCACCTCTGAAGGTTACACAGGCAATATGTCAGCGTCATAATGTCTTCACAAAGATTGACCACAACTGAACTGTGGGTGAGCACTAGCAATCTGCATTATAACAGTAAAAACACTGGACTTATGCGTTTTTCACTTTCTACTGTAGCTCACCTTCTCAGTCTGGTAGAATATGTAGACTCTTCCTGTCTCATAGGTTTTGGAGGTCTTCAACACTGCATAGAACGGTGCTCCAACTATGATATCATCCAATCTGAAACATATCATACAATTATTTCTAATGGTTCAAGTTGCTTAAACAACATCCTTGACAAGTCCTTTACACTTATCTTCAAAACATGTAGTCGAGAGAAAAATATAATGAAGATCTTTTATTCAATGATTAGACAATATTATCAACATAAATTTGGTTGCAGCAATGGACTATTCATAATGAATAATTGACAACAACATAATACCATTATAGTGCAAGCTCTATATACTATATACATGTACATATATACTACTCTTACACAATAAATGTATGTAAAACATAAATCTGCAGCATCTGCAGGATAATATCACACTAGCCTAGGAGATAAACATGTATATCACAAATTTGTAGAAGATAAATTTAACCACCAAACATAAAGAAGAATATTATAACTAGACTCACTCATCTCCATCCAAGTCTGTCACTGCCAGGGAGTATCCAAAATAGGCACCAACCTGTGAACAAGACAGCACATTGTTCATACAATAGGTCAGTGCAGTCAGAGACTTCAAAAGTAAACTAGGGACAGATTGGTTCGTCAACTTAGACCATCAAGCAGACAGGTGATGGGTTACCTGTAATACTTTCACAGTAGTGCTACACAAAACAGACTACAGATACCTGTCTTATTACCTCACACTTATGTCATCAGATAACAGTAATGGGACATTTTAAAAGATATTATAATGTAGGATATATTTGTTCATGTTAATCTGACCAACTGATTTAATTTATGTCTACCATTACAAGATGGTTTGTCAGATCTCAGCTACCTCATGGTTGAAACACTATTTCATTCAGGACTTTAACAACCAACTGTTTAAGATCAAGCAGATTGTGAGTATGATACATAAAGTGGAATCATAACACTGGTTCCCAACTCTAACTCCAGCTCTTGTAAATTACTTTCTTTGCCTGTTGGTGATTGCAAAATTCAGCAACAATAAAAAAATACAGTATTCAACATTATCAATTGCTGATAATAGCAACATGTAAGTAGATGAAGTTTACACAAATAATCAAAATAATTTCTCTCTTAATTAACATGACATTTCCAGGCAGCCTGGAATCTGGAGTGTACACAGGGTCGACCAATTATTCCATAAATGATGATTGTTTTGTCCTGGTTGGCAAATACGATCTCATATCGTATGATCACAAATGGAAAAATCATGATTGAGAGGGAATACGATGACATATTTATCCATATAGTCTAATAATGAGACTCAGAGTAGGAATATATGAATATCAAGTTATTGTCGGACGATATTAAGGTATTAAATGGGGCGTGAGGTCAGAACCTGCGGAGATTATCAGGGAAATTAAGGTGCCTGTAAATGTGGAACCCTGCTCCACATATCTCCACCCCATCATCACATGTAGACGGCCACTTAATCTAGTGGAGGGTTATGGTAAACAACATTGAACAGGCTGACTGACCAGAGACATATCACACGCTGGGTACTAGTCTCCTACTCTGGTTTTATGCAATGTTGAGTGAGTGAGTGAGTTTGGTTTAAGGCCACTTTCAGCAAGATTCCAGCAATACAATGTGGGGGTAACCATAAATAGGCTTCATATATTGTACCCATGTGGGGAGTCAAACCTGGACCTTTGGCATGATGATCAAACAAACCACTGTTCCTCATGCAATATTGCGTAATACAGGATTCTTTATTACATGCACCACTGACTGGGTCAGGTAGGTGTCTACCAATGTAAGATATAAAGGGCACAGAATAGAAATTACAAGACTGTTTTAGTGATTCCTCAACTGCTAGACTAACAAGTAGTCGCCAATATAATGTTATCTCTGCTCTGTGATGGTGCTGACTATTATATACAGTACAGGCAGGGAATATTACTGTATATCACACCAGCGCCTACCAGACAATCATTGAGGAAGAACTGGGGCCATCTGTAGCAGGATCTCTGCTGTGTGATGGTACTGACTATTGTATACAGTACAGGCAGGGAATATTACTGTATATCACACCAGCGCCTACCAGACAATCATTGAGGAAGAACTGGGGCCATCTGTAGCAGGATCTCTGCTGTGTGATGGTACTGACTATTGTATACAGTACAGGCAGGGAATATTACTGTATATCACACCAGCACCTACCAGACAATCATTGAGGAAGAACTGGGGCCATCTGTAGCAGGATCTCTGCTGTGTGATGGTACTGACTATTGTATACAGTACAGGCAGGGAATATTACTGTATATCACACCAGCGCCTACCAGACAATCATTGAGGAAGAACTGGGGCCATCTGTAGCAGGATCTCTGCTGTGTGATGGTACTGACTATTGTATACAGTACAGGCAGGGAATATTACTGTATATCACACCAGCCTACCAGACAATCATTGAGGAAGAACTGGGGCCATCTGTAGCAGGATCTCTGCTGTGTGATGGTACTGACAGGATCTCTGCTGTGTGATGTATACAGTACAGGCAGGGAATATTACTGTATATCACACCAGCCTACCAGACAATCATTGAGGAAGAACTGGGGCCATCTGTAGCAGGATCTCTGCTGTGTGATGGTACTGACTATTGTATACAGTACAGGCAGGGAATATTACTGTATATCACACCAGCGCCTACCAGACAATCATTGAGGAAGAACTGGGGCCATCTGTAGCAGGATCTCTGCTGTGTGATGGTACTGACTATTGTATACAGTACAGGCAGGGAATATTACTGTATATCACACCAGCGCCTACCAGACAATCATTGAGGAAGAACTGGGGCCATCTGTAGCAGGATCTCTGCTGTGTGATGGTACTGACTATTGTATACAGTACAGGCAGGGAATATTACTGTATATCACACCAGCCTACCAGACAATCATTGAGGAAGAACTGGGGCCATCTGTAGCAGGATCTCTGCTGTGTGATGGTACTGACTATTGTATACAGTACAGGCAGGGAATATTACTGTATATCACACCAGCCTACCAGACAATCATTGAGGAAGAACTGGGAACTGGGGCCATCTGTAGCAGGATCTCTGCTGTGTGATGGTACTGACTATTGTATACAGTACAGGCAGGGAATATTACTGTACCAGACAATATCACACCAGTGACCTACCAGACAATCATTGAGAAAGAACTGGGGCCATCTGTAGCAGGATCTCTGCTGTGTGATGGTACTGACTATTGTATACAGTACAGGCAGGGAATATTACTGTATATCACACCAGCGCCTACCAGACAATCATTGAGGAAGAACTGGGGCCATCTGTAGCAGGATCTCTGCTGTGTGATGGTACTGACTATTGTATACAGTACAGGCAGGAATATTACTGTATATCACACCAGCGCCTACCAACCAATCATTGAGGAGGAACTGGGGCCATCTGTAGCAGGATCTCTGCTGTGTGATGGTACTGACTCATTAGAGCCAACTGATTGGATTAAATCACAATAGGTCAATCAAGGGTCAATTATTGAATGATGGTTGTTCTGATTACCGAATCTTGCTGTCAGAGTAAGTACCGTGTTAGTGGCTGACTGCCAGTGGATTACATTAGTTGAGTATTTATGGTGGTTTGTGGTCCTGTGTGTAGAGCTCAGGTCACGAATCAGTTGAAGTTAAGCAACGTCGAGCTCGGACAGTCCTTGGATGGGTGACCGTGTTTGGCAGCTTGACTCCTGAGAGTTTCTAGGACTTCGGTCCTGCCCTACATCGAAGCACATGTGATACATGTGGTCTCACCTTAGGCAAGTGAGTTTGTTCAAAATTGCCTCTGTTCATCCAGCAGAAAATGGGTACCCGGTTGGATAAAGTCATGTGACTATAACCTTCTAGCGCCTCACAGGCAGCTTGGGTTATCCGGGGTAATAATAATCAGATTCTGATTACAGCGTCCAGTGAGCTACTAGTCAGATGGATACTAGGCGCTATATGAGGGAATTATTATTATAGTATTATCATCTATTGGCTGTGTACTTGTCTGAGATGGAAGACATGGCCACTATGATATCAACAAACTGATGGGGGTGGTGGGGTAGCCTAGTGGTTAAAGTGTTAGCTCGTCATGCTGAAGACCCAGGTTCGATCCCCACATGGGCACAATGTGTGAAGCCCATTTCTGGTGTCCCCCGTCGTGATATTGCTAAATATCGCTAACAGTGGCATAAATTAAACTCACTCACTCACTCAACAAACTTATGAAGAGACAAGAAAACTGAACAACTGACTTTATGTGAAACATGGTTTTCTTGTCTGTGAAAATGTGACTTTTCTTAAAATGATATATACAATAAACACAAATTTTGTATTGATGTTTACAGTACACAATCTGATAAATATTGATTTTGCATTACAAATTTTGTATCATTATTGCTATTATGTTATTATTGTTTTTGTTGTTGATGTTGAAGCTTTTTATTGCTCAATCATCATCATCATCATCATCATCATCACCATCATCACCATCATCATCATCATCATCATCACTATATTTCCTTTGGGTGATAGAAACACATGCAACTAGACATATATTGCCACACTGACATGCTAACTATGATCAAATATCTGAGTTTCATAATGATGATTCATTACACAGCAGAAATAATGCGATGGGACATGAAATTTTAAATTTATACTGACAATCCCGACAAAAGATCCAGTATTCTAGTGCATGTTCCCATGCATCACAGTGTCCCAGCGCCCACACAGATGAAAAAATTCACACTGCCATCTTTCAGTTGTAATTCAATCTCACGTAATTTCATCCCTGAACAATAATAGCTTTTATTACATTTGCAGCTTATTCCAACATCTAGTTACAAGATACATTTCCAGAGTGACACTGCATCATGAGTACAATAAAGATAAACTCTCCCAGATGGAGGAGCAAAACGGCTGAGCTTGACACAACAATCTGGCCCTCTGATTGGCTGAGACACATAACTATTAACAGGATGCATTACATCAGTTGTCTCAAGAAGCCAAGACATTCTGTATGTGAAGTGAACTTAATAGGAATGCACCCTGTCTGGTTAAACTCCGACTGCTCCATGTTGAGGATATAATACCTCTCACACATCGTGCAAGGAGGAATTTCAACCTCCTCATATTGTACTCTGTGTTGTAAACAACAGACACCTGTCACTGTGGAGACAGCCATGTTTACATTCTCTCATCAGATGTTATCTGATTCTCGTTTACTCACGATTGTGTGAGTTACAAGTCAGTTACATGAGAAGTGTGTGAGTTACTTGAACATTACATCAGTGTGAGTACGTGTGAGATACTCATGACTGTCAGTTGCGTGTTGACATGTGGTTGTATCATATGTGTGAGTTACGTGTGATGTCAGTTGAGTTACATATCAGACCCACAGCATGTTTGAGTTAAGTGTGTAGAGATACTCATGACTGTCAGTTGTATCATATGTGTGAGTTACATATCAGACCCACAGCAGTGTGAGATAGGCATGACACAGCATGAGTTTGACCAACAGCATGTTTGAGTTACGTGTGAGATACACATGACTGTCAGTTGTATCATATGTGTGAGTTACATATCAGACCCACAGCATGTTTGAGTTACGTGTGAGATACACATGACTGTCAGTTGTATCATATGTGTGAGTTACATATCAGACCCACAGCATGTTTGAGTTACGTGTGAGATACTCATGACTGTCAGTTGTATCATATGTGTGAGTTACATATGCATGTTTGAGTTACGTGAGATACTCATGAGATACACATGACTGTCAGTTGTATCATATGTGTGAGTTACATATCAGACCCACAGCATGTTTGAGTTGTGAGAGATACATGACTGTCAGTTGCATGATATGTGTGAGTTACATATCAGACCCACAGCATGTTTGAGTTACGTGTGAGATACACATGAATGTCAGTTGCATGATATGTGTGAGTTACATATCAGACCCACAGCATGTTTGAGTTACGTGTGAGATACACATGAATGTCAGTTGCATGATATGTGTGAGTTACATATTGGCTACACAGTATATTTGAGTTACGTGTCACTTCCGTGAGTCACAGACAAAGTACCTGTTTCATTTGAGTTTGTTTGAGTGATTAACAAACAAGTGAAATGGAAGTAAGATCCCCATCTTTAGAGATGTATAAAAATGTGAACTCTTTAATTCCTGACTCACCTTCAAGGCAATGGTAATAACTACATTGATTAGAGTATGTTAAGGATTCCAGATCTCTGAGATTACATTTTGGCTTTGATTCCAGAGCCTCTGTTTGACAATAGTACTAAATTCAAACCCACCCATCAATGTTAATTTCATCAAAAAGTGTCTGGGAGAAGAGAAAGACTCTCTATTCCATCAATGCCACATTTGTCAAATGTTGTCAAATTCTAGATTCAAGCCTGATAGTGATGATTTCATGTTTAAGAAATGATTCACAAAAATTCAGCTTTGTGCTGAATCAATACAGACGAGATTCAAGATAGCTGCAAATACAACACATTTTGCACTTCTGATGTGAAGAGGGGCAATATTTCCCGTTAATGCCGGTCAATACGATGGTATATAACGCCTCGGACAGCATGATGGATGCTCCACTTGTCTCCTCCAGCACACAGCAATAAGGGACAATTTCTATACTATCAACATGAAGGGTTACTTTTCCACTGGGTAATAAGCACAATTTGGTGTACTGGCATAATAAGACAGTCATTAATGAGTCTACATCATGCCTCTACCCCTCAAATATAGTATCACACATAACACTGGGCAATAGCACTATGGAATTTGAAGTTATTTCTTTTAAATGTAACAAACGTTGTATATCATTGCATTTCTCTCATGAAATTCAGAGGATGTTATGCCAACATCATTCATGGTTCAAACCCCAAATTAGGTTAAAATATATGATCATAGTTTATACATTATCATGGGCTTCATAACAGTTCTTACTTAAGAAGGGTTAAAACATTGTTCCTACTGATGGGGTTAATACATGGCTCATACTGAAACATAATGTATAGATAATAATATAATGTATAGATATGGTTCATAATGAAACATAATGTATAGATATGGTTCATAATGAAATATGGGGTTAATACCAGCTCATGTAAAACATAATTTAATTCAATCACACAGTCAAAATAAATGTTTACAAGGCTAAACAGAACACATTTAAGTTTTGTTTTTGAGAAACGTTTGCAATTTGCTGCAAATATTTTGATGTAACTTTTCTGCTTGGCTGATTTTCAAATACAACTGAGAGCCATCACAGCTCTACATTTTAAACATAAGTTAGCCAAGATCAAAGTGTTCCCAAGCCAGTATGAACCATGTACATGGCACTAGTCTTTGTGTTGGTATTACCTGACAGTGGTGCCACCTACCTGTTCTCCTGTGATGTTCTGGATGTTCGTCAGGTTCTGTGTGAACATCGCAACCTACAAGCAAAGTCAGAAATATTCAAAAATAACTTCTTTGGTCAGCATTTTAGAAGTTGGCAAGTACAACATTGAAAAACCTTATGGATTAAAAACATGTTTTATTTCTTTGATGCAAAGTTTTGATACAGATAAGGTCTGTCAATATTTTCAAAATATTTGAATAATTTTCTTTGAATACCTTCATTTTTGTAATACCAACACGCTCACATTATGTTTCTGTGTTTTTACCTACATACAGGAACCTGCTCACTGACAAAACACAGCCTCAGTCAAAACAAGCTACTCTCAACATCTGCTTTAATCTACCACTTGTAGGATGTCACCAAGATGCAGGTCGGGATGATATCCATCTGTACACAACATGTCAACTTACCCTGCCAAGGTGAAGGTCACCTTTGGGAACGCTGACCACGTAATCTGTAACAATTACATAAATAGTCATTGGCAAGAATCTCTGATATGATACCTTCATGTATATCTGTAGAAAACTCTTGACACTTTATCAATGCTGTGAAATGTGTGTTTGATATAAATCTTTAAAAGGATTAAATTACTATCACTTTCAAGAAGGTTTTTGTATGTGTGATTGGCGCGAAATGGAATGAACAATCTTTGCTGAGTGGCTGCATTCAGGACCCGATAAACCAGTCGTTGATATTAGAACCACCTGTGCGGTGACATCGAGTCTGACTACCACTTCCATGAGAGCCATGAGAAGGGCAGTGGGGTAGCTGAAAGGGTTAAAGCATTTGCTTGTTACTCTGAATTCCTAGGTTTGATTTTCCACACGGGTCATAATGGTTTGTGTCAACCGCAATGACTGTAAAAATTGCCCAAGCTAAACTTACAAACTCTCTCTCATTCTTTATGATGTCAACCATCATGGTTCATACCTTCCATGTTATCACCGTCAAAGTCCCCAACGGCACTGGCGTATCCCATGTAGCTGTCATCATCCTCTGGTGGCCCCTCCCGTGTCGACACATACTCCTTGTTCTTCACTTCGTAGTTGTACAGCTGACCTGTGGGGCAGGAGGAACAGAGCAATCAAACACTGTCACATACACAGGGTACCGGGAGATACGCACAAGGTCACTCTTAACTGTGTTGTTTGTTAGTTGTTTAAAGCCTCGACACTGGCCTGTAAATCAGCAAAGTGGACCTGCCAATCCAGTGATTGATATTGTGAACACTAATCCATGCTGTCTGGGTTTGGTGACATTTAAATCATCTGACCACCTAATACATTTGGCCGACTCTTACAACCAGCACTGGCAGCTGGGGACCTATTCTATCATGACATCCCCTGTTATACCTAGATATAACTCATTGGACAATCCTCCACCTACAAGTCAGAATAACCTAAGTGGGAGCTATTGTCTATGTAAAACTGTTTGAAACGTCATTCACGCAGTTTACTCTGAGGAAAAGTTTTTCCTGAATAGACCTCTCTTGGTATTCTTTAAACAGTTTTGTTTGTTACCTACTGAGTGCATATCAACCTGGATATAGCTCGGCTGGTATGACATAAATGATACGGCCAATACTTCCTCTCTGTGGTGTACATTACAACCTTCCTGCAGGAACTCAACACTTACACTCTCAGCCACTCTGACCTCCGCCAGGACACAATGTAACAACGTTATACCTACAACCAAACACTATTCATCTCTCATTTGAAAGGTTCAAAAGCCCATGGTGATACGACCCGTAACACACCTACAGACCGATCATACAGACATGATGTAGTCTATGGTCAATACACTGCTATCAACAGTTGGTGTGAGTGTATGGCTGAATGTGTGACTGTGTGACAGCAGTGTATACATAGTAGCCCTAACAGTCCACTGTCAACAGGAGGGGCCATCCCAAAACAAAACTGGTGCTTTTTTAATAGTAGTTTTCTTTTGTAATTGATGTCCTGTTTTTGGAGAGAGGAGATCAATGCTAGTTGAAATGTAAATATCATTGTCTGAAGTAAATGTACTGACAGGTGTATGAACATAGGTGCATATGTCATGTTTAAGGATCTGTATGAACATCTTCTACACTAAAGGTGCACTAGAGTTACCTGCCTTAAACACCCACCTTGTGATATAAACGTTTCTTGTTTCAAGCGCCACACACAACTGCTCTTAGCGCCCAGCACCAGGAGAATGCTCCTGTATGTATGCAAATTTTTAGGCAACCCTCAAAGTGTGACAAGATTTTTTCGAGTACCTGAGAAACCTCCCATGTTTGGGCAGATGATACAGGTGAGAGCTCCAGTGTGAATAAACATGCTCAAGAGTCCAAGTTGGTCTTGACCTTTGCCCCACCCATGTGCAACCTTTAACCTTCCCAGCGTGAATGTAAAGCTAACATTTAGGTTGGGTGCCGATCTTACTGACACATATGGCTTCAAGTGAAGGTAATACCCATTTACACTGGGTTAGACAGGTTGTTAGAGCTCACTCGCTACAACTCGGTTGTATTGTACTATCCGTGTACTATCTGTTTCATTCTTAAAACTTTACCATTCTTAAAAAATCACATTGTTAGATGAGCTTCATCTTTATTTACTTATAATTATATTTTTACTTTAGTGTATTCAGGAATCATAAAGCAATTTAAAAACAATTCACAATATTTTACAAAAATATTATCAGAAATATGTGAAAATGTTGAACAAGATGGACTGCGTCATGGAATACCAATCATGTGAGCTAAAACACAAAACATTACCAGATGTACAAATATGCTACATCCTTTCCCCCATTGGCTCTATAAATAGAACAAACCATGTGACCTGCAACCTTTTTCTGGCATCATGTTACACTCCTCCTGCATAGCTTCTATTCTGAGACAAAAGCAGTGGCTCCATAAATACCTCCATGCCCCTGTGATGCCGACAAAGCTCACTCACACACAATATTGGTATATTTAGCCCTGAATGCATAGCACTGATCACTGGTGCTGAAGCTGGCACTAAATATGAACCTTCTACTTCAGGTGGCCAAGTGCAAGTTTCTTACATAATGTATCATGCCAGTGATGCACTTTACTGTGTAATACATGTCATATTATGCCAGTGATGCACTTTACTGTGTAATACATGTCATATTGTGCCAGTGATGCACTTTACTGTGCAATACATGTCATACTGTGCCAGTGATGCACTTTACTGTGTAATACATGTCATATTGTGCCAGTGATGCACTTTACTGTGTAATACATGTCATATTGTGCCAGCGATGCACTTTACTGTGTAATACATGTCATATTGTGCCAGTGGTGTGCTTTACTGTGTAATACATGTCATATTGTGCCAGTGATGCACTTTACTGTGTAATACATGTCATATTGTGCCAGTGATGCACTTTACTGTGTAATACATGTCATAGTGTGCCAGTGGTGTGCTTTACTGTGTAATACATGTCATATTGTGCCAGTGGGTGCTTTACTGTGTAATACATGTCATACTGTGCCAGTGGTGTGCTTTACTGTGTAATACATGTCATAGTGTGCCAGTTATGCACTTTACTGTGTAATACATGTCATATTGTGCCAGTGATGCACTTTACTGTGTAATACATGTCATACTGTGCCAGTTATGCACTTTACTGTGTAATACATGTCATAGTGTGCCAGTATGCACTTTACTGTGTAATACATGTCATAGTGTGCCAGTTGTGTGCTTTACTGTGTAATACATGTCATATTGTGCCAGTGATGCACTTTACTGTGTAATACATGTCATACTGTGCCAGTGGTGCACTTTACTGTGTAATACATGTCATAGTGTGCCAGTTATGCACTTTACTGTGTAATACATGTCATATTGTGCCAGTGATGCACTTTACTGTGTAATACATGTCATATTGTGCCAGTGATGCACTTTACTGTGTAATACATGTCATAGTGTGCCAGTTATGCACTTTACTGTGTAATACATGTCATATTGTGCCAGTGATGCACTTTACTGTGTAATACATGTCATATTGTGCCAGTGATGCACTTTACTGTGTAATACATGTCATACTGTGCCAGTGATGCACTTTACTGTGTAATACATGTCATAGTGTGCCAGTTATGCACTTTACTGTGTAATACATGTCATATTGTGCCAGTGATGCACTTTACTGTGTAATACATGTCATACTGTGCCAGTGATGTGCTTTACTGTGTAATACATGTCATAGTGTGCCAGTTATGCACTTTACTGTGTAATACATGTCATAGTGTGCCAGTTATGCACTTTACTGTGTAATACATGTCATATTGTGCCAGTGATGTGCTTTACTGTGTAATACATGTCATATTGTGCCAGTGATGCACTTTACTGTGTAATACATGTCATAGTGTGCCAGTTATGTGTGCTTTACTGTGTAATACATGTCATATTGTGCCAGTGATGCACTTTACTGTGTAATACATGTCATAGTGTGCCAGTTATGCACTTTACTGTGTAATACATGTCATAGTGTGCCAGTGATGCACTTTACTGTGTAATACATGTCATATTGTGCCAGTGATGCACTTTACTGTGTAATACATGTCATAGTGTGCCAGTTATGCACTTTACTGTGTAATACATGTCATACTGTGCCAGTGATGCACTTTACTGTGTAATACATGTCATAGTGTGCCAGTGATGCACTTTACTGTGTAATACATGTCATAGTGTGCCAGTGATGCACTTTACTGTGTAATACATGTCATAGTGTGCCAGTGGTGTGCTTTACTGTACTGTGTAATACATGTCATAGTGTGCCAGTGGTGTGCTTTACTGTGTAATACATGTCATAGTGTGCCAGTGATGCACTTTACTGTGTAATACATGTCATACTGTGCCAGTGATGCACTTTACTGTGTAATACATGTCATAGTGTGCCAGTGATGCACTTTACTGTGTAATACATGTCATATTGTGCCAGTGGATGCACTTTACTGTGTAATACATGTCATAGTGTGCCAGTGGTGCACTTTACTGTGTAATACATGTCATAGTGTGCCAGTGATGCACTTTACTGTGTAATACATGTCATATTGTGCCAGTGATGCACTTTACTGTGTAATACATGTCATAGTGTGCCAGTGGTGTGCTTTACTGTGTAATACATGTCATAGTGTGCCAGTGGTGTGCTTTACTGTGTAATACATGTCATAGTGTGCCAGTGGATGCACTTTACTGTGTAATACATGTCATATTGTGCCAGTGATGCACTTTACTGTGTAATACATGTCATAGTGTGCCAGTGGTGTGCTTTACTGTGTAATACATGTCATACTGTGCCAGTGATGCACTTTACTGTGTAATACATGTCATATTGTGCCAGTTATGCACTTTACTGTGTAATACATGTCATATTGTGCCAGTGATGCACTTTACTGTGTAATACATGTCATATTGTGCCAGTGCCATGTGCGCTTTACTGTGTAATACATGTCATACTGTGCCAGTGATGCACTTTACTGTGTAATACATGTCATAGTGTGCCAGTGGTGTGATGCACTTTACTGTGTAATACATGTCATAGTGTGCCAGTGGTGTGCTTTACTGTGTAATACATGTCATACAGTGGTGTGCTTTACTGTGTCATACTGTGCCAGTGGTGCGCTTTACTGTGTAATACATGTCATATTGTGCCAGTGATGCACTTTACTGTGTAATACATGTCATACTGTGCCAGTGGTGTGCTTTACTGTGTAATACATGTCATAGTGTGCCAGTCGATGCACTTTACTGTGTAATACATGTCATATTGTGCCAGTTATGCACTTTACTGTGTAATACATGTCATATTGTGCCAGTGATGCACTTTACTGTGTAATACATGTCATAGTGTGCCAGTGGTGTGCTTTACTGTGTAATACATGTCATACTGTGCCAGTGGTGTGCTTTACTGTGTAATACATGTCATACTGTGCCAGTGATGCACTTTACTGTGTAATACATGTCATATTGTGCCAGTGATGCACTTTACTGTGTAATACATGTCATAGTGTGCCAGTGGTGTGCTTTACTGTGTAATACATGTCATACTGTGCCAGTGATGCACTTTACTGTGTAATACATGTCATATTGTGCCAGTGATGCACTTTACTGTGTAATACATGTCATAGTGTGCCAGTGGTGTGCTTTACTGTGTAATACATGTCATACTGTGCCAGTGGTGTGCTTTACTGTGTAATACATGTCATAGTGGTGTGCTTTAGTGTGTAATACATGCTACTGTGCCAGTTATGCACTTTACTGTGTAATACATGTCATACTGTGCCAGTGATGCACTTTACTGTGTAATACATGTCATATTGTGCCAGTTATGCACTTTACTGTGTGTAATACATGTCATACTGTGCCATGTCATACTGATGCCAGTTATTACTTTACTGTAATACATGTCATATTGTGCCAGTGATGCACTTTACTGTGTAATACATGTCATAGTGTGCCAGTGGTGTGCTTTACTGTGTAATACATGTCATAGTGTGCCAGTGATGCACTTTACTGTGTAATACATGTCATACTGTGCCAGTGGTGTGCTTTACTGTGTAATACATGTCATACTGTGCCAGTTATGCACTTTACTGTGTAATACATGTCATAGTGTGCCAGTACATGTCACTGTGTACATGTCATAGTGTGCCAGTTATGCACTTTACTGTGTAATACAATACATGCCAGTGGTGTGCTTTACAGTGTAATACATGCACTGTGCCAGTTGTGCACTTTAATGTAATACATGTCATACTGTGCCAGTGGTGTGCTTTACTGTGTAATACATGTCATACTGTGCCAGTTATGCACTTTACTGTGTAATACATGTCATACTGTGCCAGTTATGCACTTTACTGTGTAATACATGTCATACTGTGCCAGTTATGCACTTTACTGTGTAATACATGTCATACTGTGCCAGTGGATGCACTTTACTGTGTAATACATGTCATACTGTGCCAGTTATGCACTTTACTGTGTAATACATGTCATAGTGTGCCAGTGGTGTGCTTTACTGTGTAATACATGTCATACTGTGCCAGTGGTGTGCTTTACTGTGTAATACATGTCATATTGTGCCAGTGATGTGCTTTACTGTGTAATACATGTCATACTGTGCCAGTGGTGTGCTTTACTGTGTAATACATGTCATACTGTGCCAGTGGTGTGCTTTACTGTGTAATACATGTCATACTGTGCCAGTGGTGTGCTTTACTGTGTAATACATGTTATATTGTGCCAGGGTAGTGTGTAATACAAATGTTATTGTGCCAGCGTCGTGTGTAATGTGAAAATAATGCCAATAGATGTTGTCCACCACTCACCTTGCCAGTACCAGCTTCCCACGGCTGCTACCATCATCTTCTGTCCATCCTGCAACACAGACACATCCCCATGATCCTGGTCACATAGTAAAACAGTACAAGCTTACACAAAACACCTTACAGCAAAATGTGGTTATAGACTTGTGGAAATTGAAATACTATTATTATATTCCTTGTGAATGTTTAACTTTCAGGTCAAGCATTAATGACAAAATGGATATGTATATAAACATATGAACAGACAAAAAGATAATCGAGACATTTAATATTAGGTACTCCGGCAGAACGACTCAAACTTTCAACTTTTTCATAAGTTATGTTGTAAAGTTGTAAACGTTACATTAACTATTTTTGCCTGAAAATAAATGCAGCCCTCTATGAGGTGAAAACTAAAGGAAAGAACGACTCAAACTTTCAATATTTTCATAAGTTATGTTGTAAAGTTGTAAACGCTACATTAACTATTTTTCCTGAAAATAAATGCAGCCCTCTATGAGGTGAAAGCTAGAGTAAGGACATTCCCATTTTGCATGAACAAACTGCCCATGAGAATAAAACGAAGCTTTGAAGTTTCGAGTCTCAAGCTCCGAGTTGACAGCCACAACACAGCACACAGTACTCAATCAGTGCAGACTAAAATGAAACACGATACACTGAAATAAATTGCTTCAACACATCATAGAAACGTCACAGTTCCAATAATCCTATAAATACACTTTTGAAGATTTGTTGACAGATTGGTTCTCCAGCAGAAAGAAATTCCAAACTTAGGTAGGCAGTTCCACATGTGGGCTTCTAGACTAGAGGCTGTTCTCCAATATATACACTTCAAAACACACTGGAAGACTTGTAGTTGTTTCTTACATTCTCAGAGTTGACTTCTTGAACAGTGCCCCCCAAACATCCAAAGTAACCCCAGATTGGGGATAAACAGACACGCCTTGGCTTACGGTATAAAACTCTCAAGCACTAACTGTGAAACTCAGCATTAGACATCTGATTTCTATAACAGTCTCTACATCCCATAATGTTTTACCGTCTCCAACTGTTAAACAATACAACAGGCAATCTTCTGTTTTATTTGAGTAAATACTGAAATACAAGTAGTTATGCTTTAGTTGTTTTAAAAAAAAAAATCTGAATAATCCATTATTGGATGTCAATATGTGTTTACAGTATGACAAAAAGTCAGTTTTGTTAAAATACCACATAATCAAAATGGTGAACATGACAAGAAAAGGAGAATAGAACCCAAACAAACATGAAGTGCAATGTAATACTTGAAATAATTAGACCACCATGTACATCAGTACCTAGACTAACAACTAGTCACTGAAATGAACATATTTTACTGAAAAAAAGTTCATAGTAAAAAAAAAAGAAATATAATGAAAAGGAGCCCTGAGACTTTCTTGAGGAAATCTAGACTTGCCACATTTTCTAGATTTGCGTGGGCTTTCTTGGGTATATTTATTTCAGGGTCTGTACGACAGACTAATCAGTACCTAACACCCTGCCTTACCATACATATTTCCATCCAGAAGAAAGGATGAAGAAAATCATGAGTATGCTATGTTTTCCTCTACCCAAGCTGCAAATATACTATAGGAATTTTTATATACTGTTCAAAGGATGTTAAGGAAGACATGATATATTTGCCATACTACATCATGACTAGCATTAACTATAGCACCACAAAAGAATCAGCATTCCTTTATATATAAAATGTCCAAAATAGTACAGGTGTTCAGTCTTAAATATCAGATAGATAAATATAAACAGAATGCCTTTTTCTCCAACTTGTTTCATTCTTTACTCTTTGTGTAAACAGATCATTGGAGTTGAACTGCCTACTCTGTGACCCAGTGGACAGGGTGTTTACCAGAGTGCAACTCACGTATCTTTAAAAATGTGATAATCTCATAACAGCTTTTTGTGGCTGTACAAAATAACACATGGAGAAATCTGCTGCTGAGGCATAAAACAATATTCATTCATTTCAGTGCTCCTCCCTTAAAAAAATGACACAGATAAGGTAAATATATCACCATTAGTCACTGATCATGCTGATATCACTCATATTTCCCCAGTAGCCATAAGCCATCCTCCCATTTGTCTTTACCAACAGGAAATAGCAGTGGATATTGCCATGACAGAACCAACTAAAACAGACCATCTCTTTCCTAAACACTTCATGGGAGAAACAAATAAATCCTTCAACATTTTTAACTGGAACATCTTTGTTAAATAAACTTCTCATCTTCTGATAATCAACTACCGCTGTCATAATAATCCCTGTGTCAATATGTCTCCCTGTCTGAGATATGATAAACATGGCAGATTTGTTAGTGATGGAGAGAGATCCCATCTGGAAGCTGTTCCATCGGCTCCAATACTCCACAATAAGCTGCAATCACACCAGCAATTTGGGAAGACATTGTTTATTTCAAAGACATAAATATTTAAATTTCCTGAAAGCATCTTTATTCAAGGAATAATGTTCTTTGAAAAGAAGTGGGTGGTTTTACCCAGCTTTTAGCAATATTCAAGCAATTCCACCGCATCTGAGCTCCAATATATCATTCATTGAATCTGAAGAGATTGCTTCAAGAAAATGTCAATTTATAGAATACTTTAATGCATATGAGCAAGTGAGTGAGTACTTTTAGCAACGTCCCAGCAGTATAATGGCATGGGGCTCCAGAGTGGGCCAGAACACATGTGGGTATTAAAACCTGGTGAAGACTTTAACCATAAGGCCACACCACTACACCTCATACAAAGAAACATGTGCAGCTTTACGTTTTTATAGCTACTGTCTATGTCCATTCACAAACTTCCTGCGAGAATACTATCTCACAATAACAATCTCTTAATGTGAACAGATATAAAGCTATTTTTGAGAATATATTCTCTCTCAAAAAATACTCTCTGTATAAGAATCCGTTTCTCCAGGGTATCAATACTTATAAACAGAACTAATTGTCCTTGATCAAAGAAATGTGATAATTTGCCAATCTGGGATGACCTGATTAGAGCACCATACACAAAATTTAGTAACATTTGTAGGGTATTATCACTAATATAATCAGGAAGGCCTGTTATTAGCTGGGGTGATACTTCCAGCTTGGGGTATAAATGATTGTATACAACGCCAGAGATATGTGCTCAATGAACCTGATTGGAGTGGCTAAATTGGGCATCAAAACACTCGGATGACTCCATTCAAACATGAACAAGATATTCCAAATTCCTGGAACTGCAGTTTCTAGATATTGATTCTATTAAATGGAAAGTTTATCAAAAAACGTTTGCTGTGTTGATTTCCACAGTTATTGATTCAGTTTGTCTCCAGACTTGGACTAGTGGACTCGGTCTGATGGTAGACTGGCTAGATAGACTCTGTGGAAACACACCAACACAACAGATGTCTTCACATTGTAATATCTATACGCATTCATGTGTTCCATGAGTATAAAATATAATCCATAATCTTCAAATACGTGGCAAAATACTTCACAAGGAAACTTAATCTTAGGACAGGGGGCACTACCTCAAAGAAGGCTTTATCTTAATCTTTGGACAAGTGATCATCTACCTGAAGAGATTACTTAATATTTAAATAACAGGCACTACCTCCAGAGAACACTTAGTCTTTGAACAAGGGATCATTTACCTCAAGAGAAGACTTAGTCTGCGGACATGTGATCAACTACCTAGGGCGATGACATAATATTCAAGATGACGAGAGGCATTACCTCAAGAGAAGACTTAATCTTTGAGCAAGAGGCCATGTAATATCCTTCAACAGACGAGGCCCAGTCTAGAATCATTGTGCATGGCACAAAAGGCGGACTAAGGCAACAGAGCATCCTGATCAATATCGCTCCAGTCTGCTGGGATGGCCTATCAAGGGAACCCCATATCAAAAACTTGCACTTTCCTGTGATGAATTGTCTGCGATATGATTATTCAAAACTGAGGTTATATTTCTGACTGAAGATGCGACCATAACAGATAAAAATATAGCATGGGGATTTCCAATTTGAAATATCTTGTGAAAGAAATGTTTCTGCGTATCATACGAATGCTGCCATCCACTTGCCCATTTCCTCATTCTCAATGACTGATGAATAAAAGCAAAAGTAAATGAAATTAGTGGGAGCTGAATTCTGGTTAAACGCCCACAAACTTGAAACATGAGACGAAGACTTCCATTACAAACTTTGGATTAAGTTACCAATCATTGTGGTCATAGTGATGGAAATGATTTCCCTGAGATCAGAACATGTGGAAATGTTAATTAATTTTCAAAATTAATTATAAGTACATCTAGTTATGTAACAGAAAGGGACATAAAGATTGATCTTCACATATAGCACTCTTACTCAGCTGAACCCAGAAATCTGAGCAGTGAACTCCAGTAAAAGTCCAGATGCATGAACGTGGCATGTAAATAATGAAGTCTGGGACAGATCACCCAGTGACCAACCACATGAGCATCCATACATTTGTGATATGACGTCAGACAGTTAGGCAAATCACCGAGTCTGACCACCTGATTCACATTGTGAGCTCTTATGACAACTGTAGGTAGTTGGGGACCTTTGCTTGAAACCTGGGCCCACTTGCACAAAGCGATCTAAGTGCTACGACTATCTTAGCTTATGTTGGAGAATGGGAGTTACAATCATTGTTGCGCTAAGATCGCTTTGTGCATGTGAGCCCTGGACAGGTACTTGAACACAACCATTCTCTTGGCAACAATAAACTGAAGACAGAGGAACTTCTCAAAATAATTTCAGGATAAAATCTCAAAGAACTTATTCTAAAAGTTACCAAAACACATTCAAGCTACAATGAAGCCAAAATATTTTATAAAATTAAAAATAACAAAGGAATTTTTAAATGGTACAAGGAGATTATGCAAGACAAGGAAACAAGTCATCAATTCAGTAACCGAATCAGTTACAATGTGTAGAGTGATCAAGACTGTTGGGTCTCCAGTCAGAGAACAAAATTAGCATCTGACCTAGTTTTTGCAGAAAG